GCGCAGATCCACTCACAACATGTCGCACAGCATCTCAGCATCACGACGCAGACAAGGATAGCTCCATAGCCAATCAATAAGATGGACAAGCACGTGAAGGCACTTTCTTTGGCATTAGGTATTTCAACTTGGCTCTCGTACTCTCTATGGCTGGGTTACTGGTTGTTTCTCTCGCCACTACGCCAGATTCCTGGTCCTGTGATTTATGTCGCTCTGGGGTCTATTGCACTGCAGTTGGAGAGATTCCTGAGTGGTGCGTATCTATATGTGGTGACGGAATAGTGGTTCTTGATGTTTGACGCCTCGTTGTTCGTGGTTGTTGAAGCCTGGTTGACATCAACCTTGACATTTCAACACTGTAGGCCAGCAACCCATGGTTGTGAGGAGGCGCTTGCATGAGAAGGATGCTACTCATACTATAGCAGCCTTGGTGTCTTTTATGCTCATCTCTTTGTTGAACCTTTTCAAATCGGATATGGAACTGCTGTGCGAATCGGACCTAATGAACTATCTGTTGGTGATCCAGCTCTTGCTCGTTATGTACTCGTTTTGAAGATGTGAGCAATAATTGACTGTATTTGGCCATTGAGTGTCGCTTCTTTGCATAGCCACATCCTAAACTCAGCGTTCGTCGCTAGTTTCCAAAATCAGCCAGTGGTGCTGGACTTTTTGGTATGTTCAGAATGTTTTTGCGATCCTTCTTTGAAAGAAGGAAGCTCACGACTGAATGACTGAATAGGACCAATGCATCCTGGTGCGATTGTCTCACTGAGAAACAAGGAGGAACATCGCAAAGTTAGGAGATTCATGTCTCCTACTTTCTCTATCAAAGGTGACTTATTGAGGTCTGCGGCTGCGATGGATGTCGTGCAAAAACAGAAGCACTTGTTGTAGGGGTTCTGGATTTTTTTTGCGACTCTTAACCACTCTCCCTCAAAAACAGGAATCGACAAACTAGAATCAATAATGCACCAAGCAGCCGACGAAGTATTCTCCAAATTCTACCCCCTAATCAAAGAAGGGAACGGTGAAGCCGAGGTGGATATATGGCATGAATTACACTCAGTAGCTATTGAAAATATCGGACGATGTGCTTGTGGAAGAAAGTTTGATGCTATTGAGCATTATTCGCCTTTTGCTACGTATGTTGAGCATATGATGAGGTATGGGGTAATGCAAGTGTTAGCCAGGTAGTGCCGACATCTGAGTGAAGGGGTCACCTAAGAGATGAGGTGAGGCCCAGACTAGTATTCCTGAGACATGCGAGACCCTACATTATGAGAAGCAACTATAGTACAACCCACTACAGCACCAAACAGATATTTGACGACAGTAGTGTGTCCACCGTACGCTGCAATCCATAGTGGTGTCTGGCGGTGCAGTAAACTCACCCACTCAAATGCTCAGCAATCAGATTGTAAGGGCATATTTGAGGAGAATTTTGACCTGGCGCAAAGTGCCAAGGCGTTGTAATACGTCATTGAAGTCAATGTCCGTCATGGGGGATGAACGTGATTTCTTGCATTCGGCGTACCCACAGGCAAAGCGTCAGGGAGAGCCTCAGATTCTGGTAACCATAGCACGTTAGGTTGCAAGGCGAGCTCTAAACCACCACTGGAAAACACAACATATTGGACACTCTACCTAGATGAGCCCCGAAACCAGAAATGTACTTTTAGTTGTTAGCCATATGTATAGAATCTCACCCATAGATACAATAGATGTCCAAAGATACGTTAAGTTCCCTTTCGCCGTGTGTTGTTTGTGGTCGCAGTCTAGAGCGCTAGCTTCATCACAACAAAAACCAAAAAGCTCGTCTCGCAGCGAAACAGCCCAGTAATGACGTACGAAACGGACTCTCCTTTGCCTCCTGCCTCTGCCAAGGTATGTAAGCACGTATAGTGCAACCTTCTTCCTGTTGGCATGTCCTTCCCGTCATTGTAATCTCCCATCCATCCGGTGTGCTTTCATTGCGACTGTACGTGAAGTGAACGATACAACTCTCTCTAATTAAACTAGTTAATTTATCCTACAGGAATTGGAATTATTGCAGAAAGCTCCGTTCTTCAAGAAGATATCTAGCCTCGAATTCAAGAAAAGGTTTTCAAATTGGATTGCCGAGGGCAACGACAAACCAGAGTTCGAATGGTACGTCAAAGGATGCCAAACCGACGTTCCATACCAATTCTTTAACATTTCTCAAGGTGTGACGACTATCTGGAGAAAGTTCAGGATTTAAACTTGGACTTGAAAAGGACAATCCTATTGACCAGCCCGTCTGTAAGTCTACAAAGTCTTTAATCTATTGACTGTCACTCATATCTTGTAGACAATCATACTTTGCAACCTAATACGTCTCGTTGCAAAGCCACAACAGTCACCACTCCAAGTAATACCTTATTTACAATAATGCAGATGCCTGAAAAAGCTGCCGACATTATGGCGTTTGCAAAGGCCTTCTTTCCTGGCTTGCCCTTTTCCTCGGAGGCTGACAAAAACACGCAAGTTGGCATGGGACCAATCAACGGCATGAATTAAGTCAATGACTGGTTGTTTCTCTCATTTGGCATAGTTTTCCCAGACCCATACGAATTTCAATCAAAATTGAAGTTGAAATCAGGGCTGCTATGAAGGTATGTGTCATTTTGCCTGCAGTCTTTCAGACAACTTACAACCAAGTGTGTTATTTCATTTCTGCATAGATGCTTGCATCGTCTATCTCTATTGAAGTCCTCAAAATGACCACATGTGGCGATTATGATTGCTTACTCAATCCAGGAAACGACCCCATTGTCTTACATCTATGCCCTTATTGGTAAACGAGGTTTCGTTTTTGATGAAATGCCCCGTACCTGAATGCCACTCGTTCTATAGTCACGAGAAGCTCTGTAAATTGCTCGCTTGGAGCCCGATGGATCGCACTGCTAACTTGGCCCGATTTTATCAGTCCGTGGACGGGTTGGAAGAAGATGCTGCTTGGGAGCAAAAACTCTTTGATTATCTTAGTAAGTTTGTTTGCTTCGACTTTACAAATGGGTTGCTACACGTGCGACTTCTGATTTTTCTAAACCTTGATAGACAATGCGCTCGAGGGCCCCAACGGAAATAAACGAAGGCGAACGACTGATGTTAGTCACCTGGAAGTGAAACCTTCCTCATCCAAAAAGCCCAAAGATGCCGCCGAAGAAGGGGATGAGATTGTCAAGAATAGTTCCAAGAAGAAGGCCAACGAAGCTGCTGAGGACGCCGACGAAGTTGTCAAGCCTCCTAGTAAAAAGGCCAAGGCAACAAAGGAAGAAAATGAACGTATGGCTTCACCTGAAGGATCTCCAGAGTGGGTTTTTACATATTTCAATCTGAATGTTGTGCTTTGGCTCATCTTTCTTCTTGCACAGAGCAACCCGTAAGGCCAAGAAGGCTGTAGAATCACCATCACGTCCCTCCCGTCGAGCTACTGCTGCAAGGTCTGCCGAGCCGACTCCTCATGACATCAAGTATTGTAATGAAGTAAGTTCCAGAACAAACTGCTGATACGATATATCGTGCATGATGATAATGAATGAGAAGAACTCCATCAGGCCTGCGCTCAAAGACCCTTTTGTTTTGTTACAGATTTCTGCTTATTTTAAGTCCAATGCTCGTGGTGAACCAGTCAACTGGCGTATCTTGTTGCATCTTCTCACACACGCCGCTGCCTCGGTGGCCGAACTTGGCAGCCAAGGCACCGAAGGTCTCACCGAAGCTGAAATCATGGCTGACGCAGGTCGTCATATGAAGCGCATCAACGAATGAAAATGCTGTGTATTGCTATGAAAGCGTGTACAAAATCGTGGGATGCTTTGTTTTTTTGTAATTGTCGTTATTTGTTCTAAAACAATGATAATTAGATTGAAAACCATGTAACGCAAGACTTGCAGCGCAGACAGTTTTACTTAAAGGAAAAGGCTACCAAACCCCATATTACTTTTAATTGGTGAAAAGACTCAAGCTGCCACCCTTTTCGAAAGTGACTTTTTCAAAGACACTTCCTACTGTTGTCTCGCAAGAAGATTGATAAGAAACTGAATGCTTAAGGTCCCAAAACCTTGGGGTTGCAAAGCAGTCTGCGACAAAAGATCGTAAGTGCCGAAATTCACTTTGCCGAGACTTTTTAGAAGCTATTGAGTCGCTTTTCCAGCAAGTCACTGCTCCACAGTAGGATGCAGGCGCGATTCGCCTTCAAGTTGCGCTTGACAGTTACCAACAAAGTTCGGTAAGCCAATTTCGGAGTGCATCCTAACAAAGTAATTTCTGGCATGCTTTGTTTGAAGAGAGCGATCTCGCAAAGATGAAGTTCCTTGAGCTCTCTCTCCTCATCTCATCTTCTTCCAAAATCGAACATAGTGAGTGTGTATTTGACCAAACGTGATGGCGATATCAGTATCATTCTGGCCGCCTGAAACGACGCCATACTCCTTCTTTGAGGGCAAATGAAGTGCTCCTGAAGCTGCAATATTCAAAGGCCACATTTCGGAAGTGTTATTGCAGATATTTGCCGTCGACAACTGTCGAGTTGAGACATGGAACGCATCTGCAATGGCTTAAATATTGTGGATGCTGCCTTCTAGCTCTCTTAGAATTCTCCTGGTCACGCATTCTGCAAAAAAACGAAATTACCGAGCATGATCTTGGTAATTTGACACCGAGATTTGGTCGATATTTCGGATACATGGTAAAATCGGTCAAAAGAGATGTAAAGCGATACTTTATGTGTTTATTGACGATATTTTCTTGTATTGGCAAGACCGGTTTTTGGAATATTTTTTCGGTCTACAACCTGCAAACTGTGGTTCCTCTGAAACTAAAGTGCTGATCCACCGTCAACTGGAATGTTTGCGCCTATTATCGTGTTTGAGAGGTATTAGATTTGAGCACTAGCATAGCAAAGTCTCAAAAGATACCTGTTGTAAATGAGCTTGCATCTGAAGCCAAGTACAAAGCCAAACCAACGATTTCGTCAGGACGGCCTCCTCTTCTCAATGGCATGCTGGCAGCTGCACGTTTGTTGAAAGCATCCATGTCCCAAGCTTTTGAGATATCAGTCTAAGTTTGAGATGATAAAAACAACACAGATTTAGCACCTCGTAATTGGGACGATTTCACAAAACACGTACCAAGAATGGACCAGCGACAATGCAGTTTACTCGAACTTTTGGTCCAAAGGCTTTAGCCAACGAAATGGTCAAGTTGTTGAGGCCAGCCTTGGCCGTGCCGTATGGAACTTCAACGGGTGTTGGTCGAAGAGATGCGACACTGGACACATTTATGATGGTACCACCATTTCCACTTGCCATCCTACTTCCGATAACAGATGATAAGCGGAATGGACCCTTGAGATTGACAGCCATCACTTTGTCGTAAAGATCTTCGGTATGTTCTGCGAGCGAAGGATATAATGGAGACATTCCAGCATTATTCTACAGGAGACCAGCAGTCAGCGACGTGTTCGCTGAACATCTTTGAAGCGACGATTTTGTCATACTCACTACTAGAATGTCTACTCGTCCGAATTCAGCGTATGCCGCTTCAATGAGTTTGTCACAATCAGACCACTTGCCCACATGGCAAGAAACTGGCAAGGCACGTCTTCCAAGAGCTCTGACCTAGCATGGGATCACAATTCATGGTCAACTGCCAGGTAGGCGAAAACCATTTACACGAAACTGCAACCACACCTCTTTGGCGACCGCTTCACATTCATCCAGCTTCCTGGAGGCGATGACGATATGCGCGCCATGCTTCGCAAAGGCGAGCGACATTTCTCTGCCCAGACCTGATTGAACGAATGCTCATCATGACTATACTCTAAAAACGGAATGTACGCAAAAACGACTTTTACCTCTGCTACCTCCGGTAATTACCGCTACCTTGTCTGGTAGATCGAAGAGTGTATCAATGGAAGGCATCCTGAACCAAGTTTACTAGTTTCTTATTTGACTTGAGATACGTTTGTTGGATGTGAGAAGCATGTAGACGATGTGACACGAATCGCACACACACATCTCGAGATGACATCACAATCCGAGTCGGGACGCGGCAAGCAGTGATTTATTTTGTATAGTCTATAATATTATCTAACGCACGTCATACTTTCTTACAACAATAATTACACCCTTTTTACCTCAGCGCATACCACACTATCGAGAACAAGACTCCGCCAACATACGATCCCCAAGGAAAATTTCCACCATACAAGAGACCATCAACTAGGAGCTGTGTCATCATAATTTGCTGAAGCTCACTGCTCATCGCGTCCAAGTTCCATCCATAAGTAGAAAGAAGACCAAATGTCCTCAAACCAACCAGTACACCAATACCGCCTATGTTATAACCGGTTCTTGTAGTACAGCTAAACAGAAGGGTGGCCATGCTGGTTGCCAGACACAATGCTAAGTACAGTGCCAAGAATTCATAGTCGTTGATTCGTCCAAGCAGTTCGCGCCCATATCCATATATCCCAGTCACAGTCACCTGGCAATGATGATCTATTTAGCATTTCTTCCCAGGAAGAAGGCCTACACGAAAACCCACGGCTTACTAGTAGCGACACGACACTTCTGTGAGACATTGCAGAAGTGAGCAATGCGTGCAGACGATGATGAGATATAGTTTCGTTCCAGCTCAATGTAAAGTGACGGACGAGAAAAGGTATAGACGTCGGAGTAGCCTTCAACCATAGAGTATAAATGACCACATTCGTTAATATGAGCAGCTCCAATATGCCCAAGGTTGACAGAACATGATTTGCGATTCCATTAGGCAGGTGGAAGCCTTGACTGGTGAATATCCATTCAGAGAGGGAATGAAATCCTCGTACAGTATACAGACAAGACGGCGGTAGATATGATGGCAGACAGAAGCAGTTTCTTCCCATGCAAATTCCTTTACACGAGGTTTTGAGACAGTGTGAGCAGCAATTCTTGGCGTGCAATGAACAACCAGTTCACAAGAGGGATATTACCGTTCTTGATAGTTGGCCATTGACTATTCATCACCCATTTTGGCAATGGAATCCAAACGCCAAAGATGCCCAAAAAGACTCCAGCGTTTATCGGCAATGTGGCAGTTGCAAAGAGAAGATAATCTCGAAACTTTATGAGGTCGAGGTGCTCTAAAAGTGTTGTCATATTGAGACAAGCTGGTTTTTGCAGGAGCTTAGAGATCGAATCGTTCGAGCTGCTAAGATTGCTTTCAGAATCAATACGGCTTTCATAGTTCATAACGGCGGCCATGTTTCAGCATTCTTTCCCAAAAGTGTTGATGACATTTGACTTTGCACGATGGTGTAGCCTGACTGCTGCAAATGATGGCAGGAAATCAGTGGATGGACATACCTGTTACATATAGATATCCTTGCAAAATCCAAGAATTTTGATCTTGTGCGTAAGCGAGCAATTGCTCGACGAATGATTCTTGGTCTGGGCGAGATAGGAAGGCCAGCACCACAAGGGCAACGCCAATAACAGGCAATTTCCAATCTGTGTTTGTGTCTAGTAATCGTGGCATTGTACCGTCATGACCTAGTAGGCCTAGTAGCTCCTGGATGGGATTCAAAGATATGTTTATCTGCTGCTTCTGATATTCTGATACACTAGGAGCGCGTTAAAAGTGTCTCCCAACGTGAATTCGGCTGTTCCTGGCAGAGAGGACACCTTCCGTGTCTGTTGTATCTCTGACAGCAACTTCTTAACATTTCTAGCATCATGGACCTCCCACCTGAGCTTGAAGATATGTCCGAAGCACTCCGAACTAGAAGAAAACCGCATAAAATTGCAGTCAACCCTAGTATGTCCTGAAGATCTGCTGTGGATCTGTTTTTATTTCCTTTGTTTGTTTCCTGTCATTTGAAATATTTGAATGCAACAACCACTCTTGTACTAGATCATAAACGAACCAAGCCAATCTCTGGCGGTCTACTGGAAGCTACGAATACTCCCTTCCTTGTCAACAAGGTTTGGCCAGTTCTTTTTTCTACATTTCCAAACATCAGTTGATGTTTGCTTTGTACTGTAGCCTGCTTCAGCAATTCCTGCTTCGACCACAGCATTCTCTGGCATGAAGAAAGGCTTTCTGAACTCGACTACTCCAACAAAGGTAAAACAGACAATCTCCCTGAAACCTAAAGCCACGAGACAAGATGAACTACGATTCAACGACGTACAGGAAGCAATGAAATCGCAAGGTAAACGATTGCAAATTTTCAGTATGATCTATAATCAGATCAATCGCTACCTTACCCAAATGTAGAATGGTTAACTCCATCTTTCCTACAACAACTGGAAACACACCCAACTCTGGCACAAATGTTTGCCGACCCAGAGTTTATACTTGCTGCTCAAAATCTATCCACAAACCCCGAAGAAACAATTCGAGACATTTCGAAAAGGTTTGTATCTGTTCACAAACTTTGATCCAACATTCAAAAAAGCATTTTATGACTCCTCTGATTATAGGAGACCGGACCTGCTCAACGGCCTGAAGGAGTTTTCTGCTTTACTGTCTACTCAGCTTCGTGGAACTGTCCCCGATCCGATCGAAGATCTACCCCCACATGAGCAGGAGATTATCAAAAAGGTCACAAATGATCCAAAACTTCAAGATGCCCTCAGGGACCCACGGATACAGCAACTACTTCTAGCCATCAAGCAGAATCCAATTGAGCTAAGGACGTGAGCACATCTCCAAAGACAACTCGAGTTTCTTTCTTAACATAACCTATCATCATGCAGGGCTATGAGCAATCCAATCCTCAGGCCAAAGATCCAGGCTCTGATGAATGCGGGCCTCTTATCAGTGGTCCAGTGATTGCATACGTCAGACGCGTCTAGCACTAACTGTAGAGCACAAAAGCAATCCATCGTTTTCAACATATTCTATTATGGATGCTGTATGTACATTTCTGAGGATGAGTAGATACAATATACGTGAGCAATTTTTAAATTTGGATAAACTCCAAATGCCGAGTTTCCTATACGTTTCAGACAACGACTACACATTCTGTCATCCGTGATGGTGACTCGTCGAGATTGGTAACGAATGGTATCCAGAGATTTCTAAGAATTGGAGTCTGTGAGTATTATCGCCAAATGTGCTCTCGTCTCAACAGTGAATTACCTTGGCCTTGTCGGATTTACACAGGTTGAGCAAAACTTGACCATCATGCCGCTTTCGTTGCGAATCCAGCCAAACTCCTTGTACAAATCCCAGCATATCAGACAACTTGACCTCTGGACTAGTCAGCATGATGGTCTAAGAGGGAGCAGGGTTACTTTCGAGTAAATTTTGACTTTGATTTTCCGCGAAGCAGCACAATTACCTTGACAACATCAAGATACATTCCATATCGAGACAAAAAGCCTAAAACTACTTCCATCTTTATCTTGCCTTGATCGACCAAAGTCATGTAATGCGAATACAGGATGGAGAATATGTCTTTGGTTATAGGGTGTTGAGGATCATAGTGGCGACGACAATATCTAGATATCTCAATTATTATCATTCGACACTGCAGTCAAAAAGGAAAACGACCAGCAAAACATACTTTTCTGCCAGATGATACTGCTCCAAATCATAGACGAAAATTCTGATCGCCTCATCATGCAAGTCCAACCTACTGTACAATATCACACGCTCTGCAAATAAATAATCCTTTGGAAATGCTTCTAATAGCTTCATTGGTCGATACATGGTTGATTGCTCCAAAAAGTTGAGCAACTTTGGTTCTGTTCGATATTGTTAGAGTGTGAATACAGAGATATTGCAGATTCACATGCTCACCGCTAGATTGCTGTGCCACGTAGGTCATGGCGAGACGTTCATGTAATTCGGGACTCGGCTCATTGAGTTGCAGGACCAGGTGCTCCAGATACGCTAAACCAGTTTCAGGAGAGCACTGATCCAACGTATCCAGCACCTTCCGTCTTGCATCAGCTTCTAACTCTCCTAGCAAAGAATCCTCGTCTACATCCGTCAGCATCTATGGACCAGTATGTTATATGAGTGAAATGTATGAGGGTATGCATGTGCAAGCAAAGAACACCCACTCGCAAGATGGACTGTGAATGATTGGGTATGAGCGTTGGTAAGTATTCCAAGACAAGGTCTAATTCGGAAGAGCCTAGTCGTTTCAAATAGTTCAAGAGCTGATCAGATGTGTCAGGATGTGCCTCATCAAGCTGCCTACGTAGATTTTTTAATGTAAAGCTGTAGAAACACTGAGAGAAGACGCAAATTTAAGCTGACTTGACGAGTAGATCCAGCGCTTTTCGATGCAGGCCACGGGTGCGATACAAATCTAGCAGCTCCTTGTACTTCTAAGAACATTCAGAGAGTCAGCTGTCTATGGGATATTGAAAGACAGATCACTGGACAAACTTTCACCTTTCGCTCTCCTAACAAGGTCTCTGCCTCAGCTAGATTGACTCGATTCCCGACTCTGACGAGAGGTCCAACAAGAGCATCGTTTACTTTCAGACAGACTTTCAGTAAAGCAGTATCCACCAATTCAGACAAGTATAACAAGTCGGTCATAGAGATATCAACATTTCCATTGACAGGACCACCACTGTGACTCGACCAAGTAGATCCAGGACCTTGTGAGTTTGTTGCGCTTCCACTATGGTTGCTGAATGGCGATTGATATATATTGGGGTGCAACTGCTGTTGTTGGCGCCATAGCTTTGCTAGCAATCCCCGTTGGTTTGTGAGATAATCTTTCAACACCAGTAAGGCTCGTTTGTCTGTGAACAAAATATCAATTAAAACCGATTCAAGGAGATCGACAGTTTGTAAAAGAGGTCAAGAGTTAGGTCAGACTGTCAGAAGGCGAATTTTCAAAATGAATCCTACCAGACGTTGTTACCGGATCCGTACTTTCTGGGTCAACTGGGGCAATGTCCGGATACAGATTGATGACGTCCAAAGGAGACGCTTCTACACCCTGCAACAAAGCTACTGCTTCTTCGTATCGAGCTTGGTCGGTAAACATGTGATGAGCCAGCAAACTCTTCACCCTTATAATGTTTGAAATCTGTATTTTTGGTTGTGAGTGAGCTTGAAGCGATAAAGCAACATCCGCCACAGCATCAAAGCTTGGTATCCCCACTCAAAGCGTACCTTGTGTTCTGGAGACGGGAAATCCAACTCTTCTATGAGAGTTTGCGCTTCTTCAAACTTTTTGGCAGAGATCAGGACCTCAATCTAACAAATTCATAGTTCATATTAGTAGACGCAAAATCCCGAAACTACCTTTTATCGGACACCTACCTGATCGTCGAAATCGATGGGTAGCAATCGCCACACACTGTTTGTGCTGGCAACATAAACCATTTCACTGGACTCGACTATCTTGGCACCAGGCATGTTCAATCTTTGAACAACTGCTCTTGTTCTCAAGCTTCTGACTTCGACGTTCGAGTTGACCAGGCCAATCACGTATGGAGACAAAAGAACTAGAAACATGAGGTGAGCAAGATGTCCATGATGTCAATGCTGCAATTTTCAGATTTAAATCAATGCATACCGACATATTCGGGAGCTTCAGACCATTCTATATCTCGTTCTCCCAATACACGACCGTCAGACTCGACAAACATGGTACATTTTTCACGAGTGACGAGACTTCTGCCATTTGGTGCTGGCAGCACGCCTGGTCGGGCCATTCGCGATGCGACTAGCTTAGCTGCAGCGCCCTCATTCAAAGGGCGAATTTCATTTGTAATGATATTGACAACCAAGACACTCTTGTTGATGATTGCAAAGAGTCTCTCTGAATCAAGCCAGCCAATCATTCTTGGTTTATCAGGCAGTGTCCATTCTTTGGAAATTTCACTGAGACAGGTTCCGTCGACCTTACATTCAAACAAGACTAGTTTGCGTTTTAGACCTGCGACCAATTGGTGTTTAGGTAGTGTATCGTTGGTTGATGCGGTAGTAGTAATAGCAAATAAGTGAGATCCACGTGCACCATCTAAAGTAGATCTGGGTGCTAGAGTCACGGCATCGTACTGCGATATCACACCGTCTAATGCAAAGTATTAGTTGCTGTCCTTGAAGGTGACCTTGATCGTGATTTTACCAGAGAGTAGTATAAGAATATTGGAGATGACAGCCAGTTGCTCAATTGGCCGTTTGGTAAAGTTTTTGCGAGACTCGAGTAGCGATATCACAAAGGATGGTTCATCATCGAATTGGTAGACGAGCAAACAACCTTCGCTCGTTCCAATATATATCCGATTGCCTGTAACATCAACGAAAATTATGAGATTTTTTACAAGTAGGCTCGTTTCCCTTGAAAGGAGCAGCTTGAAAGTTAGCTTACCATGAGGATGGATGCAGATAATTCTCAATGGCAGATTCTCAATGATACTTTGACGAGAATATACCTCGTACAACATTGCTGCATAGTTCTCAGAGCCAAACTCTCACTCTCTTCTCTCCTCTCTCACACAATCTATGTGTCGGTTGACTTTGCAGATTCAAGTTCTGGAACAGTTTCTTGGACATCAACTTGGGGAGAACACACCTGAAAACACATTATTGCGAACTGTACGAGCAAAACTGAGCCGTATTATTATACAAAACGACATTACTATTACATCAGAGCAAAAAAAATTACAACATTAAACTTTTGCCAGAGGTTCCATCAGGTGTCATAATGGCTACTGCTTAGACTTCGGCCAATGTTTTCATGAGCAGCTTATAATGGTCTTCATCGTTTACAGCAATGCGCAGAACCAGTATATCCTCTCTGGTATCTTCGCGATAATCTAGTCTCCAACTGACTACACGTAACTCGATGGTTGTCGGGACGACATTGGCAATATCCACGTTGTTTTCTACTTCACTAATCAATGTAGTAGAATCCATGTACGAATCTTTGACACTCTTACGCCGCTGTACCAGTGTTGACGGCGACGAGTTGATGGATAGCTCTGTTGGTGCGTGTGTCAACATTACTCCTCCAAGGTCCTCCTGTAATTCAGTAGGATGCTCGTGCTCCAATTTCTCTTTAGCCCGGTCAGCGCGACGTTGTTCTCTCTCCAATCTTCTTCGTCGTCGATCCTCGGCAAATCGATGGACAACTATTTCACGAGTATATGATATGAGTGTGATTCATCGTGTGTGTGGACTCAAACAAAGCTCATGAAGACGCTTGCTTCGAATTCCAACTACTTTTCAATAGCTAGCAATCGCTTACCATGACTGTACGACATAGTAATCCTAACAGCAAACAGTGTTAAAATGTGCTGAATATCAGACTCTATCTGACTTACATTGTCAGGGGGAAGGCCAAAACAAAAAGCGATGAGATCATAGTGAAAACCATTACAATTCTGCCTGGAAGAGTTCGTGGTACAATGTCACCGTATCTACATGTTTGAGTGATATTAGAAGTCTCATTGTGAAGCATTGCTTTCCAAGAATCATCCACAGCATGGAAGATCAGCTCTGCACTTACCCAACGGTGGTAAGTGTTACAACAGTCAACCAGAAGGAATCTGGAATACTCTGGAAGGGGGAAATGTCTCCAGTGTCTCTATAGTACCATACACCGTCAACAAAATCCTCCTATTTATTAGAAATTGGATTGGAAAACTTGATTCCGAGATAGAGTTCAAGTTGAGGAGAAAACGCCTTCAACGCACCAAGCTTTGTTCTGAAAAGTACACCAAAGTTCCGAAAAACACAATCAACATTGGCATGATAAAGAAGAGAGCAATTATTCCTAAATGTGCAATGGTCAAGCGAGGTCCATCAACAAATTCAAACATCATCGAATTTACCGTCGAAAGACTCCCCGAGAGCCGATGCCATCGCGCGGAGCTAGTGAGAACAATTATTAGTTGTTATTGTTTCTCGTAAACCAAGGTCAAGCAAGAGTCGTATGGCTTACCTTTCCAGATTTTTGAAATACTTTGAAAAGCCGGAAGACTCGGAACAATCTCAAGACTCTCACAAGACTTATACCGGCTACACCCATCAACGAATCGATAACGTCTTGCTGAGAACCAACCGCGATGAACACCTCAATGTAAAAGGGTAAAGTGGCGATTATGTCGATGGCAAACATTCTAAAGGGAGAACACGTACAGGTTGGCTGGACAGATATTTAGTCATCTGTTTAAACTAGACAAGAGTTCTTACATAGAGAGCATTTCCCTCCAAGAATGCATGATTACGACGTCCAAGAAAATCTCAACAGTAAAGCCAGCGACACAGATTGCGTCAACAGTGAATAGTATTACGCGGTCCTGTCGGTCACCAGATATTGATGGAATTGAGGCTACACAGAGTGTAACAATGGAAGTTATAAGAATCAGGGTGAAAAAATAGTAGACCCCCCAGCCCCAAAGAGTCCGCTTATGCTCATGCAAGAAATAATAGATATTTGACCTCCAGGTTGGCCATGCTTTCACACTAGCACTCGTTACAAAGGTACCGGTCCACGAAGCGGTATCTAGGGTCAAACCATGGGTCAAACCATTTGTATCGTCGCAAACATCGGCAAACTAGCAGTCGACTCCTCTCACCATCATCATGGTCATGATGCTCGTGCGGGGGCCCGAACGGATTAGCAGGAGGAGGTCTCGGTTCGAATTTTGCAGGAGAAATCTGGTCGTCCTCGGGCGTTTGGATCCTAACTAGATGGCAAGTAAAGAGCATCAAGCCATGCTTCAACTGTCATGCCGTGCTCTGTTACATACCTATGGTGTCATTGGAATCAATCCTGACTCCCTTGCTATAATTAGTGTGTGGTTGTGAGTCCAAGACGGAGGCACTTTAAACACACGAGTCAAAGCACTGCCGCAAACCTCTCAGGTGGAACAACAGGCTTTTCGTCCAATGGGACGGGTTCCTCCACAGGCGCCTCGGCGATAGCTATTGTTGGTGGATGCTCTGGTTCGTCCTTTTTGTAAAAGCTTCGGAAACTCATATGACTAGCCTTTCTCAACAAGAGCTCTGGCACCGTCAAACCAGTAGCTGAAAAGCGAGAGTGTATGTTGGTGAGCGAGAGTTTAACGAGGTTAACGCCGACAGCAATGCTTACGATCATCTCGACCACTGTCTATATGTCGATGACGGGGTGAGCGAGGCGATGTGCGAGGAGAGCCTTTGCCTTCGTAGGGATAATCAGGAAGGAATCCAAGTTTGGGTGAATACGCTCCGGATTCTACATGTGAAAATCGTGAGACTTATGCATGTTCCAAGTTAATATGATGGCAGTGGCCCAACTCCAGCAGTGGATTATGGCTGTACATGGGAAGATTCAAAACGCACTTCCTTTTACCTGCATGTTGGTCGTTGTCCCTATCTTCTTCCTGGAGCTCGGTAGCAATAACCTCGACTTGCCGTGAGGAGTTGCTCATCGTTCGCTGCTGCGTATCAGGTTGGATAGTATGCCGGAAAGTACTTGGATTCCACGACTAGAAAGCCCCACCGGCAAAGTTGGTCGACCAGAGTGAGAGTGGGTAAGGTCGTTGAGTAGATAAGGGGTGTGTGGCAGAACTGGTTTTGAACAATTTCAAAGCCAAAACCACTGCAACACAGAGAACGCGTTGTCAAGCAAAATTGAAAGTACAATAGTAAAATACAGGCATGTACATCTTCATCATTTATACAGTGTGCATCTACTGCGAACTAGTCGCTTTCGGGTTCAGTCACTTGTGGTTTGTTGGGATTGTTCTCCAACAGCCATTGACCCAACCAGGCCTACAAGCAGAAAGCAAATTTAGTACAGGTTTGAATACATGTTTGCTTGAACCACCAACTTTTAATGCTCACTGTTGGGTTTTCTGGCTTCTCCTTGCACAATTGTGTCAACCCTTTTGTCAATACTGGATAGAGAGAGTCTTCCAAGAAGGCCTGAACATTCTCTGTTTCTGGTAACGGATCTACAACGGCTAACAAAATGTAAAATATGTTAGTGCCGACATTGGAGAAACAAAGCAGCCAACATACCTTCAGGGAAAAAGAATCTGACTTCACGGTCAGCCATGGCTTTTGAGTCACTGGAGTGGAATCCGTCTGTAGATGCACTAGTACTATATTTCGATCGTAAACTGCTCATATGTTATTGTTAGCATCTGTTTGCGACTTGCCAAATGCAACAAGGAGTGCTCTCACACCTCTTTGAGGCAATAGACTTGTCCACGGCAGCTGCAATGGGTCCAACCAGTTTCTTCAATCCATCTATTAGATTCTCACCGCGAAGGAGAAGCGTTACGACTGGGCCACTGGTTACGGAAAACAATTAGTATTTATGCGTTTAATTCCAATGTAGAAACACGATACACGCCTGGCCAAAAATGCAGCAGCATCCTCCGTCTGATTCTCATTTTGAATGTCGAGAAAATCTTCTGCCTGTTCCCTCGTCAGCTGTAAACGTCGTCTCTTTTGAAAGAAAACTCGAGTTGATGATATTGCGAACGGAAACTTGATCTCGAACAGATCTCACCTGCAGGATGCGAAAGCCTGATTGCTTGACTTCATGTGCCACTTCGTCTTCGATTCTAGCAACCTCTGGCTTCAACAATAAAATTGCAGTCTCCATCCTGTCTTTTGAAGTTGCGTTTTTTATAAGTGAGGACTGAGAGACGAAGACATGCACCCTCTGAAATCTGATCCCGTAGATCTAGCATCTGACAACAGAATTGATTATTTTGCAACAAAGTAACAAAGTGGACGGCACAAGTGGCTACTGTTGGCTTCTCATATATAACATAATTACAATTTCTTATTAGTACATAGTATCATGTACGAGAGTATAATGATTGATGAAGTTGGCGTAGTGGCAATACATATTCATTTCGATGGGGGAAAAACTGAAGAAAGTAATGCAAGGTGTGGACCTATTTTCAGGGAAAAGAGACTTAGACTTCGGCTGGCCTAGCATATTCTTGCATAACGTCGATCATACCCAACGAACTAATCCAGGAGCTAATTTCGTCTCTGGAGCATCTCGGAACACTGGCAACGAAAATAACGACCTACATTGAAACTTATTACCCCAACATGTTCAAAGAAGCGACATCAAAAGATTCGTACCTAAACAGCAGATGTGCCAATCTCATATATGCTTCTGATGCGTGTTCTCGGGTTCCGAAATGAATAAGCTGATCGACAACGTAAATGTACAAAAAGTGAAGGTCTTGAGCCGTAGTGTGTTGGCTCTACCAAGAAATTCAACATCATGGTAAGAAAACATCCATGAGAGTAATGTATTTGTGACATACCCCAACCAATTGATCCTCGACCTCGTTGACACTTAACAAGCTGGAATCTTTGGTAGCGTAGCGAAGAAAGTTAGCCACATGTTGCTCAATGGTAGAGAAGGCTCTCTTTGACCCTGACGCCATCTACGACATTGCGTTAGATTTTCCAATGAAGGCAACAACCTTCATGTTTGTACCTCAAAGTCTCGTATGTGGCCAAACGAGAGTTTCAGAACAAGCCAGTACTTTTCACTGGGTCTTCGGCGATTGTAAATGTTCAGGTGCTCCACCACGTACTTGTCCTATTTTGAGATCAGACCCGATCAGGAACATTCACAAATGGCACTTCTGTGATGGAAATACCTTGCGTAATGTGTCAGCATGACGGAGAAGAGCATCTCGATTGATGGATATTGCCAAGCGAGTGCTCTGACCCGGAGCAATGATACCCATGAGTCCTGTAATCTGGACAGAATCTGATATTGAACCCATCGGTGCATCCAACGACTTGATGTCGAAATAAGCTGTGTCATTGATAACGGCAAACTCCATGTCATCTGCTAGCAGATTAGACAGTACAATACTTGCAGATTCCGGCTGGACATCTACCACTAATCCATTTTCTGTTGGCTTTACAGTACCCGTAAACAGCAAGCTCGAAGTTGACAAGGATATCTGAGGATGCCGTACTACAGCTTTCACGGCAACAATCTTTTGATAATCCTTAACGAGCCTACAATTCACATAGACTTCCATATTTCGTTCATCGGGTCGAGTGGCGTCCCTGAGCGACAATGATCCTGAGCTTTTACTATTCCAATAATCACTTCCTTTTGAAGGTCGATACCGTACAAAGACGCGGACATGGCTTTCAGGTTCTACTACCAACTTACGGAATAGCCTGGCTCCCGTCCGTGATATTGAAAAAACCAATTCACTGGGTTCATCAAATGCTACGTTGGACGTTACTGTGAATTGAAGTGGGACACTTTCACGATTATAAATGACCATACTACGTGCGACGTAGTCAGCTTCATAGTAAAGATTATCCATTTCAATATGAGTCTGTTCTGCATCTACACCGTTGACCAGTACATCAAACACGTGGCTTATTGGTTCGGTAGATGGTACATTTGATCCAGTGGTAGCAGACGGTAGAGCTGGAGTTCGTCGGATATTCTGACGAGGCACCACTTCCATGGATATGCGAACTAGCTTCGAGTCAGAGGGATTGTCAATATTTTCAATGGTTAAATACGTGGTGTAAGTGCCTCTGGTTGCTGCAGTCATGTTTAGAGTTATAGGATAAGGCGTTTCCTGCGGTCCCGGATCCAGGACGCCTTCTGCTCGGTTGAAGGAGAGCCACGCGAGGTCTGAGTTGGTCAGAAGCTTTAGGCGGAAAGATACTCGTTCCGACGAGACGTTTTCTAATCCAATTTTACGATTTATGGATGTCGTACTCAAGTCTTGCTGGCCCAATTCCAACTCGTATAGATTATTGACGTTGTCATCCACTCTCTTGCAGCCTTTCAGCAAGAAGACAGGAAGCTTCCTATCGCGTCGTACACTGTTCGGTGCTAACAATGTGGCAGTCACCGCGTCAGCTGGACGCGGACTGTTTTCTGGCATCCTGGGGGTTTCTGTTTCGACAAGTTCTACCGATTCGGCACTTTCTGCTGATGATGCAGAAGCGGTAGATTGGGCGTCCCTATGATGTCATTGTAATACCATCCGAGATTATCAGCAAAAGGTGAAACTTGGAAGAACGGCTAGAAGCCAAATAACATACCAAAATGATTCTCTTTCTTCACCAGATTCGGCAGCAGACATGTCTTGAAGTGCAACAGCTTCCACAATACTGCCCTCTTGTGCTTGAATCCTAGGACTATTGACTTCGACCAAGTCTTCCGGCTCAGCAATAGCAAGTAAGATTATTTGAGGGGGTCGTAATACAGCGTCTACATCTATGACCAGCAGCTTTATATCCTCGGATAGTGCAGCAATGTCTGAATACATGAGCTCTATAGATATGGCTAACTTCGAGCTTGCCTCAACTACTCCACACATGTTGGCATCGAGAGGTGCTACTCGAATCAGCTCAGTATCAGCGGGAATCTCCATTGGAAACTCGATCTTAATTTGGAAACGTAAGGGAAGGAGAGACAATAGATTTGCGATTGTTACTGATGATTGATTGGTCTCTTTGAGTTTTCGAGGATTAAAGACTAATCGAGACTCAGACAAGGTGAAGGAAGGTCCTTCAACGAGACGCCCACGAATGGGTATGCGCTCGGCTATTAGGTTGAGAAGAAGGTAAGAATTTCCCCTAGACGGCTTAAGTGCTCTACGGTCTCCACATACCATCAATCAAAACTTCAGCCCACACTTGACCACCCTCATCCATCGAGCGAGAATCATTGGTTGAGAGACGAGATTCACAAGCAAAGGCCCGGACTCGCACATCAATGGAAGAATTGGCACCTAAAGTTATGGCGCCTGTGTCTAGAGGGGAGTTTGTAGACCTGCTCAATACCTCTATACGCACTAGATGACTAAACTCTGAAACTACATTTACTCCCACTTCAAACTTTACTTCATCCTCCCCTGGATTGGTGATTGAGAACCATGCGTCACAGGCGGAAGGAGAGGAAGTCGTCGATGGATGAGTCAATGCCGGCAAGACAAGTTCACCGTTCGACAATCTGTCAAAACGTAACTCGAAACTTGCCAAGGTGGCGGATATATCAACAGTCAATACATTCTTCGCATTAAAAAGGTTGTGGAATTCAATAGAATATGCTTGATTGTTGCGGGGAATATTCTTCTTGCCAATGAAAAGAGCTTCGATCATTTGCACTGATCGAGGGGGGATGGAAGAGTTGGGACAGAGAATGATATGCTGAGAGTCCTCGTCAGACTGATCTACTATTCTGAAGTCACCCTCTATCTCTATACAACTTGGTAACCACAACTCAAAAGCAAGCGGAATGTCGGCCTGATTCGTTGCAGAAAAGCTGAATTTTACACGGTCTCCGATCCTGACCTATATCGTTGCCAAACAAAATGGTAGTAACTGTGCGCTACAGAAAAGCTGAAATCCTTAAAATCACTGAAAATTGTGTTCAACCGAGTACTTACGGTTTTCAGATCAATAACAGATGGGTGAATGTCTCCAATAGACTGACAATACCGAGCTCGCAACTGAATGAGCTGCAATGACGTCCGTCTTTCTGCATGATCCAATATCAAATATCCATCACAAGTGACAAAGTGACCCGGATCTTCTGAGTCGAGTACAATATTAGATGGCTGAGGTACGGTGACGAATCCAATAGCTCTTTGTCGTGGATGCAACAGTAAATGAGGACCGACCAATCCTTCTATCGCCAAGTTGCCGTCATTTGCATCTAATATATCGGGCTCGACATCTGTCTGTTGCTCATAAGCGACTAATTGCATTTCATCATCATTCACGTCATCCTCTACCTTTCCGTCAACACCTGTAGGATTTCTAGAGATTACGAATCCCGCCCGACGAGTTACTACCCATCTGACGTGAATCTTCAAGTCACTTCTTGGTAATATCTCAATGAGTTCGTCTGACAGATTCTCTAGCTCGAATGACTGTTCATACGAGGGGATAATGTCCGAGGATTTAGGCTTCATCAAACCAATGACACCGTTGGCTGAAGAACCAAGCACGTCGGGAAATGGAGGACCTACATACACTTCGTTCCACTCTATGAGGTTCTGTGACACTAATACAATACTCGGATCGACAAAGAGCCTCACTTTTACGACAACGACTTGTGAAGTGTTGTTAGCATTTACAATGGTGAGTGATTCTTCGATAAACCCATTTAGTTGAGCATCTAGCTTTATGGTAAACTCAACGGAGCTGGCATTTTCAGACCGTGGAACATATACAGTAGCAGATGAGGTTCGTAAGTTTAACGAGGAGCTACTGACGTTACATACTAGTGGCAGTCGATGCGATATATTATAGAGACGTAGAGTCTTCTCGTACTTGTCTTTGAGACGACAAGTTCGACCAAAGTCTACCAGAGTCTCTGAGACGTTAAACAATGACTGTCCTATCAGAGCTGTAAACTTTATGGTCTGAGTGAGCAACGTCAGCATTGATTCGTTGGTCTCCCTTGTTTGCACAATAAATCGCAATCCACCAACTAGATTACGACTTTCGTCAGCACTTAGTCGGACTCGAGACCCATCCTTACTTCGATCACCAGGCTCGAGAGGCCTGTCTTGTGTAGACGGTGTTGATGGTGTCGTATTGGGTGTAGAAGAAGCTGTGGATAATACTGCTTTTTCGGTTGGTCGGCGGGATACGTATGGTTGTAGTGCTACATAAAACGTTGTAGTCGATTTTTGACGAAGCATAAATTCAACTACTGGAGTTTCCAAGGCCTGATCAGCAAATATCAAACATTGTTGAGCCAAGTTTGATGTGGCAGTGACAGCAATATCCTGATTAGTTACATTCTATCACAGTGGAAAGCAAAAAATTGTGAATATTGAGACAATGTCAATACGTAGAGCTGAACAAGATGACATGAAAATACATCCGCACCTCCGTTATTAAACCCAACACCTTGGCATATTTCTTGGTTGGATCGACAAAGCAGTCGCCCAAATCCCAAGCCCCTGTGTTATCCAGATTGCCCAAAGACGGAAATCGTACGTATTCCTTGGCAGTGACATACGCAGAGAAAGTGACGGTCTCGACATCATGGAAGAAGTTCACTGATAGCGACCACGATTGTCGTCCTAATTTCGATGAAAGGATAGACAAGTCAATTCGTTTGCTTTGAGAGCCCTCTATACGGCCCATGACTGCTGGTAAGACTAAAGCCTCTGCGTCTTTGGACAACACGTAGTCAACCGGCAACTTATGTGGATTGACAAGGGTAAAATAGCAGTCACGACGGATTCCTTCCTCTACTCGTCCTAAATCAATAAAAGGAAGTTCTACTATAAGTCTGATTGATTGCTGGTCGACAACAGGAGTTGAGCCTGCTGGTGACGTTAACACCGACGACTCGGTATGCTGGACAGGAGACGATGTAAGCGCTCTATCATGGGTGATTATGCTTCCATTTCCTCCTTGGCTAATGCCAGATACACTCTGAGTGTTGGTGGCACTTTCGGTCAGTTTACTACGAGAATCAGAAACAGAAGATAATTCGGGTTTACTCTCAGATGGTGAGTCGGACTTCTGGATGTCTGACCCTTCGGAAAACCGTACCCACGACGAGCCACGAGTTGATAAATCTGGTGCGTCAAGGTTGGGCGTATCGTCATCATGGCTATTTCCAATCCTGAGACGCGAAGATTCGTCTATATATGAGGCTTGATCATAACAAACGACGGCCTTTAGTTTCAGCACTTTGAGCGAATCAGTGTTGCGGTGCTCATGCACAAGAATCCGACAAGAGAGGCTCTCTGACCCAGTTGGCTCATCCAGGTCAGTAATATGGGGGGACTGTCTTTTTACCGGTGTGATACGAACCAGCACAGTTTGTACTTCTCGAGGATCCAATGGAAATATAATGGAATGATCTGTTACTCGGATTCGTGGCCGAGGCGGTATTGCGGCAATGCGGGTAAAAGATACGGCAGAGACTCTGGCATCTACAGCATCACGACTAGTTATAGAGATATTGTCGTTCGAACCCAACGTTGAGTTGGCTTGAGTCGGAGGACTGAAAAACGGCTCAGTTGTCGGCGTGGGTACCTGAGACGGAATGGGCGATCCTGTCAGTGCTTCAGAGACAGACGACGTAGCATTGTCCGTGTCGAATAGATTATCATCGAGCCCGCTCTTCAGACGGTCAATCTGGTCAGCAAGTTTACGAATCTTTTCGGGCCGACCCTTACGAGTTGCAATCTTAAGCTTCTGCTCTAACTGCTCCAGTTTCTCCTCTGAAGCTTTGCTGAGTACTACACGACGAGCACGATTCTCGTCGATACTATCCTGGTCACCAACGTCACCGTTCGATACTGCCTCGAAGCGAACTCGAAGGTCAAAATACTTGTATACTGTGTCAGCCAATTCTACCCTCACTTCCATAAGACGGGATTGCTTGGACGACGTATTGGATACGACTATACTCTGAGGTTGAAGAGATTCGTTATCTATGAGGCATGCACCAAAGTCGATCGTCATTGCCTGTAAAAAGAAGTTTGACGGTTTTCGAATCTGGGCCTTCAAGGATAGCAGCTGGTCGTTGGTATGATCCATGACATTCTCCACCTTTAGGCGCTCTTGGAAGGCGCCAGATAAGGATGGATCAAATACAAATTCTACCTCCTTTTGAGCTAAACTACGTAATATACCAAATCTTCCTTCTCCAATAATCACGTCGCCGGAGGCTACAGTTCCGGACTTACGGATTGCATACAAAAGGTGTATCTCGGAGTTGTTTCTTATTACTATAGTTTTCGTTCTTCTCTCATTCTTCACGAGCGTGCCAAAGTTGATGTGCTTTTGACCTAGTTCCATGACTGACCTACATATCGAGCATCTGACTAAAAACTCCCTAACGGGTATAGATTCTCCTTGAAGCAAGGCCTCGAACTGCGGCTGTCTTATACTACGATCAAATTCGACGAGTTTCATAAATACTCGTCCATCAAACTTTCGAGGCTTGCTCTGTACCATCGGCCTATTGGTCGATAAGGGGGTAAAGACCACAACAACCATTAGTTGAGACTGAGGTTGTATCAGAACTCTTTTAGCTGGCACGAGTCTGTTTTCGGATACGGCCAGTTCCAGTTCACGTCGAAGCAAGAGTTGAGCTCGTACAAACTTTTCTTCGGCGGATATTTTGGGAAATAGAGGTGGTGAGACACCAGTGGTGGTTTCTAGGCTAGTTATGAGTTTACTGACTGGCATTCTTGACTCGACTTCTTCACCTTCTGCATTATTGCTATTGCTGGCTGTGACGTTGACTGAAATATAATTGTTACCATTAGATAGCAGACCGTTTCGTGAAGGACGTCCTTGGTCAGGCAGCCGAGATGGGCGGCTGCGCTCATCTTCACCGCTAAGTTTGGTATCAAGTGTAATGGTTGCTATAATTTGCATTACCCTTTGTCAGTGATGCTAAATCAATCAAGCAAAGCTAATGAGAACTGATTCTCACCATCGGGGACGTATTCCCTGTTTTCACGATCTCGGCTGAGATTTCGGTGAGGAACTGCCACCGTGGACGTGCGCCCAGTACCTCTCCTGCGAGGTGAGCGTTTATCCGACACTGTCGAGGCAAGGTCAAGATATTGAGTCCTTTCCGTTGCCTCGAGACGCTCCGAAGGCATTTGAGATCTGAGTCGAGGCGGAGCAGTAGTAGGAGATTGCTGAAACAAAGGATTTAGCTGTGTTTTGATAGATGCTGGAATCAATCATTCATCACTCACTGCTGAATTCTCAGAATCCTCCAAGTCCGTAGCTGGGCTCTCAGAGCTTTTTGTGCCATTAGCTGTATCAGAGTCGAGTTTACGATTGCTCATGTCTAACAATTTCTCTCGTCGTTGCAACGAAGGTGTAGCTTCGCTATCACGACCTACTAACGTGTCAGTCTTGACAAACAGTAGCATTTCTTCTGACATTGAAGTTGATAATTCCAAGACTAAAGGTTTGGCTGATATATTGTCCAGTATAAAGGTGCGTACGGCTGGTGCGTTCAAAACCAGACCACCGAAATCAATAAAATTCGTGTTGGACGGCGTCAATATTCGATAAAATAGGGAATGAAAGGTGACTCGATTTTTGTCTATGTTATTGGATCTGACCTCTACTACCTGGTCATTGTCTCGATTGGTGAGATTCACCACCGTTATTTGTTTGCTATAGTCGGGATTTACTTTTCGAGGATAGATATCAACCTTGACTTCTACTGATTGTCGTGGTGGGATGACGAGCTCATCACGATACGTATTAAGGACCTTGGATATAAATCGCAACTCAATCCTAGCATTGAGATCGGCGACATTTGTTATTAGCAATGGGCATGACTTCAAGGTTCCGACATCCGTGTCTCCAAAGGTGACTTCGTGTGGCGAGACATCGATAAAGGAGGTGCAGGTTCTAGCCTTGCACTGAATTGTCTTCTTTTCGGGCGTTGAGCTCCCTAAAACCGTGTATGTCAAAAATATGCGGAAGCTCCTTCTAGTAAGACGACCACCACGGAAATCTGGAGTGAAATTATCCTTTTGAGGTTTATAAAATACTTCAACGATTCGTTCGGAGCCAGGTTTGAGAACCATCTCCTCTATGTATGTCAGCTCATCTGTTTGGTTTGGTGCTGAAATATCGGGTGAGATTTCCGCAGTACCTGACTGAGCCTGGAACATCTCTAAAACGTCCAGCGAGCTAGAATGAGACATTTCGTTTGATTTGAGGGTAGATGGTTTGAGCGTTGGCGAGGACTGTGGAGAGGAATCCGAGTTGGATTCTTCATCACTTTCCGCTACGTGATTATCGATTTCTCGAATTGGTTCTACCGTATCATTGTCATTCTGTTGGCTGTCACTATGTTCTACGTCATCTACCTTGAGCTGGAAAATGACATCGGCATAGTCAGACGAGAATTCCACATCCAAATTCGATTCTGAGATATTCCGAAGTACTAGCTGTTGCTTGCACCAAGTTCCTTAAACGTGTGTGCAGAATTAGTAACTAGGTACAATCATTGTGATGGTTTGAAAATTCCAGTAGTGTCTGTAGTTACCAGCAAGACAGTCTCCAAAATCTAACGAGGTGCCAGTACTAACGACCAAAAGTTCTTCATTCACGACGGTTCTAACCATGGCGTGAACAAATATTGGTATCAAGTTGGCGGCATCATTCAAGTTTTCTAATTGCAGCTCTAGTCCAAAGTCACCGGGCTGCAACGGCCTAAACGCAACTCTTATTCTTCGATGGGAGAAGGATGATATGGGTTTTGTATCCAAGAGCTCTCCCGTGTCACAATCCAGAAGTTGGACGCTTTTAGCATTCGGTACTTCAACCATATTCAGGTTCCAATACAAGTCGATTTCGGATCGATTCCAAAGCGTAAAGTCTTTGAAGTATGTTCCTCCTACAACACTGTCTTCAAACACTATCTCACTAACATCCGTCCAGAGTACCGAGCGACAAACTCGAGATTTGAATTTGACTGTACACTGGTAGTCGGGAGGAGATATAACGTTCAAAGCACCATCGTCGACTGGTGATGTTGGTTTGCTATTATTTGAGGACATAATGACTCGAGACATCGCAGGGCTAGGCAAAACTGGTGTTTCCAAGTCTACAACCATAGGCGGTATCCATTCCTTGAGAAATAAAATAATTCCATTTAAACGACAAGAATTTTTTTGGGGAAGCAAAGTTCACTCACTGTGATGGCATGGCTAGCGTCTGGAGCCTTTTGAGTATATCCAAAGAAGAAGAGCATCCCGTTGACTTCAAAGAAATCAAAAGATTCTTCTCCAGCGACATTCTCGTCTTGTCCAGCCATAAATGCCTCCGTTTCTGGCTTTTCGGTCCGCCTTCGAGTTTTTACTTTAGATTCAGGCAAGAAGGCAATGATTATCTTTTGCTTCATGCCTGGTTCAATAGTGACTTCATCAATGTGGTTGACATAGTTGAAGAGTTGGTTGAATTGTTGGGAATATGGTGTTTGTAATGATAGATTTACATTGACGGATGGTTCCGCGGAGAGATTCAACTTATCTATGAGGATTTTATCTACTGATTTGTCACCACTTGTAGAGCTAATGCGTGGATTTGAGAATGACGATGCTCGTGAGCGTGGCTTTGAGGGCAGATTACGATGAACACCATCATCTTCGGCTACAGAGTCAATTGAGGATGCAGAAGTACGTGGTATTCGATCTGATAAGATAATGTTTGAAGTTGGCTGATCATCATAGTCGGGTAGATTCTCGTTTGTGACTTGGAAGGCGATCTGGTTGCCAAGATTGGATCGTAGCTTTACAATTATAGTCGAATCCGAGGTATTGCGTATTTCACAGCGGCGCAAAGCGTGGAGCCCATTCACGTAGACATTATCAAATGTTAGCTTGTTCGACAATGACAAGAGCTCAAACAGCGGTGCCTTGATAGATTGACTAGACACGGGAAGACTAGGAAAAGACTCCATTATATCTTCTAAAGCATAAACTCTGAGTCAGTTTGTCTGTTCAACATGAACAGCAAACCCTAGAACTGCAAAAGCTTTCTGAGCTGTCCGGCAAAGAGGCTATTACGTCTTTCTAGGAATAATCATTGCGAGTTCCTAAAAAGAAATGGCGCCCACTGCAGCTCTACGGTCTATTGGTGCTTTTGATGATGAAGGTGGTTTCTGCGACGGGAGTTGTTGACTTGCTACAGTTTACGACGTGTTTCTTAAATTAACATATAAATTTTTTTCAATATCTAAAATATAGGCGCTGGCAACGCAAGAGCACCCTTCATCCGACTTTTCCACGTTCCCTCAGTTCTAGGAAGAATTCGTGTTATTGCGGAGATTCAACAGCAATTGATGAGCACGGTACCTTCTATGTCATCTTCAGTCAGGCCAAAGAACCAATCGCGTTGCCGAGCGTAAGCGTTTCGAACCTAGAAACAAGATGACCTTTAGCAAAAGAGCATGAGCAAAGACACTGATGAGGTTACGGGAGTCAACGAGTGGTAACCATCGCCCCAGTCAGCAAACAAAACGAGCCAAGTCATGGCACCTATGATTTGAATGACGAGTACGAGTTTGTTTGATGTTTTGTGGATTTTGTTGTCGATTTTGATGCCGACATGACATACACATTTAAAGGCATATTCGAAGGAGATGACTTACACGCAGTGGTGGTCCAGGCACCGACTCGGAACATTCGAAAAGCTGGGCTCAATTGAAAGGTTCCTGCAAAAGAAGCATTGTGAGTTTGGGAATCAGCTTTCGCGAAGGACTTTTGCGTGAGTACACTTACTTGGATTTAGCACCCTTCTGCGATATTTCAGAGCTCGCGGATTGTTGGCAATCTCTTTGGGAACGCTTGTTAGGTAATGCATCGCTGTCCTATATCTTTGTTGTTCTTGTTGAAGTTGCACATTGTGCGTGTTGACGATGCGTGAAACGAGGAAAACGACTAAAAAGACGCGAACTGTAGAACATTTAGAGCCGTCCTCCCTATTTCTGCTCTCAAGACCAGAGGCTTTGGTGAGTCTGGTAAGTGAGTTGAGCTTTGGCCAATGAGATCGATACAGCAAAAATCGCTGCCACCAACTCCGCAAATCCCATAATCTCGACATTTACCTATTTAGAGTGGATTGCAGTGGCAGACCTACATAATGGCCGATGTCAAGCCTCACATGGAGAAGCTCCCTCCTCAGGAAAACGCAATGGCTCTATCCTCCACCACCGTGAAAGACCAGAGCTTTTTGGTAGCATTCTTTTCCCAACTGATTATCCTGATGAAAAGGAACACCATTCTGCAGGTATGCACTTTGAAATCTCAATATTCGGTTAGCAAGTTGGCCCGCGTCTCTATCAACCACATCAACCAACATCAACTCCATCTCCTCTTCCCATGTTCCCACCCTCAGATTCGATATTGGAGATCAACTTTGTCGCAAATACTGTTTGCCCCTTTGATCTTCCAGCTTCTTCTCTTCATTCTCCAGGTGTGTTTCTGTGTGTTGTACCTGATGATGATGTGGCAGCACAGTCATGCATCGTTTCTCCTAATTGCAATCCTAACATTCATTTCATTTCAGCAAGCTGATTACGCGAATCAACGCGCTTCTGTCGTCAATCCTCCGCCTTCAGACCTTTTTGGAGTATTGAATTGTCAGGGACTGAACCCAAACGATGCATGCATCAATATCATGTATACGCCTCAAGGAGACTCTCAATTCGACGGCATCATGCAGACCTTCTCAACAATGAATTCCAACCGTACAGGTCAAACAGCGTTTGCTATTGAATCCCCTCTCTCTGGTCAGGCTTGGCAATTGAAAATCTGCAACATAAACCCATCCCAAATAACACTTTTATTTCTTTTACAGACTTGACGTTTGTTCCCAGTGGAGGTGTCGCAGGTCGAAAGGGTATCGTGCCTGTAGCTTCCAGTGATTTCATATACTCGTACGCCGTAGCCCATCCAAACGTTACAAAGTGGGGAATCACATTCACTCGCACCCAAACTACCACCCTCAATATCGCTTATCAAGTCTGGTATAACTATTCAAATACCGCAAATGGAACAGACGTATTTGGGCGTGAGGTGGTATCGTTCATCCGTGGAATGGACGAGGCCATAATTACATACTTGAACGATCCAACTGCAACCGTAAAATCTACCATTGATGTGGAAATGAAGGATTGGCCGTTGATTCCACTCAGTGTAATGCTCACTGTTTTGAGAAAGCTCGCTGCATTCGGAGATTCATAGCTCTTCTTTTTCCCTAGGTTCTCTCAGACTCCATCGTCCAAAGTCTCGGCGCTTGCTTCTTTTTCTGTAGTGAGATGATCATCTTTATCATCGTCCTCAACACTATAGTCGGGGAGAAAGAATTGAAACTCCGGAATGGGATGGAGATGATGGGTAATACATGCAAAAGCAAAAAAAAATCAAGCTAACCGAGGCAACAACAATTCAAACTATCTATAGGTTTAAAACCGTCCGTTTATTGGATTAGTCAATACCTTTCAAATTCGATCTTGGTCTTCCTCGCTGCCTTGGTTACAGTCTGCCTAGGCTGGGCTTTTGGTTTTAGTGCCTTCAAAAATACTGACTTCGGCGTGAGCCTTGTCACATTCTTCCTCTTTGGAGAAGCGATGGTTATGTTCGCATTCTTCCTCACTACATTCATATCCAAGGTAAAAAATTATACATCAGTCGCAATTTGGATGATGCACAGAAAATTAATTAACAACTTGACTTAAAACAGGCCCGAATTGCTATCTTGGCAGGAATTTTCGTGTTTGTGATCGGATTACTCTTCGAATCATTTGTTTTCTCTAGTAAGTCACTCCGTTTTAGTTGTATGGCTTTGCAACTAACACAACCATCAAAACTAGGCTCGACCTTAGGATACATTTGGTGGGCTCCTAGCGTTGTCGACCCTCTAGGGTGGAAGATTCTTGTACTCTTCCCATTCTTCAACTTCGGCCACATGTTCTTGGATATCTCGACTTTGGTGAGCTATTGTAGGATTTAAACCATACAAATGTATTTCATGATGAACTGACGAAAGCACCCTTAGACTACTGGAAGGCTGGATACATTAACACAGGTATGCCTAGTCCAAAAGCAAACATCCTATTCGTAGCAGGCCAACACTCCCATCATCTAGACGTTTATTCCGGGTCCTGGGTTTCCATGGTCATCTCTTTACACCACTTTTACTTCAAGTCTCTTACCAACGTATAACGGTGGTGTTCAGCCAGACTTGCCGGCGCCGGTCCAAGCGTGGTATTTCATGCTGATGAACGTTCTGCTGTATGGAGTGCTCACGTGGTATTTTGATTGTGTGATTCCGAATGAGTTGGGGTACCGACAGCCATTTTATTTCCCATTGACCTTTGATTACTGGGGAATTCGCTTTTCTCGTCGCCTTTCTGGACCGGAATGGCTGGTGAGCTTGAAAATCTTACTCCCTGACGAAATGATTTTTCATTGAAGTCCCAAAATTTCCCTTACTAGGCGCGACAAAAGAAGCAATCTTCTGCACCTCCAGAGGCCGATGAAGACTCAGAAGTCGCAGCCGAACGTAAAGCTGCTCTTGACGAGAATGACTTCCCTGCTGTCAAAATTGTAAATCTCCGAAAGGTTTTTGGTCAGAACGTGTTTGCTGGCAAATATTCTGACGGTCGAGGAAAAGTGGCTGTCCGCGATCTATGCATCAATTTCCAGGAGGGAAAGCTGTAAGTCGATACCCCAAGTCGTTGGCAGAGTGCACTCCTGACTAATTTTTGTTTCTCAGACTTGCCATGTTAGGGCAAAACGGTGCAGGCAAATCTACCAGCATCAATATTCTTTGTGGATTGACAAAAGCTACAGCCGGAGATGCTATGATTTTTGGTTTGAGTGTCAAGAATCAAATGCATTTGATTCGGAAGATCATGGGAGTGTAAGTCTTTGAACGTGTTGCTTTAAAAATTCTTTATACCGCATCCTAACAATTCTCTTGAAAACAGCTGTCCTCAACACGACATCCTTTTTGACGATGTAAGTCTCGGTTTTACAGTTACCGGGTTGCGCACTACTAACTCTGTTACTTAGCTCACGGCTCGTGAACAGTATGTTTCAAAAACATAAGGTGGTACTTTATAATCTAATTATAGCTAAAAAAATTCTCGGACCTAGTATTGAGCTCTATGCTGGGCTGAAGGGTGTTCCTCGCTCCCAGCATGAACAACTGATTCAAGAACGTCTTGCTGCAGTTCGATTATTGACTGTGCAAAATCAGCGTTCTGCTACTTATTCTGGTGGTACGTTAGAATAAGTGAATTTTAAACAAACAGTAAAGTAAACTAAACAAATTATCAATGAAGGCATGAAGCGAAGGTTGTCGATGGTGATCAGTACCATCGGCGATCCCAGGATCATCTTCATGGATGAACCAACTACAGGTACTTGCTGATCGCTTTTGAGCTTGTAACACTTCGCACTACTGATCACACTCCAAACTATTCGTCACATAGGAATGGATCCCGGTGAGTCTTAGAGATTGATTGATATTCTCTGTATCTTCGAACTTTGCGAACTCCGACTCCTTCCGCCCTTCTCAGTTGACCAACATTGATTTCCGTAGTGAATCGACGACATGTTTGGACCTTTGTCGAGAAATTCAAGAAGAACCGTGTCATAGTACTTACGACTCATAGTATGGAAGAGGCTGATGTTTTAGGTAAGTATATTTCCTTCGAAACACGCTTCTTGTGTCTTTTAGCCAAAACCTATATTACTAGACTTGCATACATACGGTACGCTCATAGACTGTCTCCTAACTGCAATTTTTGATAACTTCATAGGAGACAAAATTGCTATAATGGCTCACGGCCGTCTGAGGGCAATCGATACTTCCCTTGGATTGAAATCCAAATTTGGTGCAGGGTACAGGATTTCGATCGTGACGGATCCCAACGCAATGGACGTCGTGAAAACTGCTGTCAAAGCACGAGTACCAGGTACCAAATGCAGTCCTAGCATTCATATACAGGATTCCTAATAAAGTCTTGACCATAGATGCCGTACTAGAGGACGATTCTGCAGGTGCATTGACTTTCGTGCTGCCATTGTCGTCAACGCCAGCCATTCCTGCTTTCGTCAAAGAGTATCTCGACTCGAATCCGGATGTTATCAGGAGTTGGGGTAATACAATGCTGGTTCTCCTTAGCTGCTTAATTCATTGCTAACATGCTCTTGACTTAGGCATCAGTCAAAGTAGTCTTGAGGAGGTGTTCCTTAAGATTATTCGAGCAAGCAATCCAAAGGGCTATAACCGTGTCGATTGATTCTGTGTTAAAATTTAGTTTGATATTTCTCGATATGGACTGTTATCTACATCTTTTCTTATAAATGAGGGTTTATATTTCAATCCTTCTTGTGCAGCACTCTCTCCAGTATGTGGTGGTGCAGCTGCGGTGATGACCAGTACCTGAAAGCAGGACCGGAAAAAGTTTTCAGTTTGTTTGATAAAGTAGGACCGAAAAATGAGTGTCCGTTTGCTTAATTTTAACTCTAAGTTGCATGCTTACGCGAAATGAGCTCGAACCCCAATGAAAAATGCATGGAACACGCTATCCAGGATTGGCTCTTCTCTGATACAGAAGTCAAATCTTGGTGTTAGCGGAGTCAGAGGTGTGAGCGGTTCTTGACACTGTTCCGGCAGCGCTTCTTCAAGCACAGTTTTATTTCCCACACTTCGCACTCTCCTAAAAAGCTCCCTGACTTGTGTTGACATGAAGCTAAACGGTCGTTCAAGGGTTTCTGCACCGAATAGACTTGGTGATTCACTACGACGAGTACGAGTTGAAGAGCTGGCTACAGAGTCCGGCTCTTTACTTGACGAAGATCCATCCATATCGACGGAAGGAGAGAGGAAACGTAACCGTTTCAAATACTTACTGGCAATTTGAGCCAATGGACGAGGAGATATCGATCGGGCTCTAGATATGGGTGTAGACTTGCTGCTCTCTTCGTCAATTATTTTACGTTTTTTACGGGGTTTCTCGTCTTTATCAGGGTTGTGGTCACGTTTGCCAAATACATTAAGGTTATCGGTATCTTCGTCCGATGATGGAGGACTATTGGGCCCTGCTGTTGTTGCTGCTAAAGACCCTGTCGTTGCCGTTGCTAAAGATCCATATGCCATGAGGTATAATTGATTCCTTAGCGAATCTGTCATAGAGTTCATATAAACAAGCGATGGCATATTTGGCATGTTTGGTAAGGATGGCATATTCGGTAGTGACGATAACGAGGAAGGCATTGTTATGTTTGGTAAGTTAGGCAATGTCGGCATCGTTAGAGAGCTGATAAAGTCCCTAAAATACTGCATATCAGTAAAATTATACTGGTCGGAATTGGGCGCCTTTGCTAGTAATACTGGTGGTACGTCCTTGTATCGTGAGTCAATCAGCGGTTCTGGTTTGCGATTGCATTGTTAGTGAACGAATTTGAGGACGAGATTCAGAGACAAAAGGGTCGAATAGCTTCAAACATACCTGTCCTATATGCCAAAGGATCATAGAAATGGAAGATGTTTTCAAACACTGTGCTTGGCGGCAATGGATAATCATTGAGACCATGTCCACGTTGGACCAGGACTGCAGAGATTGGGCTTCCGAGGCTGAAGAAAAAATTCGCTGAAACCAAACCAAAAGTTAAAGTATGCCGGCGGAAAGTTCATGACATGGAACTCACGCGTGAAGATGAGTTTGGGAAAATTCAGGTGAGCGAGCTTCGCTTCACTGGCACGATGTCCTTGATGTGATAGAATGTCAAACGCAATAATGCCTCTACGTATGTCAAAAGTTGTGAGTGAGGAGTCAAAAGTTATGAGTGAAGAGTTGCAGAGGTAAAAGCCCAAAAATGACCAACAACATACCCGAGAGAATGCGCCAGTATCGACAAAGTGCCACTAAAGTTTGGATTTGACTCCACGATCTTTGCATATTGACGATTCAGTTCTTTCGTGACGAGATTGATGATGACTTGACCGTGTTTGGGAGAGAAGTAATACAGCACATCCGATAGGAACTCATTGTTGAGCTGCCTAACCAGAGGAAGAGATGGCAAAGTGATGCTCTCCATTCGTGTATCAATGTGTTCGTGCAGTGCATCATGCCATTCTATCGGCACAAACAGAATCCCTCGCTTCCCTTCTAGTCCATAGTCTGAGGATAATACGTGATCAGACGTCTTTTGGAGCTGGGCAACTGTAAGAGAAATGAAAAACTTTCTCAGCACGGACACGGAGTCGTGGTCAACAAATTGAAAATGTTGTAATGTTTTTGGGACGTTCAATGACAGAACCCCAAAACAGAGGCGTCCAATGCACGGATCTAGGCCATAACGAATTGGATAATTGATCTTACTGTTTTCAGCAAATCGCCCTATATTGGTGGAAGTCAGAAAACGACATTTATTAATAACAACATTGCTTCGTCTTACCTGGAGCGTTGGTTTGAGGGCCGATTCCGTGGATTACAAAGCAAACATGATCTTTGCTCTCTTCTTCCATATCCGCTTTCTATCTCCTGTATATGTGTTTTGGTAAGTTTGACAGATGTTAAAGACATTCACGTGGTGAAAACTTTGAACCAGACCTTGAACTTGACCACAATTTACCTTTACAATGTTTCTAAAGCTGTAGATTTTCTTTGTCTATATAATTTTATTTTGCTTCTACTACACATATTGCTGTTAGCTATCCATCCAAACCACGTAACTTCAAATATATTGTGCTCTATCGGATGGCACCAAACCGATCCGTCAGGAAGTGCCCAACACTGTCAGACACCCATGCCTGTTTGTAGAACTCAGATCTGCGTACTTCCTCTCCAACCAGGCGTTGATCGCCAAGAACCACCTATGTCAAACAGTGTGATTGACATGTTGTCATTCAAAATCTGCAATAAGCAGTCCCCTCCGCTTGAAGAGAACTCAGTGTGAATCAAAAATCATACCTCCAAGTCTCTGGATTGACTGGCCACCCAAGTATTCAAAAATGAAATAGGATCCTTGACAAATCCAAGCAAAAAGTCACGCTTGACGTTACAAGCACCGACTTGAGCAACCAGGTGTGACATCTTTTCATCAAGAGCAGCAATCTCCTTTTCAACATTGGGTGCACCTTGTGTAATAGCTGCAACTACATTCTTGCGTGATTGATCAGTGAACTCAACTTCGACATCGAATGCAGTGGGACTAAACGAGAATTCCTTATCCACTCTAAAAATAGCAAATGGTTACATTGAGGAGACCTTTCTTCCCCCTAATGGCTCAGCGGGCATAACTAGCAAAACAACGTGCTCACTTGATGGTGTAGTTGATGACAATAGGATCAATTGGTAGCAATCGACTATCGATCAAACTTGGGAGAATAGAGAATGGAATGCCAGAATCTGGGAGATTCAATGCAAGTCGTAGACCTTCATCGGGATTCAACTTTTTACGGTCCTCAGGATCTTGAAGTTTATGATGCTAATTGAAATTGATGTTGTCTAGGTTAACAATACTCGACGGCCTATGAACATTTCAGTCAAGAATTCATGAAGAAGAAGCCCAAAAACAAACCTTGATGTATTGCCAAAGTCCCAACATTATGTTTTGACGATTGTCGGTATGAATGTCCAATAATCGGGCCATTTCCGCTGGTAGTTTGAATTTGTCGGGTTGGTCCAATGTAATGATAATACGGCACGGCAACTCGGAATCTCCCTTTCTCTTGACTTCAAATCCATCCATTTCGGGTGCAGAAGGATTCTTCTGCCACTAGAACAACGAAAGAAGCCCAGTTGATTTCCCGCTGAAACTTCTTCAAGCAGCAAACTGCCTGTCCTTTGGCTAAAGAATACAAGTCTCTCAACTTACCTCGATGATGTTGCCTTCACTGTACAAATTGCTATCACGTTTCAATTCTACCACCATGGACTTTACAAAGTATGAAAACTTGTGATGAACTCCGGTCTGGTACTTTTTGTTTGCCACCTATTGATTGAAAAAGCATTTACGATTGGTTAAGATCAAAATAGAAAATAAACACAAAAGCTGGATGTATTCCAAACAAGGGTATTTACATCCAATAGTCTGCCTTCCACTTTGAGAGTCCAATTTGGTGATTTTGCGGTATCAGCATCAAACAAGGCTTCGCCAGCATCATTTGTTGGAATATACTGTGATCCAGCAGTATTTGACACGAAAATTCGTAAAGTCCTTGTGACCTTGAAATGGGGAAAATCTCATTAAAATTGCTCCTCGTCCATTAAGATTTGAATAATTTCTTCATGTCGATTAGGTTGGCCAACAGAAACAAAACACAGAAACTTACTTTTGATAATTTTGCAGGATTGTCCAGTAATTCCACCTTTCTTCTTACAATTGTAGCGTCTAGCTGGCGTTCAAAGTCTTGCAGTTGACTAAACAATCGTGATTCAGGTACGTATGACTCGACCTAGTTTTGTTCATCGGATGATTGAGAAGAACGGTTCGAATAAAGCAGAAGACGAGTGCGAAATTTCAGTTTGAATATAGTACCTTTCGAGATAGGGTCTTGTCTGTTGGTTTGCGTTTTCTAATTCAAAGTAGGAGGATGAGTAAAAGTCGACACGATCTACTCCTCTTCATCATGAGTACCAATCCGAATGATGAAATATATCAGATCCACGTACTTTATGCGTGGAGCGACAGGAGGATTTTGTTCAGAAGGTCGCTTCAATTGAGATTGTTGAGCAATCATATTTTGTTGTTGTAATAACAATTGCTGTTGTTGTGGATTCTGTGGGTATTGCTGTTGCATAGCAAGTCCTTGTTGTATCATTTGTGGTGATATTTGTGGGCGTTGACCATACATCTGTGTAATACAGATACGTAAGAATAATTGGATTACGGCGATCACAATGCGTAGGACTCACCGCTTGCTGTTGTTGTGGTGTCAAGGGAAGTCCTTGGGGTCGGAAGAACTAGATGATGATTAAATGAAATAAGTTACGGGCGACGAATGAAGTTAGACTTTGGTCCATGTCGACGTCGTGGTGATGAATGAGATGGACTCGAAATTAAAACATATGAATTATTAATGTCGTACCTGTTGTTGCTGCTGTTGATTCATTTGAGGTGGATATTGAGGTCGTTGCCTATTGAGGTGAGTATGTTGAGTACTTTTCAGATTGTTAAATACATCAACATGGTGACGAGATGCATGATTGAATGTAATTAAATAAGTATTGCATCAATACACACCCCTGCATCTGAGAATTGAGCCATTGCTGCTGTTGGTTCATCTTGTGGTTTGATTCTTTTGATGCCTGTAAATGTTGGCAATAGAGATAGTGGGTAACAGCATGTTAAGATAAGATTGAAATTGAAATAAATATTCATATCAGTCATCAATTCCTCGGACTCTTCTCTTCATCGACACTCCAACAAACTAAAAAACCCAAGACATACTCAACAAAGATGGCGTCTACTAGTAGCAGCAGCAGTAATAACAATAACGAGGATGTGTATGCAGCTTATGAGCAGTATGACTTTGATAATAATGTTGAATTCCAGCGGGGTGTCAAGAGTATCACTCAAAACTCTGTTGGCCGAAGTGATGAAGACTTGGCAATCGCCGTCAACAAGGCCAAATGGTTTTATTACTGCAAGTACGTGATTTGCTAGTCTATGTTCGTTGAGAATATTATAGATTATGTGTTTTGATATATTCTCAACGTTGCCATTGACATTGAATACACGTTAGGTTTGTCCAAAAGTTTGACTATGAGGCCTATCTCACATGGAAGAATGGATCGTCTACAGCTGCTACAAGTGCTAGTACAGGTGCTACTACGACTGACGCCCAAAAACCATCATCATCGTTTGCAGCAACAGCAGAACTTCAAACAGACGACTCGGAACAACCAAAGTATCCCAGATCGTTCGCAGAATTATGCGAGATGGTCGCAAGAGGTGAACCAATCCCAGGCATTCGACAGATACCAAACAAACTGAATGAAGGGACGCCATCACAGGCTACTCTGGCTCCACGCAAGAAACCGTGGGAAAAGACTCCCGAATCTGCTGATCTTCCAGATGAAGCAGCCGCTACTGTCTAGTTTATAATAAATGAGTGTATATCTTGCATAATAACACTAGCACTAGTAGTTGAGATGAAGTGTATTGCAAAAACGGCTAGGTTTATAGAGCAGAAGGCGGCGCCATAGGAACAGATGACTATGATGAGAATACAGTGTTAGTATGCAATAGTCACGTAGCAGCAAACAGCTCGATACAACGTACAGCGGTCTTTGCCATTTGTTCCTGTTGGATTGCAGCTTGTTCTTTTTCACCCTCTAGTGCGACAGGGAGAGCAAGTAGCATGGCAGCAGTAGATAGGATCCACAGGCCTGAGCCAGCCCATCGCAGACCGGCGAGGGAGAAGGAGAGCGAGGTGGAGAATGCAGATTTGACAGATTGAGGGATGGCATCTTCAAGAGCGAGCAACCTATCTAGGATTCCTTCCTCGGATATAGAATCGGCTTCAGAGTCAGTCTCAAACCTAGTATGTGAGCGATTACATGTCGTTAGTTTACACGTTTCGAGTTGACAAAAAAAAAAGATAGAAGACGCAGACACTCAACTCGTCATCGTCTAGGAGATCTTCTTCAGATTGGACATCTTCTTCTTCAGCACCGCTAACTTCATGTATCTCTGGCATAGTTTGTATTAATAGACTGACTTTTGTTTTCTGTCACAGATGAAGTTTGCGAAGCTTTTGGAGTCAGTCGGATACTCGAGTTTCTATCATTCGACACATTTATTTACGTGTCAAATACATGATAATAATGGTAGGAAACATGCTTTGCGTTCATCTATCCGACATGTCCTCGCATTTCCTTCTTAATTCCAAACATTCAAACCAGCAAACATAATGATTGGCGGACGGGACAAGAAGATGAGATCTGTGGTCCGAGTTGAAGATCCGTATGCATTCCCCGGCACCGATGATACTCCAGAAATTGTAGCAACGAAACCGAGGATGACTAGAGCTGCATCTAAAACCACGCACAAGACTCCCCCAGCTGCTGCTACTAGAAAGAACCCTGCTAGGAACAATAATACTCCAGTTGTTGCTACTACCAGGACTCCAACCAATCATAATCCTCCAACCATTCCCAATCGCTCATCCGGAAGACTCGCTGCCAACATATCACGACCCAATTCCCGAGCTGTCTTCCCAAAGACTCCTACTAAGCAACACTATAATGCTGTCGTCCAAGTCGATCTAGGATCCGACGACGATATTGATCATCGTCAGGATCACACTGATCAGGCCGAGGATCAAGCTAACGAGGATGTTGTCATGCTTGCCAATCCCACAAGACGTACTCGATCTACCAAAGTACCATCTACTGCAGCTACTGTAAAGAAATCAAACAAGGATGAGGATGCAATGATCGTAGGTAGTGACAACGATGACGAGGAGGATGCGGGTATAGACGAAGATTGTGACCAGCAAGACGATCAACCACAACCACCTGTAAAGAAGAAGGCTAAAACTGATATACCCGATCTCCCACCTGCTACTGTTGCTGCTGTAGATATAAATGCACTAAAGAGAGCTAAAAGGATTGTATTGGACAGGCTAGCTGGTGCGAATCCACCTCGCAACCTCATTGGTCTCGATGAACCCTTCAAGTACATTATTTGTTTGTTTGGAATGCGTCATACTTTTTGTATTGACTCAACTCATTATGTCTAGCGTATTATACGAACTCGTCTCTCGGACTATACGATTTGGTGAAGGAAATTCCGTCGTCTGTATTGGTGCTCGTGGAACTGGAAAATCCATGGTAGGCTTGATGTGGATCAATCGTACATTATAATCCTTGACAGGGATCTCATCCATCTCATGTTCTCCTTCCCGCTAAAACAACAGACTCTCAAAATGGTATTGGACAAGATTCGAGCTGAACAGGTCGGAGACAAACCATACATTGAAATTGCCCTCAGTGGATTACTACATACTGATGACCGATATGCATTACGTGCCATGGCAAGAGCATTGAAGATTGAGCAACAACCCGAACTCAATGGCGCAACGGTAAGAAATTCAGAAAAGTGCACACAATAGCTCGTGCTGCCACGACACATAAAACACACTCACACACTCACAATGTAGAGATTGTCATTCTCAGAGTCTATGCAACACGTGCTCGATACATTGAGAGCTGGAACGGCCAAAACTGTCCCAGTCATCATCACCATCGACGAGTTCGACGTCTTTGCTTCTCACAGTACTCGTCAACATCTCTTGTACAATCTGTTCGATGCTGCTCAGTCTGGTCAATCTCCAGTCCTTATTGTTGGTTTGACTCATCGTTTCGTAAGTTAGTTTGAATCAGTATAGTGGGTTTTCTTGAGTTAGATCGTTTCAGTATTCGCAAACTCCTGCAGTGCCTTATTAAACCCCATTTTTCCAACTCCACCTCCCAATTTATAGGACGCTCTGGAAGGATTGGAGAAGCGAGTCCGGTCAAGATTCTCTCAACGTCAGATATTTTTCTATCCACCTCAAACTTTGAAAGAATTCACCAGTGTCTTTGAAGCTCACTTGCTACTAGATCAAGATCCTGATCTAGATTCTTCTTATATTGAAGAATACAACCGCTCCGTCAGGGTATGTGTTATATCGTTTGATATCTAACGATAAACAGAGTCATGTCTAAGTGTAGTTTATCCTCTACATCTCTTAGAGTCTCTTGAAAGATGCCCACTTCAGGGAGGTTTGCAGGGACGAGTTCCACTTGGGACGTGACATTCGTCGTTTGAGAAATGTCTTGGTATGTTGTTGCTTGTTGATGACCTGAACATCCAAATCAATTAAACTGTTCTTTGTTAGTTTACTTGTGTCTCATCTCTGAAGCCCACTCAACCATTCCTATCGTGTGTCACATTTACCGAGATCGTCAAGGACCAGATGGTAGACGCTTCCAAGTCATTGATCTCGTCATTATCTACCCTTGAATTGTGTCTGGTATTATCAGTTAGGACACTCCTACTTGCGAATCATGAAACCATAAACTTTGAAATGGTGCATGATGAATACCAAACATATCTGAAAGATTATGAAACCAGATCAGGATCTGGTCGCAGTAATGGTAGTTTGGGAAAGGCCTTCGGAGAGTCAACTGGTGGTGTAGGTGTACGTGACTTGGTATACTCTAGAGGAGTAGTCATGAAGGCCTTTGAACAGTTACTCTTGTTGGGCCTTTTACGAGGAAGCTCTGATCGAGGAACCAAAACCGACTCATTTTATGGAAATGGTCTCAAGGAATATCGCATGGTCAAGCCAATGTTTGGTCCAGATCAAGCTGCGACATGGATAAAATCCATTCCGGAGCTACCAACTATTGTGTCCAAATGGTATGTGTAGTTGAGAATCAACCTTGTTTTGAATAGTCGAATTTACAGCTTCCTTGTCTATTAGGGTGTCCTCATAGGTACTAAATCCGATATCTTGTTGTCTCGTATAACTAGAGTGTAAACAAAACCTATATATATTGTATTTGATCCCCAGTGGTCTTGAAAACACCATCAACACATAGAGTTCATTGACATACATCATAAAAGGGTTTCTATTGTAAGCGGCAATATCGTGCTAGAAAAAATATGTGGTAACAACAAACCAAACCTCAACGAGACTATCTGATGAGAGCAATATTATTACGAGAGCTTCAGTACACGACCTCCCCATCAAATATAACACATTAAAGGAGTTGAGGCCTCATTTAGACCCAAAAGTAACTCCGGCGTGATCTAGAGATTGAATTTGTTTATGATGATTTACTATTCTGCTCCGTTAATTCAGACACTTGAAACAAAAATGAAGACTTACTGAAACCAAACCACCAAATTAGGAATGCAATGACAATGATGAGAATAATAACAGCCACACACAAGCACCACATCCTGTTTCGAGTATTACGACGATGTACAACAGCCTTTTGCATTTCCTTTCCACCATCTTCAACATAGGCGACTGTGTTGTCGACGTGTTGATCAATCTGGGTGATTTGTTCTTGTTGCGTCTATTTGAAATGGAGCGTGAGTGAGTCATCGTCTAAACCAACACTCTCAATAACGAAATATAATACACATACATCTAGTAGCAGTTGCATGTCTTGGAAGAGATTGAAGAGTTGTTCAATACTCTGTTCAATTTTTTGTAGTTCGACATGTCGGTTTTGTACTTCTTCTAGAGCACGGCGTTGTTCACCAATACGGGTAGTGAGGATTTGTTGGGAGAATATTGGACCATCCGCGGTTTCAATCGCGTTTTCGACTTCAGCAGCAGTAGCAGTTGGTCGAGCTGTAGTAAGAAATAAGGGGTGTCAGTAGTGCAACTTTCACATCGTCCAAAATAACAAGAAAACATTAACTATGAATCAAAGCAATCAATTACCGATCCTGTATTCACGTTCCATTCTTTGCTTCCACTTCTTCTTAAAGCTTTCCTGCACTCCCTGATACTCTTGTACAGCATTCATCAACTTTTTGGCGAGTTGAGACTGCTGAGCACGACGAACATTTCCTTCCGAACCCTTCATTCGCTTTGTAGCGGCAGCCATAGCTTTCACATTTCCACGAGCTTGCTGTAAGAGCCTGTTTGTCTCTTCTTGGAGGGCGTCTACCATGCGATTGTTCTTTGTGGTGTCGTCGTTTGATAAAGCAACCAATGATCGAGAGTGCAGCTGGTCGATTGCGGATATGTTTGATTTAATGCGATCAATGAGTTGTTGAGTATTGTCGACCTATTCATAAGATAGTAGTTAGCGTTGAGTTGTATGTGGTGAAGTGTTTCAAGGTCCGACATGCATCGGCCAGCGAGCAAAGAGAGTTGAGGAAGCAGGTGAGACTGGTGGAACTAGTGTTTAGAACCACTGGTACCATTGCAAGCCCCTTCTCTCGTCTCCAACTCTCTTTCAAACAACCTCAAGAAGTGCTAGTACCTGTTGCAAAAAGTCAGTGTCATCAGAAGCGGCCCCTCCAGCAGGCCTAGCATACTGGTTCTTCATTTCATAGTCATTCGGAGTGCGAGACCGGGGGCCTTGCTATATAATCGAGAGAAGATGTAAGTCCCAAGCTCTGGTCGGTGTTGGGGCTTGCTCTCGTTATGAGACGTAAATTGAAGCAAGCAACACTCAGAGACTGCATATATAGTGTCGGCTTGCAAGGTTGCACGATACCTACCAGTTCATTGAGCCTGTCTCTGGCCATTTTGTCTGCCTTTCTGTGTGGTTTTGTTTTTGATGAAAGTCAAAGTTGGTGGGCGAGTCGGTGGCGGTACTCAATTGTACACTCTAAGATGCACGTCAAACACGGCCGAGGACGAGTTTCAAGGCAAGAACTGAGTAGATCCCAGCTGAAACAACTTGTTCAAGTACCTCTCTTCGCTGCTGCAAGCGAAAGAAGGAAAATTGCTCCAATCACCTGCAATTCAACTCGAAAAACGCAAGGAATGAAAAGAGCACAAGCTCACGTTAAGCGTGGAATGGTTTTCTCTATTTTATGTTTACAAAAAGGTGTTTGAGCTTTATATCGTCTGTACAGAATATATAATGGTGGAGTGCCGTTATCACATCTAAAAGTCGGCCTCCAATGTAAATTCCTTGGCGGTTGGGTCACGTCCACCCATAACTCCTGCTTTGGCATACTCTCCAACTCTGCAAATAGAGATGCGATGTGTGTGAGTTGTATGTTTCAGATGTAGGCTCCAAAAAACTGGATTTCGCTCGTACCTCTTTTCAAAAAAGTTGGTCTTGCCCTGAAGTGAAATCATATCCATGAAATCGAATGGATTGCCAACCTTGTAATGCTTCTCACATCCCAATGCTACCAACAGACGATCTGCTACAAACTCTATATATTGCTTCATCAGGGCAGAGTTCATTCCAATCAGAGCAACTGGCAGTGATTCCGTCAAAAACTCTTGTTCAATCGATACGGCCTCGGTAATTATAGAGAGTATGGTCGATTTCGGGGGCTTGTTTTCCAACAGTGAAAACAAGAGACAGGCAAAGTCACAATGAAGCCCCTCATCTCGAGATATCAATTCATTGGAAAAGGTCAGGCCGGGCATCATACCACGCTTCTTGAGCCAAAAGATGGATGCAAATGACCCGCTAAAGAAGATACCCTCTACTGCAGCAAAAGCAACCAAACGAATAGAGAATGGCGAGTCCTTGTCTTCAATCCATTTAAGAGCCCAATCAGCCTTCTTTTTAATACAAGGGACTATAGGCGAAGGGTGGGATGGTGTGTGAGATGCAAGTGAGTCAGTTCATGATGATGGAGGCATCCTTTACGATCTATCAAGTCCAACAGACATAGCATACAAGCACATGCTACAAACACCATACACTTACTTGTTTCAAGGGCATCAAAAAGATATTCACGTTGAGCGGGATCTCTTATATACGTGTCAATCAATAACGAGTACATTTCAGCGTGAATGTTTTCAATCATGATTTGAAAGCCATAAAAGCAACGAGCTTCAGGGATTTGTACATCCTGTGAGAATCGGCCGACCAGATTCTCGTTTACAATGCCGTCAGATGCGGCAAAGAAGGCGAGGACATGTGAGATGAACATACGTTCGTCATCATTCAAACGTCTCTAAAGAACGAGATGGTAGAATATGGTGAATAAATGATTCGCGATGATGACATGATGAGACAGATACAGTCTCGATGGAAACAGACGAGTAATAAAGTAATGCTGCGTCCACCGACGAGAGCACAGTTCTTGGAACTTACATCCCAGTCGTTTAGATCCTTTGACAAGTCGACTTCTTCAGCCGTCCAGAAAGATGCTTCAGCCTTCTTGTACATTTGCCATACCTATCATGTTTAGTAGTTGGTTGCGTGAGTAAAGTTGTAATGAATAAATGTGGCAAAGAAACAAGGAGAAATAGAGGAAGAATGATGATGATCCATCTTACATCTTGGTACTGGATTGGAAATAGTACGAATCTGTTTGGATTCTCTTGTAGAATGGGTTCGACCAGTGGTTGTTGTTTTCCTTTGACAGTGACTGCAGTGGTGTCTGGTGTCGTGGTCATTGGTTCCAAAGACAGCATGGTGTACTATATATATAGCTCCTGTTAAATTAAAAGATGATGATTTATCAGTCCGATCTGATTCTCGTCCTCGTCCTTTGTCGTTTGTGGTGATTGTTTGAGTGGAAGCGGATGAGCTGAGGTTGAATTTTGAATCGGTCTGTCCACCAAATCAATTTGTCACGACGAAAACGGTTGACGGTGATGCCTCGAATCGGCTCAGAACTGGTATGGAAGCATCAGAACTACTCTAACGTCTAACATATCTCCATTCCGCGTGCTACACGAACAGTCACCGAGATCTATTGTCGCCACTGCTTCGCATCCACTCCTGATTCATTCAGAGACTGCAATGCATCAGCAACGGCCTTTTCACGTGCGAACGACAAACTTGATCTTATAGTGGTCGGTCGTTCGCATTCGGGCAAGAATTTCAGATGATTGATGGTCCACTGTGAGAATGTAGCAATCTGACCAGAACAGCGAGGCCTTTGATCTCGTCATATCAAGTCTATAGTAGCGTATTGATTGGCAGGACGATAAGAAGGACGATAAAATACATCTTTATTTGCTTGATCCGAATTTTAACAGAATCCCGTTACCTGGGGCGGCTGTGTCCCTCTTATTTGCCATTGTTGAAGAAGGCGAAGTATACTGTTGCTGCAATGACTGCGATGAGAATAATGGCAGCCATAAACAAGTACCACATCTTCTTTCGAGTATTAGTGCGATGCACCACCGCCTTTTGCATTTCCCTTGAACCATCTTCAACATAGGCAATGGTGTTATCGACGTGTTGATCAACCTGGGCGATTTGCTCTTGTTGCGTCTAAAGATTTGAGGGTGGTGAGCAACTGAGGTAATATTGTTGTTTGAGCTTTTCATCGAAAGACTACATGGACATACATCTAGTAACACTTGCATGTCTTGGAAGAGATTGAAAAGTTGTACAATATTCTGTTCAACCTTTTGAAATTCGACTTGCCGGTTTTGTACTTCTTCTAGAGCATGACGTTGTTCACCAACGCCAATAGTGAGGATTTGTTGAGAGTATGTAGGACCACTAGCATGCTCGATAGCGTTTTCGATTTCAGAGGCAGTAGCATTTGGTCGACCTGCTAAGTAGGAAAAGCGTGGCGTCAGGACTGAATCTTCTAATCCCCCCAAAACAAAATCGACCAACCATACAAGTCACAATCAATTTACCAACTCTGTATTCACGTTCCATTCTTTGCTTCCGCTTATTCTTGAAGCTTTCCTGGACTCCTTGATACTTGTAGGCATTCATCAACTTTTTCGCAAGTTGAGATTGTTGAGCACGGCGGACATTTCCTTCATATCCCTTCATTCGTTTTGTAGCAGTAGCCATAGCTTTCACATTTTCACGAGCTTTCTGAAAGAGCCGGTTTGTTTCTTCTTGGAGAGATTCTACCTTGCGATTGCTTTTCACACTGTCATCATTGGATAAAGCAACTAGTGATCGCGAGTGCAATCGGTCGATCGCCGTAATATTTAATTTAATGCGATCAATGAGTTGTTGAGGTTTGTCGACCTGTTGATAATAGTAGAGAATTCTGAGTTGTGTTGAGTGGTGATGCGTTTTCAAGACTGAGAGAGACAGTAAAGGAAGCAAGCGAGACTGTTCTGACGGAACTGACTAGAATGATGGCTGCCATCACAACCGTCTTCGCTCTCCTCTCTGTTTCTCTACAACATCAAAATGTTCGTACCTGATGCAAAAAGTCATTGTCATCAGAAGTCGCCCCTCCGGCAGGTCGTAAAGAATTGGTTCTGCATTTGATAATCAGAACGAGAGCCCTATGGTAATAGAGACACGTTTAGCTACAAAGCTTTCGGAGATGTTTGGGCTGACAGTCATTGTTAAGACGCACTCGGAAACAAGCAACATAAGAGGGAGATATTCAGGAGTCTGCTATCGGCAACTGTACTTGCCAGTTCATTCAGCCTGTCCTTCGACATCCTTGATTTTCTTGGAGACGTTGTGGTTTTGTTGAGAGTGGAAATATTGGTGGAGACATAAGAAACCACGTTGAAAGGGAGGGCGTGAATCACATTGTCAAAAAGTGAATTAAAGAGGAAGGATATTATCAACATGCACCAATTAGAAATCCGTCGTGAGCAAAATCTTGTTATAAACCCTTCGGAATCCCACAGACTACAATTCAACAGTATTCTCATGGGCAATTTCAACACGAGCATCTGCAACTTCTTGGCTCCATCCTTCTGGAAGCTGGACCCTACCTTGAGATCTTAGGTCTTGGATAGGAATGTTGCCAATGACAACCGAAGCATTGGCAATCTATTACAACCAGCAAACGTTAGTACTTGATTCTGAAAGAAGGAACAAAAGTCTGACTGAGGCCTTGCGTTGTTTCCATAATCCAGTTCCGGGAAGAATTTCTGACGATTGATTGTTACTTTGAGGGTATACGGAGTCTGATCAGAGTAGCCAGGAGTTTGGTCAAGGTCCGTAATGTCGATCCATTGGCATGCCTAGGTACGATCACAGACACGTGAGTTGAACATAGTACTGCAGCAGCTCATTGATAACGACAGAGCAAGATCAGAATGCAAAGGACTTACAAGATTGCGTTCATAGATATCTGCGCATCTAATTGAAAATTTCGTTTCAAAATAAGACTTTGGAAGCACATAATCTTAATTCCAAGTCCAAATATTTTGTCAGATACCCCATGGTGATTCCTTGATTGGTGCAAGTGTACTTCTTCTCATATCCGGGGTCACATTTCAACTAGGCAACCAGAAGAGTTCATCGGGTGAAAAAATAAGAACCTGTAAAAGTTTTTCTCACGTCTTCAACTAATAACAAGGATAAGCGGGCATGAGTGTCGAATGAGGTCGATTATATGCCAAATCCAAACACTGAGAAAGATACTTACGGCAGAATCCATTCTTGTGGCCTTTGAGAATGATATTGTTGCTGTCTGCGCTCATGAGTTCATAGTCCGCATAAGCGACGAAATGCCAATGATGATGACATTCTAGTCCAAGCATTATATTGCATAAGTACTTGCAGGATAATGTCAAACACTGTTTTAAAACTAATTCATATAATCTTACCATCAAAGTGCCAGTATGGAGGATTGTTTGCAGCGTATCGATCAGCAGGAGGATGTCCCAACACTAAAAATCAGCTTGTGAGATAGAGACTTCTTTCTTCCAACGTAATTGTGGATCGTACCTGCATCAGCTGTCCCACGATTGTGAACCATTGTTGAAAATCGCAGGATCTTTCGACGGCCAGTTCCACTCAAACAGTTTTCATGAATGAGACAGAGATCAGATTCAGCATCCATGTAGTCGATGATCTAATATAAGAAAAACGAATCGGTCAAAGTTGCAAATCTTCAGGTCAAAGAGATTTTGCTTGCCAGTGATTGTTGCAGGTAGTTAGAGTCAGGTTGAAAATCGGGAAGCATCACTTGCGACGTGCCCGAAACCAATGCTGCCAATACCAACAACAGCACCAGTTTCTGCATGTTTCGTTCAGGTAATTTGATCGTATAGAGTATAATTCGAGAGATTCGTCGTCGTAGCGTATTTTCAGCTCGTAGGCTTCTGACTAATTTGACACCTCGAGAGAGAGGAAGGAAAATTCTTTCACACAGTCCTAAGAATAATTGTTCTTGTTGGGGAAGAAATATACAGTGCTAAACTACAATGGTGCGACTTTCATAGGCTTTGATGGCTTTTTCCAGAGCTTGACGAGTTGACGACATCAACTAGTTATAGGGACATACGAGTGGTCAGAAGAAGACCATGATAAAACCAAACGAAATGCATTGTTACCGTAACGGCTGTTGGATTTGCCGAATTTTCACGTAGGAATGCTTCAATGACCGTCAAAGTAGTTCGGAGAGTTCCCGCCAATTTATCGGCTTTGGCTGCTTTCGCTGGCCGAGAGAAGGCACCCCAAAAGTGTCTGAGCAATTCAAGAGTTGAATTCTGACGTTCAACCAATTGTGGGTATATGTCGATTGACGGACCTGCAAATCGATATTGTTGTGAACATGCATGTTGATGAGAACATTGAAGTGTTCATCTCACGTTGGTCCGTCGTGTGTCCAAGTTTTCTCCTTTTAGCACCTTCAGTAGCAGATCGGAGCACAGCGTCCGTCCTGAAAATAGCAATATTCTATAAAACACTGTATCACTTATTGGTTCGATTGACAGATTGAAACATCAACGCTCACTGGCGAGAATTTGGGTAACCAGGTTTGCATGGATTTTGAAAAAGCATCCAACTCTCCCTGTAAAAATTGAATTTTAGCTTGGCAAGTACCAGACCACAAATCGAGTGCTAGAATTGTCCACCTGTGATGAGTGACGATCATTTCCATTGGTTGTATTTGACAGTACTGCAGCCTGATTTTCGAAATAATCATCTTCCTGAATGGCGAGCGGCTGAGCTTCTCGTTCTTTGGGAGCTTCCAGTTCTTCCAATTCGGTTTCCTTATGAGAGAGTGGACGCAAACGTTGGAGACAAATATATACTTGTTCACACTTTTGAAGGTTTTTGGCGACTCACTTTGGCATAGACAGAATCCATGGCCTTTGCACTTCGATCGACCTTCTTTCGAGGATTCGAATCCTTCCTGTTTGAATTTAAAGCGTTAGTTTTCTACAACGGCCTAAACCCCAAGGGCAAATGATCAAGTGTTACTGCGTCTGCTTCAAAACATCTTCTGAGATTCTGTTGAATTTGCGTATGACCGGAAGATATTCTCTCTTGTTTCCAGCCTGCATTGTTGAATCTGGAGCATTCCCGACCTATGAGAAAAGAAAATGTTAGGACTTTTAAGACGACCAAGACGGTGGGAATTAAACCTCTTGATGGTCTTCAGCCGTCAAACTCAAGTCAACTAGCTTGTTTGAGGCGTCATAAGCTAATCGCCTTGGATCCGGATTGGCATCTGCGCGACAATATGAGATCATGGTTCAAAATCGAGTCTTTGAACGGTGTGCAATGCCTACCAATGTCAAGAACGTCCTTGAGTGTATCAAACAACTTGTCTGACTGGCCCAGTGTTGCTGATGAACCAGTTGCACGTCGTGATTTGTAAAAATATTTCGATTGAAAATAACGAGTCCAGAACTCCTTTTCAGGGATCTAGAGTGGTGTAGACGTGGATTGTGAGTTGATGCACTGGTTGATTCTCTTCAAATTGTTTTCAGTGGCGCAACCAACTTACCTTGTCTGGAACGTTTTCGTTGTATGCCTGCTGCACTAGATTGACCAAGTTTTAATTATCGCTACAGTTAGCTTGTATTTTATGACAAGTTGAACTCACGAGCAGGATTCTGGAGGAACATTGAGTGAACCTTTTCAGTAGTGATGACAATGGTCTCGTTACCATCTGCCTCAACAGGTCGAATATCTGCCAACGAGTGATATAGATTTCCGCTCTTTTGAGTTGCTGCAAAAGTGGCAGTTTCCAGCTCGGACTAATATTTGATATGTATGTTAGGTTAGCTGTTGTCGAATATGGCAACTGTTGCCAAAATAATCAAAGTGACTGGACTATTTTCGGAAACCTAACTTACACGTCTCATTTCCCAGAACTCATCTTCATCGACCATACCAGTCACAACCAGTTCCCTGAATAGCTTTCCCAACTCTGGGCTCTTTGATAGTAGCTGTTTCCTTGCTTCTATTTCCACTGCAGGTACTTCCACATCGCCTCTCTTTCTCTTTAGTAATGCCACAGTAGAACCGGATCTTGACGGACGTGGAGATGTACTCTTGCCAGGCCCTTCCTTCTTTCGTACAGTCATAGCGTTACTACTAGAGGCTTGAGCAGGAGCAGAAGCAGCCCCATTGTTTGCCGAGTAGGTGGCGACTCGTTCTTTTACAGCATCGCGAGCTTGGGAGGAAGGGAAGGCAAACGTATAGCTTGTTGTAGTTGTATCAATCTTGAGCTTTGGTTCCGCAGCTCCTTCTGCGGTTACATGCTGCTCTGAGTAGAGTGTGGTGTGGATTTGTTGATCAACACACTTGACTGATTTGATACATGCGCAATGAATATGAAATAATGTCTTACTTGTGATATCAGCACCCATGATGGTGACAGCAGGAGTCGTACTCCCCTGTAATGTACAATAGATTCGACTCTTTGTAAATCGTAATGTCCCATCCTTCTTTTTGTACTTTACAGGGTAGTCTGCGAGAACGTCGCCCATACTTGAAATATTCCCGTGACTATCAATGAATATCAAGTCAGATCTAGCCTCATCTCTTGCTTGATGATCGTCACTGATCAAAAACACCCATGCAAGAAATTGAAACGGGACAGGCTTACCAACAAGAGTAGATAGGATGTATAGAGCAGGCGGTCGATCTATTGTATGGCAGCCTCTCGTTAGGCTAGCTGCATCTAGAGCTTCGATAAGAATGGCCAGGGCTCCTTTACTCCCACTTTGCAAACTTGCAAAAACAAATGGACTAGCTGTACAAACGAATACAAGGACTGCTTTAATATCTGGGAATGCATCATCTAGTATACCGTCCATACCTTCAGCCATCCCACAATTACCAGTAACAGCAACACAATCATCGACATCACCACCACAATCGTCTACATCACCCCAGTTAAGATGGAAGGAAATCCCTGAATTCTCGGCATCTCTCTACCAGGACTTGTCAAAAGCAAAACTATCCGCATTCATAGTCTTATCCACAATGTGTGGTTATGCAATGGCACCAGGAGCTACCATCCTCTCAGGTCTGCTATGGACGACGCTAGGAACCACATTATGTGTCTCTTCCGCAAACTCTATAAATCAGTGGATAGAAGCTCCGTATGATGCCCAAATGTCCAGAACTAGGAATAGACCACTTGTAAGACACGCCCTCTCTCCACTACATGCCTTCTCCTTTGGAATGGCTACTGGCCTCTCGGGAGTCACCATCCTCTACTCCATGGTCAATCCACTGACCGCTCTATTAGGTGGCCTCAACATCATATTGTATACATGTGTCTACACACCACTAAAACGAACCTCAATATCAAACACTTGGGCTGGTGCAATAGTAGGTGGCATCCCTCCCATGATGGGATGGGCGGCTTGTACAGGGACACTGGATCCAGGCGCATGGGTACTAGCCGCTGTATTATATGCATGGCAGTTCCCTCACTTTAATGCCTTGTCGTGGAATCTCAGGGCTGACTACTCTAAAGCAGGCTATAGAATGACTTCAGTAATCAATCCAGACTTGAATGCCCGAGTAGCTCTAAGATATTCATTGCTACTCTTCCCACTGGCTTATTTAGCTCCTGCAATAGGTATGACCACATGGTGGTTTGCCATAGACTCGACTCTTGTCAATGCCATGATGGCTGTAGCTGCACTTAGGTTCTGGAAGCACTCTTCCGACAAGACTGCTAGAGAGTTATTCTTTGGTAGTCTTGTTCATTTACCAGTCTTTTTGGCTTTACTGCTGCTACACAAACAGAGCTCTGAAGCAAAGGAATCCTCAGATAACGCTATAAAAGAGTCTCAGTCACCCAACTCAACTAAGGCCATAGCATAAACCTCTTGTATATACATAATCTGCACTTTATATATAGTAAACAAGCAATTTTTACAACAAACTCTCTTAAATGCCAAGTATATCAGCTAGCTTTTGATCTTCTGACACATCTCCACCTCGAGTGCCTCCGATTCGTCGAAGATTTGGCGACAACTTCAAAGACTGCACATGTCCACGATCATCACCGACCAATAATAGAGGTTCATTCAATGAGAATGCCAAATGTGTCAGCTTGGCCTTCTTGGCGACGGCTTGCTCACAAATGGGAGCGTACTTGTTTACACTCAAATCATATACGTAGACCTAAATGTAGGGTTATATTAAAATCATTACTGCAATCATGCTTTTGATCAGACTCCACGTACCTTGCAATCAGATGTACAAGCAGCAAAGACCGTACTTGAATAAGGTGCCCATGCAACATCACCCACAGGCGAGCATAGATCAAACGTCATCAACGGTTTAGTTTGATCGTGATCCCATAATTTTACAGTCCAGTCCGCTGAAGCAGTTAAAAACACTCGAGGCAAGAAGGGATTATACTTGACTGTGTACACAGCCATCTGATGTCCTTCAAAGGAGAGCAAATACTGTGAATTATACAGTTTTGAGCACTTGTGCACTCGTCCTTCTTCTGTTCCAACAATAAACAAGTGGTCGGATGATCGATTAAAGTCAAAGGAACAACCTCCTTCCAAACCGAACAACTTTTTATCATCGTCCAGGTTGAGTGCTGCAACAGCGGTTGATGCAGTTGCTATTGTTGGGCCTGCTGCTGGTGCAATATCGGCAACTGGACCGACATCATTGTCTATTTGCAGTTTGATGACATCCTAATTGTATCTAGTCAGAACATAATCCTTCGCTTACTGAATCACAGAATCCTCTCGTTCACTCACACTCATGACGAGCTCGTTCTTAAGAAGTGTCCATTGAACAACACGGCCATCGGATGATATCGAGAAAAAGTTGGAGTTGTCATCTAGATCGTCCTTTTGCCATGCAACCTATTCAAATTGCGTTTGTTACAGCAATTGTTGAACTGTTCTATGCAAACGAAAAATAACATTACCTGCCAGACGGGATCAGCATGCTTTGACTTTGAAGTAGATTTGAAGATGGGTGCATCGGTCTTCTTTTGGAGGTTGTATACTGCCACGGATCCATCGTATAGTCCAACGGCAAATAAGGAGGGATACTATGTAGGAAGGTGTATGTCATTACAAGGAACAGTGCATCAAGCTAGCCTGGCGAATTCTGAGGCAACGTACCTGTGGATGGAAATCTACAGACATGACACCAGCTTCGGTAACGAAAAGATATTCTGGATGACTTGGATTCTTCAATGAAAAGCAGGCAACCATTCCAGGACCTTGTCGAGTGAATTCGTAACTACCATAACCCACAGCAAACAAGTCATGTTTTGCAGGATTCCAGCATATAGCAGTAGTTTGCTTTCTCTTCTCTTTTTCACAAGTGAATTTCCAAAGTGGCAATAATACCCCTCCTCGACCTTCTCTAAATTCATCACCTGCGTCTTCCCAGTACTTGTAGTCCTGAGTGACATCGTCGAATGTGTTTTGGTTTGCCATTCTCTCAACCATTGCCAATGCCCGTCGTAGTTCAGCATTTCGATGTATTTCAGACTCGGAATGCGTTGGAGCATCTGAAGCTGGCAATAGAGCGACGTGGTCATCTTTCTGAGTTTTAGCACCTCCTGAAGCAGGGGCCTGGAATTAAAAGTAGGATTAGAATTGATAACGTAAAAATAGCTTTGGGTTCGATGAGAAGCTCTACCATTTAACTATGATTTGAACTCACCTTGGCTTTAGCAGCAGCCTTTTCCTTTTGTTGGGCATCTTCAATGTATGCGTCGAATATAGCCCATTGATTTACAGTGTCTGAGAATGTACGTTTCGGTGGTGGCTCGGTATTGGTCCATCGATCCTAGTTTGAGAATCGGTGAAAGTGTCAGAAACTCATCATCTACGGCTCACATCAATGGTTCGTCATGACACCAACAAGACATTGATCCTCAGCGTACATACTCTGTAGGGATGATTCAATGTTTGAGAAGCCCGTTCGCTAAAGTTGAATTGATTTCGAGATGGAGCACCCAGTTTAGGCACGCCATCCCCGTCTTCACCTCCATCAGCTTCTCCAGTGGTCGGACGCATAGATTGCTGCACTACAGGTTCAGTGGAGGATGAGGTAGTTGTGCCGGCATTGACACCAGCAGCGACGGCTACAAGAGGGTTTTGACCATCACCATCCTCTCCACCAGTGTAGACCATATAACCGTCGAATTCGAAATGGACTACTACGTGATCGGTGTAGGGAACAGCTTTGAAAGCGCGTTCGTTGTTGTTGTATCTAGCAATATTTTGAGGTGCATGTGGGTTGTTTGCATTTAGGATGCGAGTCAACTCTTCGTTGAGTTCAGGATCGGATAGTTGTAGTTGACCAGCTGGTTTTAAGAGAGTTTTTGGCTGTAAATCAAGAATTATAAGAGATTATGTATTAGTGGTATGTTGTTCACAAGAATTGAAGATGCGTGTAGTGATGATATGCAAAGGGAGTGGACTCACGGGTAGCCAATCGTCGCCAGCATTGGGCGCCATGCTTTCAACGGCGCCATCATGGCGTTCTCTTCCTTTGAGAGATTCGGTAGAAAGGCGAACAGTAGATGGAGCAGCTTCACCAGGTGGGGGCTATTTGGTGGGGATGTGCATTGGGTAAATGGTGATGAGAACGAAGCAGTTGGAGATCGTTCTGAATGGCAAACAGACTAGTTCCAAGGCGCAACATGATTGATCTGATAGATATACATACCTTGACACGCCTGGCAGACTTCATTGTGGCCGACATCTTTGCGTTTCTTCTAGTCTAGGAATTGCAAGTTTTGCAAAACGAATCCATTACCACTGGGACGTCATCAAAGACGGGGACCTTACAAAGAACGCGATTACAGTGAATATCCTTATTAATTCGTGGTTTTCATCACAAAATAAACGCGTAAAACTTCAAAGGGAGTGCGTCTTGCAAGTTGCAGGTTGTTGGTTCAAGTTGGACAACAATGTCGACCAACGAGCTGCCCAAGAAGAGGAGAGCAGACGACGTTGATGCTCAGAATGGACATGCACAGAATGACAATGACGATGATGAAGAGCAAGAGGAGCTGCACCGTCAGCGAAGGCCAAAGAAAATGCCAAACACTGAACTAGCTGCATCCAATCTATGGCTAGACACTGTCAATCGACACATGCTCGACTTTGATTTCGAAAAATTATGTAGTGTCTCCCTCACCAATCTCAATGTGTATGCCTGTCTGGTCTGTGGAAAGTACTTTCAAGGTATATTCCAGTCCTGACATTCGCATGTTTAAGCTTCCAACCAACACTATTACTCCCTGTACAGGAAGAGGCCCTTCTTCTCATGCTTATACTCACAGTCTGCACGAAGATCACCACGTATTCATCAATCTAGAATCCTTGAAGGTCTGAATACTCGCTACATACTCAACAATCCCTCGCAGCGAACACTTGGTCAACCAATGAATAATGACTTGAATCTCCTTTTAGGTCTTCATTCTTCCTGAAGGTTATGAAGTCACCGATGCATCGCTGTCGGACATCAAGGTATAACCACTTTCCACCTAGTGAAAACATTCATACAATGCTAAAGCAAATTTACATACCTATAGCACGTCCTCAAACCCACATTTACGAAACAGCAAGTCGCTGAACTGGACGGTGGCCAAATCAAGTATGCTTATGATCTAAACAACAAGAAATACATGCCAGGTAATTGCCACCAAGGACCTCAATATCAATTCTTCCTTTGCTAATCAATTGTCATATCTAGGATTCGTCGGTCTGAATAACATTAAAGCAAATGACTATGTGAACGTTATTGTCCAATCATTTGCTCATGTCAAACCATTACGGGATTACTTTTTACTTGGCGATGTTCCTTCCTCTGCCTCTGAACTAGGTGAGTAAAACTGTCACAATCGCAATCGTATAATGAATCTCTCATTGATTTCTCTTTAGTGAAACGCTTTGGAATGCTGATTCGAAAAATGTGGAATCCAAAAGCATTCAAGGGCCAAGTCTCTCCACACGAATTGCTACAAGAAATAACAAACGCATCTCAAAAGAAATTCACAATGGCTGCTCAATCTGATGCTATAGAATTCATGTCTTGGTTTCTGAATACACTGCACTCGGGTCTAGGAGGCACTCGTAAAAAGTCTAGCATCATTCACGAGATATTTCAAGGTGAATTGCAAATACAACAGCAAATCATGCTACCTCCTTCTGGAAATGGAGAAGAAGATGTCACCCGTAAAAGATTTGACGAAGCTCGAGGTACAGTTAATACGGACCTTAAGCTGCATTCGCTAAAATATATACTAATAGTCGCTCTTCAAACGACTTAATGATAGAAATTACCACTACAAGGACTCCATTCCTCATGTTGGCGCTAGAACTACCACCAGCACCACTATTCACGGACGAGCTGGAAAAGAACATCATTCCACAGGTCCGTTTTGTACCGCCGTTGCCTCAATTACTTAAATATCTAAATCATTGATGTCTAGGTCAATTTGGAAAGTCTGTTGAGAAAGTATGATGGTATTACTGCTCAAGATACAGGCTTGGCAGTAAAACGGTTCAAAATCACCAAACTACCGCAATACCTGATACTTCACATAAAGAGATTCACAAAGAATAACTTCACTGAAGAAAAGAATCCCACCATTGTGTCCTTTCCGATCAAAGGTGTAGATATGAAAGAGTGTAGGTGTTGTTTACTATGAGAATATGTCTTTTGGAAGACTATCATCAAGGGTTCTTTTAGACGAAGAAAAAAACTGACACTTCACTTACAACTGATTCAAATTAATAGATGTTGAAGGTCCAGACGCGCTCGGAGAGACTCGATATGATCTCATTGCCAACATTTGTCACGAAGGCGGCGCAAAGTTAGGACAAGGATCTTACAAGGTCCAAGTCCACTCAAATAATCATTGGATTATGATTCAAGACTTGTTTGAAGAACAAATACGGCCAGAAATGATCTTTTTGCAGGAATCTTACGTTCAGATATGGGAACGTAAGAGAACATAAGAGAGAAACAAATGGTCTGGCGTTGGAGTCATCGATTGTGTTTGCATAATGCTAGAATATTTGTATTTCTCTCAAGCTATATATACACTTCAAAACACGATATAATTAACAAATTAATCATCATCGTCTTCCATGACGACGCGACGTTTTTTGATTTTGCCCGCTGAAGCACTGCTAGGACCATCTTCATCAACTGCTTCTTTTCGTTTGCGAGGCTCTGGTGCCGATGCCTTTACTTCTCGAAGACGTTTTTCTCGAGCTTCATCTTCGTCATCGTCACCGTCATCCTCCTCTTCTTCTTCCTCCTCGTCATCTTCTCCTTTGACTTCGTCATCAGAGTCGTTGACCACAAATCTAGTTGAAGAAAACATGTCAGGCTATGAGGTTTGAAAAAACGGTTTGGAACGATATAGAACTCTGAATACAGCAGGTCACCTCAAAAATTAAACACAGACTACAAGAAATGCATTCACTTACCCATCTTGTTCATATTCCTCATCACGAACAGATTCAAATCGTGAGGCGATATCGCGATTGCCACGTCGATATCGAAGATCATCTACGTCATCATCTGAATCTGACAAGACAGTATCTCCAGACAGGGAATTTCTGGATCTGCGAGTGACTCGCTTTCGACCAGACTCCAATTGTTTCTTGTACTTTGCGTTATCCTGAGCCTGATTTTAAGTTGGGTGTAAACAGAATCATTAGAAGTGATCAACAGAATGAGAATCCAACCTGCAGTGATGGACCCTAATGTACAGTACATGATTAAATCATTTGACAACGACTTGCCTGTGTAGACATTACTCGTTCCTTTGGCATTTCGTGGTGGGCGAGTGTTTTCACTTTTGATTTCTTTACTTGCTGAGCAACGAGTTCCTGCGCCAAAAATTGATGTGCTCGTTGATGAATTCCATATGGTTTGAATCTCATTTCTTTCAAGAAACGAGCTCGATTTCTGAAGAGAGCGTCTGTAGGGATTGGTGATGCCATATACTGTTGTGCCTTTTCGAGTGGATTGACCATGACATCAAACATCTCGTCGCCAATCTTGAGCGAGTAGGAGCCATCCTTCCATTTGATGAGCCTCGTATTTGACTCTCGACGCTACGAGAAGAGTGTTGAGTTATTGGTGAAAACAAAACTGTAATCTACATTTTGAAGCGAATTTCATACCAGTAGATTTCCATTCTCGTCCTTTTCATCCCTCCACCTCATTGTTGAGAGAACCTTGACTCGTAGTTGTGATGCATTTTTGTGTCGTTGCGATGGATCGTCGAGGTCGATAGTTGGCATTGGATTATCAGTGGCATATTGTATTTCATCGAATGGTTTATAGTCGACATCAATCAAGTTGGACAATCGTGAAAAGAAGAGCTGATAGTGATAAAAGTGTTAGTATGTAGTGATGTCAAGCTCGCATCCAGAATGCAAAGTTACGTGACAAGAGAGACAGCATACCTCAGCACCTTCTTGCTTTATACTTCCAGTATCAGGGAGCCTGTACTCTTCAGTTCGATCTTCTTGAGGTGGTGTCGGTTCTCTTGGCGATTGCGGACTATTAGCGTTCAAGGAACGAGACAAGTCGTTGGTGAAAGGCAATGAAAATATTCAAATTGAATAACTCACGCTTCACTTTGGTCGTCATCATCGCCACCAAACAAGTCAGCCTGATGCTTCTTGCTTGGTCCTGGAGAGAACCTATCCATGTTACCAGCATTCTCATCGTCATCGTCGTTCCGTGATGGAGCATCATCCATTTGCTGGTCGTCGTCTTGTGGAGCTCTGATGACATTTTCGGTGGGTTCGTCGTCCTCGCCAAACAAGTCCAGATCATCATCATTTGCCTCAGCACTCATTATGCTTACTGTTGAATTCGACGACTTGGGCGAGTTTGGAGTGTTTTAAAAGTTTGAACTTTGCAGAACAGGGGCGGTCAAGGTAGTATGACAGATGGCCATGCTAATCCTGAATATATATTACACGTGATACTCATATTCCGACGCGTTGCATAACTTTACAGACGGAGCAGAGTTGTGTTTGCGTGTGCTGCGTCTTCCAAAATTCCAAAGAGCTGCGTTGTTCTTTCTTGAGGAGCATCAGAGGTACGTTCAGATGCATTTATGATCATTCTTCGAAATACTGTATTATTGAACACTGAAATTAACTGTTGGTCTCGCCAGGCTTTGGGATCGGCGTCCAATATCACACAATCAGAATGTGTTGAATCTTGACGAGAACGACAAGAGTCCAAGTTGATTAATGGCTCCTGACAAAAGCAAACGGAATGCTCCTGTTGCCAATGATTCGCAACAGACCAAGATTCACCCATTCTTTGTCAAGCAAGGTAGAATCTATACTTGCTTCATCTGGAGATCATGATCATCAAGACGAATTATCTAACTCGCCATACCATCATTCACCATTGATCTAGCACCAAACCCTGTCGCTGATCCTGCAGCTGTTCCGGATGGTGACAATCTCGATCAACCTCTACACACAACACCAGCAGCAACGACAACAGCAAGTTCCTCGACAATAATCATTGATGATACGACTGGACCAAGAAGAAGTACTAGAAGAAAGTCAAATGTCGACCCACCAAAATCAACTACAGATGCAGAACAAATACCAGTAATAGATCTAGTAGATCCATCTGTGATGGAACAATCACTCGAGCTATCGAAATCTCTGTCCCCAGACTCGAAACTATTAGCTACAGGAGACTTTTTCCTCAATGCTGAACAGAAAAAGGAAAAGAAACGAGCAGAAGCTCGCGTCCAAATGAGACGAGAAATGGTTGATCGAAACGAAACTATGGCTTCCTTGAGCGCTGGACGTCAATTAAATCCCTTCTTTCTCCCTAAAAAACCATCCCCCGTACCAACCGATAATGGAACTAGTAATGGTAGTCTGTCGCCAGTCACATTGCTCGAGGTCCCTTGGCCATCGCAAGGAAATAGTCATGTTACTTCTCTGACATCACCACCATCAGCGCCTATATCTATAACACGCTTTAAACCACTAAAACAAAAGAGCTCTGAGCCAGCCAATACTCAATGGTCGTTAGGAAATTTAGCTAGACCCACTATAGTCAATAATGATGCCGCACCAATGCAACCAAACGTCAAGATGACTAAAGGAGAAGTAACTTCTTATCTGGCATCCCTATATCCCGATGAGATATTACACACCGGTGCTTATGTTTCTTGCATGAAGCACGTCCTAAAGTCACCTTGCAACCAACCCACTGATACTTTATTGACAGAAAAGTACAAACCAACTGCAATAAACGACATACTAGGCAATCAGGCAGCCGCTCATGCATTGTCCGAATGGCTGTCGAATTGGGAGCCTATTGATCTTGGTAAAAAGAGATCTTCTACCCATAGTCCACAAAGGAAGAAGAAAAAGATTCGTACAAGATGGGACGACGACGACTTGGACGACTTTGTAGTTTCTGACTCTGATGGAGGCAGCGACGCAGAAAAGGTACAACTCTTTGCCTCTGGAAAGAGTCCTGCCATCTTGTTGGTGGGCCCTCCAGGTAGTGGTAAAACAGCAATAGCCTATGCAGTTTCTCAGGGGTTGGGTTATGACATACTGGAAGTACACGCTGGTATGAAACGTGGTAAAAAGGAATTACTACAAATCGTAGAAGCTACTCAGAGTCATCATGTTTCCAAGGATGGGTCAAACGACGTCTGGGCATCCCTGTTCAAACAAAATGGTAGCGTAGATAAACAGGATGCGCCAACAAAGTCGAAAAAGGCCTCTCGGAAATCTAGTCTGCCCAAGATTACCCGCAAGAGTGGCAACACTAGTAGTAATAGTAGGACCAGTCCATCGAAGACCAGTAAGGGTAGAAGGAAGAAGACCAAATCATTTGATGAAGATGAGAAGAAATCTGATTATGAAGCCAAGGACACCGATGATGACGACTTTCAAGAAACCTCCGCATCGCCGCCTCGTAAATCACGGAAAAAGTCAAAGAGGAGAATAAGTGATGAAGATGATTCAGAATCCCCGCCTCAAATAGAGCCTGAAGTAATCGAAATAAATCCCGATACCATACCACACACCAGAATTCTCAATGAGGATACGGAAATGGCTGTCGCAATCCAGCTCTCACTGGCTCATCAAATGGGAGTCGAACATAATGAATCTGAGATTATCGCAGAAGTGCTGAAATCCCAAGCAAACGCCACCACTCCGAATAATAATAATAGTAATAACAGCAACAGGAGGTCTCTGATTCTCATTGAAGATGCAGATGTTGTATTTGACCAGGATAAATCATTCTGGCAAGCTGTATCTACCCTGATTGAGACCACCAAAAGGCCTATCATCCTTACATGCAACAGTAAGCCTCACAAAATTTAGTCACTCAATATATTTCTAACAGAACCAATGCTGATTTCCATTGACAGTCAATCCTCTTGATTATGCTAATGAGTGTGCTCGTCCTCTTACGAATCTGACTCAGTACATTGCTCCATTGTGGGTGGTGCGACCTTCTACCATGGAGTTGGCTAGCTACTTGCACTTGGTGACTCTGGCGGAAGGCATTTGGGTCGACTCGAAGAGTCTGGTGGATTTGGTGACTGAATGTGATAATGATATTCGAAAATGTCTTTCACAAGTTCCGTGGAAGTGGTCTTCTCTGCCTCTTTTTCAACTTGAACCAGATGCTGATATAGTTGATTTGACTACGGAATCTGTGTCTATGTCATCAACCTCTGCTATAAAAGTGAAGAACAACAACAAGATACCCTCAACAGAGACGCTTGAACTCTTGTCCTTTGTTGACGCATATATTGATGGTGGACGTGTTCGACACTTTGAGGTAAGATTCGTTGTTGACAACGAAATTTGAGAACACCGTGAATTGATGCATGCTTCCTTTTCAAACAGATATATGAGCCAGACACATATGAGTATCCTGATTCCGAATTTGCTCCTTCTTTTCCTATAATCACGAAACAAGCAATGGATGTAGGCATACGAGAGTCTCTGAAGTATATGTGTGGTCGAGAAGAGGATATACATCTCGATTTGATGCATGCTTTGGCTGGTGGCATGGATGACGCACCGGCTTGTCTGTCAATCAAGTGAGTTTACTGCATCAGTGTCAGTTTATCAGGGTGGCACTAACTCGTGTTGTCTCTAGCTTTAAGGTTGAGTTTGAGTGTCTATATGAGCTGGTCTCCTCCTCGACTCTATATGGCGCCCCAAGGGCTCTGGCTACTGACTATGCACCTATGGTATCTTTGATTTGTAGGTATGATGTGGATCCGGAGGAAGGGGTATTACCTGATGAACCTGAAGAAGGTTCACGTCGTAGTTCCCGTCAAGCTGGAAAACGAAAGAGAAGGTATGCACCAAATGGTCACTTTCTGTTTTCGGCCTCGTATATTGAGTGTGAAGAGTATAGTTTATTTGTGAATGTGCTGAATGAAGTGTGATATATGGTGATTTATTGTCAAATTATACTAATATCAGTGTCTTTATCAATAGCAGGTTTTATCGTCACTTCCTCAACGTGCTATCCGCGTCATTGGCAACAAAAATGGCAGGTTGCATGTCAGAACCAAAAATTGTATCATTGTAACTGTAGTTGTAAAATTTCTAAGCAAATATGTATACAGGAAAGACATAGAACAAGCGCGTCTAGTACGATCAAGTTCACGTGTTTTTGGCAATTTCCACACTTGTCCTTGCATCAAAGTTGCCACGTCACGTTGCAAAAGCAAGGAACTCTTCAAGTAGTCAAGGATTATTGAGGATACGAGCCCTGTAGGAGCTGATCATGAGCTTCCTCAAATTTAAAGTCCTTCAGGGCGTGCCACTTCGATTTGTAGTAAGAAGCTTTCTCCAACGGGCAAACAACAGTCCCCTCGCCAGTAGTGGAGTCTTGAAGAGCAAACGTATTGAAATTCATGATGCCAACTCAGCAGTACCTCCAGTCGCAAAACCTTCCGCTGAAAAGGAGTTGAAATCAGAGACATCAAGGCCAACAGATTCACCACAACCATCTTTCGTAATGTTTGATGCTACGGACGCCAGTAACGTATATAAAGGTCCTGCTGCCACAAAATCTATAATTAGTGATCCTGCTGTGAACTCTATCAAGGTCGAACCTATCAAGCTCCAAACTTCCAATACTCCTGATAAAAGTGAAGCGTCACCACAACCAGGATTGCCAACAAGTCAGGCTATTCCGGAATTCACGCCCGAATTCCCTCCACCTGCTGCGAAAGATTCCGCTTCTCCACCACCACCATCAGACACGTCACCACCATCGTCGAATGCCACTTCACCACCATCGTCAAGTTCACCACCACCATCGAATGCCGCTTCCCCACCACCATCAAGTAATATTCCAGTAGAACACAACAATGACCAAATCAAAAAACCCGAAGAATCGCAAGGCATTGTGTGGTTGGATAATGTGTTGCCACTGAAGATCTTCAAATACGATCCACGAATGCATATTATACAAAGATACTACGAGCACATTCAGAAAAATTTGGAAGCTGAGGCTCAACATATGATTCCAAAAACATTCGCTGCCCCATTTAAGATTGAGAAAATTATGCCGAATATAAAAGACGGTGGGATGATGTTATACTTTTCGTATAAAGGCGCTGCTCTAGATGCTATTGAGCAGATTAAAGCCCATTTGACAGAAAACGCTGTGAGAGGTAGGTGGGAACATATTCCATATTTGGGAACATATATATAGACTTACAGCACACCTAATTAGGTCCTTATACTTGGGCCAGAGTTCATGCCTTCGAAGTCAAGGTTCGGACTGTTATTGAGTTGCTTGGAATCGTGTAGTAACACTTATATCTGCAAAGGGTGAGCCTTGGGTGGAAGACCTGGAACATCGCCTTCCGTCAAATCGCCTCAAAATCGAGTTTTCTGGACCCGATTTGCCTCTCGAGATGCTCTACAAAGAGTTCAGAGTGTTTGGTAGTATTGTGGACATCTTTCCAATGTCCCCAAGCTCGAAAGATCTTCCCCGGTTTGCTGTGATTGAGTACAAGAAATATCGGTGAGAACTCTTCGAGTTTCCTCTAGATTTTAAGATGTTTGTGATGATCAAATTAAACAGAATGCCTGATTTTCCATCTACAGGTCAGCTGCTTCTGCAAGAAATTGCCTGTATTTAGAAGAGATGGCGGGCACCAAAATCCGTTTATCATATCTGAGGCCACTTTCAGAGGGCGTAATATGGAATAGTATTACCCAACACCCTCGTCTGAGTGCGCCAATCATTCTTGCTCTCATCGCTGGTCTCTCCTACTTGATTTTTGACCCCATCAGGTAAAATTATTCTATAAATACAGTTCTAGAATCATGTTATCTTCAATAACACGCAAGAATTCATGTAAACAACACTTCGATTTAGGCTCTTCTTCATATCTAATGAGATAACGGACCGCCTCACTTTCAAGCACTTATGGCAAATCATCCGACCTTATACGCAAACTGCGGAAAGACTGGCTGATAAGACAGTAGGGTACTTTTTAGGATCTTCCTCTGAAAGGAAACAGGACGATGCTACCAATGTACAAGAAATCGAACAAGAACGACAACGCCTCGAACGGGCGCTAGGGGAAAATCCAGAAACTGTCATTCTCGTACAAGGTGTATCTGGAAATGCAAAGTCTGATTTGGTGAAGGATGCAACTAAGGGCTTCCAGTGAGTGGTCAAAATGGCCCACTTCGCCATTATTTTTTTTTGAGGGAAGTCGAGACATTACGAAATGATTTAATTGATGACATTTAGGAACATGCTCTATATTGACTTGGATGACATGATTGGACAAAGTGATCCGGTAATGCTGGATCGCTTAGCATCATCGGTTGGCTACTTCCCGCTTTTCGGCTGGTTGAATTCTGTATCATCTTTGGCAGACACTGTCATCACATCTACTACAGGCAAGAAGATTTGTTCCATAGTTCCTGTTTTTCCTCTTATGTAATTTGAGGCGATGTCTCATTCTTAACAATTTTGATCAACATTAGGTGTGAAAGCTGGCTTAGCATCGACTAACGATGTGCAGTTCCGTCATATTCTGGAAACCGTTACTGTGGCGTTGAATAGCATCACAACTGCTCAAAGAACGGCATTAGACAAGTACAATGCAAAATACGCAATGGTGGAGAATGCTCCACCAGCTCCTGAGATGGATTATCCTGTCGTTGTTATCGATGGGTTCTTCTCAAAGGAGAAAGGCAATACTAAAGGCCACACGTTTGTGTACGAAATCGCAGCTGAGTGGGGAGTCTTCCTCGCAGAGAACTCTATTTGCCATGTCGTCTTTGTGAGTTTAAGCTCTTTTGTTAATATCGTGTACCATATGGGGACTCATTTTGCTCTTTTCATAGGTCACTGATAGCCCTTCAGCATACAAGAGTCTGACTAAACAGACACCCAAACCCATCGTCGCAATTACTCTGGCTGATGCTTCGTTGGCTTCCAGTATGCAATATGTGACTCGCCGTCTCGGATTCGGATATAACGCCGAAGAATTAATGCCTATGGTAGCAGGCCTTGGAGGTAATCAATTGCTGGTCTGTGGTTTCTGATAAGTCTGATGAGAATCTCACGGCTTATGGTCTTCATTAAGGTCGCGTTTCTGATTTGGACCTATTTACTCGAAAGATCAAATCGGGTAGCAAACCTGCTGGTAAGATTTGTTCCGTTATACCTTTCCTTTAATGGTTTTACGTAAAAAATTCAAAACTTGTCTGATGCATTTGCTCTCTCTTGGTAGATGCATACGCTGATATAGTTTCTCGAGCCGTGTCTGAGTTAAGAAAGATTGGATTTGAGGACCGTGATGACGGAAAGAAACTCTTCACTACACCTCAATTTTGGCACATTATCAAGAACTTGGCTGAGCATGAGGAGGTAAAGTGCCTTGTTCATTATCATTTTAGAACGAAGTTTTGACCCCTTTCCACTGTAAGATTGGATTTGATGAGGTCCGATTCAATCCACTTTTCAAAGGTAATATTTCATCGCTGTTGCATATCAATTGCCCGCGATTAGCTTACCGATGCTTTTCATAGGCGACGAAACCCCACTGTCAGCCCTAGAAAGAACTGGAATCATAGTGCTTGTCTCAGAGCATAATCGTCCGTACAAGATTAGGACTGGAAAGCCCCTATTTAGGGTTGCCTTCCAAAACATGCTCACTGATACGAACTTTGTTGCTACAATGTCGATTTTGACTCTCAAGTCATTAAAAGGAGATGAAGAAGCCAAAGTAAAATCCTTGCAGCAACAAATGGTCGAATTGTCCGCTTCGCTTGCCACAAAGACGCTTCCGTATGATGCACGTCGTGAGCTAGAAATTCGTGCCAATACAGGTGGGACATTTGTATTTGTCAATCGACTTTTTTTCAGCAATGTGAGGATCTATCCGCTAACATCTCTTGCAATGTAGTATCTCAACTTTTGGCATCTAGCAATAAGAAGTTGATGGCGTGGGAGACTGAGATAAAGAAGCATGAAGCCTCTTTGGCATTGTGAGACTGGTAGTATCCTGATTCGTAGTTGTTGGACGAAAAGCTGTAAAAAAAACAAGAAATATTTTTTGATAACCGTTAATGAACTTTTTATTGCCACAAGAGTGTCATGTTTTCTACAGACAGTGCAGTTGAAGCCGACGATTTGGGGTTATGTATAACGATCTTATGCCATATCAAACCATTTGAACGGGGATTTTGGTGGTGGGCTGTCTGCCCAGTGAGGTGGTTTTGAAGCTTGAGCACTTGGCTTCTCGCTCATCTACATATAAAGGTTCAATACGGGTCTCTGCGAGTCGACTGCTGAACTCCATTTATACCTGCGAGTTCCATTTGTCAAGTCGGCTCCATCTGGGCACCAATTTTAAACCCAAACGTTCAGTATAGTTTGAGATGTAGGGATACAGAGATATGTCCACAACAGAGACTTTGTCACCCACAAACCAACCACCCTTGTAAGACTTGGCGTTGGTAGTCAAATGACCTTCCCAGACGTCTAGCTCATCATAGACCTATCGAAACACCAAAACTCGAATTTATACAAAGTGCGCAATCATTGCGAGTCTAAATGAGTTTGTAGTCGAGGTTCTCTAACTTACCTTTTTTGCCGATTCTTCGACTTGCTCCTTTGTAAACTTTTCAGACTCTTTAGCAAAGAGGGTTCGAGCGTTGAGCTCGCCATTGGCCTTGCCCAAGTTTGAGTCAACTTCATGAAGGAGACTGAGGGCTCTGGCTTGTAACTTTCGGTCTGCAGGCAACAGTGGGTTGCCACCACCATGCCGTTCAAGGTATTCGAGGATGGCTACAGATTCATTGACGACAACGCCATCATGAATCAACGTAGGAACCTAAGAATGCATGGTTGTGAGCTTCGCACGGGAAGGATGAGCAAGTAACAAGAGGATGAATTTGCTTGATCAGGCGGCAAGACAAACAGATGTATGCTTGCAATAGGCGTACCTGATGGCGAACAGTAAGTTCTTTAAACCAAGGGGTGCGTGTATCTCCTCTTGAGAACTCCATTTTGATGTAATTGCAAGGCAGACCTTTTTCCAATACGGCCATCTGGGCCCTTCGCGCAAAAGGAGAACCGGAGCCCCAGAACAAGTGGAGGCCTAAGCATGGGTTTGAAGGTCAGTTGTCTGTAAATGTGTGATGTTGTGTTGGTGCAGACATGAAATACAGCTACTTCTTTTCAGATGCAAGCATGGATGGATGAATATTGGATATGCATAAAATGATTTGAAATAAAATAAACAAGGAGATTTCAACAAATGCAGGTCAAGCTCTTTCAGCAACTGTGGGTTACAAGATGAATTGAGAATACATCACAGACAGCAGAGACACGTACCTTTGTCAAGACCGGCTGGCTTCTGCATTGGAGGTTCAGCGGGGGCCATTTGTATGTAATTATTGAGCTGTTGTTGGATGTTGGATGTATCGAGTGACACAGTGGGGTTGGCCTATGAAAACGTATTTCAAATCCAAAAAAACATCTGTAAGCGATCGCCCATAGGAACGTGGTATATACGTGATTTATGCATAACGGTTACGATCTACATATTGCCATCTTGTATTTCAATCAGTCAGTTGCTTGCTTGATTCTAGCTTCGGATTGTTCTCCTTCGCACCAAAAATCACACACAAGCTTTTGCACTGGTCCGTGTCGCAATGGACGACCCTCATAAGGTATGAATACGCCCATTCATATTTTATATCTGTTTAGCAACGAAATGCGTTGGCTTCTGCTCCGACAACAAAACAATTAACTATGGACGACCAGGACCACTCACGCGAATCTCGTATATCATAGGCCGGAAAACCGGGCCTATTTAGGTCGCTCCTGCATTCAAAAGATAAGGGCTCGTCCAAATCGGACTCGTTCAATAATCTCAACAAAGGATCGAGTGCGTCATTAGAAACTGTCGCTTCGAATCTTGGCAGAAGTCAACCACCACAATCGGCTCCACCCATATCACCCAAATCCCTACCAATAGCCCCGAAATTGTCGCCTCCTCTTGCAGATACTGCCATCCGTCGCTCTCCATCACCACAAGTACCAACCCTATTAACCACTCAACACCACACAGTAACGCCAAGTCCCTCTACAAAATCTCCTATATCTCAGTCCACTCCCAAATCCACGGGCAACTCGCCACCCTTAACTGAAATGACCACATCTCCAATGAGTGTCTCATCAGATACCCCTTCGAGCAGACTTTTATCAAGTCTGCAAACATCAACAGAGTCATTGAAGCTAGGTCCCATGTCAAGATCGATGGTGTCGCCCGTCCCGTTGTCTCCCATACAGCCCGATGGAGGATATGGCTATGCAGCAAGTGAAGAGATGCTCAGACGGAATCGCTCACAGTCTGTAACAAACAATGAACAAATGAATGCACAATCAGCTTTATATCGTGTCAACTCTGCACGATCGCGGCAGAATACGAATACTCAGATGGCACCTTCACCAACACCAGACGTTGGAAGATCTGGTCCAGGTCGGCCTGCTACCGGACAGCACAGCAACAGCATGGATTCAAAAACGAGACAGGAATGGATATCATCGTCGTCGAATGGAAGCACGCCCGAAGTCGTGGCTATAACCAGAAAAGTCACCCTGACTCCAGCACCTGAAGATGTCGATGACATTCTAGGGAATCTGCGAGCAGCACTGCTAGACCAGACATCAGCTTCCAATACACCTACAGCTACTCTTCGATCGCCAGATCGTCAACGGTCTCGAGCTACCTCAAATGCATCAACAATCACAAACACATCCGTGACAAGTCCGTATAATTCAATCAGTGCGGCCAAATCACCATTTGCACCAAAAGTACCAGAAAAGATTAGTATACCCAAACCTACTGATGGCCCACGGAGCCCGTTCGCTCCCAAAGCTGTTGAAGCACCAGTTGTTCCAAGTCAGAGTATGGACGGTTCTATAAGCAAGGCGAGATCAGGAGCTGCTCTCAATCGGTCAAAAGGTTGGTCATCATTACTTGGTAAATTCTTTTTGCGATGTTGCGAAAGCTCATCTTTGTGTTTGATAGAATCATTAATGGGTAGTCAGGAAGGCCTGGACGAAGATAATCTAAGTAAAAAACAGCTTCGTGTTCTCTTTCAACCCCGTGTTTCTGCTTCGAATGAACATACTAATCATAATTTCCAAACAGTGTCTCGTGCCTCAAAATTATTAAAAGACAAGATTCGCCAGCATCAAGAAACATTGGGAATAAGCGACAAGGACTCCAAGGACGACAATAACGACGGATATTGGCAAAACCCCTTATTCAAAGGATCTCAAGAAAATCTCGCTCATGAAGCTCGAAAGAATGAAGCACGGTTGACGACATCCCAGTCTCAGCTTTTGGACGATGAGGACTTTGAATTGCAGAGCATTCAACTCGATAGTCCCGGGTCGGTTGCAGATGGTAATCTGATTCAGGTGTTTCCACGGTCGTCCAGTGGTGTCTTTAATCTTGATGGATGGGAGCCGGAAGGTAAGGGTTGATTGTCCTATTTTGAACGTTTACTCAAGAGAACACACTGTTGATCTATTTATAAGTTGTTGTGTGCCTTCTTTTCCTGACATCGTTCGCAACTAGTGTATGATGACGCAACCTATACTTTGTGGAGGAGGGCACTATTTGAAACCTTCTGTGCTCAAGTGGACTATCCGTTGCTGGTTCCCCCTGAATTAAATGCTCTTTTAATGGAGGATTTCTTGTCAGACCTCTAGTTACCTCAGTGTTGCCGTATACATCTTTTCAATAAACTCTCATAGATAAGAATGGTCTCGAACTATAGTTGATTCGTTCCAGATTCATCGCTATGTATATATAGATTCATCAAAAGCTAAACATTTTATACAACATCTTCACTTGTCGAGGTTGATTGCCTAAACGATTATGATTGAATCATTGTCAGTTGCATTGATACATTCCATATATTAGACTTATAATGCATTGATCCCACCTTTCCAAACTTTGCATACAGAGTAGCCTTCAGTTTTTGCAGAGTCTCCTGAATGTCACTCATTTTGGTCTGTACATCTTCCAGTTCAGTATCCATGAAGGAGTTCTCCTTGCTGATTCTTTCCATGCATTCAGGGAGTGTGAGGGAGAAGAAGGAGTCTCCTATTCGATACCTGTTATGCAATTGTCGTTAATACAACGATTCGTCCAAGATGCAAATCAAGGAAATTCCGTTTTGATGAGGTTACTTTATCAGTTCATCTTCATCAGCTAGTTCCAATTCTTGCACCAGATCGTCGAGGTATTCCTTCTCCTTCTACATTGCAAGATGTGATGAGAATTCGATGAATGTCGCGAGATGCCTGTATTCTATGCAATGACTCTACCTTTTTTGAATCATAAACAAGTTCCAAATCATCCAATTTAGCAGTCAGTTTGCTGAATGTGTTGATATTCTGCTGGTCTTCTCTCGTCACTTCAGTTTCGGTTTCCTCATGAGGGGCGAGCTAGATGAAGAAAAGAATAGATTATTAGCACATGATATAATATAGACATGTCTCAATTCACTTGCCATTTGCATGGACATGTTTGCGTTCGATAGAGTGAATGCGTGCAGTTGATGAGAAACTTCGCAAAACAATCAAAGGGTGACGTGCAATAAAAACTGTTTTAAGAAGATACAAAAGACTACTACTAATGATATGTGACACTATTTTTACAGCTCCATAACGGCAACATGCGATCTGGTGCCATTATCAGTCTTCAAGCCAGCAGCTTCTTCACTCTCCTTTAGCGTGTATGGCTGGACGAGCAATGTCTTGACACGTTTCTTGTGTAGTTTAGTCTTTAGATGTAAATCCATGACTGTTTGAGTAACAAAGTATCGAGCGCACTGTGTTGTTTTTGATCGAGTTAGCTTGGAGGCTGAACACACAAGCAACTTTTAGCTTACGTGAAGGCAGTAGTGCTGTCCTAGCCCGGGTAGTTCTGCATCAGGTGCTTGTTGAGTCAACACTTTCGGAGTCTATAAAGCGAAAGATGTTTGCAATGTCAGCAACAATGTTGCGGTTTCCTCGAACTGGAGTCTAATCAAGACAGCACCGACCTTTAGATCATCGAAAATTTGATCTAGGTCCTTTGTCCTAGCCCTTGTGCGCCCAGCTCTCTTCACATCACGAACGGAATGATGAACTTTATGTCTCCTATTTGTGTTTGTGTGGTGAATTGAGTTAGCTGTGCTTGAATACAATGTATATGTATGTGCACATGAAATGACCTGAATGTGCGAATAATACCTTTGCGGTTGACCCATCGTTGTTGTTCCTAGGCGCTAATAGTCCAAAGTTTGTCAAGAAAAAAAAAACACAATCAGCTATAATGATGCATAGGGTTTGGAGTAATATGACGCGTTTACTGTCGTCGGGAGGCATAAGAACATGTACATTGCCAATTATTGGAATAAGGTCGCTTATAAACACATCCTGCAATTTGCTACTAACAAGAACAGCACCATCAGCATTCATCCAACCACATACCGTCATCCCACCTTGTAAACCATTCATTCCATCTTCATTCACTCAGCAGATACGCTCATATCGGATAAAAACTAGTCTCAAGAGGAGATGTGAGGTAAGAAACATCCACATTTCACCACATGGGACTAGACATCTACCAACATAACAAGACATCGTCAATCACGTCTTGTATTGCATCAAAACCACTCACAATTCCCTCTTTTACTCTAATTAGGGATGCTTCTTTGTCAAGAGGAAGGGCAAACTTCGAGTGCTATGTAAGCTCAATCCAAAACATAAACAGAGGTCTAGATAGACGTATATCATCAACATCGAACAGGCTCCTCTCTCTCTGTAAATACTACCAAAAGGGAAAATAAACTTAATCGGCCTCAGTCACCCATTACTGTCAAAGCTCAAGGTTGTGAACCTCTTGTCTGGTTGTTGAACGTTGTCACATCGAATTCATCAGACATCTGGCTTCACACGAGAGATGCGCTGTTGAAGGTCGCTGAGTAAACAGTGCAGTGGTGGGTTTCATTGTCCAAGAAGCACGCTTGCAAAAATGGTTGAAATTGTCTTGTATCGACTCGTTCTTCAACAGGACGTGTCGCATAGCGTGTGCATTATTATATTACAGCGCGTTCCTGCACTTGCTCCTGCGTTCTTTTCTTGAAATCACGCTCCTTTTATTTTATAAGTAACAACTTGAAACATTTTTGCATTAATTACGCCAGATCAGAGCAGACAAGTCAGGATGGAGGCACCACAATCCATAGAGGTAACTGATGCGCCCGATAATGAATCCAGTGCTGCTCCTGCCCCGCCCTCAAACCCACAAGGAACAACACCGTCGCCACGAAAGAGCATGTCAAACCAAGGACAATCGCCAAACAAGTCATTGTCGTCCGCTACCCGTGTATCGTCCAGGAATAATCTGGCGGGCAGTCGAACCAATTTATTGGCTAGTAAATCCAATCTACATGGATCAAAGGGAAATCTGGTTGGAACATCCCGTTCTAATCTCGCAGGGGCATCTCAACTGGGTAGTATGAGGAATGTAAACAAGGGTGATGGTACCACTGGTGGTGGTCTAGGAAGTGCTGGATCTTCTGCTGGTGCTGCTACCCAGGCTGTCATGTATGAAAACTCGTACAAGATGAAACCTGATAGAAAGTGCGTATATCCTGTAACGGGACTTTGATCTAGTCATTTCAACATTTGCAATGCCTTTATTATTGCATGGAACTGTTGTTTACTATTATTTCAGAATTGATCCACCCTCGGAACGATGTTGATACATGTTGACACTGACCTTGTACACACATATTCTAGATTCCGAAGTGAAGCTGTAAAACGAATGGTAGATGAAATACTAGTAGAGAAACTCAACAAGGTCAAGTATGACCCTGAAAAGACACCGGAACTAGTCAAAACAATATCACACGAGATATTATTCGCAGTCAAGAGTAAGTTCAAGACAAACTGTAGAATAGTGCTCTGTTACCGTGTTTCCCTAGACTCAATCTCTTTGTGTCTTGTAGAGTTTGACTTTGATCGATACAAGATCGTCGTGGACGTTACAATTGGAGAATTCAAAGGACAAGGAATCCGTGCTCAATCAAGAGCCCTGTGGGACACTTCAACAGATTCATTTGCTTCATCGAGCTACCATAACGTAAGACCCTTGAATTTTGGATCCTTCCGTCGTCTTTGTCGCTGACAAAATTTGCTTTACCTCAAAAAGGCTACCATGTTTTGTATCGCTATGGTTTTTGGATTGTATTTCGAGTAAACCCCCCCACAAGTAAATTATCCACTTCTTGTTGTATATTTCCTATTGAGTGAAGTGTACATTCTGCCTATACTATATAACGCTATTAGAAAAACCAGTGCCTTTTGCGTTTGTCTGGTTGTAGCTGCGCTTGGTATTGCACGGCGTGAGCTGCCGATGCTGCAAATGAATTGGCCATTGCTACACTAGGATCTTGATGCTAAAAATGAAGTGGTTTTGTGAGTTAACATTGATTGCTACATTGCAGTATGCTCTTTACCTGAGGAGTCTCAGCAATGACATTGGGTGCACAAACACCACATCCTTGAAGCTCGACTCGACGTTTGAAGTCCACCATGCCTGAGGACCACAACCACCAGCTCTTGATGATCAAAATCAATTGATCGACGTGTTCGGTTACAGCAGCTTCATAATCCTTGTGCTGAACAACAAGAGCCCGTTTAGAAACCTCCAACCGTCGAATCTTCTCCAAGCAGATAGTTATAAATTCATCTCGTTCAGCAAGCAGTTTTTCTCTCTCCAAGAAATTCTTGTCTACAGGATGAGAGCCTACATCGACTCCAGAATCACCGTATATGATTGACGTTGGTACAACACGGTTGGATTCAAGACAGCTCATTCCGCGAACCAGCTGCTGTATAGATTCTTGCTTGCTTGCCACAAAAGCCTGCCATTCTGGATCATCGTCCTCTTGCTCCTGGCTGACAGATTCGGCTACCTCAACCTCCTCTCCATTAACACGAGCATTCAGGATTTCGATTTCACATTTCAGAGAACCTATTATCTTGTTGAGACTTTCGATTTCCTCGTTACTAGCACCATTGGATGTCGGTATATCGGTAGGGTTGAGATTCCTGGATACTGCTTGCTTTCTCAAGTCACGAACAGCAGGATTCTGTCGTTTCACCAATGCCACACGGTTTTGCCATTCAGTAACAGCCACCTTGAGCTCCTGACTATGCGCATTCTCACGATCACACAAATCATGCCTTGCAGCAGCTAACTGATTACTCAATACTGTCAGCCGGGTCTCATATTCAGCCCTGACAGTCTTTAACGTCTTGTCTGAATCCTCCACGAGAAGCTTATACCGGTTCAGTTCACTCCACAGGGTATCTAGCGAGCCCTGATATCCAGACTTTGGAGTGTGTTGCTTGGTAGTAAGATCGGATATATGGTGTTGATGAGCTTCAATTGCGCTAACGTGGGCCTTCTTGAGTGTTTGATGCTCATCTTTAAGTCCTACTAGCTCGACACGGACTTGATTCAAGGCTTCGACGGCTTTGGATCGTTCTTGTTCTAGACCTTCAAGTTCAGTACGCCAGATTTCAGCTTGAGATTGAGTTTGTGCCAGCAGGCTCGTTTTGACTTGTTCGAGGGCCTCTTCATGAGCAACGTCAATTACACCTTTCATTTTAACGAGTTCGGCTTGAAGTTCTCTGTGTTTATCTCGAGCAGCTACATCCTTGATTGTTTGGATTTGGGTTTCTAGGGCAGCCAATGCCATACCCTTATCATTCACATCTCTACGTAGATTGTCTCGTTCGTCTGCCAGCTCATCTAGACGTTTAGACAAACATGCATTGGTGGCAGTCAACTTGGAGATGGTCTCCTCGAGTACGGATGTCTTCTGGTCGATGCTTCTATCGTCAACTTCCTTTTGAGCGAGATGTGTCGAAAGGTTATCTTGAACCCTACGTAGCTCAACATGCAACGACTCGATTTTGGTAACTTGATCTTGACGGCGCTTCTCGGATTCTCCATGCGATTGAGTCAATTGTTGAGTTAAAGAAACCAGCTGCTGTTGACTGGAATTGAGATTGCACTTGGTCGATTCTAGCTCTTGTTTTATAGAGGTCATGGCTGCTCTGCTCTTCGCAATATCGTCACGGCTCTTGTCGAGGTCTTGTTTGGTAACCTTGTAGTTACTCTCAGCTTCGGCTAACTTGGCTTGTAACTCGGTCCGTTCCTTTTTGATTGATTCCAATTGTTGCGATAATTCCTTGATTTGTTTCTTCCATCTCTCAACATCCTTTGTCATATCACTCTTTTGCTGGTTCGACTCTTGTCTTTGCTGGCTGCATTCTTCACTGTGCTTTGTGAAATCTTCCTTCACTTTCGACAATTCGTCCTTGAGTTTCAAGGCCTGTTTCTTGAATTCGTCTCGTTGTTTCACGATATCGTCACGTTGAGTGCTCAGCTCAATACATTGACTGTTGGTGGCGACATGTGTAGTCTGCAAACTTGAGTATTCATTCTTGAGCTTTCTCAGAGCTTCGACCGTTTTTTCTAACTTTTGCTCCTTTTGTATAGACGTCTCCTGAGCCAACCGATATTGATCTTCTAGTTCTTGGAGAGCTCTTTCGAGTCTGCCAACTCGCACGGTAGAGTTTAACAAATCATTTTTCAACGCCTTGACCAATTTAGGATCGTTCGAGATGTCGTTAGCAGCAAATGTGGTGATCATCGTTCTGACACTACGTTCCATGGGTGTGATAGGTTGCTGAGGTGCAATATGCTCGTCCTCAACTTCAGTTGCTAGAGCTAAAACATTACGTTGTGGAGAGTTTGGTGCGGATTTATGGGCTGTACTGAGATCATTTATAGGACGTGCCAGTCTGTTCGACGAAGTACGAGTTCTCCTTCCGTCCAATTGTTGTTGCTGTTGCATCTTTATTGTGAGATCTGCCAACTCGACTTTCACCTTGTCCCTATCTGCTACAACCAGACTCAATTCTGCTTGCAAGTCCTGCACGGTTCCGTTCAAGACATTGACTCGTTCTAGAGCTTCTGATCGGGTTTGACTGAGTTCTCGCGTCTTTAGATCCAACGACTGTGAATGGGCCTTGTTTTGCTTCAAGGCAGCCGACAGCTCAGAACGAATGGAATCACGCTCCATCAGTACAGCAGAGGAATCTTTCTTTGATTTCTCTACTTGCTCCGTCAATTGTTGAATCTGAGCTTGCATCATTGGCACCTGTGAGCTGGCTTGTTGCGATTCTGCCAGTTCGCCTTTGAGTTTCTTGATTAAGCTCTTGACTTCCTGGTTCTGCTTTTTACGACTGGCCACGTAATCGGCGTGTCCATCGTTGGCTGCATCAAGTGCGACAACAGAGGCAACCAACTCGTCTTTCAGCTTGCCGACTTCGGCTTCCAAAGACTCTATTTGAGCTTGTAATGGCTTGACCGATTTACCACGAGATTCATCAATTTGTTTGAGTTTGTCCTTCAAAACGGCATTGGATTTTTTCAACGAGTCTAATTCACTGGGATCAATGGCTGTACTTGCAAGCCTTTCGCTTTGCTTCTCCAGCTCAGCGTACTTGTTCTTCCATTCCTTTATCTGCAGCTGCAGTGACTCGACAGCGGCTCCTGTACCTGCCGAATCTTGGTTGGGATTTGAGCGTTGTGGAGATGGCGACGGAGGCTGGAAGGCCAGATTAAATTCTTTGGCGATTCCGCTAGCAATGCCACCAAAGAAAGTTTCTTGATTCTTTTTGGGAGTTTCGGAGAGCATGGGCTTATTAGATGGTCGAAGTTGTCCTGGAAGAGGCTTTGGTAATAGATTACAATCATGTTCCACCGACTTGGAAGATGACTCGATAAGCTCCTGAGATGTAGAATGTGATGAGTGTAGCTCGATCGGTATGGTTTTGGGTGAGCGAGTTAGCATTGGGCGTGGTGTAGGGAGAGTCGGCTCGTGAGTTATAGAATGTGATGAATTCAGCTCGATGGGCACGGTTTTGGGCGAGCGATTTAGAATTCCACGTGGCGTCGGGAGACTTGGTTCGTCAGGCATCGAACGAGATGGGTTGAGTTCGACTGGCATGGTTTTGGGTGAGCGAGTCAATATTGGGCGTGGTGTAGCTTGAGGAATATTTCTAGAAATATCAAGATCGAGTGGCATCCCCATAGTCTTCGGAGACCTAGTCAGCATTCCACGTGGTAGCGGACCTGGCCGAGTCTCTATTGGTAGTCGACTTTCTGTAGGTTGTGGTGAAGCAGCTTTCTGAAACGTTCCATCTTTTGCAATCACGTCCATCAAATCCAATAGACCATGCTGCTGCTGCAAAGTGGGTGCAGGACTGCCGTGACGACTTCCAGGAGCTAAATGTTTAAAACAGTTCGTGAGTGACACCTCAAATCGACGATTCCTAAGCAAGCAAGTATTTACGAGTTCTCTTTGGAGACGGTGGTCCTGAGTAGAATTCAGACTCGTCGAGATCAGAGTCGCTTCCTTTCCTCTCTATTTCAGATGCAGATTTCTTTGCCCAGACGTTCGACGAGGATTCATTTGCATCTTCAGGCGAATCCTCGTTTCCATCAAAGTCAAAATTGGAAGATTTAAGAAACGAAAACATGGTGGAGGATTGACTTGTGGGTCCTACACGATGGTGTAGAAAAAATTGTTAGAAATTTTATCAGGAACGAATGAGGAGAACTAAGGCCGCACTGTTAGGGAGAGCACAAGATCAGTGGTAATAATCCGCACCAAATGATCCTGGGCGCACTCGTTCGCTTCGTTCTACTTTCGTTCGCCTAAAGTCTTTTGCGTAGCTTGCTGGGTTTCTAAGGAAGGGGAAGTTGCAACTACAGAAACTTTTCGAGTTTGCGAGCTTATTCAAGCCGACCAGCTTTATAAGCTGTGGCACAAGACCACTGCTATCTCATGCAAACAACACGACAATGAGGAAGGGCTGCTATATACGATTCTGAAGCGCAATTACAAAGTTATGTTACACGGCTGATAATGAGACACTTCCTCGAGCTATATGGAATTTACAATCGATCATGCCACAAATTCTTTGAGAATTCGTCATCCTTTTTGACAAACTCGTTCTTCAAAAAGTCCCCAATAGGTTCAGGAGGATCTAAACCATACTTTTTTGCCCTTTCCCAGCGTTCCAAGCGAGTTAGTCCAACGATGGGTCCAAACTATCGATATTGAAAGCGTCAGACACTGCGATTGACGAGATTACTGACGGTTAGACAATACGTACTTTACCGTTCATATCAAAAGCCTCCAAGATTTGGATTGTTTGAGCGCGATTGGTAAACCAATTCCTATATTCCAAGAGACAGGCGAGCTTTAGACGTTGGGCGATGGCAGCAAGTGATGTTGGGTCGTCACCCACCTTATTTCAGTAGGCAATCCGACGGGAACCTTTGCAGATGGAGTAGGTTTGGGCGACTTCTTTGGCAGTGGTAGTATTATTTCATGATCTTGTCTCGCCCGTTTGGTTGGTCTGACTTGTTCATAGTCGTCCTCGTCCTCAACGTCAGATGAAGGGCCCCATTCATTCAGTTCTTGATCTTCTTGTATCAAGAAGTTGAGTTCTGCATCATCATAGGAGGTAGTAGATTTCGGAGTGGCTATAGTCGTATCCTCCCTTCTGGTAGATTCAGTTGATTTCTGTTTGGTAGTGTTGTTGTTGGCTCTATCGGTGATTTTGGATTGTTTGAATTGAGAAGCTGTTATTTTTGGCTGGCTACTAGCTGCAGCAGAAGCAGTCCGCTTGGTACTGGTCTTCTTTGAAGACATGTTGGCTGTTTTGACGTCACGGATGTAGTTGAGGAGACGCGACGAGAGCGTCCACTTCAAAATATGGAAATATGCGGACGACTGCAGAATCAGTTGCAATAGAGTTATCCTCAATACCACCGTGAAACGTTTACGCGATCACGTCCCAGTTGAATGTGAACTTTCGTGTTTGATCTCCAAGTTGATTTTCGGTAGCAGACAGGATGGCATCACATCCAACTGCACCAATAAGTCAGCTCGCTGCAAAGGTACGTCACCACATTATATATCTGCTTTCTTCTCGTTTGCTTTGTATTTCAGATTGAACAAACTCATCAAACAATCTGGCTGAATCTTGTCTACATTTATAGCGACGAATACGGCATCTCAAGTCGCTGCATATACGCAATGTCACTCTACCGGATGCCGCATTGTCTTCCACATCGCTGCTTTCTTCGAAACGACCTCCTGCTCGTGTTAATCTATACAATCTGCCAGACACATTCTACGAACTGTGCTTGCCAGAATCACCTCGTATTCATCCTCATCGTCATTGTCCCTGATGGCATACGTACTAAATTTCCTAATCTATCTCTTGTAGATCCCGTCTTTTTTCAAAGTGAATTGATGGTCGCGTCGTGTGTAAGACACGTTTGAAACTTTCTGATGATTTTAACTCGTTCTAATACACTCACTGTCAATTTCAGAATCCAAATTGGAATAATGTGGCTGAAGCAACCATATCGCCATGGATCTCTCCCATCTTGCCAGACGGGACGGCTACATCGCAGGAATCTGAAGATCAAGAGACCAAACAACCTCCAGCAGTGCAGGATCAGGAGGCACCACCACTACCAGAACGACCGCATTCCAAACCACTGATACCCAGAATGCTCAACTCGCTAGATAGATTCATCCTCAAAGTCTGGGCACGGCTACACGATGCTTCGGAATATCACTTGATTGTCGAAACCGAAGTCAGTCTAAAGCACTTGGACTTTGTATCCAACGAGGTACATGCTCTATAGAATGCTTTTCTTTTTTTATTCAATCTACGGGATGAGAACGACCACACTAATTCTTGAGCTAACACGTCATCACATGATTGTCATTGATAGTTGACGCAAGTAGACGCCAATTGGCCTCCTAATTATATACTCTTTGGCTTGGAAGGTGTCTACTTTACTATCGGCGATGAATTGGCACCGGTAACCTACCGTACCTTATAGATGTCTTCGCTGACAGCTGACCTCGCTTGAATTTGCATTTAGCGATTGGTGGATCAGACGCATCCAGATGATGATGCTCCAGTTGTTAAAGTTGATGGCAACAAGGTCTCGTCTCATTGCCGCGAATCCATGCTCCTTTGTTTTGTCTTAAAAACATGCTCATTGAAATCTGTCATGCTTAGATACGGCCATCGTACAAATATGATGCCATTGCAAAGATTGTAGCAGCTCAACAAGAGATTTGGGAGTTGCAGTGTAGCAATTGTAGTCTAGTGGACGAGGCTCAACAACTAATGGCCTCGCCGACCCATGATAAAGCGCCTCTGGTAAGCTCGATGTGCTTCTTCAATAATATGGCTTTGATGTTTGTCGTGATTAGCAACAGCATGCTCATGACAATACTAATAGACGCGGAAATATCGAGACCAAAAGTCTAGAATCTCCTTGATTGAAAAGGAAATCACATCGTTCACCCAAGATATCCAAGCAGGTGTGACAACCACTCGTTGCAATGATTTCAACTCCTTCAATTAAACTGATTTTTCTTTCTCGACCCACCCTAGATCGACATCGATTAAAAGATTTGCAGAATACCATACTGAGTAGAAGACGGCAACTTCAGGACTCTCAAGTTTCTAGAGAAGCTATAAGACATGCTCTAGAGTCCCGTCGTGATTTGTTGTCAGGAAAAAAGTCAGTTTGATGTTGAAAGCATAATCTCGGTTACTCTGCACGTTACTCATTCCAACAAATTGATTCTAAATAGGACCGACGTCTCCAAATCTACACTGTCGATTAGTAGACGGCAACGAGAGTTGATCACTAATCTCAAAGACATATTTCCTATTGAGCAGTCAACGTTTGATGTCCTCACTTATACCATATGCGGTCTCCGATTACCCAACGCTGACTACACAGGTCAGTTTGCAAAGCCGTGTGATTGCATCATCTAAATTCACTCGTCGTCTGATGATCTACAATGGGTCTGTCTTAGGACAAGACGACGAAAAGATTGCCACCGCCCTTGGCTTCACAGCTCATTTGATATGTATGATTGCATTCTATTTGGAAGTGCCTTTGAGATATAGTCCTCGGCCCATGTCCTCTCGAGCGACGATAATTGATGGAGTGAGCCAGCAGTATCAAGATAACAATGAGTACGTTGATACTGCACTAATGCCAAAAAAATTCGCATTTGCTGAACTATTGGTCATCTCGCAGGTTCCCATTGTTTTCTCGAGGCTCTGATCGGTTTCGGTTTGATTATGGAGTGTTTTTGCTAAACAAGAATGTCGAGCAGGTAGACCTTGTCGCACTTTCTTCATCATTCAATCAGTCGATTCACTGTCTTTTTGCAGTTAATGAATCATGTGGGTCTGAACGTTTCTAATCTTCGTAATACCCTTCCCAACCTCAAAATCTTATGCCAAACGATATCCAACTGGAGGTATGATTCGTGTTGGTCAAATAATGCTTATCTTTATTATGTACTTACAAACTCGGTGATAGGGTTGAGGAAGAGCCACGAAACGATGTTGGAGGCCTCGTGTCATCCTCGTCTTCATCGACACAAGGAGACAGTAATAATCGAATTCGTTCGCCGACATTCAAGAATGGCGCGTGGTTGCCTCCGCCGCCCATTCTAGAAAATGGAAACGCCAATAAAATTATCAGTGTTCCAATCCAAGCAACAGAGGGCAACCATCTAGATGATTTTATACCACCGTTACCGCCAAGAAGTCCACCACCATTCTCGTCATCAGTTGGTGCTCTGCGTCAAATGATGGGTGGTTGGGATGCTAATAAACCATTACCAGACCTTGTGCGTCCCAAAAAGGACTATGTTGCAGTCACGCAGACTGCCTTGTAATAACAATGTCAATAACATATATCATAAGTAACACACTGTACATTGAAACAACCTGTCCTTGTTTGAGACTGACGATGCTTTTATTCATTGACATTGAAAGAGCAACTTATGATGGACACAATTTTGCGATGCAGGGAATCAAATCAGAACCAGGATGGACTCTTTCGCTCGCTTCCAACGTTTCCAGCAGAATCAGTGAGTTCATCTTTCTTGGTCATCCTGGCAATAATGACTGGGCAACTGTGGGTTGGAAATGAGATTGTCGTGTTAGCAACCAAAATCAAAAGCAAGTAGCAAATTCACACCAACACATTGGGTCTTCACTTACTCTTGCACATTCTTGATGCAATACTGGGACACGCTGCCAACCAATAGGCCTTCAACGTGACTCTTACCAGCACTGCTCAGTACCAGAAAAGCAGGTTTGACTACAAATGATGGAGTTAGTCGTTAAATTCATCGAAACTACTGAAAAGATATACTTGACCAAAAAAAAAACATAGGAAACTGATCAACTTGTTACCTTCTTCAGCTTGAGAGGCGATGGCTTGACCTGTAAAAGCCTACGAGGTTACAACACATTCGACGCGAATCACACAAAATGCACACATCACTGCATACCTGCATTGTTGGAGACAACGACACGAGTTCCCATTGAGACTGCGATTCCTTCAGCTTCATAAGCAGCTCGAAGCAATGTCTTGACCCTGGAAGTGGTCTACCAACCAAAAAGTGAAGGTAGGTAAACCCTTGATGAGCCTGGGGTAGTGCTTTTGTGTCCAAAGTAAAACGTACCGATTCCCTTTCGGATTCCTTGTCAATGACAGTGACGACGACCAGCTTGTCTCTATGTAGATATGAGGACTCTGTCAACACTAGCTACATGAGGGATCTGACACCACCGACTTACCCGGACACCAACAAGTAGTCAAATACCCATTGCAAGGCGGCTAGGTATGAGATATTGTGATGAGAAAGGTGTGGACGGATGTTAAAGAGAAAAACGAGTGAAATCGTCACCTGAGGAATGTCGGGATTCATCTAGGCCCATCAATACGGTCTTGTTTGCGCGTTGTTTTGGAGAAGGTACAGGTAGTGCCGAGGTTGATACGTTGATTGAAGCCATGTTGATTTACCTTGAGGTAAGAAAAGTAAGGACGAAGATTAGAATTTGATTGACCTTTGATGCATGTTGGGAAGGCCAATGCACGTAATGTGCGACAATATGCAGATCGACAAGTTCAAAAGGTAGATCAGTAAATGCCATAATACATAAAATTCACATAAAGCTATGAGGCTTTAATTGCAAAAACCCACCTTGGGTAAATTCAAACCAAAACCTGAACGCTTGTCTAGATCAGAGACAGCACTTACTAGTGATGAAGAAGGACTGCCTTGTTTAGAATTCCTATAAAATATTCTCTTCTCTCTTGGTACTTTTGAGATGGAACTGCAAAAAAGGCGTTTGAATGAATGAGTCAACCACGAGTCATAAAGTCAAAGTCACGCTAGCAACCACGAGAAGCACCAAAAGTCACGCCCAAACAGGATTTGTATGGTTTTATTTCAATAAATACACGCGTAAAGAAGCAGCTTACATCCACCTACACCTTCTATCGGCCTCCATGAACTTCCAAATTGTTCGAATGTGTTATTGCCAACCTCGCGGAATGCAACCCACAGGCTGGTGGACTTGATCAAACCATGTTTGGATGTATCGTAGCTGGGCGAATGGTATGTCTTGCCTACTCATCTTATTAGCTATTGCCGAATGCTCGTTTGCTAACTTGAAGCGCTCGGGTAGGTTCAGACAAACTTACAACAAGGTACAATCACCCGTACATTGTGTGTAAGCCTTCCTTTACTAACCGATTATATCATCTACACTCTAGTCCAACCCACCAAATACTTGTTTGAACTGACCGACGCCCAAAACATCAACCATGTCGTCGTGTTTCTGACTGAAGGCCTCCCTGCTGGTTTTGCTTGCACCGTATTCTTGCACTGGTATATATCATCTACATTTCTTCTCTTGCTGCATTCATCTATTCACGCAAACCAACGTCTTGATCATCTAACACACGACTTACATTTCTAGGCCCGGCGCATCAACAACCAGCTGGCGTCTCCTCGGCATGATCTCCAACGACAAACCCTCTGCCATATTCAAACTCGGCGGCAAGGAATGGTTTCAATCTCAAGTCCAGTCTACAAACGATCTCATGGTTGATGAAGTCCCCATATCAATCACAGCCCAGCTTGGCATATCAATCGAACCTATTGAGTCGGTATTTAGCCAGATCTCAACTCTCCCACAACTCCCTCATACATCAAGTCTCATGAGCATGATGGGTAGCTCGGACGCCAACATGATGCAAAGCGAGTCGACTGCTCTTGTACCCGCAAGGGATCCGGTTAGGATGGTTTCGTTGATAATAGAGGTATGTGTGCTTTTTGAATTGGTATTACGTGCTACATAAAACTTTGATGCTAACTCGTATATATACCTCTCAACATAGAACCTCTATAATTATCTAACAAGCTTTGCAGTCAACACTTCTCAAATCCCATCTGCCACTTTTGGAAGTACAGAGGCCACTTACATTCCAGCCAAGGTAAGTTTTGACATTTATCATGGGTAGATGTCCATTCGATAAAAATAATCTTTTCCTTTGTTTTCGCAAAGGCACTCCAAGAATGGTACTTCAAAACGAATGGAAAACTCAAAATGGATCCATCTGGAGGCTTCTTGAAGCAAGGTTGAAATTGCTTTTAGACACACACACTCTATAATTATAAAAACACAATTTATTGTACATTAGTATTGCTCCTACATTAAACGAACATTGCATCATCTACACGCAACTTCATGAAGTTTCTGAATTGCAAGTCATATCATTCAGCAGTAACATATCTCAACAAGACCCAGTTACACAGAAAGGGGTGATTTATTTGGTACAATCTTTGCCTACAACCTCTGCCTACAAACATCTTTTGCACAAAAAACATTCTACGGGTTTCATATGGGTTTTCAATAAGGAGAGTTTACGATAGACCTTCGACTCCTCAAGAGCTTTTGTGGTGTAGACAATTTCTTCTTATTAATCATCTCGACATTTTCAGGCAGGGTGACAATAATAGAATCATCAGATCCGTGTCTGAATTGATCAGATATGACTGTATCGTCATACTTTTTGATGTGATACTCATTCAACGCGCCTTTAAGTACACGTTTGAGATTCCAGGTAATGACATATGGACCTGATGATGTGACAATAGTCTTTTCCTGTGTATCTTCACCTGTATTGAAGCGAGCTGGAGTAAATGAGACTTCTACACCCATCCATGCTACATGTTCTGGTTTTAGTTTGAGCATTCGAGGTGTGGGCTTTTCACTTCCCATGGGTTTGTGGAAGCCAGATTCACCACTTTCCGTGACGACAGTAAGCAATAACAGATAGTTCTTACAGGTTCCTACAATTAATTTACCATCTGCTGTAGCGTCGATACCTATTATAGGATTACCATATCCAGGGAGTTGAGTCTTGGCTCTCAATCCGAGCTTGTTGAAAAGACGGATATCACCCTTGTTAGATGCTACCGCCAATTCTCCTTTACCGGTAGTGACGGCACATGAGAAGTCATTCTTTGTGACATATTGTTTGGTCTCTGCGTCTACTCGTTTATTACCCGACAATCGAGGATCGACTCTGAATATAGTATTGTGGTTGATACCGATAAAGGTCTTTTGTGGAGTGAGTTGGGCAAACTTGGAATCTGGCAATATGCTATCTACGGGAATTGTGTCGTCTACTTTCCATTCTTCTACGATACGACCACGTTCCAGATCCATGCGGAATATCGAATGCTCTTCGTTCGGTTTCATTATGAGCATAGACGAGTCCTGTTCGTGTAGCATTACTTTTCGGGGCGAGAAGGTTTTGTTGTTCATGTCTCGGACATTGTCGATGGTAGTGCTAAATTCGAGTCGATTATCGTCTGTATGCTTGAAAACACCTATGCGGTTGCCTCGTACAACAAAAGATCGATCGTATTTATATCCTACTGCTAGAGCCGAGTTCTTGTCACCGCCACGAGTGGTGGACGGAGAATCTTCTTCGTATTCGACTTCTTCTTCTTCTTCGTCATTGTCACCAGACTCTTCGTCTTCTTCCTCTTCATCGTCTTCATCATCTTTGACACCCAATTTAGCGAATGCGTCCTCCATGACAGTATCTTCTTCATATGCATCGATTAGATATCGTTGTTCATCCTGTTTTACTTTACCAAAGGCTTCATGATGATTTGTTTCGTACATGCATTTACCCAGCATGTCCTTGAATGCAGTTTCGGAAGGCGAGTCTGGGAATTTGATGGAAAGGGAATATATAATACGAGTGTCTGGTTCGGTATAAATCCAGACAAAGGACTGCGCTTCACGGTTGAAGGTGGGTGACATGGTATCATTTATAATCTGCGATACTACGGGTGCTCCTCTATCAGTGATTACCAAGTAGAATGTATATGGAGCAGTCTGTACCAATTCGAGCGTGACGGACGGATGTGTAGGACTGAATTGATTGAGTTCTGGGTGGTACAAGTATAGTGGAGCATTCAATATTTTGATCAACGAAGTTCCAGAGGGACCTGCTTGTGACTTTATATTGGGTGCTACACCTCCGACGAGTCCTTTTGGTTGACTGGCAGGTGTCGATGATGATGATGGTTCTGACTTGACGGCCAGAAAAGACCTCAAGTCCGATGATCTCGATGCTGGCTTTTTATTTGCTAGTGGAGATGATACTGGAGACGCTGACGAGTCAAATCGAGCAAGTGGTGTGTGTTTTGATGGGGTTTGCTGTTTTATGGGTGTGTGGGCGGGACTGGCACCACCAGCAGCCTTTTGGTTTGCCATATAAGTATGTACATCGCCCTGACTGGAGCCGTGTTTGAGTTCAAACATGCATTGGTAGAGCAGAGATTCGAAAGCGACAATAGTTGGGTCGTTTATAGAGGAGTCAATGACGAATTCCAACAGCTGGGAGCCCGTATCATCACCAGGATCCTTCCATAGTATCGATTTATGATTATTTGAGCGAGATACGAGCCTAAAGCCCAACTTTTCATCAATGAGGAATGCCTGTTCAGCGTCGAGACGATCAGGATCGATTTCATCTAGTTCCTGTTCGCCGTCTTCGTAAATCCTAGATATGACTAGTTGATAATGGAATGGCATGGTTGTCTTCTGTATAGTAGCAGAGGCCTCCTTGAAGATGCATTGTGTTGGATTCTTGAATTGAAGCGGATTGACCTTATTGAAGAGTCCTGATTGCAGTTGGAGGAGACTAGTTCCCTGGCCGCCATCATCCTGTGAGAATACAAGGCTGCCTAGTGCTTTGAGTGCCCACATTCTCGTATGTCTGTATAGTATACTTTGCAGGTGTTTGGTTTCAAGGATTAGTGCATAGCAAGCAACATTATACGAGTGACTGCGGCAGAATCTGGAGCAGAATGAATGAGGGTATTGCCACGCGTTTATATTATAGTTTCGTGTATACTCATGCAGTTACAATATTGTCCATTATAGAGAAAATCAACTTGCTAGTGGCAATCATTGACTTGTCCCCTTCGGAATGGGCCAAAACAGGAAATGATCCTTCCCAGGCCATGAATGCCATACTCATGTATATAAATACTCATCTGGCCTACTCGCATGGATCCGATGTCGCCGTCATTGCTGCTGGCTTGGACCATGGAAGGTACTCAATAGATCACATCTGCCTTGATTCATCAACAATCACATCAACCCTCTATTCAATAGCAAATACGTCTATCCTTCGCCGCATCCTGTAGATCTCAGCTCTCAAAGGTCGGGCTCTGCATATCATACATTCTGGGAAGCCAACGAAACTATTGCTGAAAATATCAAATCCTTGACTCGTCCTGATGCTGATCAGACGCCTAGTGAGTATCGTGCTTTCATCACCATTGTTGCCAATACACATCTCGTGTTCTACAATTAGGCAAGCCTGCTATTGCATCTGCTCTCGCTATGGCCCTTGCATGTGAGTGTGCTCCCTTGAACCTTCCTTAGCCTCAGCTAAAGTGCATACCAAACGTAGACATTAGCAAGAAGAAGAAACAATCACACGGTATGCCATTTCAGGGTAGAATACTCGTCTTGAGTGTATCCCCTGACAATGCTGGTGAATATGTGGGTCTGATGAACGCATCATTTTCTGCACAGAAATCGGTGAGCTTAACAGACGCATGGCTTCATATGACGGTGAAGCTACCTTCTGTCGTCGTCGTATCTCACACCAGCTGTATACCTAGACTATTCCTATTGATGTATGTCGAGTATTTGGTGGTCCATCTGTATTCTTGGGTCAGGCTTCGTACCTCACGAAAGGAGTCTATCATGAAGTCGCTGATATCAAGATGCTCCTACAAACTCTCATCGTACGCTAATTTCTGTTGGTCAAACAAGTAACACACATCTCATCGACTCGTTCTCGAGTAGACTCTCTTTCTGGCCGACGTTCAAGCAAGAGACTATCTGGTATTCCCAGCTGCTGAAAATGTTGATTTGAGAGCAGCTTGCTTTTGTCATCGTCGTATTATCGACAAGGCCTTTGTCTGCAGTGTGTGTTTGGCAGGTACAACGAGCACCGTTTCTTTTTTCGCTGCAGCTACGTGTATGGTAACATGTATCAAACTCCAATAGCTTTCTGTGATTACCATCCCATATGTCCAACGTGCAACACCACCTTTACACCTTCAATAGCTACGGGGCCAGAGGCAACAATGACTGGACAGTATATTCCTATTCCACCAGCCACCAAAGCAACAGCTTCATCATCTAATGCAGACACATCCAAAGCGATGTAGCAAGGAATCATAAAAACACATTTGTACAGAGTTTCATAAAGCAAATTGCATGTCATCAAAAATAATATAATTATATTGAGCTAACTGTACATACAATGATAGAGGCTGTTTCCCAACATCTGGTATCCCAATTATATCCAGCACCCCCGAAGATTCAGCGTCCTTCAAAACAATGAAGTCGTAGCCATGAACGCCATAACCTGACACGCAACAATAATAAACGACAGGACATTAAAGAACTTCCAGTACACCACTATCAGCGACACGATCGATACCGCACCACACGCAGTAGCAACCTGTATGTGTCGAGGAGCCGTCTTCTCCCACTGATTAGGATCAAACGGAATTCCAAGCACTCGAGGCCTTATATACTGCAGCCATGCGAATATTCCAAAGAAGCCGAGCGTCGCTGATATCCATATCCACACGATTATACTGTGGTTGTGCAAGGCTTCTGCGTAGAGAATCCTATAAAATGTAGGTGAGAAGCTTCACGGAAGTCACATGCAACATCACCAGAGCAAAGATCTCAAAACTCGAACGCTATTCAAATGAGGATTCCTTGCTTACGGAACGATCTTGAGGCCGATAGTCAAGCCAACACCAGCAATAATCCAGAGGGCTGTCTCAAACCACCTCCACGGATTCCGCTTGTCATCCTATGGGAGCACATACAGCTAATTAGTAGCGTAGAGATGTATTCACGAGCGTATAGGCCATTGTTGACCTCCTCTTCCAATTGATAACGACAAATGGTATAAATGTTTTTCGCAATACGATGGTTTGGCTTCATAACAATACACGATCAAAGCGAGCTAAATAAATGAATGCTAAACTTGCCTTTGCTGTTCGCTTTTCAGCCTCCTTCATTTGCTTGAGGGTGGTTTCTCGTGTCATCGTTGTTTTGCGAATTCATCGAGTTGCTGACAGTGTTCACGACTCTTTCACACTTATTTTTAAAGATACGCGTCAACAATAATACAAGCACAAATTACAAAATTATAAATTATGAAGCAACAGGAACATGTTCTTTGAATGCGTTCAAGTAATCGAAAGTCACTTCCTTCGCGTCGAAAGCCTCATAAGTCAGCAAATGTGGATTCTTGCCCAGCATCTCCACCAGTCCGATACTAGAGAAGGAGTCTATGAATTGCCTCCGAACCTGAATAGTAGAGGACGCCTCTTTAATTAAACTTAGATCCAACCCACATTAGCGATTTGCATTACACTTACTTGAGATCTCTCAAAGTCACCAGGAATATACTCTGGCATTCCCACAATATGAGCCAATGGCCAAACTGCCAGACAGGCGTCCAAGAAACGTTGGTGTAGTGTATGTGCAGAGCGCTACAATTTTGGAGAGTAAACGTTAGTCCCTCAGAGCAATCACTTCTTAACCCAAAAATATCACATCTCAACCTTTTCACGTCGCTTCATGGCATGGAATCGTTTCTCCCATACGATTTCAAGCAGCCTGGCTAGATCATTTTGTTCCATGAGGAAGGGAACGAGAGCAAGAGCTGGGTCACACGACGGTGCTAAATTGAGGCCTCTGGATTCATGTGGCACGAGTAGACATGTAGCCAACAGCGAGCGAAACATTGCAAGTGGTGGTACCGACGACAAGAAGGTCAAGAGAGTGTCTGGTAGTTGACTTGAAAATGCAGGAATTAGAGGTGTCTTCTCAACGAATCACAGAATCATCTCTCATACTTGATGCGTCTCATGGCAGATTTACTAAGCTTCCATACGCGAATGCTCAATTTAGGGCTTCGACTCGGATTAATCAGATTTGACAGAAATCCCTTCTTCTCTTCCACTTCAAAAGTCTTTGCATCCTTGTCCAAAGGTGTTCCTCCGTACAGTTTGATTTCGTATGTCTTGTTTTCGACCGGCCCACCGTCAGCGGTATACAGTGGAAATATTCCCCATCCACAGCTGACGTCTTCAACATCTAAATTTGGATATTTGAGGGATCTCTCCTTGAATGACACTCTTCGCTGTCAGCAGAATATGTACCTTCACCGGTAGCAGTGGAATTTGGTTTCGCAACCACCAGACACAGCTCGAATAAGACACAAAGACGGAAATCAGCGGCGTTAGCTCGCAGCAAACATGTGTTTTCATCATCTTTTGGGAACAAGAGTGATGCCTAAAAATACCAAAAAACTACGTTATAAAAAGCTACAGACCATAAAGTGAACATTAGTGCCACCACTAACCTTAGTACTAAACCTCCACCAGTCTTGATTCACTACCGCATTAACTGATAGCATGTTGGCCACCACAGCTACTCGATCAAAGATGGCTACTCGCACATGCCGACCAAGGACACGTAATCCTGTTGGTGGCGGTGGTATATGTTTCGCTTCCAGAATTGAAAACGCGACATTCAACTTGGTTGTGCGTCTTCGAATCTAGATTTTCCAAGAAACGGGTTTGCTTTCGTGAGGCTTCACTTTGGCGACAATGAGTCCTTACACGATTCTTCTTTAAATCCAATGCAAGGTCCGTGAATCCAAGACCACTTTCATCCAATTTTGGTAACAGAGCAGATGCTAATCGTCCCACACCTAAAATGTAACTGAGCGTCAGATATAGGGCCTGCAGTCAATCATGTTTTTTTCTCACCATGTTTAGCCGCAAAAGCAAGCGTCGAAGGTCTAAATCCCGTAGGCAAATCACTCAATCCTTCCACTTTCACAGGTGGAGAAGCTAGAGCTGAAGCTGTTGGAGTACTTGGTGTGAGCAGATCTCGGTATTTGGCATAATGGGCGACTTGAGCTTTGAGATCCGCCGCCAGGGCTAGTGAAGGAAAGAACATCTGTTAGATAAAAGATGTTTTCTTGATATGTAACTAGACAATGGACCTGCCTGAAACGGGAACATTCTCATAGTCACGCCCTTCATCCTCGTCATCATCGTAGTCGTCACTCTCACCCTCATCGTCTTCATCCTCATCATAATCATCTTCTTTTTCAGCATTTTCGTCTCCACTTTGATCGTCCTCTTCCCCTTGTCGAATTTCATCTGCAGTTGTCAACTGGACGTATGTACAAGGTACGTAGCCCTCAACCTCTGCATCATCTGTAAATCTAACATACCTAGATACAGTAAATAAGAATGAAGACAAATTGTCATGGTATTGAATGTATGATCAAAAATGGTTGAGAATTTCTTACCACCAATCTTCACTTTCTCTGCTTAAAATTTCAAACGTGTCGCCTTCATCAAAGTCTAGTTCTTCATCAGTAGCACCTCTGTAATCATAAAGTGCAACAGCATATCCGGCGTCTCCCTTCCTTGGTTCTGTATCCCCCTTGAGTGGTTCTGTTGCAGTGCTTGGAGTTGCTGTGTCGTTTTTACTTGATTCCTTTGGTTTTGCGCTTGATCCTGCTGCTCTGGAGCTTGATCTGTAGCTCATTTTCTTGATCTGGCACTCTTCTTGTTTGTACTTGTATGTGTCTAGTGCGTTTATTGGAAATATGAAATCACAAACAACTACAATAGAGCATACAAACTTGGCTAGATTTTATTTCTGTTTTCTGTGCAAACAATACGATGGTATTTAATTTATCTAAACTACGTGTTAACGTGTTTATGCGCTAACGGCATAAACTTTTCTAAGTTGCTCGGTGGTAGCTTTCATGAATGTCACTGGACACTGTCCATTTTCCTCCACATATCTAAAGATGCATGGATAACAAAACACAAATCCACTAGGCAACATGGTAGGATTTGTACGCTTCTTGTTGCAGATAGGACAAATAGACCGGTCCTCTGGAACTGCCAATCCTTCAGGATGCGGCTACAGCAAAAAACAAGTCAACCTGATATCCCAAACAGAATCCTTGTATTTGTTGCTTACTGGTATGGGCTCTGGCGGGGGTGGAATGGGCTGAGCATTTGCCTGCTTGTGATAACCTTGTGTGAGGTGGTGGGGGTGTTAGTTAGAGGTGCATAGGCACAAAACTGACAAGGGCCAAAATCGCCTTTGCGCTTCAACATGCTTCCGTGATTTACCTGACTGATACCACCACTCCAAAAACTTGAAAAAGAAGATACTCATTGGCAAAAAGTATTTCAAAAAGTCAAAGCCCCGTGTTGAAACCAGACTCATAAAGTATTTGGCCATTTGCAGTGGTGATCCAGACGCAAAGGCAGCATCTCGTGCCTTTTTAACCAACTCTTCCTTTTCAGAGTGTTCCTTCTATATTGTAGTGACGTCAGAGACTGCATCGCAGGAATAGATTTGAAGGACAGTAATTGATTGCTTACAAAGTCTCTTGGAGACATTCTCCGCACTTCTACTCCGCTTAGATGCAGCCATGGCGAGTAAAAGTCTGTCTTGTTATACATGTATGCTAGTTGATATGCAAACAAGAGAGCAGCATACGTTCCATCGGCATATGGATAGACTGTTTTGAATAGTTTCTTGCTTCTCTTAAGTATGCGTGGTATCATGGACTAACCAAAGTATGACTTGTCAGTCGGTATGGATGTATCATACTAATACCACTTGTCACGTACTGATTCATGCTCTGCCTCTTCCTCTTCATCAAAGGTATCACCGAATAATTGTCCGCCTGGACCTCCAGATACAGTCTCGTAGTATTCGTCCAGCTTTCCTTTAGCATAAGGAATCACCACCTAATGACAATTTGTGTCAGAGCGAATGGAGCCAAGGCCAACACAGTAAGCACATACCAGACATATGAGAGATGCGAATATGTGATAGTCTGTGAGCTTTTCAGAGACTCTGCCTCGAAAGCCCTTCCTTGTGGGTATTCTCTTTAGACCATAAAAGTTTTCAGCGAACGAGGATCCTAGAATACGGAAAACGGAGTCAAGCATCAAGAAGTAGCAGTATCAATTATGAGGGGACATACCCCATTCTCTTAGGTAGTGGTTTTCGACGAGGATCATGAGTAGAGCATACAATTCTTCGTGATGATTGACGACTCTCAGGAGATAACGTGGATAGCGTTGAGCATAGACAGTCAGGACATATCTGAGAGCGGGACGCAACATGTCTCTCATCTTGTCCTCGTTCACCAGCTCGAAATAAGAGGGTCTAAGTGGGAATGGTTAAACATTTGGAATGTTGACTACTTCAGGGCGAGACATGCCTGTACAAGTCGCCCGAAGTGGCCCCTAGATTACTTAGGAATTCCATAGTGTAAATCCAGCCGCAAAAGTGAGCGATTGCAATAAGAGTTGGCTCCTGTTCTTCTGTTTTTTGTGGTGACGTTGACAATTCACACGCAAACGAGCTTGTTTACTAATCCAGGTAGACCCAAGCAGCAGAAGCGCATACAATATGTCGATATTGCCTGCAGTCGTTGGCTGGTTATCAATCTGTTGCTGGGTGAGCTTAAAGAGTCAAACTAGATTGGTTTCTGAGTTTTCAAGTATCATCTATTACGCACACATAGACTCACACCAGTTTGCTTAACTAGATCGTCGTGTTTATACCTCAGATATGGGAAAACTACCGCCGGAAATCTGCTGAAGGCCTGTCCAAAACATTCTTGGGTAACATCTTGCACCATCAGAAAAAGCCCTTCACAGACATTATCATCTTCACCTTTACTTATCAAAGACCATCAATGTCACTCCTACTGATCCAAAATTGTCTCCCCTAGTCATATGGACTTGTGGAGACGTTTTGAACCTAGTCGGAAGCATCATGAACGAACTGCTCCCCACTGTCGTAAGTTCCCCCACTCCCATTACTACAAACCAACTCAAGTTCTAATTGTTTGCTTCATCTAGATCATACTAGCTGCATACTATACTGCTGCTGACGTGGCAAGTCTATTCATAAATACTGCCAGTTCGCAACTCCTACTCACTCTGTTAAACCTCGTTCACGCCAAAATAGGTCTTATTGGGCCAGTTTTACTACTACCAAGAGAAAACATATCAAAAGGACGAGCTTCTGGCAGACGACGATGAGAGAGCACCACTACTGAACCCATCATCAGCACCAGTCATAGTAGTGCCTGATGAATCGACTGGCCAGAACGATACCCAAGTGATGCACGATGGTTCTAATAGTCAGAACGGCGCCCCTACTGAATCCGCTAGTAGCAATAAGAAGAATGTACCGATGATGGCAATCACACTCTTCCTCGCATTCCATACTGTTAATGTAATGACTACCGCTACCCAAAGAGGGATAGTTCTAAGTAACCCTATAACACCATCCATGGTACCATCGCCATTTGAGAGATTCTATGGCGACCTAGCTGGATACGCTTCAGCCATCTTGTATGTGGGCTCAAGATTCCCTCAAATCACTAAAAATCATCAGAGGAAGTCCACTGAAGGACTCAGTGTTGGATTTTTTATACTGGCTGTAGTTGGAAATGTGACGTTTTGTGCATCAATACTAATGGAGTCGCTAAGCAAAGAATATCTAATGGTCAATCTACCGTGGTTGCTGGGAAGTGGAGGTACCCTGCTGCTAGACTTTTACATCTTGGGGCAGGTATGTAACTCACGTTGTATATTGCCTTGTTGCTGTCCAAATTTAACAGGAGTGACCTCATTTGAAAACATTTTGCTTTCATAGTTCTTGATATTGGGGACTGCTAAAGAAGAGAACACTGTAGCCGCCTGATTCTGACGCGACATAATATGGTTTTAGCTTCTATTTGTGGGACTCAACCTCATATTGTTTCTGTATATACACGTATTTCCACTACTCATCACCCAAAGACTCTATTTTCAGACTCGATCGCTATGCAAGCACATCGTTATAGAGATTCTATTAATATTAATATTGGAGTGTGTGGGTTCAAGTTTCAAGCTCTTGAGGCGAGTTGCGTCACACTGCACTTCCTGAGTTGCAAGTTTTATCACTTTTGTGAGCCAGGACAACCAAACACCATCCTGCAGGTCCATCATCAGTATTCTAATATCTAAGACGTGAGTTCTAACTGCTTTTGTATCCCTAGATGAGTCGAATAGCTCGGAATGTGTTTGGAATTTGCAACCGCATCAGCGTTCAGCAAGGAACTGTGCATCATCCAAAACCAACAGATCTCAATATAAGCCGATTCGGCGTAAACATACGTAATCATACGTCCTCGATACCACGACAAGCCAATTTCACCAAACTTCAAATCAAAGACATTACACATTTCCTCGCAACATTACCAAATGGATGTGTGCTGACGGACAAGTCTGATCTGGAGCAATACAACACTGATTGGTTCAAGAAATGTGAGAATCTCTCCATTCGCATCTATTGAGGTTAATTTATTCTGGTTTGTTAAATGCTCTGGTTTTGCAGACAAGGGTAACGCACAAGCAGTTTTACTGCCGAAATCTACTCAAGACGTTTCCTCAATAATGAAGTACTGCTATGAAAACACGATTGCAGTGTGCATCCAATCTGGAAACACAGGACTTGTTGGAGGAAGCATTCCTGTACATGACGAAGTCATTATAAGCATGGCTAAAATGAACAAGATCGAGGCTTTTGATTACCTTTCTGGAATTGTGAGCTGCTTTGACGGCTTTAATACTTTGTCAAGTTGCTATTTTCTCTGGGTAATTTTGAGCTAAAGCTCGACGTTTTAGGTGACTGTAGAGGCAGGGGTTGTACTAGAAACGCTAGATAATTATCTGCGAGATCAAGGATATACCGTTCCATTGGACTTGGGAGCTAAGGGGAGCTGCATGATAGGAGGTTTGAAATCCTTGTGGTTTGATTTGCGAGTTGGATGTCACTCTGTTAACATTTACCCATCTTTCAGGCAACATATCAACAAACGCTGGAGGTCTACGATATTTAAAATATGGGTCGCTTCATGGCACGGTGTTGGCTCTAGAGGTCGTTCTTGCAGATGGGACAATCATGAAATGTGGAAACGCTGTTCGCAAGGACTCATCTGGTCTCAATCTAAGGCATATGTTCATTGGGTATGTCACACATGTTGTTCTTGAGAGTTTCCACTTTCATGATAAGTATCGTTCAATATGTTTTTTTTGCAGGTCAGAAGGAACTCTTGGAATCATCACAAAGGCCAGCATCGTGTGTCCGAAGAGCCCGAAAAGTGTAAAGACAGTCTTATTGCAGATCAAAGATTGGGAGAACGTTCTAAGCGTCTTCCGTGTTGCCCGAGTAGGTCGTAATTTGTGACAATACCAATACAACGGCATACTGATTTTTAAACATATTTTGATAGACCGAGCTATCAGATATCCTCAGCGCCTTTGAATTCTGGGATCGTCAGATACATTCATACATCGAAAAATACATACCACACAAGTCACCGCTACCCACTCCAAACGATGATCACTTCCACGTCATTGTCGAAACACGGGGTAGTAACGAATCGCACGATGAGCAAAAACTTGCTCGTTTCTTTGAGTTGGTAGAGCCGTATGTTGTGGATGGTGTTGTGGCTCAGGACATATCTCAGCAGGCGTCGATTTGGAGGTACCGCCAAATGCAATACCCCCCCAAGCATCGTTTTGAATAATTCGTCAACTTCTAGGATTCGAGATGGGATACCAGAAGCACTTGGCAAATCCGGTGACGGTTGGATCAAATGGGATTTCAGTCTCGATACCAAACGAATGTATAAAATGGTTCAAGATCTCCAGTCTCATCTTCAAGGCGTGGCTGGAGTCAAGAATGTGAATGGATTTGGTCATATGGGTACGCCGTGTGTTTGACATTGGAACTGCTTTTTGGTGCTTACCAACGACAAACCCAACTGATATTCAGGTGATCAAAACTTGCATTTGAATGTCATGACTGAATCAAATAGCACTTGGAATATCGATCCCAATATAACAAAGGCTGTTGAGCCTTGGGTCTATGCTTATGTGCATGATCTTGGTGGTTCTGTTAGCTCAGGTAACTGTTTGCACTCGCCAATAGTAAAAGCACGGTTTGGGTACCTGCTAACACAGATACATTGCTGCGCTAATCGTAGAGCATGGACTGGGCCAGCTCATGGCTCCTTTTGCCTCATACTCAAAAACAGAACAGGAACTCGCCTTGTCAAAAGCATGGAAGGAGATGCTGGATCCCAAAGGCATTCTGAATCCGTACAAGTTCTATTGAGAAGCTACGAGCTTGATCGTTGTGATATTGGATGTCAAGAGTTTCAAGTTCAACAAAATCTGCCAAATATTAATCTCCGTACAAGATCTATTACTAAAGTCACTATAGCAACAATGTAGTTTTCTAAAATTTTATAGTATTAATAATCATTTTTTTTACACTCGAGGACTTGCTGCTGGTGTTGGCGTTGTAGTTGTAGTTTCAGTTCCATCTGACGAGCTTTCGTCATTGGAGTTTTTGGTATCCGAGATTTCTACTACAGTTTCAGTGGGCTCAGGAACAGCCTTCCATCTAGCATGAGATTGTCTGCTCTTCTCTCCGTAGATGTATAACCACAGAATGAAGAATGCGGCGAGAATGTTCAAACCGCCGCCCAGCCCATAAGCACCTGCAATACCCGTAGCATTCCTGATTGGAGTCACAATAGTAGCTCCGAATCCACCAAGTAAGAACACTAAGAGGTTCTGAGCTGCCATCGCTGATGCTGGTGATGCTGGGAATACGTCAATAAGATATGTCGACAAAGAGTTTCCTAAAAAACGAGACGTTATCAGCGAATTCCGATATGATTTCAATACAAAAACGTATTACCAGAGAAGGACATTCCCAATCCGACTAAAAATGAAAACACGAGTGGAACGCTCCAGTGTGTTCTGAAGGAAAGTGTGAGTCCATAGCAAATTAAGCCGATAGGCATTATGGGTGTGCCGTGTAAACTAGCCAACAGCCTCTTCTCAGGGACAGGCTTCAGACTACCGCTCTTCAGGCGTGCTTTCTCCATCACGAAATCTAAAAAAGTGGAATTTAAGAATTTGTTGACCTGAACTAATCAACGGAGGCAAACAACCGCACCAGTATTATATCCACCCAGCACAGTACCCAGAAGTTGTCCAAGACCCATAGGTAGATATATTAAACCAGTCTCAAAAGACGAGAATCCATATATCTCAGAATAGTCTCTCGACATCGTCGTGCTGACAAACATCAACGTCAGCATTTGAACAAGACGAAAGAGTGTTGTTATCCAGACTGGCGTGTATCTGTTTGACGCTTGTTGTTAAGAGACTGCATTTTGCAAGTACTTGGAAAGATACACACCGATAAAACATTAGAATGTCAAGGATTGATACACTCTTTGCTTTGCCGAAATGCCCTCGTAATAGACGCCAACTGGTGATCTTTACGTCTTTCTCGGGATTGTAGCCTAATGAAGACAGTTCTTTAGCAATCTACAAACCAGTAGCTAATCTTTTCAAACACAAAGAAACACAGTAGAATCTGAGACGTCAGCTTTCAAGCTTCGACAAACGTAATCACTAACCTGGAGGCACAAGCGTTTCTGGCAAGAAGAATATGATTGCAGCCAGCACCATTGCTGCCCATGCGCCCATAAACGCGAATACAGCTCTCTATAATGTTGAGAAACAGCATCAGTTCTGTACTTTGTTTGCGACATGATCTGCCTCGCTTACCCAACCTCCCAAACTAGTAATTATACCGCCTATGAACGGACCGATGGAAGGACCAAGCAAGTTTCCCGTCATCATCCACCCCATAGCTCGTCCTCGATGAGACGGCGCAATCATATCAGCGATAATCCCACTGCCGACACTCATAGATCCAGCACCGATCCCCTGAAACACTCGAAACACGTAGAACAGCTTGATATCGTGTACTAGCAACGGCGTCAGGAAAGACCCCACCAGGTAAAAGGACACTGCTCCTATCATTACGATTCTTCTTCCAAAGCTGTCTGATATAGGACTCCACACCAGTGGAGCCAGCCCCATGATTATGAAGTACAGGGTTATTGTGAAATTGACTTCTGTGTCACTAGCACCTAATTCTTGCTTTAAGGCTATGAAACAAGTCTGCGAGTGAGCTCTTGTAACCTTGACAGTCTGCGATTGAGTTCTTGCTGCCCTTCATGACTTTGTCTGGTCGACGAAAACATTACCTGGAAGCGAAGGATAAAACACCATGGAGCCCATAGGGATCAGAATACCACATATCGCAGCAATAGAACTTGCCACGATCTTGGTTCGGTTTGTATATCTCGAGTACTTCCATTCTAGATACGATGCTGGTCAGTAACGTATTGGACACACAACCACCGGCAAGTCAATTTTCAAGTCCCTAGTTCACACGATTGACTGACATGTACGTGTAAACCCGAACTGAAATTACCTGATATATCCTTGGCTGGTGGTATTTCCGCAACAGCAAGATTCAAATGGTGATCTTTATTATCGAGCTGCGAAGCATTTGAGGCCCGATGCCAAGCAGACTCAGGCTCAAGTATAGTAGTATCTCCCAGATCAGTTTCGTCAGAGACTAGCCCTTCCTGCAGACCTGTTTGTCAAAGAGTGATCTAAAATGTCAGGTCTTCGCAATAGAGGATTACGAGAAATTGTTCAGAGTGGATGGACTCCGTACCATAGTCAAGCGATACTCTTGCCAGTCGATCAAGAGCATGGCTTCGTGGTACATCGAGATCTGCCATTTTGGTTGTTACTGTCAGTGTCGTGGGGAGAATGCTGAGAAAAAGTTGAACACCAGAAGTCATTACGTCAGGGGATCTTACAACCGCACCGTGGTTTCAAGTATAGAGAGAAATCATTCGAAACGTGATCTTATTGCGGATTTAGTCGCTGATGGTCATGCCAGCTCTCTACGGTTTGAAAACGAGCACATCATTGCGCTTTTCAAAATGTCAACGTAACTGACATTGGATCACGTCGTATTCAGCCAGTCCCTTTGCTTCAATGTATTGATAAACATGTGCACATTGATTTCTATTTTCTCAAGCTACACCGACCGATAGGCGTTTGGCCTCGGGTTAGAAGGGTTTCACTTTCTCAATGTGGCGGTTTATCTCATAATGGACGGTCGTGAAATCCTGGCCAAAGTGTTGAACTTGCAGCGCCCATTCCCGGCAAAGATGATTTTTTTCATTCGAGATCAGCGAGAGCTGTTATGTTTGCTTCTCACTTCGAACCTTGCAAGCGTGACCAGATCTTACTTTTTGCAAATTTTTCTATATTCGAGCCAGGTATTTGTAAAAACACACAAAAGATATTTATCTAAGCCTTTGCAAATCTATTCTACAGTTTCTATACCTGCAAACCTTCATCAACAGCCATTTCAGTAGCTGTTTCAGTTTGATCAACAGACATGCATTCACCACCTTCAGCAATTGCAATAACAGTATCAGCCTTTCTTTCAGTAACAGTATCAGCTTTAGTATTTATTGGCTGAGCACATCCAAAAACATTATCAGTGTTGAGAGCACCCACAGTGTTTTCCTTCTTAGGATTTGCAGCGAATCGTTTACCACTAGATGATTCCCAAGGACTTCCATACCTCTTCACACCTCGAAAGCCTGAGCCTTCAAAGGCAGAAAAGACATGCAGTCCAGGTGCAAATCCTTCACCAACGACTGGAATCTCACCAAAATCACCACCATCAACCGTTTGGATGGATAAAAGCTCACGGTATTGTTGACGGAAGCGGTTTTTACGTGAGAATGGACGAGCGAAAGGTGGTGGTATATATGGACCTCGTTCGTATCGTTGTTGTTGTGGTAGTGGTGGTGGGTGATCCTCGTTTTCACCTGTAGTAGTGATTGGAGCAATACCACCTGTGCCGTGGTCCATGTTGTTTTGCTTCGATTGATCAACACCTTGACGAGCATTACGGCGACGTTGGAAGGTTGATTCACGATTGACAAATCCTTGCCAGAATTCTTCTTCTTCATCAGCATTTGGCAATCGGAGCTGAGTAATATCACTACAAATACCATTCTATGATAGCAGCATGGGGAGTTTTTTAGCCGTTGTCAACTCTGTCAATTTTGTTTGACAGACATATGATCATCGCGGATATCAAGTCAAAAAAATTAATCGAAGCACACTACACTTTTCAGCTTGCTTGCCTGAATAACTGCACCCATTCCAGAAAGAGCATTGGTCGCTCCATTTGACTCTGCAAATAATACGATTCCTTGATTCGAGCCAGAAGTATACTCAATCCAACGAATTCTTGGGGCCTAAAGACGAAGAGATATTGCAGGTTTGCAATTACGAGTCAAGTTCGTTCGCTTTTTGGCACACAACACCATCACAACACACACTTTGTTTTTGTAAAAGAATTGCTTGACGTCTTCACAAACGCAGAGATCAACTTCTCCAACACCAATGAATACCAACAAGGCTTGTTGAGGTTTTGCCTCAATAGAAGTCATCTCTGGAGCTCCAGCAGGTTGTTGAGGACCACGATATTCCCTAAAAACGGTGATGGGATGGAAAGGGTGTGAGCGATATCGTAGGTTGATTTGAATAACACTGTCAATTCACACCATGGTTGCAAGTATGGCAATTGAGGAAGAGGACGTGCCTTTGGAAGCTCGACAGGTTGATCAGTTAGATCAGACACTATTGGCAGAGGAAGAGTTTCGCCTTCTTCAGCAGTCTTCCGTTCAAGATATTCTCCTCTGGTCTAGTGAAAAGCATGAATAACGATCGTTCGTTAGTCAAGTGATCGTTCCTTGCTCTCTTGGTAACAAAGAAGCAATTTGGATACTGAAGTCTTAACACCCACCAGAATGAGAAGGGGTACATCATTGAAAGTGAGCGTCTTTTCACGGACATTGTAAGCATCCAAGGCTTCACAAAACTCGACAAAGGCAGATCCCTATTGTGAAACGAATAGTACAGTAAACACTCTCAAACAACAAGTGATGATGGAATAGGATACATGATTATCAAATGAGAAATCAAGATTATTCTGGCTAGACTTACTTTGAAGGTCTTGTCCTCACGACGACGTAACTTGAGCTTTTCCAAACGTCCAAATGCAGTAAAGAAGGCTTCGAGTTCATCTTGAGGATTGATCAAGTCTTCAGGGAATCCTTTCTGTGTAAGAAGAAAAACCGACGTATCAGTAGTCATTCAGTTTTTTGGGGTTCAAGCACATTGACAGGTGATATGCATACCACGAAAAGAGTGCGGTCAAACAACCTTGGACGAGGACGTATTTGCACTCGTCGTCGAACCTTTGTACCTTCAGGATTGACTTCGAGCAAATAATTTGACTTGCGTAAAGACCTGCAGATGAAGCTGGTGTCTTGGGACATTTGTCGAAGGCGATTGAAAGTCATTAAGACAGAGAGGGGGACATATCCGTCAGTGGAAGCACGAATTTCACCCCATAGGAACTTGTCTGTAGGAAGATTTGCATCTATTTCAGAAAAACAAGAAGAGCTGTCAAAAAACAGTGGTGTGATATCCAAGACCAGAATAAGAGCATACCAGAAAAGTAGAATTCGACTTGTTTGAGAATGCGCTGTTGTAGGTCTCGAGTTGATGGATCGTCTGTCTCCATGGCCAAGTAGCGATCGATATGGGCAAGTCAGTGTTTGACTTGTTGATGTAGTTGTGCTGAGAGGTGAGAATGAGAAAGAAGACTTTACTAACGTGAAAATATTGAGCCAGCGAAAGCATCAGACACACGTGGTTCAGTATTTTCGCGTTTTGAGACTTTTTATCACGTGTTTTATTGCGTCTCGTAGAGTATAAAGGCCCGTAATCTTTGATTTTGAAAAGCGACAGGTCAGAGGATGTTTATTTGCAGGTTTATGAAATCTGAGTCTTAACGCATCAGCTTAATGTTATTATTGTAGCCTTTGGAGTGCTGCATGGTTCTGAACATTCATCTGGAGCTCCGCCCGTGATGGAGCTTTTATGTATCTTTTGAAACCATCATCCTGTTGAATTCAAGACAAGCAAACTTACAAGAGCAATCAAATCTTGAGATGACTGATAATAAGAACAATATTCCGTCAGACTACATTGACTATGGACGTCGTCCAAGGTGAGCAGCAATGGTATTTGAACCTCAGCTTCAGCAGACCAAACCTCAATTGTATTCCTTGTTTACTGTTGACTACGATACTGTAATACTTATCAACCTATTTATTGCCATCGTTGATCGATTCTCTCACCACTTTTCTTACCTAGTATCGCAAGCTCTCATTCTTCATCAAACGGAAGTACACCTCGCACTGCCAAATACGACCCAATGCTATTCGCTGAAGATTATGCAAAGGAAACTGGCAAAGTCGTCAAAGTATATGATGAATTTATCATATGCCAAGACGTGCCAGTTCCAGGACTCTCTCCTCCAAACCCCAGTTTGCTCAAGGGAACCTATGTGCGCAGAAAGCATCATTTTCGCTCCTCGCTGTCCACGTCAGTTTCTGACCTTTCGTATTTGTTTGTTTTCTTTTAGGCACAACAACTATCATATGCTCAATTGTTGAAGGAGTATGAAGCTCAAGTTGCCAATCCTACTGCAACAGGCTCTATATTGAGACCTACTACAGCAGGCTCTACATTGAGAAAGACTCCTGTAAAGAATAACTGGATGCTGACTGGATTTGAAGATGATGAAGATACCAGTATGATGGATTGCACTACTTCCACATCGTCACGCAACATGCGAGGTCTTCCCTTGACAGTGATGGCTACCCAACAACAACGAGCATCACCCATTGTCGTGCAACGCAATCCGTTTGAACAACCCAAAAATACGGTTGTTCACGCGTGGGAAACTGCCAACAATCGTCCATCTTCATCATACACTATGAAATCATCCGCACCAGCCACTATGCAATCATCTCTACCAGTCACACCATCATCCACGACATATATTGCGAGACAATCCACTCCATCAGCCGCATCTCCACCTCCAAAATATATGTGGAACAACACCAACATTACTCGTAATATGGTCTCCAACGTATCTCAATCAGCCTCAGCACTTATGAAATCAACTTTATCTCCAGGAGGTAATTCTCCAAACACCACTAGTGGTGGTCACGGAAGGCCTCAATCAATTATCATCCATGCGTGGGAACGTAGTGGGTCATCAGTGGTGCATGATAGTCGCTAGTTTCGATAAGAAGAATGTTTATAAAAGCGAGATGGAAGGAGTAGGTCATGCTAGCGTTGTGAAAAAGGGTGTGCATAAGAGAGGTACGAATAGTTGTGAATATGTCAATAAGCTTTGTTGTATATGGTGGTAAGAAAATGCCAGTCCTTTAGAATAAACACAATTTGCACCCTTTCAACAACCTGGTCTGAGAAAACCACCTGGTTATGCGCGTAAGAGGGATTCTATTTTTCAAATTTGGAGAAACAGCATACTACTACTTTATTTCATCAATGTACTAAACTTGTTAGTCGTGGTCAATGTGCTAAACTTGGTGGTCTGTGGCTGGTGTTGCTGCTGGTGTTGATGCCGTATAACTATTGGGCGTTCCTGTCTTGCGAGGACATCTGTACGTGAACCCGACAAAAGCCAGCCGTTTCTTCATATCAAGCATAGCTTCGTCCTCTTCAGATTCGGGGCTCTTTTGACTGTCATTAGAAGCAAGCATCTTTTTAGCAACTTCGTCTTCATCGATCTCATCAAAGTGTTTGGTATCATCTTCACGACTCAAATTTGGTCTGAATGGTGGCCTAGCAGTTCGTAAGCCGTCCCAATCAATATCGCGGAACCATGGGTGGGTTTTTATGTCATTGGCATCTCCTGGGCCGAGTAATCGTGACAGTCCATCACCTCCAGCTGGAATGGGTATAATGACACCGCCGTATCGAGAATCCATGTCACAAATCAAGTGTTCGATTAGATCTTGAGCTTCTCGAGATACGACGGGCTTAGAAGGGAATCTGAGCGTCTGCCTCCAGTTGACGATTTTCACCTTGGTGTGTTGTCGATTCTTGGAACAGAATGGTGGGAAGCCGTACAGCATTTCGTAAATTATCACTCCGAGCGACCACCAGTCGCATCTCTTGTCGTATCCTTCTCCTAATAGCACTTCCGGCGCGATGTAATTGTTTGTACCGACGACACTGTAAGCTGTGGTCTTCCTGTTCTTATCTCTCCATGCCAAGATTTTTTCCTGAGGTGGTGGAGCAATAATCTCAGCTTCGGAGATGTCTTCATCTTCGTTCGTTGTGAGACTATGGCTGCTGTGATTGTTGTGTGTGTCTTGCATTGCTTGATCTCTTGAGACTGCATTCTTTGTCGCCTGTACCTGAGCTTGATAATACGTCGAATCGTGAGCCCAATGAAAGTCAGTAGCCAATCCAAAGTCAGATAATCTGATGTGACCTTCTCCATCAAATAAAAAGTTGTCAGGCTTGATGTCTCGATGTATCATGCCGAGTTTGTGCGCCTCTTCCTAAATATGTAAATAAGAGTAAAAAATACGTAAGGGTATGAAAAATACATATTTTATAACGATAGTTTACGATAGCTAAGACCATCTCTGCGGCGTAGAATTTGGCAAAGTCCTCCTCGAAAATGTCTAGTTTGATGAGGAGACTCAAGAAATCACCACCACCCATATATTCCATGACAAAGTAGAGGTAATCGTTGTCTTGGAAGGAGTAGACTAGCTTTACAATCCAGTCCGCGACTTCTGCCGCTTCGGAGAGTAAATCACGTTCAGCTCTAACGTGAGACTCCTGATGTCTTCGAATCATATCTGCTTTACGTAATATTTTCATGGCGTAGAATTCTCCAGTAGCCTTTTCTCTGACAAGTCTGACCACTATTGTAACGTGAGAATAACGTGAGTATGAGCTTCGCTTGGTCATAAAGAGCTGGGAATCATACCTCCAAATGCTCCATGTCCCACCGTCTTTACAGCTTCAAAGTCTGAGACGGTAATCCGTTCTCTCTTGAGCCGGGTGTGTTCGGATTCTTTGAGAAGCCATTCCTGTCTAACAGCTCTCTTTTCAGAGTCAGACATTTCTTTGGCGTCTGCTAACTCTTCTTCAAGCACCATCCTGCGCTTTGCACGGCCAGCTGGTCCTGACTTATATAGTCGATCAAAGTGCAGTTCGAAAAACACCTTGGCAGCAGCAGATTTTTCGACTGTGGCCATACTGATGGGCTGTGGTGGTGTATCTTCTCGTTGTCTGGGGCCTGGTGACTCTGAAGTTGAATTTCGAGGTTGGAAGGGTTGTATCAAGGAGCGGAAAGCACGAAATCCACCGGAAACGAGTACAGTGGAAGACGGTTGATTCGTGGTTACGAAGGAATCAGTTGATTCCGAGGAGCTACTAGAGCTTCCTTTCGCTGTCACGTAGGATGGATCCGATTGACGTACTACGAATGAAACGTTAGTATCGTAAAGTTCACCGTTTTCCACGATGGTGTACCTGGAACTCCCGAAGAGCGAGCATTATATTCGTTTAGTTCGGCTAATGCGAGAGTTGCTTGTTCTGGTGTCTGGTGTACAAGGTGCCTATGAGTAAAACGCGTCAGTTAGTTCAAAAAGTTTGCAATTCAACGTGATTTGAAGGGTAAGGAGTACTGGCCACGTACTCAAAATTAGTAGGAGCACTTATATTCTGCTTTGAAGGTGAGACATTCCTCTTGAGTTCAGTGGCCATTCGACCAAATGTTGCAAAACACACTAAGAGAGAATCAAGAAAAATCCCCTGGTTTTGATTTTTGCTCCAATCAAAGAGGCCACGAGAACCTTTACAGACTAATCCTGTTGCTGCTTGCAGAAAGCAGTTGAGATAGAGACTCCTTTTTGGTCAACCTTTGCCGAGGAGGTTTTCTGAAAGGCAACGATGGATTACGATGCGCCAGACATATATGGAAATGAATATGGAAATACCAACATCATGTATCAAAATCAGGCTCCAATGGTAATCATCCTCGATGCCTCTGCCTTGTCATCTTGTTCGTATTTCACTAACATCAAACATTATGTCAAACTTATGCTAGGCTGCGAGCACAAATGGCCAATATCCAATACATCAACGGCAACAGCAAATGTATGCTGTCGAAGAGGATGAATCTGCTGCCGTAAATGTAATAGGAGGTCAAGTCTTTGCTCCACCACGAGAACGACCTCCTTGGGGAGAAGGGCCAACGGGATGTATTATATCAAACCTCGCGTGGGTATGTTGTAATTATACTCTGTGTTTACAAATTAGATGGAAATCGATCTTCACTTGCTCGCATCGTTGCGTCATCGAAAACAAACTTTGATGTTGAATCATTGTTGTTGAATATCGACAAGGACACAACATTGTACTAGACACTCAACGACTTTCTTTCTCATTTATAGTGGACTGCTGATCTAGACCTTCAGGAAATGTGTCTGGAAGCTGGAGTCGGAGATCCTGACACTCTACAAGAGTTGCAATTCACCGAATTGCGAACTAATGGAAAATCCAAGGGTTCTGCATACCTGCTCTTCTCAAATGCAGATGCTGCAAGTCAGGCCAAGCAATTTTTTGAGGGAGTGTGCGTAAATTATTGTCAATCTAGTTTCAAGTTTTTATGTCTTAAATGTCAAATACGGGTGTTGGATAGAATTTTGTTTGGTCATACCTTTCGTATGCTCCAAATGTATTTATTACATTTTAGAAATGAATGTGTACCCAAACGAGAAAAACAAAGACGAAAACAACACCCCTTTTTCATTATCTTTTACTGCTTGATTAATGACAAACCATTCTCCTATATTTTAACAGTGAAGTTCATGATCGGCGACCTACTGTGGTATTCGTACAACCTAGGAATCCGTTTCGTGAGACCCCATCAGAACCTCCGAAACCAGCACCACCAAGACCTGCCGATGGTATAGGTGCTCAACCAATAAAACCAACAGAAGGTGATATTGAGGAAGAAGAAGAAGAAGAGGTTGTAAGACCGCAAGAATCTGACTCGATGATGATGGCTCCTGGCGTAATGTATCCACCACAACAGCACCATTTAGCTCATCCACCATACTATCGACCTCCTCCAGCTTATGGCCGACCTCCTCCATTACCACGTGGTGGTGGCAGAATAGGCGGTCCTCCATTATATAGACCAGATGGCTACTATGATCACGGCGGATACGGTTATCCAGGTCCACATCCACCAATGCCTTATGTCCCTCCGTCGTATGGAAGACCAATGCCGTATCCTCCTCCTCCAGGAATGCTCCCCGGAAATGGTTATCCACCTAGTATACCACCGTCGTATCCGTATGATAATCAACAGCCAGGTCCCGATTGGTCTGGTCAGGAAGAAGATGTACGTAAAGACGACTCACGAAACTCAGAGGCAGGTGATTATAGTCCTCGTCCAGCTGGTGGTGAAGGTCCAACATGGACTGAGGATTGGCAACCACGATTTGAAGGAGATACTGTTGGATATAGACCGTCACAACGACATCGATCACGAGGTGGGGGACCTAGTAGTGGTAGTCATAGGCCTAGTGGTAATAGACCACCTATATCACCACGTAAGCCATCGAATGTATCAGTTACTGAACGGACGACAATAGCAGAAGAACAAAGTAGTAGTAAATCACGTAGGGAAAGTTCACGTCGTCGTCGCTCTCGCTCTAGATCGGATAGTGTGGTAGACGAAGCTGGTGGTGGTGATAGTGGTGCGGCTGGCGGTGGTGGTGTCAGTAGCAGTCGAAAGGAATCTAGCAGCAGACGTAGTAGTCGAAAACACCGTCATTCTTCTCGTTCCAGATCACCATCCTCGAGACGAAGGGAACGTGGAGACCGAGATAGAGAACGTGATAGAGATCGTGATCGAGATCGCTCGTCTAGAAGACATAAATCATCAAAGTCTTCACGACATCGGTCAAAGGATCGGTCTGGTCGGTCAAAGGAAGAACGCGAACGAGAACAATCTGTTAGTAAAGAACAAGGAGACGGCGAACATGATCAAGCTGCAGAAAAATAGCATAGTCTTGTAATAAAAGTGGTTGATTAAATACACGTTGCGGTTGCATCACTTGAGCCTCTGTCGACAACTTTGCATCAACCATGGGCGCATCGCTGATGTTGCTGCTGTGCGTGACTGTAGCAGCACTTTCCACATTCCAGTTTGGATTTGCCAGTGGTGTCATCAAGTACGTGGTCGTCGTAGTCGTCGTGTTCATTTGATGTTAAGTTTGTGTGAGCTGGTTGTGTTTTTGACTGACGTTGACACTTGAATTTAGTCAGCCCAGGGATGCTATTGTAAGCAATGAAATATTTCTATATCCCGTTGAGCTTCTGCCCCAGAGCTTAACGTCAAAGATCAAACATTGCACGACAACGTTTTGGGATGTCGAAGCACCGTTTTTTCATGAGTGCCAAACGCACTGTATTGGATCCAGAATTTACAACATTCTATCGCCATCGTAGACTGTTTGCAAAGAAATTGAAGCTCCCAATCAAGTATTGCCAAACTGTATTCCAATGAATGACATCGAATGGGGCCTCTTCGTGTCCTTGTAAGTAGGAAGGAATGCGCGATGGTATTGTAACAAGTAATACTCTCAATTGATATACGCTACTTACAATAGGTTTCTTCTCGGAGGCATTCTAGGAGGCTTGAGTGGAGGTTACGCATCTACATCACTAGGTCGACGCCGCGCGCTATTATACAACAATCTGTGGTATTTTATGGGTGGAGGCTTTCTAGCTCTTGGAAATAATGCCATACAGCTAATGTTTGGAAGGTTTCTTGTTGGTATTGGCGCAGGAGTTTCAACCGTAGTCGTTGGACTGTATATCAACGGTAGACCAGAGCTTTCGAACAGAAGATTAGCTCTTAATGGAAGCATCAACTCATCATTTTACTTAAATTTTAGAATTGGCACCACCATTCCTACGCGGCAGCTTAGGAGCTTGTAATCAATTATCCATCGTTGTAGGTGTTGGAGTCTCTCAACTGGTAAAAAATATCTAAATGTTGGTTTTTTAGGTAGGTGTTGGTGTCTCGCAGCTTCTTGGAATCTGGCTTTCTACACCGACGCTGTGGAGGTCGTTGTTTGCCTGCACCTGGGGTAAATACCTATATGTTCCTTTCAGTCTTGCTCCACCAGAAGTATTAATGACAGGGTGATTCCAATTGGATTAGTGGCATCTCTCATTCAGTGTTTCCTTCTTCCATTTTGCGTCGAATCGCCAAGGTAATGAGAAGCAGACAGTATTCAAAAGGAATCAAACTCTTTGCAAGAACTTGCTGAACTTTGCACCAACACGCTTACCGTCTTATTTTTTGTAGGTGGCTCTCATCGCAAGGCCTTGTTTTGGATGCAAAACGGGCTTTACAAAAGTTACGAGGAATAGATGGAGTTGATGACGAACTTACAGGTACTTACGTCATCCCACGCTTACCATTGAAGTCAAATCACGAAATCTCAAAGCTTCCTTAGATATCTTGTCTGTGGCTGGAGCTACATCAAATGACAGTTTGGATGCGCGGCCATTCAGACCTGGACATGACTTTGAAGATGATGTCGAAGGACGCGGAGAAGATGGCAACGATGCCGATGATGAGAACGACACTCTGCCTATAATCTCAGCCTCGTCTCCTTCACGTATTCACCGAAACCATGGGCTGAAACCAACTGTTACAGTCTTCAATCTGTTTAAAATCAAGGCATTACGAGGTCCCTTGATTGCTGCCTTTGGATGTCAGGTTGCACAGCAACTCTCTGGCATCAATGCTGCGATTTACTACTCTACTACGATATTCAAACAGTCTTATGATGCCAAGACAGCGACCCTTCTAACGATGATAGTGTCACTTGTGAATTTTGTAATGACTTTGGTGAGCTTAGTGTTAATTGAGAGGCTGGGAAGAAAGCAGCTCATAATCATCTCTCAAGGGACTATGGGTAAGAATGACAGAGAAGTAAATCATGGATAGAATTGCAAGCTATCAGAACCATCAACGTCTATGTTTTGGTTTCTCTTTGGGGATTTTCTTGAAATACTGTTTAAATACTCTGTTGAATTGTTTAGGAGTTTGTGCACTGGGACTCGCTGGAGCATTTTCACTGAATTTTGCTCCATCTGTGATCGCATTAATGCTTATGATGTTTGTTGGAGCATTTGCTGTGGGACTTGGACCCGTAAGTGCTTCAGTTTTTGCGATACTATGGCTCAAACCACGTTTGACGATGCAATCTCTTTAGATACCGTGGTTGATACTTCCAGAACTTATTCCCTCTTATGCGACCGGACCATCAGCATCGATATGTACCGCAATCAATTGGACATCAAGCTTTGTAGTGGCATTGGTTTTGCCTTCAGCTATATCGCTCGGTGAGTCTCGTTACTACAAAATGTCAGCCCCTACGAATGACTGACCATTCGGGTTGCCTCTGTAGCTGGCTATTTCATTTTTATAGTTTTTGGAGGACTATTGGCCTTATTTACGACATTTAGTGTGTTCATGTTGCCTGAAACAAAAGGAAAGACAGTGGACCAAGTTTTGTTATATTTTAAATAAAGTCATAGTGTATATTGTAACTCTTGAGGTTGAAGTTTGCATCGTGATTAACTTGCGGCGTGTTTTTCAATGTAATAGCAATCCGGCGGCAATGACGGTCAAAAATCACGAAGCGATACATTCTCTACGTCCGGATTGCCACTTCGCGAGTTACGAATGTCAAATCCCCAAAGTCAGTCATTACAGTCGCACGTGGATTCGTACTTTTTTTCCAATCAGTAGGTCCCTCTGTTTTTCTTCCTCCAACAAGGTTAAGAGGTAAAAGGACATCTTCAACCAAAGAAATTTAGCTAATTGCAGTAAATTAAAAGCTCGTCCTCCTAGCGATTGGTAAAGTGTTTGACTTTGCAAACACGCCAAAAGACCAGTGACTTTACGAACTAAAATGGACACTGAATGGTGCTCGTGTGGTGTTAGATTATTGGAGGTACGTCTTTCTACATATGCTCTGACACGATTTTCCTTCTTTTGGTGGTTGCATCTGTCTGCCTGAACATGAAATTGTCACTTACAACATTCAACATCTGTTACCAGGATCAAACGCAGTTCTGCTCGGATGCATGCAAGAAAATAGAGCTAGAGATATCAGTAAGCTCAGTGGCATCTGTGGCCGTCTCATGTGAATTCAAAAACCGGAAGGCACGTCGCAGGTCCTCAGCCTCTTCCACCTCGTCTTCAATATCAAAGCTGTCATTCGGCGAATATCCAAAGGAGCATATTACTATCATGAAGACTGTAACGTGCTAGCATGGCACGGTTGGTTGGAGGAGAAAAGGTCATCGTCTTGTTGTAACATGGAATGTACACATTTTTGGATAGATCATCGGTGCCATACTCATTACATAAACGTCCTCATGCTTACAACATAAAATACAATCATATATCACACTCTACACAACTTGCTTTGTTGCATCAGCATGACACAAAACTCAACTTTGAACACAGCTCGGACAATAATGACAGACAAGGACAAGACATTGCTAGATAGATTCGCGGCTCTCTCAAAGACTCCAAAAGATGATCAGCCAATAGCCAGGTACGCGATTACTTTTTGGTTCAAAACGCAACCAGTTTTGCTCCGATCAGCAACATTGACCAACAAAAGGGACATGGACTAACACAACATTTAATCTTTCAACCATAATAATAGCGAAGACGAACTGCTGTCTAGATTCACCAAACTCACAGGCCATGCGCCAATATCATCAGTGCCAACAGGCATCACCACCACAAACAACTCTTACAGGCTAGATCATCCCAACGAACTACACGAAGACATCATAAACGAACTGCTTCATGAAGGACTGGACGATATCCACCTTGACGGCTACGAAGAACCTCATATATCGCTTCCAAACGGACATCCAACAACACCCTCAAAATACGTCGACTTTATTGAATTACTCTCTACTACAACATCACCAGCTTCAACCAAACGCACTAGTGCAGCATTTGACGATATTGATCCCGATGTAAAAGCTCTGCTAGACGAAGTACATACCGAAGTGAAACTCGAAAACAAGCATGGAGAGATAGTAAGGAATGATGAATTATCGCTCATGGAACGAGTGAGGAAACTCAAAGAGCTTGAAATATCATCGTCAGCTATGACGGAGTCTAGTAAAGCTGATAATGGGAATAGCGCGAATGCGTCTGATAAGAAGAAACAGCCTGCCGTGAATAGTAGCAGCAGCAATAACGGTGGTACTGGTAGCAACAAGAAGAAGATAGTCGATAAGACGGCCAAAATCACATTAGGTGCTCCTCCAACCGTACCGTCACTCCAAGACTTTTCCAATGAGGATGATCCAGACACTTGGTGTTGTAAGTTTCTAATTTTATCCTGGGTTTCACCTGTTTGTGAGCCTACTTCTGATCCTTATTCTCTACCTGAACAGGTATATGCAATGACGATGCAGTAGTGAGTTGTCACGAGTGTGACGATGACAAGTACTGCTTGACGTGTTTCCGAGCAGGCCACTATGGGAATGATCCAGAGCTTCGCCGCCATGTTGCCACAAAGTATGTGAAGCCAAAAAGGACCTTGAACTGATGCTCTTGGTATCATCGCTTTGTAAACACAGGTGTAGTATATATACATATATAATCAAGACACAAACAACTACGAATACTTTTTGTCACATTTACAATTATTATGTACTCGACACCTTATCTCGTATTCTTTGTCTGATGATTTCTCGTACAGCTGGTCGGTCGTCTCCATTTTGATGAAGCTTGGCTTTAGATCCAGCCAGTCTACTGGTGGACCCAACCAGGTTTTGAGATTGCCCTAATAGTATCTTTCGGGTTGTCTCTGAGAATCCTCCAAGGTCTGCTTCGCTGAAGAATGCTGCTAAAGTATCTGATCTACCCAGAGTGGCTGCAGTCTCTGTCTTTTTGGCCTTAATCCTTGACGACGGAAGTGAGACGGTTAACGATGGCTGAGAACCCACAGTCCAATCGTTCACGGTTTGCTGAACTGGAGTATTGCTACTATTACTCTCCGTCTTTTTAGGTCGAGGTATAGTGGGCTTTATGACGGTCGACTGTCTAGGAGTCTCATCGTCATCCAAGTATGTGCTGCTCTCCATCACAGCTGCTGGTATTATAGATGACATTGACTTGTGTGATGAGAGACTGGGAGTACTAGTAGCAGCATTCAGCGTAATGGTTGGCTTTTTCAATGTAGATCCAGACGACGATGCTACTGCTCCCCGTGACAGGCCAGGCATAGAAGCTCCTACATTACGGTTAAAACTACCAAGGCGAGTCGGTGAATCAGGCACTTTCAGTGATGATTCTGATGGTTTGGTAGAGAGTTTGCTTCGTGAGGGAGAGGTGTCTTCAGATTCGTCTTCCTTTATAGTTACTGGACGTCTCTCTCCACTGGGACGTCTCTCTCCACTGGGACGTCTTTCTCGACTGGGACTTCGACTACGTGGCGATGGTACCATTACTTCTACTACTGCCTTGGTTTCCTTCACCTGAGGTTCAGCCATAGGTTCAGACTTCTTAGATTCTACAGCCCGTGGTAAATCATCTATACTACCCATGGCGATTGGCATAAATGTATGGCTTCGTGATATATTGGAAGGAGATTCCGGTTGCTGCGACAACGTCCTGAGTTGTGCAGGAGGTGTTGTACCCAACAAGTCAGCAACTGTAGTGCGTGCTGGAGAATTATGCCTTGATGCAGAGGCCTGAGTCAGAGTTTGCAGCTTGGACGACAAGGATTGGTTTGTACTATTGAAACAAGCCTTGAGGTTTACTTTCCTGGAACGAAACTGAACATATGCCAATTAGTTGCGTACCTGGTCAGTGCTACAATGACATTTAATAAATCATAGCCTGTCTTGTCTTTCACCAATTGCTCTACATCAGCCTTGGCCAATTCAGCTTGACTAGCTTGATTTAAAACCTTTGCCTCATCCGGTGTCCATTTCTTATCACGTGCAGCTACTCCCTGTCTATCAGGACTAGCTTGACTAATCCTATTTGATGGCTCTGGAGTTTTACTTCCCTTCAATCTATTGACTTCCCATTCAAGTCCTTGCACACGGCCCTTTACTTCTTGACCTGATTCTTCTAGATGGATGATTCTACGTTCGATTTCTTTTACTGAATTTACTGTCGAGTTGATGGTCGTCCCTGGGAATAGCGGTGGAGTTCCAGAGTCATTGATACCACTTTTTTTGGTGGGTGATGTTGGACTATGACTGCTTACAAAGCTCAGAGTTGGCGATGGCTCTGAGGCTGCTGTGACTCTAGCACGTCTTTCGGCCTCGAGCATTTCAGTCAACCTCAATACAGTATTACGGAACTGTCGGTTAGCTCTCTCTAGCTCCGAGCACTGCTTTTTAAGACCTTCTACATTCTCAGACACGGGCGTACTAGGATTTTCATCACCATGTTGACTTTGTGCGTTTACGGCAGCTTCAGCTCTTTCAGCCCGTTCTCGTAAACGAGCAATCTCAGCTTGGAGCTCATTCACAGCAGTTGGTGAGGATGCTCGGAGTTGAGGAGAGTGTGGCCTAGGTGGTATTCCCAACGTTGATGCAGCAGGCCGAATAGGTGAAGTACTTCTACTAGTGGGACGCTCTCCAAACTCGGTGATGTTCATGTGTTGAGCCAGTTGCCTTTCTCTAGCTGCTAAGGAGCTCTCTCTCAGATCAAGAGCAGCTCGTTCTCGTTCCATGGCATTCTTTTCAGCTTCTATTTTACGTAGAGTGGCAGCAACGGAGGGATCTTCTACAGAGCCTTTACGAGATGGACTAGCACGAGCAGTTTCAGATTCTTGTCTACTTATTGACCTAAGTTTGACTTCCCATTCAGCAACCATAGTTTCACGTTCTCGTAGACTATTACGTTCAGATTGGAGCTGCATACGCTCTTGCTCTGCTGCAGCAATTACTACAGAGCGTTCTGTCTCGAGAGCCTGTTGCATCTGCAGAGCTCTCTGTATTTCCATTTCAGCAGCCTGTTTAAGTGCCATAGCCTGATTCTGTGCATTTACCGCTTGAGACTCTAGTTGCTTTACTCGGTTTGTGTGCTCCATTGCCACATTCAGCTCTTGCTCAGCATTCTCTGCTAAGCGAGAGGCAGCTTGTTCTCGTTCAGCTAGAGTGGCTTCTGCTAAATCTATTGCCTGTCGGCGTTCTTCGAGTTTTTGTTCCAGTGCTGAGGGTGTTTCTTCTCGATGAGAATCACCGTTTGACATGATACTACGGGCCTGCTTTTCCGACTTTATATCTTCTATAAATCTTTCAGCTTCTTCTCTAGCTCTCGATGCTCTCTGCCATTCCTCCATAATTTCATTCTTCATTGCTGCCATGGCCTGTGTGGCTTCTGCTCTCAAGGAATCTGATTGGGCTATGGCATCATGTTGGGTCTTTTGTAGAAGAGCTTCAGCATCTTTACGGGCTTGTAATGCAGCTGTCAGATGAGTATCAGCCTCTCGAGAACGGGCCTTGTTCCGTTCAGACATTTCCTCATCAAGCATTTTCTGCAAGAGAATGACCTTCTTTCTCAAGGTATCTCTTTCGCCCTTGATTTCTTCTAATGCTTTTGTCGTATCAACTCTTTCTCCTACAGCCGATTCCATGACTTTACGTGATTCTGCTACGTCACGAGACAATTTTTCTCTCTGCACTGCAATCATATTATTTGCAGCGACAAGCCCCTGTTCTGTGTCGTGTAATTTACGAGCCAACTCTCCATTTACAGTATTAGCTCGATCTACCCGAGCGTTAGCGGCGTCTAGGTGTGATTCTAGGACTGCTACTCGTGCACGGAGAGCAATCATGCTATCGTCGGGTTTTATGGACTCGGCTGGTGTAGGAGAGTGGCTTTGGAAGGGAGATGAAGTTTGTCTGGTTGGGCTCTGTCGTGTTGGGCTGACGTTGCGGACCTCATTAGAATATCGTGAGGGCTGTGGAGGTGGGCGAGATGGTTCTGGCTCACTCGTGTCAGATGGTGGTACTCTATTATTACGTGCGAGTTCAGCTGTCTCACTACTGCTGTATGATCCGATTATTCCTAGCATATCTGTTGAGCCCACACTCCAATTCTTTGTGTGGTTGTTTTGAGAGGCGATTCGTGTAGTATTGTGTTGAGGTTTTGGCGTTGGACTGGGCACTCGTGGTGGTTGGCCTTGATAATACGAGTCCACAATGCCAGAATACAATGTATCTGATGATGGCATCGTCTTCAAAGTGCCCACATTATGCTGCAACGCGTTGACATTTATTGCACTAATGGGGAGGTGGTGATCCTCGGTTGATGTTGGTGACTGCTGAGTAGAGCGTGCAGCTTGGAACTTCTTTAACTATAGGAATAGATGTAATCACTGTCAATATCAATGCTTATTGGTGCAGCATTACAGAACATATTCCCAGTTCTTTCGACTTTTTCACGATCTTTTGGCAATTTAATACCAGACGCGGAAAACAACCCCACCTTTTTTCTGGCAAGTTTGAGCTTGTGATCCCTTTCTTCTGGAGTCTCCATAGTGAGCAGTAAGTGTCTTTCCCTACTTCATGCCCTGGAATCACTTAAATTGGTTTCTGCTTGCAGCTAACGATTGTGGTGTGTGAAAGGCGCTCACGACGAACGGAAACTAACAGAACTAGTATAGATCCAGCTTTATTTAGTGATATCGCGAATATGGCAGGCCAAACTATCACCGAGGACGAGTCGAACGATTCATCAAACACTTCATCATCAACAATCCGAATCTTTGCTCGTGTAAAACCACCGCGAGCATCAGCCAAGCAGCAAGATCATAACAAGAAATATTGGATTTCTGATGCTCAAGCAGACGGTGACGATGTGCAGAACTTGCCACGTATTGGGTTTCACCTCCCGCGGAATGAAGCTCAAGGACTGATCAACCATTCGAGAGAAAACTATGAATTCGCATTCGACAAAGTATTTGATACCAATACTACTCAAGAGGAAGTCTTTGATCTAGTTGCAAAAGATACTGTCTTGAGGTAGAGACATTGTGCCGTAAAAATTGTTCGCTGAGCCTCCGTTGTAACAGACCTTCCGTTTTCTAGTGTGCTGGATGGCTACAACGGAACCATATTCGCATACGGTCAAACAGGTTCAGGAAAAACCTTCACTGTGACTGGAGGTGCCGAGAAATACTCGGACCGAGGACTGATACCGCGAACATTGCAATTTATCTTCAAGGAAGCACAGAGAGTGAGCTGCTTGAGACGATAGACGACTCGCCGATTGTCAAACATTAACCATTCTCATGTAGAGAACCGGTGCCCACTACGAAGTCGCTATCTCATATTTGGAAATATACAATGAGATAGGATACGACCTGCTAGACAACTCACGAGATGCTAGTAAATTGGAAGACCTACCGCGAGTTACTCTTCAAGAAGATGTGGACGAACGAATTCATTTACGCGGATTGTCGGCTGTAGCTGCCAGCAACGAAGAGGAAGCTCTAAATCTCTTATTTGTCGGAGATACCAACCGAATGATTGCAGAAACACCTTCCAATCCTGCATCTTCTCGTAGTCATTGTCTTTTCATTGTCTCCTTGACTTGCAAGGTCGAAGGTTCAGACAGTATTCGAAAAAGTAAACTCCATCTAGTCGATTTGGCCGGTTCCGAACGAGTTAGTAGAACACACATAGGAGGCAACCTGCTCAAGGAAGCTAAGTACATTAACTTGTCGCTGCACTACCTTGAGCAAGTCATCGTGGCCTTGCATGAAAAGACGCTTGGGAAAAGAACTCACATCCCATACCGTAACTCGATGATGACTTCCGTTCTACGTGATTCGCTGGGAGGTAATTGTAAGACGTCCATGGTGGCAACTGTAGCTGTGGAAGATCCGTTGGTGGAAGAATCTATATCCACCTGTCGATTCGCTCAAAGAGTAGCTTTGGTTGCCAACAATGCTCAAGTCAATGAAGAAGTTGACCCGCAAATGATTATTGCCCGACTGAAACGAGAAATCGCCAGGCTCAAGGCTGAACTCGCCTTGGCTAAAGGTGGGACGGATCAAACTGACGAGGAATTGCCTGTATATGAAAAGGAGAGGTAATCGGAAATATCCCTTTCAGCTACGAAGACCAATCTGAAACGAATTTCTTTCATCAGAGTTAAACAGGCGGTAGATGATTACTTAGCAGACAGCTCGCCAGATGCTTCACTTGTTTTTGGTGATTTCAAACGAATCCAAGAAGCATTCAAAATACTCAAGGCAGGGCATACGTACACTTTAACTGGCAGTATCCATTTTCCTTACCTTTCTGCCTTACAGAAGCTCCTGGCTGATGCTGCTTTGAAACCAAGAGTTAAAGATAGTCAAGAACCTGTGCGAACCCAAGTTATAGAAAAAGTCGTCGAGTCGAATGATTCAGTATCTAGAGTGGAGTCTGAAAAGCTTCGAATGCTGCTTTCACATAGAGACAATGAAATCAGTTGAGTCGCAAATTCCAAGTTCTCACCGATGTCCTCATCTCACCTATTTGGTACTATAGGTGTTTTGGTCGCCACACTGAACGATTACAAGAGCAAGTTTGGGATACCCGCAACATCAAACGCCTTGCAAGCGTTTACACTCCAATCACGTTCATCTGCGCCATCGATTGTAGAGCAACAAATTCAAAAACCTTCAACAATACCAACCACACCAGCATCAATACCATCAACAGCGACATTCATTCCTACCACAACAACAACGATGACGGCCCCATCGTCGGCATTGAACGAGACACCATCTCAAAAGATAGCAACGCCGGGCACTTCGGAGGACAAGGCTCGTGCACTGGCTATATTTTCTCAAAGTTATCCATCTGCTTCGTGGATTGATGGTGCCAAGTCAACACTCAAGTCCAAATATGCAGAAGCAAAAGCGCTTGGAGAGTTTGCTAATGGTCTAAGGAATCAGATTCGTAAGTCTTTCTAGTTGCTACAATCAGAACGAGCCTGAGATGGAGATCGTGACCAAATTTCTATTCCTTTCACAGGAAAGATCAAGACTGAAATGGCTGATGAGACCACCCAGACATGGTCAGAGTCAGAATTGCAGAAGCTAAGAGATCAGCTTTCAGATAATGTTTCAAAGTACGTACCGTCACATATTTGAAAGAAACGATGTAATTGCTCACAGTCATCTTTAGATACAAGACTTCGTATCAAAGTCTCAAGGATATGAAGATGGAAATCGAGCATTCTCAACACTTACTCGAGCAAGCAAGACTGAGGTTACAACGTGATTTCGAACACTGGTATCTTACGGTGTACTTGCCAACGGAACCACCATCGCCGGAAACCACCTCAAACATCGAAATCATTCAGCCTGGAGCTTATAGAGAAGCAGTGTTGACTCGATTTGACAGCGGGAAAGATGTCTCGCTACCTTCAGACTATGCCTCCTTGAATGTAGTAGTGCCATCTAGAACAGCATCGCTAACTGCAACGCCTCCAAGTATACCGTCGTCAAAGCCAGTTCTTCCAGTCGCAACATACTCTTCAAACGCATCTCCATCCTTACCACCATCAGCACCATCACCAGCCTTTATTCAACACGGGCACTCGCCAATCACTTCGTTATCAAGTTTAGCTAGGCAGACGTCATCAGATCAGCCACAACGAGACTGGAGAGACACTTCAACTCCCATACCACCAAGGCTAACATCACATGAATCTTCAATGTATACACCTGACAGATACAATATAGGAGATCGGCCAGGATATTTGCCGACACCAAGCATGTCTGCTCGACCTAGCAGTGCTGGAAGTACAACAAGGTCGTTAGTGCAATCACCCGGTCCACATGAATCGTCAGAGGAATGGGGCTCAGTACGCTCTGAATCACCGCAAGGCTTCTCAAGTTATGGTGGATCAGCTGGCAAGACATATGATTCAAGTCGAATGATGCGTTTGCTGCCGACTCCCACGCCATCTGTAATATCTTCAGACGCAATGTCACCTAGATCATCTGCTTATGGCAGTGTCACTTCACTAGCTGCGCCACCAACTCTACTAGGAAAAGTTGGTGACGATATTCGTGCCTTTTATAGGACGAGAGATAATCTAATAAAAGGAAACCGCTAGATAACTCATGATATTATTCACGTGCTTCATATTAAAATATATATAGTTTGTTTAATACACGAGTTGCTGAGGATTTGTTTTGTTATTGCGAGTTGTTATTTATACGTCTGAGAGTTGAAGCTAAGAGGAAAAGAAAAGCATGGCGTCAGATCATTATCGCGGCTTGCGTTTAAAAAAGACATGCTGCATACCACTGATGCGACACCACGGCAGATCCAATGCTTCTGAGGGTGACTACTTGGGAGCTGTACGTTCATCACATAGTTCGTAGAGTGACCTGTAGTAGACAACGTTCCTCTACGTGCTGAAGTTTTGTACAATGGACATTCATAATATCCTCCAGTGTCTTTTTTAGCAACCTCGTCATCTTTAATGGGAGTCATCCGAAGTACGGGTAGTGCATCTGTGAGCATTTTCGGGATTGATTCATCAATCACTCGTGTTTCACGATTCCATCTGGCTCCTTCCAAGAAGAGACCACGCACATATACTCCATCTGTTGGTGGTGTCGTGTAATCATCGAGATCCATGACCTCATACTTGAGTGTCAGCAAGTCAATTGGTATCTGATATTTTCGAGAGTAGTTTTGCATTGTTGCTAATTTGAAGAAATTAGGGGTCAGCGAAAGAATAACCGCAAAGAACTCTAACACGCTTACCTGTGATGAAGGATTGTGGAAAGTAGAACCCAGACATCCAAAAAACTGCTGGTTGGCCGACATCTATCCAATCCTGGAAAAACTTCAATCGAAGAAGGAAGTCCGTTATATAACCTCCCAAGGGCTTGAGTGAAGGATATGACTTGTTTGCCCACATTTCTGGGACTCTTCCAAGTGTAAGACTGTTGGCCACTTCTTCCAAATCCTTGGACATTACCACAAGACCACGAAGGGCTTTGAGTACACTTTGCAAGCTCTCTCGAATGATTACTAGCAGCTTGTTGAATCGTACCAGTTCTTGGACTAGAGTCACATTCATGGATTCTTCGTAGGATACTGGATATTTCTTTTGGGTGCCCCTGACATCGAAGTCAGCTGGTAGTTTGTCCAAGATTCCAGTAGCGATTTCACGACACAAATCGTCTTGTGATCTACCACCAGCATTAGCAGAGACTCTCGCTTGGGTGCTCAATACAGATGAGATGAGCAAGTTTACTTCGTTCAGATCTTTGGCAATATCGGCATTGTCGTGAAGCCCAAATACTTCAGGCGTTTGAGTCATCGGAAGGGACTTGATGTACTGTATATAATTTTCGTGCGAGCCACGAGGAGGAGCTCGGTATAGTCCACTGGGTGAGAAGCTGTATCCTTCTTGTAATATGTCACTGGTATAGAAAGTCGATAGAATATTCATCAAAGTCCTACGATCGTGTGTATCGGTGACACGACCACCATAATTACATTCACCAGCAAGATATACGAGAGCTTTCCATGGAATGTCTTCGTATTCGTTCAAAAACCTATAGTACAGATGAGTAAGCCACTGGGAGTTTTATTTAATCAAATTGCCATGTACCCACTTCTGTAGTTGTCGAACACTCATTCTCAAGTCAGACTCGTTAAACTCATACGACACATTCCAACCAAGTGGACCAAAGTTTCGTCTTTCCTGAATTACAGCATGGAAGCAACAGATTCCATATAAGAGCTTCTCCCATACATTTTCGGCGCCACTCCTGACACCCTTGAAGAAGCTATCGTCACATATTGGATCTGACGTGTACGACCTCAGCAAATTGGCTCTCAAGCCCTGTGGTGGTTCATTTACAATCTTGACGCCGTTTTGTAGAATCGTGACTGGGAAACGATCACTTGGATAACTTGTAAGCCACAATCTGAATTCTGTGTTGGTGGTATCTGGTGTCAATTCTTCACACATCTTTTCCAATGTCGGCAACCAACTAACTGCCAAGTGACAGTTCTGAAGCACCACCCAAGTTCCACTCTTCAGAGCACTTTTTATCATAGATGCGGCGATTGGACCTTGACCTTGTCCCAACGAGATACTGTTGAGACGGTTGCCTGTGATACCTTTAGATTCACCGAATCCAATCAGACTACTCATAGGATCAGACCCGGGTGATAGAATGAATATGAGAGGGGCACACGCATTCGAGTCCTTGAAACTGGCAGCTAGATCAAACGGTGGAGGTTCAATATATCGTTGGCCCATCTTGCCCTTGACAAAGTCTAAGACACCATTCACTATCTTATCAGATCGGATAAGACGAAGCACCACTAGTTTCTGGAAAGCACTTAGACGTTGATCCCAACCACCTGGACTAGCAGCGCGCCATGGCTCGGTACTTTCATATACTTCTCTCCATTTTTCAACGTTTTCTGAGAAGCTTGTAGCGAATCCTTTGAAGGCTGGCATAGCTGAGAGCCTGACAATTTCTCCCCAAGACTTTTCACTTAGCCATGATGGAGCAGGATTTGGTGGACCATCACCACCGACACCCACACCTCCAGTCAGGAAGAACATCCATTCATCTTGATCAATCTCTCCTTTGCCCTTCATTATACCAACACACAAGAGGAAGGAGAAAAGCAGTTTATCCTTCTTGAAGAGAGACCGACAGACATTACAGTATAGCGAGTACGTAAAGTGGCTTCGGAGATTATCTAGACGGGTATCCAATACGTTCGACTTGTCACTATCACTGATGGATTGCAAGAAGAGGTTTATAAACCAGACGAGAGAGTACTGGTACATGGGTTCGATATTGGCAAGTTCGGCGATGACGAAGAAGAGGATCGATGAATGGATAGCGATTGGTCTATATCCAGCTCGAGTTACTTCAATCTGCTTTTCGGTTTCTTCGGCAACTCGTTGTTTCTGAGCAATATCGTCCGAAATAACTTTACTAGATGTTAGAGCATTGATGGCAGCTTCATCTTCTAGCAAGTTGCCTTGAGACTTGGACAGGATTTCGAGAATCTGGTCTTCTATTTCTTTCAGTTGTCTCTTGTTTGATGCTGAAGCAATAACCAAACGATTACGCTCCTCCTCAAGCTCTGGTCTTTCTTTAGCAGCTACTATACCCAAAAGTTGATCTTCAAGACCTTCGGGTGTGATCATAAAGTTGACTATAGTGACCTTGGTCGAGAGTTCTGGCAAATAGTGGGGGTTTCGAAGTTTCGTCGTAACGTAAAACCTAAAGTCTGGAGAGTATTCTACTACAGATTCGCCCAGCTTGATACATAAGACACCGGCTTGCTTGAAGGTCTGCTTCGTCAACAGAGGTTCCAGCACCGAGTCAAGCTCCTCGCCAACATTTTCCAGCAATACTGGTGAGCCAAACTGGATGGCATTCTCGAGTGTTCTGATATAGTCCGAGTCAGACAGCTTGATTATGGCGAGTTTCTTTTGCTTCTCGAGGTTCTTGATCCATTTATTGGCTTGACCTTGTGGATCAATGAACAACGGCCAACGGCGTGACCTAGTAGCAATGATACCATTGTCCTTTGAGAATGCATCATTAGGCAGTCCCGCAAGAGTCCAAGCTCGAAGCTGGATCGGATCTCCGAGAGTGCTGGTAAGAGAGAAGGCACCCGAACAAGATAGCCCTCGTTCGATACATTGTGTTGACCATTCTTGAACACAAGTTTGTCGATAAGCAGATGTAAAGGCACCTAGATATGCAATGACACCAGAACTCAAGAGCACATCACCAGTCAAGTTTGTGTATACGGTCTGCAGAGACTTAGCAGCATCACTCCATCGATCCTTTTCACCACCAAGACCACCAATGAGCTTCTCAGCTCTGTCAAGCTTTTTACCACAAAGATCGACTTGTCTTTCAAGATCCGCCTTCTTGGCAGTCATTTCACTATACTTTTGCTGCAAGTTTGCCATCTTGTCTTCTACTTCCTTCAACTCGGCTTGCTTGGCACTCAGTTTGGCCATCTCTACTGACAATTCGGCTTCTGCACCAGCAAGTGCTTCCTTCTTTGGAGCTACGACTTTGGCAACTACTTCATACTTGTCTAGAGCTCGTACCCATTTGCACAGACCTTCAGCAGCAGAACTAGAGTTCTTGACCACATCTGGATCAAAGTCTGGATTCGGTATGTACGTCTTTCGGATACGTTCGATAATCTTGGGTTGGATATTGTCCTTGTCGTACTCTTTCAATGATTCAAGGAACTTGGGATCAGCTAAAACCTTTTGTGCTGGTCCCCAGAAATCGTCAACCATCTTTCCACTACCAGTAGGATCCTTAACACGAGTAGGTTTCACGTCCTTCATAATACAAATAGCCTCCATGACAAGCTTTACAGCGGCAGGTGGATTCTTCATGGATTTGATCAATGTGATATCTTGAGGTTTCAAAGTATTAAGAGCCTCCATTGCACTTTCCAGAGCTGGAAGCGCTTCTGACAGTTGTGACTCGCAATCATCCTTGATGGCTTGAACAGCTGTGACCTTCTTGTTGGCTACTGCTTCATCTGCTGAAACGATTTCTCGTTTCTTTTCTACTTCAACGGACTCTCGTTGAATGACAACCAGCATCTCTTCTGTTTGCTTGGATGTCACAATCAGCTGTGGCTGCAAGTCCGTCAGCTCTTTGGACATGATGGCAACCTGAAAAGAAATGAGTGAGACGCACCAAAAAAATGGTGTATGCAACAAGAATTCCAACACAGATTAGCTTACCTGTGCTGATGCTGATGCCAGCTGATCCAATCCGACTTCATATCGAGATTTCAACAAGTTGACTTCTCGTCGTTTGACATCCAACAAAGTCTTGTATGTCTGAATGAGCTCCAAATACGAAGTAGGAGTAACCTGAAAGGAAATAAAACTGTGAGCTATACCGTGTCAATTCCGATTTCAAAACGAATACATACGTAATTGTGTCGTCGAAGACCAGCAAAGAACTCCTCAGACAGTTTACGTGCACGGACATGGAATTCCTTGCACATGGCAACAACTGTACCACGAGCATCTCCGTCTAGCTCAACTTCTTCCAAGAACCTTCGAGCTACGACTTCTAGGGCATCTTCAGGCCATACTTGGAACCAATCAATGGTACAACAATTAACGAGAGATGGGAACATACGAAGTCGAGTACGGAATGCATCACCGATAGGACTCATACTCAATACTACGTGCAAGTTTTCTCTACACCGGCTGACAAAGGCACTATACAATGCGGCGGCAGTCATGTCCAGCTTGGGATTTTCTTTCGTCAAGGCCGTTCGTACTTGCTCGACTATGGCTGCCTTCTCATCTGGTGGGAAAAGATTGGGTACTTCTCCGGTGTTAAGCAGATTGTTTATATCCTCCAAGAAGGATTCTTTCGTTATCTGAGTATCACTGAAGAGGAAGACGGATGGAGTTCCTTCACCACCAGCCTTGATCAAGATCCTCTTGAGATCATCTCTCCATTCGGCGTTACCATAGCTTTTACTGATTTCGACTTGGAAGAGATTGTAGTCCGCCATATACGTTGCCAGTTTCGTCAATGACTGACGCCCACTGCCACCAACTCCGACTAAGAGTGCGTGACCTGCTGGTTGCAACAATATACGTGCGACTCGAGATATATGTTCAACAGCATATCGGAAAATGACGAGATTCATTGGAGCCTTAGAGATCTGATTATACTCGTCAAGACGTCCCTTGATGACATCAGAGACTTTCGAGATATTTGCAACCTCATCGTAATACTTCACGGCTGCATCTGGCAGAGCATAGTTTCCAAAGATCAGACTTCTCAAGTCATCATCCTCTACTTTGCCATCCTTGTTTGCATCGAGATGAGCAAAGACTTGGTCGAATTTACCACAAGAGGCAAAGTGCTTTGCTACCAAGTCCCGTACTGTAGTAAAGAACCAATTGCGATCGACATCATCTACAAGACGATCATAAAAGACTCGATAGACTTCATGCGTCCACAGACGCAAGATCTTGGATCCTTCCGTAAACTTGTCTGGACCTGCTAGCAGTAACCCTTGCACCACTCTAGCGAAATCTCTCAAGTTGAATACATAATGAGACTTGCTAGGAGTAGGAAGCAAATTTTGAATGGCTCCTGAATACAAATCAAAGGTGGCTGAAATTAACGGCGACTTGAGTAAGAGTAGCGACGGCTGGAATCCATTATTCAGATGCCATTCGACGATAGTGGAGAAGATCTTCTTCATGGTGATTTCGTCAAAGCTAGCAATACCAACGGTACAGAAGTGACGAAGGAAACGTGAAGTTACTGGATTTCTTCCGCCGCCTGGTGGACCCATTGCTGCAACGAAGCTGATATCCTGTAGAGTGATTGGAGACGTGTCCTTCAAGTCATAGAATATGGAGTGGTCTGCCCATTGACGGAGCAGCTCGATAGGTGGCTAAAAATACACGTTAGTTCTGTCTCCATGCTTCTCAACAAGTCAGTAATCTCGTACCTGCGCGCCATACTTCTCTCTCGCTGGCATGTTCAAGTCATCGATAAAGATGATTGCCTAAAAAGAGTGTGTCAGAACAAATGCATCTGAGACAATCATGTTCCACCAGTGAAGTCCATACCTTTTTGCCTTGAGTAGGACCATAGATACCTCGACGGCGCTTCTCCAATTTTCCCAGAATAATATCCTGAGTCTGGTTGGCACTGGTCTGTGCGGAGAAGTTAATAAAGATGGGAGCGTATTTTGATGCGGGCAGACCATTCAGCAGCTTATTATTGATGTAGACTGATTTTCCAGTACCAGTAGGTCCCACAAACAGCACAGCCTTGCCATGTGTAAGTAGCGTTTCCAACAGATACGTGTATCGTTGCGTATCAATGGTCGGCACGGTGATCTGACTAAACTTGGCACCCTTTGGAATCTCAAAGGTTCCAACAGTGTCTACCCAGAGTTTCCAAGTACCACCATTCTTGCGATCACGTTCAAACATATAATCGTAGACACTGCCTGCTTGCGGTATTGGTACTTCGATCTTTACGTTATTAGGCGGGATTGCAGTACCATCGGCACCTTGCAAGAGTTTCCTAAAGAAGAGGTCGAACTTCCGACGAGAGTCCCCATCTATGCTACCTCCCAGAGACCATATACAAGAGAAGATAAAGATATTGTGGAGCCAGAGATTTATGATATTTGGCGCTGCTACAGCTTCCTGTGCTTGTCCAGTAGGATTGGGCAAAAATTCGTCCAGTTGGCACATTATTAGAGTAGTGAGGGTACTGACTAGATTCTGTGGTGACGTTGTTACGAATTCTTTACAGTCTGCGGTGACAAATTGTATACAGTGAGGTACAATCCAGTCAAACAAGCTCTGTAACAGGGTCTTCATATCCTCCGTGAATGTTGATGGTAGACCAGCAATCCAAGATCGTACAAGTGGCGGCCAGCTCAATGCACCTGGTTCTAGATAAATCATACCACAACGAGATACCGTGGCTGGAGAAGCAACAGCCAAATCTGCAACCTCAAACATACAAGACATTGTCGACGTCATTTGCATAATTTCACCAGACGTAAGACACAGTTTCTTGTTATCGTCAAGCACGGTATTCATATTCTCAATCCAAATGGCATCTACGGGACCATCAAAGACAATCCATCTACGTTCTGCCGTTCCAGCTTGCGCAAAGAAACGGAAGGTAGTTGCCAGCACACCGTCAGTCCATTCGTGAGTGATGGGATCGAATTGACCATATAGCTGACCCATGGTAATAGCCTTAGGATTGAGCACTCTAAACTCGACTCGTTTCTCGTTACCTAGATTCTGTTCTACCATACTGTTTAAAGCGCCAGCCAAGGCACGGTATCCTACAGTCTTTCCTGACCATGGTTGACCAACCAACATGTATCCGTGACGAATACACATCATCTCATACACCTGAATGATCTTGTCTATAGCTATATCTACCGGCTGCAAGTTCATCTTGGCCATTTGTTCCTTGAGACAGACAAGCAGGTGACGGTAATCTGGAGTCGGTAATACGACTTTAGGGAACAAATCGGCCGTAATAGCTCTGAATAGAGGGATATCTTGCTGTAAAAACTTGGGCAAGTTGACATCAATGATGGACCGAAGCATGATGATTTGCTCATTTTCAGTTGGATACTTGAGTTTTAGATTACCGGCTGCTGTAAGGACAGCCTTTACGGCTCTCATACCATAATCGTAGTGGTCTTGAGATGACAGCTGTTCTGAGCAGAGTTTATACGTAGCTACGATTTTACGGGCAAGCGACCTGGCATCCACAAACCCAAACGAATAGAGGGATATCTCAGCAATGAGTGCATAATCGGGCACCATCATAGCTACAGGTCGGAAGAGTGCCTTCAAATTATCAGGCAGCTCGGAACGTCCAGCATAACCAGGATTCATGGTAATAAATACCGAGCAGCCACGATTGAGTTGAATAGGAGTCCCTTCAAATACAAATCGTTCCAGTTTGGCTGCTACTGCCCGTTGAATGGTCAAGATCTGTTGAGCAACGACAGACAGCACCTCCAGATCAATACGATTAAACTCGTCGAAACAAGCCCAAGCTCCAGATGCGGCAAGACCTTTAAAGAATTTGCCCATAGCAATATAATCCAACCCATCGGAGCAGTTAAACACCACACACTGTTTGGCTACAGCTTTAGCAAGATCCTTTACAGATTCAGTCTTTCCCGTTCCTGCTGGACCTTCAGGTGCACCTCCCAAATTCAAGTCGAGAGCACCAATCAGAGTACGGTAACAACGATCAGTCAATGGCGTAATAACCAGACGAGGAGAGTTACCGAGGTACTCGTGACCATAGTTCAAAGTGGCGTTAATCATACGGACTTTTACATCCTCACTTTCCCAATAGTATCTCAGTTGAGATAGCCAGGCAAAGTCGTGTTCATCTGAGCATTCAGCGAATTCTAGCTCACCGACGACATCACGAGCATGCACATCAATAACTACCAAGGCAGATAGAGTGGCTCGAGATACGGCTGATAAGTCTCCTCTTACTAGAGCTACAGTCGACTCGAGCTGCTTTACAAGCAATTCCTTATATGCTCGTAGTCCGACCTCCCCTCTACGGATAGCCTCGGTCACGTCCTTCGTCCAGTATATCTGAGAGGCACAAAGAACCACTTGACCAGCCCAATCTAATACCCATCGTTCACGCGGTGTTTCACTGTATGCCCGTAAAGCCTTGGATATCTCTTCGTGGATTGACATTTGCATGATTCTCTCAACATGCAACAGCCATTTTTCGACGGCACCTTTAGCTTGAGCTGGCTCAATGACTTCCTTGAAGGCGACCTTTTCACCTTCCGAAGAAACCATGCCAGTAATATGGGTATTGTCGTGGAAGACCAATGAAGCGATACCTTCGAAACACTTTTTGAGATGTGGTTGTACTCGAGTTGGGTCTTTGGTTTCGGCCAAGATTTCAAGCAATTCGTCGTTCGACAAGAAAAAGAATCGGGGGAAGTATAATCGTTTCTTTTCCAAGTACTCGTTAAGACCCTTCTGGATCTCTTCAAGTAAGCTGAAACTATCCCGTAGACGTACTAGCAGAGTCTCGTCTTCAGCTGCACGTAATATACGCGGATCCGTAAAAGTGGAGTACATCATGTCGCGCCATGTCTTGTCGACTTGACGGAACCTAGTTGATAGATAGTGAGCATCAGCGGCAAAAAAGATACTTGTAGCTCCAGATAGTACTCACTTTTTGCCTTCAATAGGCATCTGAGCCATAATATCCTCTGAGCTGAAGATGGGCTCCAAATACAACCAAGTAGATTGCACTTGCAACCACGCATCCAAAGTGTCTTGAATTTGAATCAAGTTTCGTTCAAAGACAATTACATCTTCTTCTATAGGCTTGACGAATGGAGAGCCACGCATAGTCTGGACCTTGACAATCTGGTCGTCCAAGAGAGCCTGTACCTCATCGAGTGATGATAAGATACGAGTGCCGGTATCCTTGTAGTCGATCAAAGTAAATATGAGTGGACCCCAGTCGTCTCGCATCTTTTGTAATGTCTTTTGCAGACTGAATTCTTTTGTAGCGGCATCAGACACAGTTTCGAACTATTGGGGAATCGTTAGCGCGAGTTCTTTGAACAAAGAAAAAACCAAATTGCTAGCAAACCTGAGTAAGGAATGGTGTCAAGTTCAAATCCAACATCTTGCTAAGAGTAGTAGTTTCATCAGGCATAATAGTTTGCCCAACAATAGCAGCCATCTGCTTCCAATGACGTTCTCGCAGACCTTGATTTCTCAATACAGCCAATAGAGGCAAGTATTGCTTAAACTTGTCAAGACGATTCTTGACTCCTTCAGCTACTTTACGAGGTACTTGCTGTTCAGCAAACTGTTTGACGAGCTTAAACACAGCACGCCACATATTGCTACATTGCTCTTCGACAACTGCAGCATCCAAGTCAGTGAGCGGACCACTCATCCACCTAGTATTCTCGGTTTGGAATTGTTGCACTGTTTCCCATAATTGCTTGTACGGAGCAATGAGCTCGGTGGATTGAGCATGTTTGGCAAATGCAGTCTTTGGCCATTCAAGCAGTTCTTCTTCGGCATTGACTTTGCGCATAGTATCGGCGATGGTGACAAGTCTTTCTTCCAGAGCAGCCAACTTGCGTATATACTCGTTCATCTCCCCTACAATACCATAGTCCTTGAAGGCAGCAATATCATTATAGATTGCCTCGAGTTCTTCAGAAGCTTGTATGGTTCGAAGCCGCAAGTCTTCTTGAGCTTTAGCCTTCTTTTGAGCAATACGTTTACGAGAGAGCTCAAAGATGGGTTGAATACGTAGCGGCCAAGTTAAGGCGACACCGTTGAGTTTAATATCGTCGTCAGGTAAGAAGGCGTACTGTAGTAAAAAGTCCAGACGTTCGCGACCGCGACCAATCTCGTCCTTGAGTTGAACGACTTCCTTTTCTCGTACGGACTCTACATATTTAGCCAAATCGACCAATTCTTCAGTGTCAGCCGGAAGTTTCATTGCTCTAGCTGCAATCTTTTCATACTGCTCGCAAATGCTAAAAAAATTGAGAAGTGGTTATCATGTATTGGCCTACGTGAAATAAATGATCACCAGCCACTAACGTCTGATTGGTCTTTCTGTTAACTTCAGCGACCTGGTCAACAAGCTGTTGGACCAATCCCTTTGCCTTGTCAGAGAGCTCCGTCTTGAGCGAATTGCAGTCAATCTGGATCATTGGGAATCGAGCGATGGAAGGGCTTGTGGCAATCTCATCCACAAGAGTGAGCAATCTTTGGATTTCCTGCGTTGAAAAAAAATTAGGTATGGCACTCTCATTGCACTGATAATGGTGGCAGATGCTTACGACTTCGTATTCTGGCAGTTCGTGTTTCTCTCTCAAAAACTCTTCCACTCTTTTTTCAGCCTTGTGACTTAGCAGAGACTTGAATTTCTCATATCCAACCAGATGCTTTTGAGGTGCATGGGCACTCTTGGTCAAGACGCCTCTAACATAGCGGGCCTCAGCGACACGTTCACCATCAACACCTGACGATGGCAATATAATCGATTCGCCCTGCAGCGAGGTAAACAGCTTAGTCTCGATACGAGCTACTCGACGAGCCACATTACAAATATCGTCCATGACGCCAGCCACAGCGAGTTCTAATTCCGACAATGGTGGTTCGAAGCGAATTTGCGTGCCTGCTACTACGACTCTGACGGCAAAAAGAGGCTGTGGATCAGATCCTTCAGCGTTTTCTTCAACCCTGCCAATAAATGCTTCAAAGTCGTCCAGTGATGACGCGACCATAGACCACAATTGGTTTGACATTAAGGTTGAGACGGACTTGAAAAAGGCATCCAATAATCTAAATCCAGCATCTGGGTCTGGATTTGAGGTTGCTAATTCATACCACTGGTCTTTGGTGGCGAAGAACATGTTTGCGACAGCTGGCAGCCATCTATGAATTTTGCATGTCAGATTTGGCATGGACGAAAAAGGAGATGCAACGACAGGTACTCACTCTTCATTGATTTTTTGAGAAAAGTCATCACACTGTTTCTTAAACACATTACGGAATTCAGTCACATCCACTGGTGTGTTTGCTCCACCAAAGTGCGAGCAGTTGACCACGGTATTTGCCGAAAAGTCCGAGTAGATTTTAAGAAGTTGCGTCATGACGGGATTGGTAATAAATAAGTTCTTTTCCATGGCTTGCTTTGACTGCACTACCATATCGTGCCATGGCACAGGGGCTCGAATGACGCGAGGAATATACTTAAGATCTGATCCACCTCTAGGAAACGGAATACCCAGACGTTTACGTTCCTTGTCATCTAGCAATATATAATCTAGAATAGACCGTTTCAAGGCCGTCTGGTGAGTCTCTTTAGCTTCGTTTAGCAGGGTTTGCTTTGTTTCTTGCAGAGACTCTGACTGGCGCAAGAAGGAGGGAATCATGGCTTCCATGTTATGGATAGCTTGAGAGTCCAGTTCGGCGACGACTTCATCAGGCATACCACGGTGGACATAATACCAATATCGTTGTTCAGGAGTTAGCTGATGAGCCAACGACAATGCTTCGGGGTCATACGGATCAGGCGTCTCTATCGGTGCATATTTTAACGGAGCTAGTAGTGGTGCGTATGAATCACGAATACGAGCAAGTGGCGACATTGGCCTACTATCGGCAAAACTTGGTGCTGGGTAATCAAAGGTATCCATTGGTTTCTCCGATGTCGTCACGTAATGTGGTTGCTGTTGTGCTGATGTGCTAATTCGTCTAGAAATGGTAGGAGCTTGTACTGCCGACATGCTATTTATGCTCAGATCTTGAGCAATGGGCGAGTAATTGTTTCCAATTGAATCCGAGACATTACGAGCAAACCCTTCTTCTTTGAAGGGAGCGGCCCTGGTCCACGACACTGATTTCAATACAGATGGCAATCCTAGCGTATCTGGATTTATAGGAGGAGGTATCAACTAACATGGTGATGGTATCATATTAGTTTGACGCAATAGCTTTTTTCGGGTAACGAGTCCCACCAACCTCAGGCATGTTATCTGGATTGTAAACTATTTGTGGATCTTGAATCACTGCCTTTGGTTTACGTGGCGGTGACTGATGCGGAATAAACCCATCCTTCTCACTTGCTCTTGCAAGTGGTGAGATATTTGGCCTCAACAGAGACGGGGGTTTGGAAGATTGCATCAAGAGTCCCACTAGTTCTGTCAGACCAGCACGTGCATCTCCTTTACGAAACGACATCTATACGACAAAATGTGTTCAAATGCGTGGGTTTTCACCAAAAACATGCAAGTACGAACCGTGTCAGGGACGGTTTTTAGCAACGTCACAGGTGGTAATGCATTTGAAACCGTTGGAATTCCATCCTGCGAGCTCGAAAGAGTCCCATCATTTCTTCCAGTCTCGTTTGGCGGTGTGTTCATGGACATGATCAACGTCTCCTTTGACGAGATCAGGTGGTGTAATCAAGATCCTGCAAGCCTAAATACAATAGGAAGTGGGCCTGCAGTTCCCTTGTGCTTCGTCACTTGATTCTGTGCGAGTCTATGTATTTGAGTTTCTTTGTACCTGAGAACAAGTTTTCCTGTGCAGTGAAACGGCAACTAGTGGTTATTCGAAAAGCATAAAAGTTTCCCTATCACGCCAGTATGTCTCTGATCTACACTAGCAGCACGTAAGGCTTCTTTTGAAAATTGATATTTTTTCGTGATCGATTTGTCAACGCTGCAGTTCTGTGTACTTGGCGAATAGATCCAGCCTGATATCGACAACAATACTATACTTCGATGATAATACTGATCGAAAGTAAGGCCTCCGGAAGTCCTCATCAGAACCTCGCCAGAAACTGTTTGAAGGGAAGTCTGGAGCCGACCAAAGTTGCGAGATTCAACCCTGACCAACTTGTCACGTATCATTAACTTATAAAGCCGACTTAAAATGAGGAAATTCACCAAATATACATGTTGCAAGTGTCAGAATGTTCTGCTCAAACCTCTCGTCACCGACTTTTCGTGCAAAACAAGTAAAGCAGCCATGAGTTGGACCTCTCTCGACTATGCGTCTCTGGACATGAGGTACTTATAGTAATTCTCTGCTTGTTTGCTCTCTCATATGGCCAACCTTCTTTTCGAAAACAGCAGGAAAAAGGCAAACAAAATTGCTGACCCAGTTGGATATATTGCCTCTGAATACGATATTCACTCGACACGAAACTCGCTCGTACGATCTCATATTGCAACTATCTTTTGACCCATGTTGCAAAAGTAACGGCAGCCACCTGAATATTTTAGAAATCTCCAGCTGCTGATGCAAAGAGCCCAACAACCGACGATGCAACTACTCTGCTAAAGATAAAGGCACGTAAATATCTTTCATTGTCTTGTAAACCTCAATCTTACACCCTCTCGATACATAGAAAGCATGGGATATCGCTCTGGCAGTAAGAACTTTACTCAATTCACGCTCTAGATTACACACGCTCATTACCCCCCTCTGCAGCCTGCAAAGTCAATACCAATGAACGGATTCATGCTCTACATGTCGGGAAACTCGGTCCAAATATTCTCGATACTGATAACAGTCATGATGTTTTGGAATGGAATCAAGGGCGTCACTGGCGCTAATGCTGGTATGGGAGCTCACGCTATGCAACTGAGACTATATGTCTATCGTTGTTGTCTATGCATTTGATACTATTTGACTAAGCTTTTGGGCATCTGCCACTATATGCTACCCTTTTGGTCTATGCAACTGATACTGAATGTCTAACGCTTTTGTCTCTGTAGTCTTTACAAGCTTCTCCTCACAAGTAACGGCTGGTCGACCACAACAAACCTTCAACTTTGTGAAAGATCCAGTGTTTCTGCCGAAACTCGCATACATTGGCCTACAACTGGTAGTCGTGGCAATGGGCGTCTACAAATGTGCAACCATGGGCTTGCTACCAACAGCGTCATCAGATTGGCTGGCGTTCAAAACGCCGAAAACGGTATCGCGAGATGCATAAATCTTCGTTAAAGGAGCACATATCCTAACCATCTTCCAACCTTAGGCAATGGAATATTCAATGTGATTTCCTCCATTTTGTATCATACAGTTAATGACAATAAACACAGCATTAGACAACGAAAATTATTACCGATTATTTACAACACCAAAAAAAGACGTAGTTATTGCAGTGGCTCAGAGGACTTTAAGCAATCCAAATAACAATCCTGACACCACGGGGTAGTCTGATGCTCAAAGTAGTCTGCATTAAGCAAGTTCTTCTGGCAGCCACTGCATACAAAGCAAACTGGGTGGTAGGACTTGCCAAAGGCCCTATGTAATATATGAAATCGATAATATCAGTACACCTTCTTACGTGAAATGGGCGCAAACGTCACATAATTACCTTAGAATATGACCTCCACTGATGGCTCCTCCACATGCAAAACAGTTCAAAAAGTCAGTTTGATGCTCGGCACAGTATACCTAAACATAGACAAGTCTGTTTAGCATGCATGAATCAAAATGCCCTACCTGCCATCGAAACTTACATCATCTTCAATAGCAAAGTACGGACGACCAGCCAGCGGTTGTTTGCAGTGCTATGGAATTATGTCAAAAAAACAAACACGCTAACGGATACCGACAGCAAACATTATCATACCTTGCACTTTTTACAATGGATGTGATACTTTCTGTTGTTGAATTCAGTGTACTCCTTCTCTATTATCTGCCCACAACCACCACAACTCAACCCAGCTCGCTTTTCAAAGTCTCGTTTACATAGTGGCATGCCCTCATATGCAACATACTAAAAACCAAAAACGATGAACAAAAAATCGGGTCTGCTAGACTCATTATAGCTAACCTTTTCACCAAGTTGGATACCACAAGCACCACATTGGAAACATGCAGGATGAAATACTGTTCCAAGCGCTCTACAAATGATCCAATTAAACAGTTAACAATTTATTTACAAAGGTATCTGGCCTCTTCATCACCATACCTCACAAACGGCGACTTGCTACGAATAGGTTCATGACATCCAGAGCATATAGGAGCGAGTTTCTTGCCGGTTATCAGTTGATTCTTCTTTGGAGCTGCTGTCGAGTTTGTGCCGGATGAAACACTATTCAGGTCACCCGTGGTTGTAATAAAGGCAGCATCAATAGCCTTTTCAGCCGATATGAGAGATATGGGGGACAGAATCATAGATGACGGCCGAGAGTCACTGACAGTGACTTCTTTGGTTACAGCGATGCCCTCGTTCAATATGACAGAAGTTCGTGGTGACTGGCCTGTTTTCAGCACATCTTCTAGTGACGAGGCCAATTTCGTCAAATTACCACTATCCCGTAGTCCCTGGCGTGGAACCGTTACGGTCGGAGTTGTGGGTACAGTAGTTCCAGTAGATGGTGCAGCTGATGCCGGTCCGGAAGTATGCTTTTGAGAGTTTTCTCGTACTGGTGTCATTGGTTCTGATACTTGGTTATCTACAGCAACTTCCAAATTGTCCTGTAGTTGCCGGAGACCTGCTACAAGCGGAACTACCGACTCTATGCTATGCTGACTCTCTCCAAACGGTATTGGCATCGGTTCGACGGTCTGGACCAGCTCGGATCTTGCGACATAAGACGATGACCCCTTTAAGGGAGAGCTTGGAGCGGTGCCGGGTGTCACTGTGATTGGGCTTGGCGTAGAAGCGACTCTTGGTAGAGTCGAATTAGCGTCGCCGACTTCTGAGGATATTTGCGATAATGTGTTCGTCAAGGTCCTCACAATTGGGACATCTTTTGTCTAATCAATGAACCAAGTTAGATGTCTTGCGATCACTCAAGACATTGGCATCAACGCCTTACAGCAATAGCTTGAACAATTTTGGTTTGAGCTCGGGAGAAGCAACCATACAGTCGGGCGTATTCACTGGCAACTTGAACCTCTGATAGAATTTTGGCAGGAGAGGGTTTCTGATCCGAAGCCATCTTGTTCTCAGGTTCCTATGGGATAAACTTGCATGGTTAATGTGCAATACTGAGCTCTAAACACCGACTTGGATTTACCGAAATGTAATCAATATACTCTCGCATCTTGCCAGCATTATCTTCAATAAAGGGATTCATAACCGTCATATAGGGTTCCTTTTCTCCAAATGGTACATTGTTGGCGAGAGACTGCAATGTCTTTGCCAGTAGTGTCAGAGTCCGTGTTGTTCGAGCATCAACGTATTCTGTACATCAAAGGTTAGCAAAATGGAAGAGTAGCTATAATATCTTTCTCCAACCAACGTACCATCAATCAATCCAAACAACCGAGGACCCAAAATCGCTGGAGCAAAAAACCTCAAGAACGCAAATCCAGCAACAGATGTATACCGGACGTCGACTTCATTCGGAAACCGATCCTTCACTTCTTTCTGAAGATGTTGGAATACTCGTCGGAGTGGGCTAAACAAGTTTAAGTGAGATGGTTGTTTGAGATGCAACTGACTTGGTAACTCACAATGGGAAAGCGGCCTTGGCTTCGAATATCGAAAATACAATCTTCTTGTTCCATTCAAGCACTGAATTCAGAGGATTGAGCTTTGATTATAGGAAGACGTGACAAGCGAAATGAACTTACAATTTTGCAAATTCTTCTTGTGATCATCACCCTTATCCAGGCGAGTTGAGTCAACCTAACATTTGGGGTTAATGTTGAAGCAGCAGCTCAAAGAGAGGGGGTGGACCATTACCTCGCAACTGATACGAGTCTTGACCAATTGTCGGATCAAATCGCCAATGGTGGCATCCAAGAATGGCAATGCAATGTGTTTCATGTAAACGTCCACGGCCTTCGAAGCCATACTATTGGCCCTGAACATGTTATTGTGATCAGCTAAGACGAAGGATAAAAGAAGATTGAGACTGGCGATGTTAACAAACTTGAAGCACGATAGACGAACCAGAAGCTCGGACTTCATTTGAGATTACGGCGCACAGAAATTCCACCACCCTTCCCTTGCTCTCTGCAATCTTGACCAGGCAATACGCTGCTTCTTCTCGTTCAGTACTAATTTCACCAAAACTAGTAGAGAAAATACCGTCAGACTCATCTCAACAAAAAAGCCGAGTTTTAAGTGAAGCCTCACAGTGTGGCTAGCCTATAGTTCTCGGCGCTGACTATCTGATCAAGTTTCATGTACCGATCAACGGGCAAGACCAACGTTTCTGTGTATTTGAACTTCATTCGTAACAGACCTGAGTGGACGAGCATCAGTCAGAGATTCACCCTGCGTTCGAACATTCTAAAATCATTCTCACCGACTCCTCCACAGTCGTCCGCAACGTATTGGGCACAATGTACATGGCATGCGAATTTGCATAAGGAACACTGTAAATGAGTTCTAAGACCCCACAGTAGCGTGCCACAGTGACCACTAAGAACGTGGGTAAATAAATAGTGCAAAATCTGAGCTACTCTTGTCAAAGACGTACCACATGGCGACCCACAAAAACCTCGTATCGACGAGTCGATGACTCTGCTTTGTCTTTGGGACCACATCTAGAAACCCAAAATATGAGCTTCAATTCTGAAATTAGAAAGTGTATGTCTTCTCACCACTGACTGTTGTTTGCAGACTCTGTACAAACTGCTTGGCCTTCATAAATTCGGAAAGTTGATTTGTGCTTCCTGTTTTCTCTACGATAAGATGGGTGGTCAGCGTTGAACACGGCTGATTCAAACTTTCGTCGACGTACTTTTCTTGTCGAGAGCTGCTGAGTGACTTTGAATGTGTGCTAAAAAAACCTCACGAAGTAAGCACAAATTGTGTGGAATTCACGACGCAAATTGTTGAATGTACCAGGTTTAGGGAGAAGAGTAAACCATTCCTGCATTGATTCAGAGGGCTGAATACTGGCGAGAGGAATTGATAAATGTCCTAAAAATTCGTCTTGCCGTGATGCGTCCCACATCGATACATGCAATTCGTGCTGGGAGCCAACCGATTGCAGAGTGCTATCAGGTTTAATTAAAGTTGAGCATAGATTTGTGTCGCAATTTCGTAATAACAGTCTCACAAGTCAAATGTCTCCTCGAATACAGGGTTTGTGGTTCCCTTCTTGACTTGTGTCGCTCTTGTCGATTGAGCAGTTGGGTCTGGCAGCACATGACACACTGCATACGCATCTGCGACACCTGTGTATTGAGTCGAGTGTTACTGAAGTAGCCGTTGTAGATTACTGAAAGGAAAGATCAAACCTGTAGGTGTCCACAACTTTTGTGCACCAAGGACTAGTTCGAAAGTTCAAAGTCAGCAGTCGTTGATATCATAGACAAGATCAAGCGTTACATACTGGTAATGGAGAACTGGGCAGACTGCTCCGGAATCCCTGAAAGTTTTGCACGCTGTACCCGTATCTCGACACTTCCAGTAACTATTTGTCCGTCAGCTGGTCGGAGAGCAAACCACTGTTCCTCTTCGGCACTGCTCTCGAGCAAAAAAGTTCTTGAGAAGGTAGTTACGCCTAGAGGTCGTTCCTTGGCGGATTCATTCCATACAGAGACAGTCAATGACGAAAAGTCTGGAGGTACGGCATCGAATACACATTCTTCAGCAAAGAATGGATTGGCATCGTTGTAGACTACAGGTGTTTTCTTTGTTGGGAGGGTGTCTAGTTGTGCTGTTACATACGTATCGCTCAGTTCTAGATGTTTTTATGATGTTTTGGGAAATTAGTTCTTGCTTGACGCGGTTTAGATCCGACAGTTCACTTACTGCCTTTGTCTCCATATACATTTTTTGCTTCTATTATCTTAGACACTAGGCGCCTATCGACCTGTCTGTCCATGGCACTCTTCGTCACTGTTTGAAAGAATTAACTATTGCGAGGGAAGATCGTCTCGCACCATAACCCCTGTAGTTTGAAAAGTACATTAGTGACTGCACAGGTAGAGACAGTTGACCCCGCTTACGTGTCCTCCTTCGCTCCCTCAAGGTTTCTGGGTTATTAACAGTGCAACTACTTGCAAAATCACGTAAAAGCGCTCGCAGACGAAGAACGGTTCCAAGGCGGTCCTTAAGGTCGCTGAAGACGGTACATGCTCCAAAGCCTCAAAATATATTAGGTTTCCTACTACACGGTTACTGGATCTATTGCCTTCGCCTCAAACTTCACTGATCGTGAGATAGGAGTGACCACCATGGGTGATGCAGACTTGTTGAGGCGTCTCTTCCAAGAGAACAATGAGCTCAAGGTCAAGGTCAACTCGTTGAGTCGAGAGGTAAGGTTCCTATCTGTTCAAACCACCATCACGTCTGCTTGCTTACATTCGTCGCATAGATCTTCAACCGAGGTGTCCAATACGAGAATGCGGAAGAGGAAATTCGTCTCATCAAGCTCAAATTGGAGCAAGCTGAACGTGGCGCCTTGTCCACCCCTGGCAAATCTTCGGTATCAAATCTTCACACGTCCATTGACCAGTACTCTGAAGCTCAGCTAGCTAACCCATTTTGTCTTTGCTCTAGGATGGTCATAAACTCGGTCACAACTCATCGCAACAAGTCAGCAAAATCAATGACACGGATGTATGTGGATTTTGCTTTCATCGTATAAGTGACAACAAACGAAGGGCTGACCTAAAATCGCTAGAGCTCTGGTGTTTCCAAAGAATTGGAAGAAGCTATGCGCTTACTGGACCGAAGAAACTCTGAGCTAAAGCAGATGAGAGAAGATCTGAGTCGGGCACATGCGAACGCGGAGTCACTTCGACTTGACAAAGGTTTGGCCAAATTAGACGCAATTGGAGATACGCATGATGAATATGCTGACGCACACTCGTTCTCGCACTCGCTCTCGCAGAAAAAATCGACAAGGAACTCAATGGTGCACAGGCGGAACTGGTAGAACTACACGCATTCCGTACATCATCGCAGAAGCAAATGGATGAGCAACGTCTGGGTCAATCGAAAGGTACGGGACGCACTTGATTTGACTTCTGTCATAGATATCTTACTGAATCTCTACGCAGATGGTGTATCAGTCACGCACGAAGAGTTTCTGCAAACGAAATTACAACTGCAAAGCGCTGACCGCACTGTAGAGGGTCTAAAGCGACAGTTGCTCGAGCTAGCCAATGAATCAAATCGTAAATACAATGAACAGCAGAATCAGTTACAGGGTGCCGATGCAGTACGTCTTCTCTCGTTTCGTAATATGTGCCACTGCCTTCAGTATTTTGACTCGATCTTCAACATAGCTGATAGAGAGTATACGTCGAGAATATGACGAATTCATACAAATCACGAAACTCGAAAATGATGCCATTCGAGAAGCTCAGCTAGCTGAATACAATGAACTGAAATTGACGTCGGACAGAATCAAAATGGAAGCTCATGCAGAGCGCAAACGATTATTGCATGAATACCAGACAATTCTATACTCGATGCAAGCTCAATTTGAGGAATTCAGAGTCACGTCCGAGTTCGTCTACAATACAGATATGGACAAGCTGGCGGATGCTATCAAGAGTCAGTCGCAAAGATATGAACACCAGCTGCTGTAGGCTTCAGTTTTATTCGCTCATGATGCTTTTTTTCTGAAGCAAACAATGACACTAAACAAAAAAATCTTCAATAGATATGTCATACAAGCCAAGGACAAGTTCTATTCAGACATGATGGTTGCCAAAGATGCCAAAATCATGTCCCTTATCGAAGGATCCGACATGCAGTCCATCATGCAAAAGCATGAAATGGAGATGGAAGCAATGCGAAAGGAACACATTCGAGAAATTGATAGAGTTCGTCAAGAGCAAGATTCAGAGCAAAAGTCTCTTGTTTCACTATTACAGAGACAAAGTGCAAACCTTGAAGCCAAGTGCGATAAGCTGCAGCAACACTCCAAGGCTCTTGAGAGTCGATTACGAGACATGATGACGACGGTTGAAAACAAGAATAGACTGATTGCTGAGAAGGACGAGGTGAAAGCTCAACAAGATTCGGAATTTTCGGTAAGGAACTTATGCTTTCACTGTTTGTGGTATCAGGCTTGATCAAACCTCTCAACGTTTATCTCCTCAGACCAAGATCGAAGATGCATCACGCAAGATGCGACTACTGACGCAAGAAAAGGAACATTTACGACATCGCATAATACGAATGAACTTGGATGCTCGTGGTGAAGGGGACAATTCACTAGACTCCATGGTCAAACGTCTCACACGAGAAACTGCGGGTCTTCAGAGTCTCTATGACGACCTGGCATCTAAATACGAGACCACTCTCGCCGCCGAACAAGTGGCTACTCGTCGAGCCAAAGAAAAGGCAAAACTGGTTGAATATCTAGAAAAGGAGTGTGCCAGGCGGAATGCAGAGTATCAGAGTATGGTTCGAACCTTTGAAGAGTTCTTGCAAAGGAGGGCGAAGCAAGGGCGAGATGACGCTACTCGTCGTAGTCGGTTGTTGAGTAAGTGTGGGGTTTGACCACTTTGCTATACCATTTTCTGACTATTTTTTGGTACAAAAGGTGGCATCCACGAAACATCCAATACGTACGTTACTTGTCCTTTGTATCATGCCAGTCACGAGCTAATACATCCGTCGAAACGCGCAGGTCAAAACCGGATTTCATGGCCGATCCAAAAGGAATCCTGAAAGCACACATTCCCAAACCTGGCGTAAGTCTGAACCGCGAAAAAATCTGAACGTGATATCATTCTACGTGATCTTACCCGTCATTCTATAGGACGCATCACCAAGCATGGTCTCTCCCACAAACTCCACCGCCCTAGACAAATCCGAGCTCGAACGTGGATACACCTACCTGCGTCGTTTCAAAACACTTTCACGAGCATTCGCCACAGGAGACCTAAGAGCAGTGCATTTGCCAGGTGCTCCACCATCTGCCGAAAGCATCCCGGGCCCATGGCAAAAGATACCGCTGTACAAGCAGTTGGAGGATGTTTCATTGGCTGTTGCCAAGATATACGAGCCGCCACCGGAACTGTCCTCTGCTGCTGATGGACCTCATGAGGGAGGTGGTACGCGGACCAAGATACCGGTGTATATGCCGGATACGAACGAGGTATGGTGTGTATACGAGGTGCTGCTGTGTGTCCACAATGCTAAAGCACGTCCATTACAACAGAACAAGTCGAAATTGAAACAAATACCTGATGTGAAACTCTACAAGACCAAAGAGGCTAATCAAAGGAGCTCGAAGAGCGAGGAGTCACAGGTAAGAAAATTTGTGACATTGACCTAGACATTTCTACTTTTTGCTTACACAGTTTCGTCTTCTGCAGGACTCACCAGTAAAAGACGACTTCCTGTGTGTGGTCGGAGGCAACAAAAAATCACGTTAAATAAATCATTACCTTCTCTTTAAGCAAACTGGTGTATTTGAAGAAGACAAAATATAGACAGTCCTCATGCCCAACAAAGCCTAAATCTCATTGAATCGTACACGAACTTGCGATGACTGTCCAACCGGGAACTGAGCACGTCCATCTCGAGGTGCGCCTCTCATAACCACAGGTTGAACACGTACAGTACTATTGCCGCCATCAAATTCCACATTCATGCCAGTCGATTGCAGGTACCGTTCAGGGAAGAAGACTGATCCTGAATCCCATTTCTGGTTTGGTAGTTGCTGCTTGGTACGGCCTGTGGCTGCTGGGGGATTGTATGGTGGTGGTGTGGGGAGGAGAACGTCTCTCCTTGTTGTTGTTGTTCTTAACGGCATCGCGGTCGACGACCCATAGCTCTATCAGAGCAAATTAAAAACGATATTAAACTAAAGTCAGCACAAGAGACTGGAGTTTGTGCAAGTTGACTCACTCGTGGTTGAGCTGTTTTTCCATGTCGTCCCTTGATAAAGTTTTCAATGCCTAATTTCTTGTAGCCCGTCCTGCAAAAATAGGCCACATCGTCAGCTCGCTGATTGCACAAGCTCTTCAAACATATTTTTGATCAACTTACATTTCATTCAGTCTCTGGAAGGGAGCAGCATCTGTCCTCACGCGTGCAGGCTAAACAAATTTCTGTGTTAGTATGGTACTTGCTCAAGATGTTAGCTACAATGCATACCCTCTGATCTCTGATATCAGCATCCGGCCTAAAGTTGGGGAATACAGCTGCAGGTGCTGTTTCTACTGCAACATTACTCTTAAACACAGGCTGTATAGGTCTCTGGGCTTGCACGTCTAAAAGATAATCTTTGTAGTGAGAGACAATCCTTTGTTGCTAAAAGTCCACTTTAATATGTCCACACCCTTACCTTTAATCAACTTGATTTGCTCGGACGGTATAAATCTTACAATATTTCCTTCAACTTTGGATCCAACAGCTCTACGCACACGACGAGGCTGCTTGGTCCAATACCCTTCATAAGGAACATCGTCTTCGGCATCATGATCCATGGCATCATGTTCGTACTCCCAGTCATCAGCTTCGTCTTGCTCGTATTCGTCGTGAGCGGCAGCAACAGACTGTCGTGCGACAGATTGACGAGCGACGGATTGTCGGCCCACAGAGTATCGAACTGTGTCTTGTTGGGGTGGTTCAGTTGAGTTTGTTCTGGAATGGCGTGGTGACGCTCCTGCTGCATGACCACGAACACCGCCGGAAAAGGGTTCGAGGTAGTGGACTTCGTGTGCTGCCAAAAGACAAAGACGTTGAGAATGATGCACTACATGCTGGCGGCACGAAGTCAGCTTATTCTTACGTGGAGGCACGTATGCAGACGGTCTGGCTGACATACTCTGCGGTGCAAGCGCCTCGTCATTGTCTTCCTCTTCGATTATTTTCATTTCTACAAGTAACAAGTGAGCAAAAAAAGGACCAAGACAGAGGATACCTGATGACCTCACCATCGACACTTTGGTATCCAAGACGCAACATATGACTCGAAATACTTGTCTCTTGTTGAATAAGTCCAAAAAGATTATCAGCTCCACGCTTTGCAGCCAAAGCTTTGAACAGATCTTTGGGTGAGAAAGAATGGTTGACGAGGGCTCTGAGCAATTTTTTGGGTGTTAATCCGAACTAGGAAAAGGAAAAGTTTGGTAAATGGCCATTCGACAGGGCTGATCAAAACAGATTTGTATGTGCTCTTTTTACCGTTTTCATATTTTTCTCTAGCTGGTCTTTATCAAAGTCTTCTTGATTTTCGGCAACCAGTGAGTCCACAAAGGATTTTAATGTGATGCCATGAGACACCAGTCTTCGAATATCGGGCAAAGTCATTTCTGGAGGAAAAAAAGATAAATGAGGATAAACGATGACTGAACCCATCAACTAGTCCATTCTCCTTACTCTTCTTCTTGTAGACTTGGGGGGATAATTGAGGCGTCGAGGAGCCTAGTGACAAAGTACTTGTGGGACCGAGATGAGAAGGAGGTAGTCGAGCTGGCTCAAGACTGTTTTCGTCTTCCATCTCCTCATCTTCGTCGGAAATGTATCGTGCATGGCTTTCCATTTCCATCGGAATTGTTGGTACGTCTGCAGGTTCAGAAATGTCTGGGACCATAAACGATGCTCTTGGTCTTGGTGGGCTTTCGGTAACTAGAATGGTGTTGTTCTTTTCGGGATTTTCGATCTAATCAGATTTGGGATGACCAAGGTTTGTAGGTAGTAAGCGATTTTTTTTGCTTTCGATTGATCATACCTCTGCCTCAGCTTTCGAACTGGCGTGGAATTGGAAGATCTATCATTGCCAATGGTTTTAGGCGTGAAAGACATTTCACGATATAAGTGATATGAGCCCTCACCATAAGCCTGTTTAGGCAAATACAAAACAGTCGATCGAAGTCATCAATGTGAATTGCAGATACTGGTGAAGGCGTGTTAATTTGGAAGAGTAAATCGCCACGACGAGCAGACCATAACCGACAAGTGGAATCTGCTGAGCCGGTAATGACGATACTAAAAACGTTGTGAGTCACACTCACAAAACACTGTCACAGCTACCGTCTCCAACTCACTTTGACTGCCGATTGAACGCCACACACAGAACTGGTGCCTCATGTCGATAAGTAAAGAGCAAATCTGAATGATATCCACTAGCAAGAGGGACTTCTCCCACTCTGAATTCCGTGTTTTCTTGCTCCATGATGGGTTCCCCGTCCTTGTATTTGCCGGTAAATTGAGGAGCCTGTTGGTCACTAGATTCATCATCGACTCGAATAGCACGTCCAATGATATCTGCAACTTGTCGTTCACGTAGTCGTTCATTTGCAACAGCAGCTGGTGATTTAAGGTATGAAGCAATGGCCCACAATTTGCAAGTGTGATCCAACGAGCCTGTTGCTAGTAAAAGCGAAGATGGGGATATGCTCATGCATATTATGCTTCCACTATGATGCGTAGCGTCGTCTTGCCATGTTATTGACGGATTTGCAAAATCAGATCCCCAACTAGGATCTGGCATGATAACGTCAATGACATCTTGTCGATTCACGTCCCACGCCGTCGAGGTCCCGTCGTTCGAGCCTGTCAGAATCCTCTCTGGCCGCATCGGCTGAATAGCAATACAGCGTACTGCAGATGGATGCTTCATGAAATCGTGAACCTTGTTGCCTAATTATTGTGTGGGCTTTTAGAGTTTTGTGATGACGTGGCTTTTAACACTTCGTACCGGTATGCACATCCCATATCACAGCAGTACCATCTTCTGAACACGAAACTACCCAGTCTAATCCTGCAAATGCAACTTGATATACTGGTCCCAAATGATGTTCAATGACCCTGGATATGCAAGATGTGAGCCGAAAGAATAGAACCGACTATCGAATGATTCAAACCTCTCTGTCCGCTGCTTCTGGACATTCCAAATAGCTATGCGTCGATCATCTCCACAAGTGACTAGCGTGTTTCCAGTCGGGTCGAAACAGCAATGTCGAATTGTGTCTATGCATGCAGACAACGCACCTCAGACACACTTTATGAGTATAAATATTGCATATCAACAGACCTTTGTGGATAGCATTACCCTTCCCTAGTCTTGCTATAACATCCAGAGTACGTAGATCCCATATATACGTGACGGTACCAGCACAAGTAGCCAGCCTATCTGTCTTTGCATGCATATCAAAGCATGATAGCCTCACGTCGAGAGCCAGACAGTGTAGTAGATTAGTAGTGACCAGACGTCGATTTGCAATTCGAATGTTTGATGCACCCAAAGACGAGTCGACGGCTATAACAGACAAATGGAATTGTGAGCTAGATCTCGAATTTATGCGTAATTTAGACCTACTTTTGATGCCTTCCATTGTCTTGCCACCAACAGGTCTACTTCGTTCTAGTCGTTTACTTCTTCGTTCTGCAGCTGAAGCCGGTCTTCCAGTAAGTGATTCGAGAGTAGGCCTTCTAGCCAAATCATATTCATGCATAGGGAAAGCATCGCTCCCGCTCCTTTGACCTTGAGACATGATTTGATTCCACTCTGCGTGTTTTGTGCAGTAAATTGGTTTTCACGAAAGGCCAGACGCTCGCTTTAGCGAGACTGGACGAAAATATAAATTACGTGAACATTGCTACGGTCTTTCAAGTCGCGATTTCAAGATGCTTGGGTAAAAATTTGCTCATTGAATCTGCTTGATGCCAAGCTGCAATTTAAACAGTTTTATCTGCAGGATGGAACAGATCGATAGGATTGTCAACGATGCTGACAGCGCTCTAGCAAGAGGCCGACTGCAAGTTGCTCTAGTCAAGTTTGCCGACGCTCTTACCCAGATATCTGGCATAATCGTAAACGAGTCGCAATTTGAGCAAGTTGCTGGCAGGAAACCTGGAATAGTTCGCATAGCAAGACCTCCCCAAAATATTACAAGACTTTTGCTTCTGGCCAGACTATGTCTGACCGAGGCTGAAAGCATCGTCAACGATGAAGTAGATGACATTGGAGCTGACGACGATGAGGATGATGACGACGATGAGGATGTCAATGCACGCTCTGAAACACGCAATGCTATATCTCAGCAGCCCACAAAGAGGGCGGACTCGGTCTCAAGTCTCACTTTCTCAGTATCTTCAGAAGTATGTCAAGTGTTTGTGTGCCACTTTGACCATTTGGCTTGCTACATGTGACAGGCCTTTGTAACTCAATTTCTTCTTTCATTTTAGGAGCTGGATCTCGCTGCACTTACACTATCTCAGACTCCTGTCGCCATACCGAAACAAGTGACACGATCTCGTGCTGACTCCTTACCCGTTCCATCTTCCACGTCTAGCTCAAACACTTCATCAGCAGCATCGCCAATTGCTCCACCGAAGCCACTACCAGTCACCCCCGGAAGTAATAATTATAGCACAGGTCCACCACTACCGCTGAGGAATACACTAGTGTCAACTCCCAGTACTTCTTCTCTTTTATCAAATCAACCACCACAAACAGTCGCACCTTTAAATACGAATACTGAATATATGCCAATTATCCCTTCGTCACCACTAGTGTCATTAGTAGCATCATGGACTGCGTATCAACAGCAGGCAAACTCGGAACTCGCAAGTAAAAAATCAGACCTGACTGCTGCTAGGAGACATCTAGAAAACTTGGGACTGATCAAAGAAAAGCTGGATCAAGTAAAAAGTCAAATCCAGGCAACGCAGGCCAAGTCTTTAACGGATTTCACTCCACGATCAATAGCAGCCACTATAGCTGGCTATAATTATGACTTGATTTCTAGCATGAACATGGATGAAGTATCGACCTATAGAGTGCCAGCTAGTGGACCATTGCTCAATCTATCGTCACCACCCATACCGTCGCTCCGAGTGCCGTTGGACTTTGCCCTGTTTCTGACAAGGCTAGTCCAGTCATCGACAATGGCCACTGATATAATAGGTAGTAAAGCAAAGGCAATATCTCATTGGATTGACGTGGCATCTCGCTTGAGTGAATTGCGAGACCATCATGGCTTGTATGCTATAATCAACGGCCTTCGATCGTCGCCCATTGCTCGATTAACGCGAGCTTGGGAACTTGTACCGCGTAAAGCATCAGCTGTAGTCGTGGAACTCGGCAGTCTCTTCCAGAGGTACGACCAAACTATAGCTAGGACGAATTCGCCGTTTATACCAGCAATTGAACCCCTCATACTCCAATGTGGGGTATCAAAAGTTACTGAAACTGTTGTGAAAGTAGCTGGATTTGATGCAGATGCCAAGGAACGAACTCCAGTAGTCTCTCACTGGTTGCTAAGCCAGATGTGGGTGTCCTCTGCCGAAATCAATGATCGCAGTTTAAGACCTGAAACGAAACGATAGTTTGCATGTAAATATGTATATGGATTTGGAGAGTAACAGTTACATGACGCGGTTTGCCTTTGGTGGCTACAAGTCACTTGTTTTCAAACTCAGCGAGCGTCCGTTCGCTGCTGCTGGCGATGGAGAGGATCAAGTTCTGGGTCTTGCTGTTTCTAGGCCTGTTCCATACTGCAAATGGAGATATTTACTCTTGCCTCGGCTCCCTGACATCTGTAGTCTTGAACAATTCCACCAGCTTTGACCAAGCACTCAAGTTTAACTTGCTGGTATGTGTAAAAAAGGAATTCGAAAGGGATGGAACGACTCGAATTTATACATTCACGAAGCTTCATGATCTCCTTTTACTGTTTCATTACGCTCTTATCAAAATTGTGTGATCAACATTTTGCCAAGTTTAAATAATGTGGCTAACAACAACCCCCTTGGCTTCAATGTCACTTCAGGATCTACGGTTCGCTGAAGCTAGTATACCCAAACCGTTAGCAATAGTATATCCCGCAAACGTAGCCGAGGTTCAAACGACTGTACAATGTGGTGTCGCAAATGTTGTTGTTATGCGGATACGGTCTGGAGGCCATTCATATGAAGGGTTGTCGTCGAGGTATGCGTTAATGATAAGGTTCCGAAAGTGAATCTATCGCCGAAATTTGTGACAAACTGCCAAAACTAATTGCGTCTAAACCTCGGTTCTGTTAGATGGGATGATTCGAACTTTATCATTATCGATCTCAAAAGCATCGATTACAGAACGATTGATCCAAATGCCAAGACTGCTACCATCGGAGGAGGAGCGTTGCTGGGCGAGTTGTATACGTCCATATACCAAGCAGCACCAAACCTTGCATTCCCGGGTGGCTCTTGTCCAACCGTTGGTGCCAGCGGTCTGATTCAAGGTGGTGGAGTCTCGCATCTGTTCCTTCGTAGCTACGGACTGTCTGTGGATCACGTCATATCAATCAAAATAGTAGATTACCAAGGCCGTCTTCTTGTTGCCAGCTCATCATCAGAGCCAAACTTATTCTGGGCACTGCGTGGAGGAGGAGGAGGGAATTTTGGTGTCGTGGTAGAGTGGACGCTACAATTAGTAGACGTGCCCGCTGAAATGAGCTGGGCTCAGATACCACTGAATGTCAATGCAGCAAATCTGGAAGCTTTTCAAGCCTGGATTCCAACAATGCCGAATATCGTGTCCGCTTCATTCTATTTTGGATTGGGACAAATGCAATTTCAGGCTGTTTGTCTTTGTAACAGGTCGACTTTGGCAGACTTGATCACGGTCAATATACCCGGTGCTCAGATAACTAGTGACAACACACAGAGTGGACCTTGGATACAAGCTGCATTAGCTTTCTCGGATCTGCCGGTTGGGTCACCAATCTCTGCTTTAAACACCAGATCAGAGCCGTCGTACAAGTAAGCACCAGCTCAACATTTGAGTATCTCCCACTGCTCATCTTTTCTCGTGTAGAACCTTCAACAAGGGACGCTCAGACTATATATCCATTGGCAACCCACTCCCAACAGCAGCATTCGATATCCTCGCCTCATATTTCACCAATCCTCCACCCGGCAACACATTCGCATACATCCTCATTGACGCATTTGGCGGATTCGTCTCGGCACTTCCCAACAACTCTTCAGCATTCGGCGCCAGAGACGTCCTCGCAATGATCCAATACCAAGTAGGGTGGGACGATGCCACGCACGATACCGTTAATCTCAACTATAGCAAATCAATGTGGGATTCAATGAGACCGTATGTAGACGGCCGGCATTACGTAAACTATATCGATTTGGATAATGGGCTTGTGTCGAATGGTACACAGAGCGTCCAGGATGCCATGTCATGGGGGAGCAAGTATTATAGTAATTTTACAAAGCTGGTGCAGGTCAAGACGACATATGATCCACAGGATATTTGGAGAGGGCCACAAAGTATCCCTGTATTGATGCCTGGTACTGGATCTTCTCAAATAGGGGGTAATAGTAGTGCTAGTAGTATTAGTAGTGTAGGTGCAACAAATGTTGCCGCAACACCATCGCAGGTTATCAGTAGTAGTTCAGCCGCAACAGTTGTCGCTGCATCATCAGCTCCAACTGTAGATGCACCATCGCAAAGTATCAGTAGTAGTGTTGATGCAACTGACATCATTGCATCATCATCAGCAACAGCAACGCCTCGAGGCCTTCGAAGGCTGGCAGTATACCGCAACGGAAAGTGAAAAAAATTATACCATAGGCCCTTTTAAACAATATCCAGCAGTTGTTATGTCACAATATCCTAATTTATACACCCATACCACACCCTAAGTACGAAATACAAACCATGCAACAGTAGTATCGCATGACGAAAACCGTGTTTTTGTGATCCAAACGATGCACGTCGCGACAAAATCAATTGAAAACACATCCAAATCCTCCAGAACATTGCGATCGATACCACAAAAGCACTTCCAGCTTCGCCACAAACCTAATTTTCACACAGAGTCCAAAAGCTCGTGATAAAAATTTGACAACAAAACCGAACTACCAACATCAAGACACATCCAGTTCCATAACTTGCCAATCGTAACGTAATGTCAACAGCCCCAACATCAGACGCATCATCCGTCGACTCCAACACGCCAACAGCAATCGATGATCCAAACACCGTCGAGAATGGGAAGTACCTATCAGCAGAATCCATTGTAGGCTTATCTCTAGGCTTTGGAATAGTAGCTGCCATAACCCTCGTCTGGTTTCTCACCAGGAAATATCGAGGCAAACGCCGAAACTCGTCTGGGAATGTCTTGTTTGTCAACCATCAACAGCTACCACCACGAAAGGATCACCGCAGCATTCAGTCTATAAATCAACGATACAACGCTTATTATAGTCTTGCTGAACTTGGAAGACAACCACAAGAAGGAGAACAGATACTACAACGGTCTAGCTCTTCCAGTGCTGGTCATAGCTCGTTGCCGCAAAGCCATGCCGTAACAATACCAGCAAGTGTCTCTTCATCATCATCACATAAATAGATTTACTGGAATAAATGGAAACATGGAAGACCTGGGAGTTTGGGAGTTTGCACAGGGTGTCTGTCGTTTTTGTATTATATTGTACACACAAGCACCAAGTAAATAAATACATACATCATTGGATTCAAAATCCTAAGAATGGCTCTGTTTGCGGAGGTCTGGTCCATATTTTGACATAGCCTTGCTTGTCTGTTGTAACGATTGCGTCTTCTCGGAAGACGAGTGAGCAAATGGGCTCGTTGTGTATCACTTTCACCTAGTTTCACAAAAAAAGGAAGATGAGGGATGCGACAAGTACAACATGTGATAGTTATTGTGCCATTGGATTCCCATTCTTACCATTGAAGGCTCGAGCATAGATACCTCCGATCTTGGTGGAGCATGATGAATATGGTGAACGACACGTTCACTGTCTACTCGCGACCGCCTCATGGTAACCTAAATAATAAAGAAGAGGTTTGAGTACGCCTTTGGTGAAAATAAATGAAGTTGACCGCAATGTTTTACCCCTCTAGGCCGATGAAGGCTCGAGACAGAAAAGTCCCACAAACAGATTCTTCCATCGTCTCCGACGCTTCCGAAGCGATACGATCTGTCCGTGCACTATTACGAGATGATTATGGTAGGATCAGTTCAGGTAAAACATATGAAGAAAAAGTACAAAAAAGCTAGTCTACAAAGCGGTAACGCCAACGCCCAACTACCTTGTACGCATCAAATGCTACAGCCTAGGTGTGAAAACAAATTGCTGTAAAGTATCCTGTTATTGTGTACCCAGATTTTTGTAACTTACCGATACCCACGAGTGATGCCCTTGACATCGTGCAACAATCCTTCCTCGAAAAGCCCATATTGTGACTAGATCATCTTGTCCACCGGTGAGTATGAATTTCCCATCTGGCGACCAAGCGACACTTGTCAGACCACCGAAATATGACTTGTAGGTATCATACAGTCTAAGCGTGAGAACTTTGCGGTTAAGACAATCGCATCCGTTGCTAAAGTGCTTTGTTTTTTCGTGCTTGAATACCTCTCCGCCTCATAGTCAATTATTCTCAGACATCCATCCATAGACACGATCGCAATATGTTGTAAATCAGGTGAAAATGCGAGTGCTGATATCGGCTTGCGTCCAACTTGCCAAAAGGTATAAGGGTTGAACTTGTGTGATTTGGGAGGTTTTGAGACAAAAAAGTTTCTAACGAGTGCAACAGAATATCAGCATTGATCTGTGCAGGAGACGCCACAAACTTACGATTCATTTTGATCTATAGAGACAGAAAACGGCTGATCGTCCTTTTCCTTGTCATATATGATAACACTACGAAGGTCACAGCAAAAGCGAATTAGTCGAATTTCAGTATCTCGACCTCGGATTTCGAAACATGACTGAATTTTCCAATACCTCCCATCCTCGTGTCCAGCAATGAAGAGAGACTCTGACCCAGGTATCCATTTTATACATGTGACTGCTTCCTTGTTGATTGTTCCTTGTCGATTCAGTCTAGCGTATTTGCCTGATATCGGTGAATACCACATCACATCTCCTGTGTTGAAACCAATGACTACGTCCATTGTATCTCGAGTCAACAGGTTTATGTCGTGACACGTCACGAATGCGTCCTTGAAAAAAATTTTGGAAAGTGCATCCTATTATTGAGAGATGAGAGATTCCGATATGAGATCTCGCATTGTGAGATTGAGAGGTGCAAAGCGAGATTACGACTCTTCGTCGATGTCGGCGACTACATTCAAAGTTTCTTTTGGACCAAACTTACAGGAGGATGTCTTGAGTAATCCTGCCACACAAACGCCTTTCCGACATTATAAAACATATACGTCGTTTCGACACCACGATTAGCCAAAGCCCTGGCTAGTTGCTCATGAGCGACGATCTTGGCAACAAACAGCCCAGACCCAGGCTTGCTAGTCAAAGGTTTAACTGGTTTCTTTGGTTTTGTTTGTCTAAAGAAGGCAAACGAGCCCTTGTCTAAATACGAACGATATCACTGTTAATGGGCTAACGACAAAAAAATACAAAACTCTAACCTGATGGGATACCGTCCCCTGATATCGGAACCTCAACATATTTAGAATTCGATGAGACTTCTGGTGGTTCAAGGGATTGTATCAACGCGGCGTGGTGCTCTGTAGACTTGACCGTCACAAAGCTGATATATGAGCCTGTTTCAAAAAGCGAGGTTAAGTGATGATCCTCGCGAGCAAACTGGACAACGTTCGAGGCTCTTCAACGTTCATACCAACATAGGCAGAAGCAGACAATTCCCTATCATGTATTTCATCACGTAGAGTATACTGGCCTAGCAAATATACATGTGTTTAGCAAACTGTTTGAACGTCGGGCCATTATTCCGACTTTTATCAACTTGAGACGGTAAATGGATTTAATTGCGCTTTTGAATACCTTCTACAGACACAAAATCATGTAGGCTGTCAGCTTGTCCTAAAGTCGTGGTTGTTGGTGTCGAGATTGTTGATGTAGGCAATGACTGAATAGTCCCCAATGGAGTCGAAGGAGTAGATGATGACATCTAAGCAGGTTGGAATGCGCGTTCCAGGTTATCTACGAGCTGGGTAGGTCTGCAAAGTGTGGGTTAGCAAGAAAGTGATTTGAGCTTTCATGTTCAAAAGCGACCAAAGGCAAATAAATAGTACCACTATAAGGATACTCGAACAAGGGCTTACCTGTGATCTCCTGATGCCCAAAACTCTAGAGAAAAATGTCTGGGAATGCGAAGGCAAGTCAGATTTACAAAAGATGAGCTTGGAGGAAGACGTTCTGAACACGTTGCGAGCAGCGGTTTTGACGTGAACTTCAATGTAATTTAAATTATGAATGTGTTACAACTATGTACAAAACTTACAAAACTACAAGTACTATGTGGGCTGAATGTCATGCTACTTGATGCTAGTAAGACTACATTTAAGACTACATTGTTTTGCCGTTACTACTACCATTGTGGTGTTTAAATGTACCATGTTAACAGTTCCAAGAATCAGTCGTTGCTGTACGTGACGAGAAACCTACAGAGACAAGTCTCACTCAGTTCTCATTCGCGACTTTACCATCAAGCCTTCAAACTTCACTCACGCTCCATTGCCTTCCTGGCTATACTTGTACCCTTCCCTCTTCAGCAGCGACTGAATGGTATTTTTCAATACCGGAAGACGACTGGACGAGTGATTACCCGCTCCTGTGATAATCTTGAAGGTCCGTCGTGACAATCCGTCACTCTGCCGACATCTGCTAACCCATCTAGCAAGTGCTTCCAGAGTGTGTGTTACAGCTTGATCCTTGTGTAAGCCATGGAGATCAATTACATTGGGATCACTGTGTGCACTACTTTTGAGAAAGCAGTGTGAGATAGACTCGGCATCATGTATGCAAACATCCATGGCGGACTCACTTGTTCTCTCGAAACTTTGCTCGCCCATACAGCTCTCTAAGCTGTTGTCGTTCTCTCTCAACATCGCGGCCTTGAGAGGAGTAAAACGCAGCAGCAGCTTGCCCGGTAGGACCACCCTGTTGATAATACTTGGCAGCTGCGAGATAGTTGACATTCCTAGTGGATACCATTTCAGAAAGCTGCTCGTGATATTGGTTGGAAGTTTTTAAACTAGAATCATCTACTGTCGGCGGCTTCCTGACCCCGACCGGACTAGCAAATTCACGGACAGGCAGGATTGTTGGAGCATCACGAGTCGCTTGTCGATATATAGATCCACCTGCTGATACATCTTTTGCTGTCGACTCATGGTCTGTCCAAGATGGTACATATTGAGGTTTTCGTGATATTGTTGGTGAAGATGGTTTCTGTTTGACCCAAGAAGAATGTAGTAAACACGGCGAGTCTCCAGCTACACACGTTCCATCACATTTAGGTAGTTTGGATCTCGTTGGAGTGAATGTCATCGGTTCCTGTTGGTTGTTGCTGCTACTAGTATTATTTGTTTCTGTCAGATAAAAATATGCAGCATTTACATCTGGATATTGTCTCAGTGCCTCTTGGATGGTATACGCAGACGTATTTGGAAACTAGTGCATATAGGGAGAAAGGCATGAGCTTTCAATCTAATGGTTTGTCCCATGTTCACGCTAGTCTCTTACAGCGAACTTACTTGCTCCTGCAACCTAGCAAAAGGTGTCATACTCGTCGTCGGCGGCCGAGACACACTGCCACCATCCATCAAAATTGAAACAGCGACTTCTACCGAGAATGCACAGTTCTGCAATATAGATTCAAGAGCATGATCCGGCAGATCCGTCTGCGTAATCTCTCTAAGCTGATTGATTTTCTCATTCATCATTTCCACCTTTTCGTCCCGCGGGCTTTGGATCGAACCACTGCTATTAGAAGTGGTGTCACTATTATCATCTTCCGAGTCCTTTAGCAGTTCCTCGACAGCGACCTCCACGTCACCATCACTGCGACGCAAAACATTTTTCAGGTGCTTTGAATCAGCTTTTGGGAATAGGTCTTGGAGAAATTTTACAGCTGCAGCTTCAGAGTTGGCCATGAATTATGTACTATGTCGTTATACTAAATGAGAGTGAATGTCGTGGGTTGGTGCGTTGGTGCGTTGGTGTGTTTCGTGTTTTACGATAGCAGTTTAATGTCCTTCAAATCACGACTGCAGTAGCAGTGCCGACAGGGCAGGCTGCGCCAAACCAGTCATTGTTGAATCCTTGATAAATTGATAAAGTGGACAAGTCAGTTCCTGGGTCCTGAAACGACAAACACTTTTTTGACTGAACAGTTAGCGAAACTCACGGTTTGTAAGTTTGTAGCCTTCATCAGACTAAGTTCTACAATGTGGGGCTCTTTTGCACTCTTTAGAACCGTATCACCATGAACTGCCTAGAAATGGGCTTTTATGAGATTTATGACTCAGGCTATATTAGATTTCGCGCAGTTCCGGCGCAATCCCACCATTACCAACGGAGGCGCGTCAATAAAGCTAAGAATAGCCAAATATTACGTTAAGCTATATTATCTGACGACTACAAAAATGCTTGCCAACGACTATAGGACACTATTTTAGCTATGAGATTATCACACGGAACCATTATATTCTTTTAGTTTTCCTCACACCTTCTAGGCGATCAATGCAAGCGTCAAGGCAACCAAAACACTGCTCAACAGCGTAAAAGTCGTTGCGAACAGATCTGAGACAGCACCACTCTTGCTGGCTCCAGCCGTAGCATTGGCTGCAGGGCTAGCAGTTGCTGCTGCTGTAGTGGCTGCTGCTGTACTTGGGATGACTGACGCGACTGGTGATGCGATGGGCATGACGACAGTTCCACCTATTGAAAGCCAAAAAAGACTGTTAGTATTGCGTATGTGCTGGCCAGAAGTCTTCTCGATACGTACCAGGACTGGCAACGGCAGTAGGGCCCGAAGTTATCAATGGTGCTGGCACTAGAGTAAGTGGGAGGCCAGTAGAGTTTGGTGGGGGAGAGTTTTGGCGGTAGATGGTACCAGCGGCTTCTGTAAATCCCGGAGAGTTGTAATCTCCAGGAATTGCTACAAGACACCCAGTGTCTATTAAAAGCACGATTTTCAGTACTATGTTCAGTAATTCCTATGCAAGATCAATCGTTTCAACATACAGTCGTTGTCTGAGTTACATCCATATGAAGAAGAGCACAATTCGATACAAAAGACTCCTGCTCCAATCAGAGATACGTATTCAACATAGTTGCCACCTTGAGCGTTCTTTCCAACTGGTTTACCACCTGGTGGTGAGTTTACTTTATATTGGTTGGTTCCAGTCAAGCTAGACAAACAAATGTGTCAGTTTTGGTTTGAATGATTCAATTCTTCAATTGCACACTCACTCGAATTGTCCACCCTCGTCATTTGCTCCAATCCAGTTCAATGATGCCAACAAATTTACATCGTATGTGCCTGTTATTTGAATACGACCGTTTGCAGTGTCACGAACGAGATGAGCACTAGTCCACATTCCGCTGACAAAAGGTTGAGCACCATTGGTCAAACCGGCCTTTGAGCAGAAGGCTACGGCATCGGTAGATACAGAACATGGCTTTCGTTGGCAATATGCTGAATCACAACATCTAGAAATTAGCAGGTTAGATCTAGCAAGACACTAAATTAAGGTCCAAAGCATACCCTTCGGCAGCATTCACGGTTTCAAGGACACCAGATCTTGGGGGCAAGAAGAAACACCAGTTTTGCACTATTTTTGATACAATGAGTTAGTTCGACTTGGCAGCAATGACATTGCTGATGCTCTCAACATAAGGAACGTACTGTCGACGACCGTAATCTCCTTCCCTGAACCTGTTGTAATAGAGAGCAATTCGTTAGGACAGCCTCAACCCACCACAGCAACCGGAACAAGAACAATGCAATCCCGAGGAAGTAAGGCGAGAGATGGGATGTTGAAGAGTGTACATGAAAGCACTTGTAAATCAGCTTACCACCAGCACCTAATGAAAGATGTGTGTGAGTTGGCGGGGATTCAAAAAAACAGGCACAAATGTTTGGTGGACGTGAGGCGCTGACTACTTACCACATTGAGTGTTGTTCTAAAGGAGAGGCAAGCGTCATTATGTTAGCGATCTATTCATCAATCAGCCAAGAAACAAGGATGTCAGACTCACCCCGAAACAAGTATCTGCTAGGATTGAAGGAACCAGAAGTCCCAATGCCAAGAAGGCGGATAGAATTTGCATTTTGAGCTGGATACAAGGAGCTCGCTATGTGTCAAGATGCAAGCAAGGTCAGTCAATCCGGTTGCTTCCTCCTTCGTCACAACTTTTGGTGGGTCGCCTGGCTATGCGTAAACTCGTTGCAGAGATCAAACAAACGGTCGGAACACTAGAGATGATATCCTTACGTGAACTTGGAGGTCTCCAGATGTTTCGATCGGTACTCTGGCTATAGACACGCCGACTTGTGCTTTATACAATTCAGCGAGAGACGCCACAGAAAGCAAAGCAAAGTAAATTGCATGTGGGCAAAAAAAAACGAAAGTTCGCTTCGCTTTGCCATGATTTCCTACATTGTACAAAGTTTTCCTTTACTGAACTGCCATGGATCTAACGTGTTCCTCTTCGTCAAAGTGGTTTGATCTAAGGGCACATGTCGATTCAGTCTTCCCGCGGTTGTCATGGATTTTAAGATCAGTTCTGGAATTGTAAACATTATTTAATTTCAATCTCAGGCTCTACTATGCTCAAACTGAACGACGGCCCTACGTTTCTGTCCGAAATCAAAACTGGCGCACAAGACCACACCCACGATTTGACTATGAGATACTTTTACATTACTCTACACTATACAGACATACACAGATTAGAATAAAACTATACTATTTTTACAACAAGGCAACAGCTGAAGCAATTCCAATTGCAAGTACTGATGTGAAGATAGTAGCAACTACATTGGCACCATCACTCGTAGATCCAAGTTTGGGGGTAATTGATTGTGCTGGGGTGTTTGCTACGGGGTTCGCTGTAGCACTAGCAGAGGCAGCTGCTTTGCTAGCTACGGGTGCTGATGGCAATGGTGATGGAGCGTAGAAAATGTTGGTGGATCCTGGCGATGCAACTGCTTTTATGGAGGAGATCAACGGGGCTGGGACTAGCGATGGTGGGGCTTTGGTTGTGGCGTTAGGAGACGGTGAGTTTTGGCGGTAGATCTAGGTTCGAGAGGGCAGTCTGATGAGCAAGACGTACTGAAAGAACTAGAGTGTCGCAGTCAGGCTTACTGTTCCGTTGGCTTCTGTGAATCCGGCAGTACTGTAGTCTCCTGGTACAGCGATGGTACAACCAGTGTCTGTTGTTTTGAGAACATAACGTTTGAGTAAGCTTTCATAACCACGGTTTCGAGCACAGTGCCAAACTTACAATCGTTGTCAGAGTTGCATCCATAAGGTGTTGAGCATAGTTGCATACAGAAGACACCGCTTCCAATCAACCCAATATATTCGGTATATGGAGCAACTGGCTTGCCAGAAGGTGGAGAGTTGACCTTGTATTGATTTGTTCCAGTCAAACTAAGTAGCAAGGTAGTGTTAGATGAGACGTAGGGATTTGGAAATACAGAAACGAGTCTTCACACCAACTTACTCAAATTGTCCACCATCGTCGTTGGCACCGATCCAGTTGAGAGAAGCCATAAGCTGCTGATTGTATGTACCCGTTATTTGGATTTTGCCGTTTGGAATATCGCGAACTATGTGTGCACTAGTCCACATTCCATCAACAAAGGCACCAGCACCATTTGTCAATCCGGCTTTCGTACAGAATGATACAGCGTCGGTCGAAGCGACACAGTTCTTTCCACGACCACACCAAGATGAATCACAACATCTAGAGATATCGTTCGTGATCAGTTGTCGATTTCATCTCAACAACAAGATGGAATGTTGTGGCGTACCCTTCAGCGGCATTGACGGTTTCAAGGACGCCAGTCTTGGGTGGCAAGAAGAAGCACCAGTTTTGCACTAGTTCGCAATAAAGTCAGATATATGGACTCTAAAGAAAGTTCCAATTGTTACATACTGTCGATGAGAGTTATTTCTTTGCCAACACCACCAGAACCTATGAAACAGGTACAAGATATTAGAATACTAATCATTTTAAACCGTGTCATACGATAACAACAGCTGTAAATAACAACTACACATCATTGATGAAGCCCGCCCAAACACTCACCACACAAAGTATTGTTTCCAAAACAAGTATCAGCAGCAACAAACGGTACTGCAGCTGCAGCGAGAGCCAGTACAGAAGCGACTGTAAGTTTCATTCTTGTCCTTTGATTAACTAGAAAGTAGGTAAGTTATGTTAAACGTTGCTCAACCATGATCCAAAGACGCAAACCAGCTTCTAAGGATACAAGATCGTCTGCAAGATCTTACTTGGTAGTAGTTAGTAGTACTTGTTACAGTCTTCTATACCTGGCTGATCGTCGCTGTTGGTTGCAGTTATTGGAAGTCTGGTCGGGGGTGTTGATGGATCTGACGAATTAATGAAGCATTTGTGTGTGTGCTATTTTGAGTGGATCCAATCACGCGATGCTTTGAAGCTTACGGGTGCTTTGAATGCAAATGCCGGCGAGGAATGAAGATCAGGAGAATCCGTCACTTCACGCTGGAATAAAACGGTGTTGCTTCTTGTCAAGAAGTTCTTGTGTAGAGTCTCTAATTTTTTTGGCATCGACGAGTACGCGAACTTCAAAATGTTCATCCTGGTGGATATGTATTACTAGAATTTACTTTTTATTTGGTTTAGAAAATACTAAGGTCTCAACGCATTTAACGACTATGATAAAGTAGACTTGGTCAGACGAGACGCCCAAAGTGACCACGACCAATCAAACATTATACAGATATTAACTTACCATTGTAGAAGGCAACAAATTCATCCTGTCATTCTGTATCGCCCACCTTTCAGGATGAATATACCTGAGCAATAGCCTCCTCAATGTCGAATACACAATCAAGATTAGACCAAAAGCCATTGGAATTAAAAAGAAGATGGGACTGAGTTCGTCGGATGTTAGGAACAAGTCTATAAAAAGGTTGAAGGATATCAGATCGCGGTGCTTTGTTCAACATGAGGCAATCCAGTGGGATTTCCATTGTGCTATTTTTCTTCTTACCACTGAGGAATGGTGCGTACACCATAGTCAATCCGAATGCTGACCCAGCACAGATACTGAGCCATGTCTTCTTGTTTCTGAAAAAAATATTCAAATTGTGTCAAAAAACTTGAAATAACACAACATGTCAACAACACTCACTTCAAAACCAAGGATCCAAACGGCAACCCATGCCTAGCTTTACAAGCAAACAGATTCCACATTTGAATAATCAGTATCGACAAGTAGAATCCTGATTGACTTTCTCTTAAAGCCCGTATTTGCCCGTCAGCGCCCTGATTTGGAGAGTTATGTTAGATGTCCCTTTTGTCGAAATATGTTGAAGTTCATCTTTCTTTTCACTCACCAAAAAGGACCCATCAGGCAACTCCAAATCAGGCGCACTAGGTCTAAAGTACTTGCCAGCCTTTTGCGCAACCCGTATCAGATTAGCGTCTAATCCAAAGCTTCCAAAGATGATGAAAAATGTCACAAAAGCACCGGCAAACTCTATCAGTCCACCCTCCAGATAGGCCCAACTCAGCACTTCAGCATCAACAAGACGCTCTCCAACAGGTGTAAACAGAATAGACCTCCATTCCAAAATCCACTCAGTCCAGTATTGTCGTCTCGTAATATTCGTCAACTCGTTTCCGTATCTTCTCCATCGTTGATTCAATGTCTTTTGTGTCTTTTCAATACCAGACGACAGCAAATCGTCGTCATCGTCGTCATCGCCGTCCAAAAGTCGCTTGTGCATTGGTATATCGATCTGTAGTGTTTCATGCTCTGTTGCTGTATGTGGATGAGAAGAGCTCGATGATGGTCCTCCTGGAATAGCTAGGGTAGATGGTTCAGCAGGTTTGGAATCTTGGTACCGGGTGATACGAACTGGTCGTCGAGGTGATTGTTTCATAAGTGCTTCGGCGTCTTCTGCAGGCTCCCATGCAAAGGATAAGGTCGTAAACATTTCAAATCCTAAATCGACCACCAGGATCTGCACGGCATTGATGGCTAGTGGAAGTGGTACTAGCACAAAGAGCAGGTATGGAATTACTTCTGGCATGATATGCGTCAATGTGTACTGAATGCACTTTTTAAGGTTGACAAATATGATGCGTCCTATTGTATTCAAGCAGTTGAGATGTCGTTAAAATCGCTGTATGCGATAAGAAAAACGAAGACAAAAAAACGAGGGACAGTTTCACACCAAAATGACATTCGACTTTACACACCTTCCAACACTCCTTGCACTGTAGTAGCAAAATCATCATCCAATAAAATCATACCGGCAGCTTCCTTACTAACATCAGATCCAGTCTTGTTCATAGCAATCCCCAAATCAGCCTTCTTCAAAGCAGCCGCATCATTAACACCATCACCAGTAACTCCAACAATATGTCCCATAGCTTGAGCCCTCGTCACAATCTCTAATTTATGTTTAGGCGATGTTCGAGCGAACACGACTTCTTCTGTATTCAATATCTCGTGCCACTGAGCTTCAGTCAAAGACGAGATTTCTTCACCACGGATGACACGAGCAGTGTATTCGTCTTTGGGTACGTTGGTTGGATTGACGTGTTCTTTAGCAGCGATAGCCTCTCGCGTTTGACCTGTAATAATGTTGAGCCTTCTTGCTACTGCTTCAGCAGTGAGTGGGTGATCACCAGTTATCATGACGACCTTGATGCCAGCATTACGGAGCTCTCCAATAGCTTCTCGTACACCGTGCTTGGGAGGATCGTCCAAACTGACAAGACCCAAAAAGCAGAGACCATCGGTTGGGTAATTCTTCTTGTCCAATGCGAATCGAAAGTTGTCTGTATATTTGGCTCCACTCAGCAAGAGTTGAGCAAACGCAATTACTCGATGGCCTCGTTTGGCCATTCCTTCATACGCATTCTGGAAGTATCTCTTGTGCTCTTCACCAAGTGGCACTTCACGGTTGTCGATGAGTATACTACTACATTTTCCAAGCACTCGTTCTGGCGCTCCTTTACAATATAGTGTCAAAGCACCATCTCGATGCCCCTTTCTGTGAATCGTCATATGGACACCAGTGTCGGAAGTGAATGGAATTTCAAACACTTTTGGATACAAGTCCGACAATGCATCGATATTGGCTAGTCGACTTCCACTGAAACGTAAAAGCCCAGCGTCCGTGGCATCACCGATAATCACTCGATCGTTGATATGTATGTTGTCCGTCTTTTCAAATCGTGCTCGGGTGCATGTGGCTGCGGCCATGAGAATGGGAAGGACACCTGATGCATCGACTCGAAGTTCTTTGGCTTTCAGGTCATCGTCTTGGTCTTGCTGGTGCACGTCTTTACTTGCGGCAGGCAGAGCACTCCAAAATGTTAAACCAGTCCATACATGAATGGCCGACATTCTGTTTTTGGTGAGTGTTCCCGTCTTGTCTGTAGCTAGCATGGTAATGGCACCCAGCGTTTCTACGCCATGTAAATCCTTGACCAATACATTGCGTTCCGTCATTCGTCGTCCCGCAATTGTCAAGAGCATGGTAACTGTAAGTGGTAATCCTTGAGGAATCCAAGCAATCAGAATCCCAATACAAAAGTGAAGCGAATAGTTCAGATTCTGTCCTCTAGCCAGCGATGCAATAAAGAATATAAAAGCGGTAGATGAAGCCAAGAATGAAATGGTTTTACAGAATCGTCGAATTTCGTATGATAACGGTGACCTTCTCTTCTTTTCTTTTCGAGTAGAGCTCGCAACACGGCCTAATGCAGTCTTGTCTCCTGTACGGACTACTATAGCAAATCCTTCACCGCCCACAATCAGAGATCCATTCAGAATCACATTTTGAGCTCTCATTGCATCGACTTCGGTGCCGACTTTTCCTGTACGTTCAAGAGGATCTGCTTCTCCAGTCCATGATGAAATGTCGACTCGGAGATCTGTAGCAGCGAATACGATACAATCTGCTGGGACCTTGTCGCCCAGTTTTACAAACACTACATCTCCTGGTACCAGTTCAGAAGCGAGAGTCTGTTCAGACTTGCCGGCACGATTTACAGTGCATCGATGCGGAATCATTTGCTATGATGAGATATGCGTTAGCTTTGCAAGTCTTCATTGGAAAACCAGAATAGGGAGTTCAAACCAGAAATGATTTCAGAATGGCAGCAATCTTTTGAAGCTCGTAAACCTCCACTACTGCGTTGATAAAAGACACTGCAATGAGGATACCACCAATGTAGCTCTATTATTCCACGTGAGACTGTTAGAACCCATTACGGACGCAGATCGATTGAACAGCATGACACATACATTAGACTCATTATCGAAAGGATCCACCAGATAGAGTATAATGTGTCCAATTCCAGCAATGATGAGAATGAGGTTGAATAGATTTGCAAGACACTCGACGAATTTGAGATAAATTGGTCTTGGTTTTGGAGGAGTTATAGCATTCTTTCCGTGGAGAGTCTGACGCGACGTCACTTCAGCTAGAGTCAGCCCGAATGATTTCGTTGGTGTTTTTTGATCTGCGGATGTGTCTAGTTTGGTCAAGAGCTCATCAAATGGGAGCAAATGTTCGTCCTAAGGTAAAAGTTCTTAGAACATAAAGATGATCGGTATAAAATAAGATCCATACTACAATGAGCCTACTATATCGAATTTTGGCCTTTTCGAAGTTTCAGGATCCACGACTGGAGCTGGCGTTGGTACTTTTGCAGCGAGATCGTGGGCACCTTCCTTTCCTAGGAGAGCCGTCCTAAAAGATTTCACCACACGATCTGATGCTTGCTGATCATATGATGTCGACATCTCTTGACCACGCTGCGAACGCCTCGCAACTGATGCTTTTTTGGGTGATTCGGAACGAGTTTGTATCAAACAGGGTGTGAGCGAAGCTCAACAATCTTATATAAAATTATGGCAGTTATGTCAATATATACAATTTACTTTAGCAGATCGAGCGTTTCTCCCACACTACTCGCAAACGATCCCTTCATAGACGTGGCGTTCGAGTTGAGCTCAACTGCCATACTGGACATTTTATCCAGGTTGGCCAGAGTACGATCTAGATTATTATCGAGATTTACTGTAGCTTTAATACCTCGCCCTAGAGTATCTGCGGCCCCTGATGCCTTGATGGTAGCCTTTGGGAGTGATGTTGCTGCTGATGATATGGCATTCAGTGTTCGTTCTTCTAGATCTGTCTTGTGGAGATCCAGGGAGAGTTTCTTATTTGGAGAAGTCTGGGTTGGATTTGATATAGTGGTAGTCAGCAATACTCGTTCTGGCGACAAGACAGCAGATGCAGGTCGTGAATTAGCTATTCCCAGGCCAGAAGATGCCATTGCAAGTTACTATGAGCAGAATGCAGGCCTTAATTACACGTGATTAGCTGCTAGATGAGGCCAAGCTTGGTGCTGTTCTAGTTTCATTTTGGGTCGTTGGCACCAGTAAGTCGGATGAGATTAACGATTGACGCATAGGATACGGTCATAGGAATTCCAGTAATTTCTGTCAATATAATTGGCGTATTTGACGCGTCCATTTCTCGTCCTATTCCTTCCGCAGCTACTTGCCGTTATTCCACGCCTCGAATCAAACCACCGCCATCACCACAACGCAACGAAACTGTACGTGCTAAAAGCAACATTTTGTGGCAGCAAGTACCATAAGCTCGAACGTTCAGCCTCGAATTACCGAAATGTGGGCTCCAAATACGATCTTGATGCTGCTCTCTCTCATGGCGGCCATGCTGCATTTTTCAGATGCCGACTATTGTTACGGAAATCGAACCACCTGTGGCCAAGGAGTACGTTTTTAATTTGAATATCATGACTGTCATCGTCAATACACGCTGTAGCCTCCTCTGACACATCTATTCATCAGGGGCCATCCAAGGAGCTTACCGTAATTGGTAAAGTTTTGAGCTTCACAACCTTGATCTCGTTTTGCAATCGAAAGATACATCCTAACATCGCTCTAAACTCATAGACCTCCAAAACTTTTGCCTATTCGTATGTATCCTTGAAAATCACTGTTGGTTCAAGAATCACACACCAGGACAATCCAAGTCGCAGCTAACTCGTGCAAATCATTCATCACTCTAGCTACCACCAGTCAAAACCGAGATTGTCATGACCTCTGAAGGTTGCTGTGAGACCTGTGCTGATAGGAAAGCAACTAACTGTGAGCCAATTGCAAGTGATGCTGTCAGTTTCGTAAGTTGAGGAGCTACGTTATGAAGAGCTGTTGTACTTGCTTGTTATGATCATCGTCATCTATCGCAGTCATAGTGCTTTACGTGTTGTGCGCATGGTTTCAATCAAGTCTATTGTTTTTTTGTCATTCTCATCATCTTCAAATCATCATCAACACTCCCTTGATCACCTCGTGTTGATCTCACCCTTTTCTTTTCAGTGCACATTTGCTGGATTAACAGCTGGATCTCGCGTCTTTCCAAGTGGATTCTTCACCTCGGCACATCTCGTCAGAGACACATTAAACAAGAAGATTCAAATCACTGGTACATACAAGCCTAGTGTCTGGGGTGTATCAAATGACGATGGAGGACAATATGAGTGAGTTCGAAGGTCTGAGTTGTCCGAAGGAATCCTAAAGCTCACAATATGTATAGTTTGACTGGCACAAATCAATATCGAGTCAACTCTCCACCAGGTTTGTTACTATTCATCGAGGACACAGAATTATGAATAATGATCTCCTGTCTAACTTGTTGGCTTTGTTCAGGAGGAAAACCTGTTGGATACCTCGGTAACAAAAACAGATCTAATCTTGCCAACGTATTGTTTTTAACACTTCAGCTTCAACGCAGAGTATCTCTCATTGGTTGGATCAGGCGTCTTTTGGTAAGTTACTATCTCTCACTACAATTGTTGTGTTTTTATACCGCATTACAATCGCTCACACATACCACGGCGGCAGTATCCAAATGTGCTCGACACCATATGGCTGCAATTCAGGTACGTCTAATTCGCAGACAGAAAATTCTGAAGATTTGACTGATTGACTCCCTCTTTTCATTAGACAACGATTGTGAGTTTCAAGACAAACGGTTCACTAGTAACTCAAGCTCAATCTTAGTTCACCGTCTTTAGATCAAGGTTGTGAAGTAGCCATACCTGGTAATTACAATGCAGGTTATACACAAGCAGATGGTGTGATCCTTAGACAAAACTCTCCTCCACCAACAAATATTGAAGGATTGGTAAGCCTGGAGCTCTAAGAGTGTTCTCTTGAAGAATCTGAGATGAATGATGTTGGTGCTGACTGAGCTTTCGTTTTTATTCCCTCTACGATATTATAGCCGAAGACTCTGGTCGGGCCTCCCAAAATCACTGCTGGTCCTAGTACAGTCGCATCTCCAGGCGCCGCTCAACCAGCAAATACCGGAGTGGCCAAGAAATTGAGTGTATACGGTGTTTAAGTGAGTGGACTAAAACCAAAAGGACTTTGTCGTGTTATGTCATGTGTTAAAATCACGGTGCATTAGTAAACGGACTAGATCGTATTCATGTAGTGTGTTAATGTCCTCAGTTATTCAAGATATAAATACTATAAATGACGATAAGCAGCAGAGTGAATCCAATAAATGCCATCGAGTTCATCCAAAGGCTTGACACAAGTTTCGTTCCTGGAGGTACAAAGACTCCATGTTGACGATACCATTGGACGACTCGTCGCATCCCTTCTTTCGGAGTTACAAGTGGCACATATCCGAGTTCTTTACGAGCCTTCTCAATTGAAAAGTAGTGGGTTACCCCACTTTTGTACACTTCCGCTAAAGACCAAGTGAAGGTGAGCATATCGTACAGTCCGTTGGCCCCGTTTGATGCTCGTACCTCTCGTCAAGAATGGTTGAAAGCTGAAGATGGGTGAAACAAGGTAATGTACATATTCAGTGACGAGTGCTATATAGAAAAGCACTACTGTAGGGAGTACTAATGACGGCTTGGTATATCCACAGCCTTCAAATAATGGGACCAGGAATTCGAATGTGTCCACTGGTTAAAATGATTGAGTACACAGAGAACATGGAATGGTAGGGATCTTGCAGTCTTACCGGGCTCTCCGTCAGATATAAAGTATGCTTGTCCACCTGCAGCGCAACCCGATGACGATAATTCCTTGGCTGCTGCTATGTGCGCGTCAACCAGATTGTCGACGTATCTGTTGTGAAGAAGATATATGTATGAGATTTTAATTATGTTCGATACAAGTAGACTCGCCGAGAAACCTTACACAAATTCTTGCAAATTGTCCCGTTCTTCTCTGTAAGTGAACATTAAAAGGCCCGACTTGACAGTGTTGATACTATGAAAACGAGTTCCAATGTTCACGGTACGTACTTTATAATATTTGAAAGCACTCACATCCGTGGAAAGTGGCGTTCCTCACCCTCGCCAAAAATTCCCGCAGCCCTCAGAGCAGTCGTCCTCAACACGTGTCCATGCCTTTTCAGAGGCTGCATATCAGCCTTCAACACCATCTGTTCAGCCAGAGCTTTAGTCCTAGAGTACTCGTCGGTGTGCTGTTCAATTGGAAAGTATGGCATCGTTTCATCCCCTTCATATATCGCTTGCCCACCAAACACCACATTAAACGTGCTTGTATAAACCAAATACGGCACAGAGTTTGCAATACAAGCATCAATCACATTCCGAGTCCCACCAACATTCACATTCCGTGTTTTGTATATTTGAAGCATCTCACGGCCAGACATTCCGAAACTCGCACAGTGGAATAGCACTGTGATGGTCTTTGTAGCAGATGTCAATTCATCTACAGATGTCACGTCAACCTTGATGAATTGACAGCGTCCGTCTTGAATCAGCGATCTGATGTGTTGCGGAAATCCATCCCGTGGCTCTCGTATGTCCAGCAAGAGAACTTTCTTAGTGTCGTGGAGATCTATTAGGCGTTGAGCGAGCCGTAGACCGAAATATCTGCACAACAGGAAGTGTTAAGGCACGTTTGCAACGCCAAAACACGAAAAAGAAGCTAAGTACCCGCATCCTCCGGTTATAGCAACCACTGAGGAAGGGAGAAACTTCGATGATTGTCGTCTTGTTCGAGGGCTGCTCATCTTCTGGGTATGAAATGCTTGATGGGTTGTCTCCAAGTTTCGTGTGGTTTGTGATAGATTTCAAAAGCTCAAGACGCTCAATCCCATGCCACGACTAGCATATAAGTATTTAATTCAGTTTGAAATTATATACCAAGTTTCTGTGCTGCATACCGTGTCCCAAATCAGGGAATGTCAATCCGAGACGCGATTTCTTGGGCAAGACACGTCAGCTAATCAACTGACCAATAAGTCACATGCTTTTGAGCTCTTGTAACAAGATCGCCTACCGCTGCCTTGCAACTTCGGCCCTGTTCTCAATTCATCACCCTACATATGTCAATTCGCAAGGAAGGATTGCGTATAGATTCGAATGTGGTCTGTAAGTGAAGAACTACAAAACTAGCTGTAAGTATTCATATACTTGCTTTCTATCTTCACTTTGGGTGAGGTTGTCAGCGTCGTCGAGTTGAACGTGTTTGGACATAAAAAAGAGCAGCTGCCGCAAACTTGTTGCACCGAAGAGGGACGACCTTGTGACTAATACACTTTACTGGCATAGTAATTTTGCTTGGATTATCGTCGCTCTGCGCATCTCGGAATAGCCTAGCTTCTATGATGATCCATATTCTTTTGCTCAATTCTATCGAAAGCTAAAAAACCTAGTACGTCATAAACGTAATAGATGAATGAGCGTAACGAGATTAGGCAAGTCGCGCGGGACACGAAATAATAGAATGATAGCTCTTTCTGCCCTATATCGCGGGAGGTTTGGTTGGCCGCACCAGAAACAAAATCCAGTTATGTTTGCCAAGAAAAAAGAGGATGCATCCCCATCTTCAGAGTTTATTAAAAGAGGTATGTAGGCGTCTTCATATAGCGTACAAGTATGTGCTTTGCTTATAAAGCCACGCAGGCCATTTTCAAAGTCGACATTTAATAACGTGACTTTGTTTGTTTTTGGTGAATGACGATAAAACATGAAACTAACACTTACACATATTCAAACTAGTGTCGACTGAAGCTCCATTATCTAAAAAAAACCAAAGGAAATCAAGGGCAGCTCCCTCTTATATATCATTCGTCTCTCTGGTAGTCTAATCTGGTAAACGAAGGCAAACACCATTACCATTGCCATCACCACCATCCACCATCGCCATCACTAGTAGAACAGCTTTTATATAAAAGTATCTGTAGATATGCTACCGCTGCTGAAACTAAGGCTCATGAATTATTTGCCGATGTCCATAGTTCTCGACACGCAAAGCTGGAAGTGTCGCTAGTAGCTTTTCCAGGTTTTATACGGACTTATTCCATGTACATTTACAACTTGATCTAACCATGGCCTATAACGTCAACTTAGATAGATAAAGCTTGCGAAAAGGCCACCCTACCAGATCAAAAGTACTGAATAGTAAGTCACCATACTGTGTTTACCAGCGAATAATTCAGTACTAACAACCCCGATTTATTAGAGGTAAGCCTTGTTTTTGTAGAACAAAAATTAAATTAATTGTAACATATCTGTAAATTAATTGTAACATATCTGTAACTGAATATAGTGATGAATGTGGTAGCCAGTTTTTATCAGTGAAAGGATTTCGGAAACATTCTTGTAAAGCAGAGAGAACTGCTGCCAAACGCCGTCAACAACCACATCACTTTACACCAGCAGACGAACCATACAGTCTAGACACGATACCAGCTCAAACATTTCGCCAAGTAATTACTCTTGACAGCTCCCTTTCTCCCATAACAACCAATAGTAACCAAGATTTTGAACTTAGCTTCACGCTTCACTATCGGTTTGGCCAAACCATTCAAGACTTGATCATACACAGACTCGGAACTAACTGAACTAGACCAGCAACATTTCAAGGACATTGTTTACATTCAACAGTTTTAACAGCACACGCCACCGCCACCTACTAGTAAACATCCACCACTCGCTCGATTTGAATCGCCATCGTCTCCAGTATCATCTGCAGTAGCAAGTAGGAGGAGCGTTACGAGATTATTTGACTTGAGGTCCGGTCTCGCCGTCAAGTCAGAACCATCTTCATCAACACGCATCTCTGAACCAAAATTACTTATTGGTCTTACAGGCCATGTCAAGAGAATATAACGCCCTGCTGGAACATCATTGATCGAAATATTGAATGCTCCACTCTACTTGTACAAGCCGTCCGTAAATCACCTCAATCTGAAGAATCCTTCAGTCACGCTGGAATTGGTAGAGAATGCTCTATACACATACTACCTGGTTATTAATGAAAGACGAGTTCCTATAGTTTCTCAAATTATCGACGAGATAATGTCGCCCGTTTTTAACAGAGCCCGATACTTTGTGTGGATGGATATTGACATGGGTACAGGAGTACTCTATGAGAGGTATATAAAGTTCCCGGACTCGCTTGCCGAAAATCCGTTTAAGAATATGCTGGATCGATGCTTGTACGAGACAGAACATCGTGAAGCCTTTGTAAAAGTATAGGAGGACGACGAACGAGCTGTAGCTGAAGCATCTAAAGAAGATATCGTCATAGAGGACGCTAAGCTAGGTGTCAAGAATGAGAAGACTACGGAAGCTGAAGGATTACCATCCACCACACCACTGCTGGTGGTGATATGAACTCGGCTTTAGCTGTAGTAGGATATAAAAACCGATATTCTCTAGTCTGCTAGCAATCATATAGAAGGCAGGATGGAAAGTTATCTCATCGGCCAAGCAGACAATTATACAGCTCGTGGAGTGCCACCTCTTCTATTGGAACGGACATTCGATGCCTCTGCATTGGATAACGCGATTGCTAAAACATGCTTGCCCTACTATGACGCTCCTTTGCGTGTCGTCGAGAGTGGAGGAGATCATGAGGTCGAAACAGAGCTATCTACTACAAACAGATATTACAGGGATAAATACTTGGGACTGCCTGTAGTAATAGTGCTGGCCGTGGCGCATTAGGTACCAAATTTCGTCAAGAGCCATCTGCTGCACTCAAGTCTGTAAGAGGAGGTCCTTCCTGTATCTCCTTTTATGATCTACGAGCTCAACGATACATAGATATGGATCCCTCTCCATCCACTCGATCAATCATAATGAGACCGCCACGATCCACCTTGAGACAGTGCTTCTATTATTCGCCTCGTGTAAGTACTACTGGTGAACCGACATCGCCTCGCGTACCCACTACTAGTGGGACGACAAGTGCAAGTAGTTATATTTTGATCGTCACTTTAAAAGAATCTCGTCTCCTTTTTGACACCGTCACCCAGAGTGGTCAAATCGACTTTGCAACCTCCAGGATTTGGAATGTCTCGACCAGGAATAGAAAGCCAGCCTTCGTTATCCTCAAACTAAAGCCAGAACATGTATCATGGATGGGTGTGGAAGTGTGCTTTACTCCAGCCCGCTTCGCTGTTAACCAGGATACCAATGAAAGGACCATAGTCACATCATCGAGTCCATGTGTCATCACCTGGAATCTCAAACGTTTACTCAAACGCTTTTTGAATGATTATCATATTGAAAAGAATGGAACTAGTAAGGTTGTCTCTGGAGTGCATTCATTTGAGGGACGTAACGTTGCGAGGTTGTTGTCGTCTGAGCTTGCCAGACATATCAGTGCTAGAAGGCTCAAGGAAAGGGCTTGTCCGCATTTGCTTAAGCAGAAGGCTTGATAGGTGGATGTTAGTGTTAAGTCTCCCATGACTGGTGGTTTTTGCAGGATTGGTTCTGACACGAAATCTCCTCGATAGAAAAAGGAGGAGAAGAGGAAATCGCAGAAAAAAATATACGTAATTAGATACTGTGGCCTCTCAATTTGAGGAATTGTGACATGTCGATTTTTTAAATCAGCTTTAATCTCGCGTAATTTCAAGATTTGGGTTATTTGGCGAATTATTAAAGTCTAAATGAGAGGTTCTAGATAGATTTGATTGTGGTTGGTAGCACCTTGGCGTTGGGTGATGGTTGCCCCTGCAACATTGTTGGAGTCAAAGAAATGGCGTCTGAGGAGCAACAACAACCGAAGACGGCTCCTCGAACTAAAAAGGAGCCAGCATGGCGTAAGTGCGGTCTATTTCATCGGTTTCATATTGGGCTTTCTTCGAAAAACTGTCGCTTGGTGGGAGATCCACAAAGACCCAAACTTGTGGTTAAAAGTCGGAGAGAAGAGCACATAAGGGCCCGCCAGATCGTTTTTGAGCTTATTTATAAGAGCTTTTGCCTATTTCCAGCACATCATACCGCATGCAAATCACATCATCAACTAAAACATTTCAATCACTCTGTGCGCTTTTGTAGATGCTCGCTTCAGGCAGCAGGATTTCAAAGCATGGAATCCCATATTCTCGCCGCGGCTAGCTATGCCCACTCTTCTCATCGCCGGCATCATACTGCTACCCATCGGTATCGGCCTCCTCCTCTCGTCCTCTTCCATAACAGAGACCAAATTCGACTATACCCAATGTGCTCTCCAGGCAACGGCCACGCTAGCGGCTCCCCCTGCGGGGATAGACTCCTCAATAGTCCAATGGAAGTATGCAGATAATGTCTGCACAATCCGCTTCAACGTAACTGCACCACTGTCACCACCAACCTCATCATCTGGCTCGATCGGTGCATCTCCAGTCTTTTTCTATATACGTATATCAGGAATGTACCAAAACCATCATAAAATGGTCACGTCGTTCGACTTGTCCCAACTCGGGGGATCGTATATATCCACAGCTTCGTCACTCTCGGCAAATTGCGACAGTCTGCGATACGCTGAATGCAGTAAAAGTGATTATGCAGCCAACGGGCCCAACGGCACATATGATAAAAACTGTAATATGGGAACCATAACTGTTGGAGCCGGAGCACAATACTATCCATGTGGACTATTAGCAAACTCGTACTTTACAGATGTCATCTCAGACCCTATATGTATAACGGACTTGTCTGGTAATCCATGCACATTCTCACAATATACCTTCTCGACTTCGGGGCTTGCATGGCCACAAGATAAAGCAGTGTATGGGAAATCAGCATGGTTGACGACCAATGCTTCTAGTATTGCCACTCAGCTTATTCCACCACCGCAATGGCAGAGATCCATTCCTGCCTATGCTAATGGATATAATGCTACTAATTTGCCAGACCTAAGTCAAAATGAACGATTTATTGGGTGGATGATGCCAGCTGGCATGCCCACTTTTAAAAAGCTGTGGGGCAGAAATGATACCGTGCAGTTAAAGACTGGTATTTATGAAGTCAATATCACTACCTGTAAGTGACTGTTTGCACTCCTGATGATGTGTATTCGCTAACCTCTCGTTTTAGACTTTGATGTAGTTCGATTCTCTGGTACAAAATCTATAGTATATTCGACCGCTAATGTACTAGGAGGCAAGAACCCATTCATCGGAATTGGCTACATGTCCGCGGGCGGCGTTGCAGTCGGATTAGCCTTCCTCTTTGTCTTCCTCTACTTTATCTCCCCAAGGTAAACAAGCATAATTCGTTCTCTTGAAGGCTCCTGGCTAACCTTCCCGTCGTGTAGGAAAATGGGCGACCACCAACTGCTCTCCTGGAACAAAAACGACCAAAACACACGTAATTCTCCTAACTGATTCTAGATAGAAGAAACACACCATACAAACGAACCTCGTACAATATTTGGATTATCTTTTTTGTTGGTAACTCTCTTTAAACAAAGAACTTGCTCATACTACTTTTTAAGTTGGCTCGTCGCCATGTACACCATCCCATCACCCCTCGTAGCCAGCCTATTTATCTCTCGATGCTGTTCCCTTGACACTATAGACTCAATCACCTCTCCACTCCCCTTAATTTTCCTCATTCTCCCTGTATACGGATCAAGCACGTCACGTACAACAGACTGCTGAGCGACATGCTCCTCCTTCGTTTGGGGCCTCGAGACAGGACGTCGGCCACTAGATACCGGTGCTGCGGACACTGCAGCTGTTATACCATTACTCGCCGCAGACACCGAAGCCGTTATACCCTCACTTCCCACATGTCCTGCCCTATGCTGCGGCACACCATGCCCTTGATGATGATGTCCATGCGCATGCGCAACATGTCCAATAGCAGGCGCATGACTGACAAGATTCGTATCCGTAACACCACCCAACGCCATTTCGACCATACTAACGACACTCATGTTGGGTTCACTATGTCGTCGCTTGCGTTTATGTTTCTTGTCCTTCTCGTCATGGTGTCTCTTCTTTTTCGATTTACTGTGGCTCTTGTGGTGGTCGTCGTCGTCTTTATGGGGTCGTTGGGTCTTGTGGTTTTTAGAGTGTCGATGGTGGTGGTGGTGGTGGTGGTGATCTGAAGCGGAGGATGTGGATGAGGACTGTGAGGATGTGGATGTGGATCGTTTTCTTTTCGAGGTTGATGTAGTGGTATGGTGAGATACGTCAGAATGTCTTCGTTCGTGACGAGCTGGGGAGTGATGTCGAGATTTTTTGTCCTGATCAGGCGAGATAGAGCGGTCGGTTCTCATTATGCGTTATAATTATATTATATCTATAGTCAGGAAGATGAACGATAGTATATTTAGAGCGTTTCTCTGGTGAGTGAACTGAAAATCACGAGTTGCAAAAAATCAAACAAGTGCCCACCGCGCCAAGAAACATGAGAGGAAGATGCCTAACAAGTATTTAATCAAGTCTCTGAGTTCAACGTACAGAATGTGGCCGTCTCCCTTTACTGCCTCAGAAATGTATATTTTACAATTGCAGATGGGGTTATACAACAAAAGCGACTTATGAGTTATGAAGGTAACAAACGCGTATTGTGGCGTATTATCTTCAAAATGCGAGTACTACAACTGCAGTTACCGTGCAGGCAACTCTGTACGGCACACAGGACATATTGCCCTGACTTCCATCCAATCCTCCAAACACCTCGTATGAAAGATATGATGACACGGAGTTACCATATAGTTGTATCGTCCATATTCACCTTCCAAAGGATTGGAAGGGCCTGATGACCGAGGAGGACGTATATTTACAGGCTAAGAAACATGAATCAATTGATGTTCATAGCAATTGTTGAAACAACAAAACCACAAGCACTCAGAGCCTGGATGCCCTTCATATACTCCAATCAGCAAAACCCTTACCAGGAAACATATCGGACAATCATGATTAGTGAGACGTGGATGTCCGTGTCCACTGACTGCTGTGTCTTCTCGTCGAGAACTTGGTACAGTCGGTGACTCCAAAGGACCAGTACTATTGGGCAGACTCTCCAAATCGCTGCCACCATTTAGCACTGGGTGATAGTCGTAGGTTTGCGGAAGCCACTATATTAGAGGAGCAACTTAATTTTTGTCTCAAATGAACGAAAAAAGGAAGAGCATGTACCCCAGTAGGAACAAAGAATCTAGGACCCATAAACTCTTGCAAGTGCAATATAGCACATTGTAATGCGACATAAGTTATTAATGCAATGACACCGATAGGTTCAGCGTCTTCAAATGTAACGACGTTCAGAGGGCAACCAAATATGTACAAAGCAGGCACCTACAGTGATGATGTAATTGTGTGTTAATGCTAGTTGGTTCGAACAACTCTGAACATTCCATCATTGTTCGATATTTTCCCTTCGGTTTTCACAAGACACAACGACAGATATCCACTTACCAGCCGAACAACAGATATCCCAAGCACGTAATACGTTTGAAAGGCTCGTCGAGAATTATGGGTTGCGTTACTACATCATTCAAAAACGTCAGAATTTTGAATGTTTCATCGACAAAGGCAAAAGACAAAGAGAGAGAGAGAGAGAGACCTCATGATTTGTGGAATCCAGAAGCTATACATGAGAAATCCAGCAACACCCATAAACATAGTGATTCTAGCAGCAATCTGGCAAAACAGGAAGAGGCCGCCAAAAAGATACAAGTCTAAATGAGGTAAAATATGAGTTTTCAACTGACACAAAAACAAATATTGCTATTGTCAGACTAATGACATACAAGTCCTGGAGAACAAAGGCCCAAACACCGAATGATCGCGTTCCCGCCGTTGCGATCGTGAGATTGTCAACAAGTATCTCATCTCAAAGATACAAAACAAAACAAACTTGAGGAATGCTACCGTTACGAATGGGAGGAACACAGTAGCTTGAGAGGAGAAAAAAGAATAATGTCAATGGCCGAATACTCAAACTTCAAGCAACACTTCACGACATCCCATACTTACTAAACACAGCCCCAGTCGTAAGATTCAACAAGCACAAATACGCATCCATAATAGTCGACATTCCCATAGTCATCAGCGACACTTTACTCAACGATGACGGAGCACCTCTCGAATAATCAATCTGTATCAGCGTCAACACCAGCTCAACCAGCGTCACGGCAACCATCATCATAGCATAACGTACAGATTTGACTTGATACAATTCTAGTTTGAGACCCTGAATCTCGTCTAGACTTAGCGCCAGCCCACACGTCGGGCTGTACATGAATGCAGATGCGAGATTCGGTGGTCGTGATGGGAGCGATATACCAGTCGGATGAGCCAATTCGTACTCATATGCGGTCAAGGCTGATTGGCCGTCTAGACCCGGCACTGGTCGTAGCTGCATGTAGTTGTACAGCATGCATGTAGACATGGCTGGCTTTTTAGAGTCGTCTTCTTCGTCTGCGTTTGTGCCTTCTTCTATATATTTCAGCAGCTCGGCTTCTCTCATTTTCGAGAATGAGACGGCTATGGCTCTGCTTTCGTTGAATGCTTTGTCGTTCAGGGCCATCTTCATAATATCCCGTCCTCGCAATGTATATCCCTGAGGCACTGCGACCATCCAGACGACTCCAGTTTCAATCCAGTGAAGTCCAGCGATGGAGAGCGTAAGACTGTTTGGCATCGTCCACCATTTCAGCGAATTCTCAAAATATGTCGTCCTTAATTTGTACTGTCCTTCAATCAAGTTGATACCCGGAGCTACCGTGGCATTAGAGAAGAGAGTGCCAGAGAGCACGCCAGAAGCATACGGGTTGATCATGGACAGAAACCTATTCCTAGTCGTTTCATTATAGTACTGCGATTGATTTACGTGATGAGCCGTTAAATTAAATGGTGCATATGATCCTCGATACAGTCCCGTGATATTAGTATACAGTGTTCGTAGTCGTTCAAATCGAGTGAGGTCATGTAGATTATCTAGAATGGGCATGATTTCTGACACGTCAGTCTAAAACACAAAGGATTTAGATATCATCAACCATTGCAAAAAGAGAGACGGCCAGCATACATGATTCTCAGCAAACGTAGCATTTTGCAATTCAGACGTGAAATTCCTTTGCAAATCGAGCAAGCTCCCTACACTTGCGGACGGCTGAGTTTGCTGGCGATTGCCATTGTCCATGGCAAACATGAAGAAGAAGAGCATCCATAATGTAAAGACTCGGTAGGAAGAGTTAGAGACTCCGTTAATGGTGTTTGGTGAACCGGCAGCTTGCTCTGGCATCGTTGGTTGATGAGGTTGGAAATGTTGGATGTCGATCGTTCTGGGAGAGCCGTCGAGCTTCCACGGTGAAAGATTAGCCCAGCTTTGTATGTAAATGACGTGAAAATGCTATGAGAAGGACATACCTTTAGCTTCAACGGTGGTGATCTATTTACGATTAGTGCTCGAGTCAAACTTTTGGCACTTACACACGATTACGAGCTGAACTTTTTCAAGCTGACGCTAGGTTCAACTTTAACCGTCTGCGAACTAATCTAATGCCCTTCCCATCTACACTTCCAACCTTCGTCAAACGAAGAACTTGTAAAGTGCGTTTGAGGTTCGAGGTAGTGTTACGCCGACAATTGAACCGTGATTCCAGATCATCATTGTATTTGTATTTACAAAGCAACACGTATTATAAGTACGATGAAACTGAAATCCATTCAGTGTTCATCACATGCGCGTCTTGGAGTTCTCGACTATTACGAACTTAAGGGAACGTCATGCAAAGCGATGCAGCACACGGATTTCTGATGGCCATTGTAATGTCTACAAGAGATTGTGTGAAAACTAGGAAATCCTTAACTGTGTGCAAAAAAAGCCCGCAGTGCACGCTACCTGATTGTTTCTCCAGAACTCAGATCCCACAATCTCGCAGAATGATCTGAAGAGCCCGTCACAAGGTATGCTGAATCCGCAGAGAATGCAGCATCCCAGACCCATCTCGTATGTCCACTGAGTGTCTTGTCCAGATTGAACTTGTAATCTGCACTAGACCATAGCTTGACGGTATTATCTGCTGAACATGTTGCTAACGTCCTGTTGTTATGATAGGAGCTGTTAGTTCTTGAATAGTCGGCAATGACAATGACGTGTACAATTACCTTGTATCTGGTGAAAGGACGCATTTGGTAATGTACTTGTTATGCGCAGCTACTTTGAGTAATGGTTCTAAATCTGTCATATCTCCTTTATTCTTGGTCTTCCATACGTAAAAGTTGCCCTGTAGATGAACTGGAATCAGCAAAAAAGGAGACCTGATACCTCTTAATCAACTTGATACCTTGTTGTTGGCAGCAACTAGTAATGAGCCATCAGCAGCCATTGTCACTGATCGTGCAGGTGTATCTTCTTCCGGTAACTATTGTGTTCAGTGTGAGCAACAACACGAGTATCTGGAGTATAAGCAACTGCTACGAAGATCAATTCTGTTGATAAACCACGCATTACCAGTTCATGAGTACATGCATTAGCTCCCAAATCCCAAATCTTGATGGAGCCTGATTGATCACAGGATACCAGCTCTCCTTGATTTGGATGAATTATGACATCGTTGACTGGGCATTTGAGTTCATAATCTCGTTGTATACCAGGAGCCCTGTAAGTTGGAGTGTTAGTTGAACCTGGATGTGATCACGCTAACAAAAAGCAGACAGGAACAGGTTGAACATGGTGCCTTTCATACCTCACATCCCATATCTTGATTGTACCATCCTCACTACCAGTAACAATCCAGCGTCCCGCAGATTGGAAACCAATGGAGGTGATGTTTCCAGTGTGTCCATCAAAAGAGGTGATAGGGTTTGGATTGCTTGTTTGCACCTCGTATAAACGAACATGTGGGTTTCCTGTTACAAAGGGAGTAATTTGAATTCCACGTTCAGCATTGTTGCAGTTGGGCATGGTATTACCAGCAGCAGCGAGATACCGTTTATCTGGCGAGATGGCTAGACGATTGACTTGCTAAGTAGCGATAGAGGTTACCAGTAAATAACCTGACCATAAATTGATTGTGTAATCAGCAATTCATTACAGAATCAGGATGCTGTATTGTCCTTAAACATATTCCACTGAGCGCTTCCCAAAACCTGTAGAGTCATGATGTTAATGTCTGCCGGCAATAACAAGGACAAGGACAAGCATGCCTGATGGTATGATCGTAACCAGCCGATACAAGACATACATCCGTCACGGTAGCAGCTGGTGGTGGCGACGCTGAAGCTTGCGCTGTCGGCATGTTTGCTTTAAGTCGTGAAGAGAGTCTATGAGGCAACTGACTATGAGTACATGAATAATTGTTAGCAAATGAACTTTGAACATGACGGAAACTCACTTGTTCTATGTAGCTACTCAAAGACCAACAAACAACATCCGAGTACTTCAGTTCTTTCTAAAATGATAGTGACCAACACACGTAGCTAAAAGAAAAAAGAAAGACGTTAAGGCTCCTCTGTCTGTTGCAATGCACGAGAATCGCGTCAATTCGTGTACATCTCGGTCTCGTTGAACGTGATTTCTCCTTGTTTTCCCGTACATTTTCAACACTAGCAAAATGGCAGGACTGTCATTCAGCTATGATAAGTGGGACAAGGTGAGCGCCTTTTTATAGCATGAAATCGTGGAATATTTATCGGAACTAGCTGGATCTAACATCTTTCCATACAAATCTTTCGCAGATTGACGACAATGCAAGTTCAGATGAAGACGTAGTTAGAAAGAAACCACCAGCTAAAGATGCTACACGTCCACCCTGCATATTCATTACCGTGCCGTGGAATTCATACTGTGGTCAGTACGGTTACATTTGGATCTTGTTGCGTCATTTGCTGGCATTGATAGTTGCATTAATTTCAATACAGAGACCACACGATGGGTCATGGATCGCGCAAATATACCTTACATCGAGTCTGCATATCCATGGGGATGTCATCTGCTCGGTACTCTGCCCCATTCAGACGAACCTCCTGCACGTCCACAAACTGAAGTGCCTGTTCTCGTCACTTTCAGCAATGAGGTATATATATGGTCTCTTCTCTTCTATTCATCCGTATACTGACACGCTTCAATACCAGGCACTGAAACAATCAGCCACCCAAATCATGCTATGGCTGTACTCTCAAATCATATTCAGCGGTGGTGATCGCATCTATGCAAATCCAGAGTCGCTCGATCTACAAGAATACTTGGACAAGGAACTAGCTCCAGCCGCTACTCAGATATACCTGTACTCTGTCTTGTCATCCATCAAAATGGCTGAAAAGTACCTCGTGGTCCCAGTGCATCTCAACACCCACGCATCCCTAACAAGATTCTTCTGGTCGCTCATAAGCCCAGCCCTCAAATACTCGTATAACATATCCGCGAAATCCGTCGAAGCAGCATGGAAGAAAATCGATACGGTCTACGAACGCATAAACAAGGAATTACAGGCTCGACAATCCGATAAACTGTACCTCCTAAACTGTAAAACTATATCAGCTGCCGATATTGCTTTTGCATCTCACTCGGAACTTGTCTTGTTCCCCTCAATCGAAGACGCCTTTTACTCTACAGCACTTGGAATATATTGTCCACCACTATCTGAGCTGCCTCCAGACATTGTCGATAAAGTAAAGGCACTACGAGAGACGCCGGCTGGGAAATACGCCATCAAGCTATACAAGAGAGATCGTGAGACTAGTGCTGGCACCAAACCATCGAAATGGACTCCAGAGAATAACCCATGGTGGACGGACGTTGCGAGATTGCAATTAATGACTTATTCTGTCGTGGCGGGTATATTTTTGCCTCTGGTACTAATAATCCAATTAGCACCGTGGTATGTCAGTGTCTTGGTCCACATCGTCTTGCTGGCTGTAGGTGTCCGATATGTATTCAAGCAATTCCCAGGTGTGCAACAGTATGTTGTGAAGTACTTTAAGGCTATCATATCATCCAAGAAGGTTGATCCGAAACCCAATGATGGCAATGCCAAATCAGATGATTTAAAGAGGGAGCAACCGCAATCACCGACTAAGGCAGTAGATCAAGCTCTGAAACGAAGACAAGAAAAGGGTAAAGGACGTGCTGAAGACGTATCTAGAGACCCAAAGGCTGCTGAATAAAAACTCCATGTACAAACGATTTCACTTAAATAATACAACACATGTAATAAAATTTGAAAATTTGTAACAACAGGAAGCTAACATCCAACAATTTCCTTTCCGCCACATTACGTTCTCCAAAGTGTTTGCGTGCCGCCCTTAGCACGGCCTCCGCCGTAATGGTAGCTAACCCAGCAGCCGATGGTGAGTTCGTGATGATGCATGTCAACATGTCATATTCCGTTCCTTGTAACAGTACGTGTCCAAATGATGTTTCATCTACTGAGAGATCAACAGAGATCAATTGGTTTTTGTCAACAGCCTTTTTTTTACCAGCGAGAACATGAAGGTACCTGATGTACCATGAACGAAGACACTCCTTAACGACCGATCAGGTGTTGTGTGTATCATACCTTGCGCCAATGTTCGTGGTCGCACATAGTATGGGAATTCCTTCAGGTTCTACACATGCGGGGAGAAAACGTTGGGCTACTCATTTCGATAAATTGTCTCGATACGATGACACCTTTTTAACAACGAGGTCTTACCTTATCAAAGAAGGCACACAGGAATCTATTAAAGTCCCGTATACTTTTAGGATGTGCGTCCACCATCGGCTTTAGGTCTAGCATCGCCAGGTCGAGCTAGCAAAAATGATCTAGGAGCCTTGATCCAATCAACGAACTGATTCTTCGTGCACAGGCCTAGCTCACCTTTACGAGCATTAAACTTCATTTCAGCATTCTGTGATGAAAAGCAAAGAAGTCAATGACCTAACTGGTGGTCTGGAAAAGCCACTTAATCAAGAAATACAGCAAAAAAAATTGATGCTTACAGATCTCGTAAAACACCGTACTAGCAAACCCAGACAGCAACGGCGCAGATTGAGTTTACATGAAGACTGGTAGTTTCATCCTACTCTAGTCCATGAATTTATAGCACTCACTGACGACCCTTCGCAAATCTAGAAAAGATTTCACGCATCAACGTTTAGATCGACGTTCAACAGGAGTTGTGAGAGACTCGTTCCCAAGAAGGTATTCAACCGGTTTCCAGGCGTTCAAGCGTATGTCGTAAAATACTGTAATGTACTCATATCAACCCAAAAAGATGATCGAAATCAAATGGTGGTAATTCCAAGTCAGATGACAAGACAGAGCAACCGTCGTCACCGACAAAGACAGCAGACCAAGCTTTGAAACAAAGACTAGAAAAGGAGGAAAACGTGCGGAAGGCGTCTCCAGAACCCCAGATAATAAAATCTTCAAGTATACGAAAATCACTTAGATAATGCAACACATGTAATCAAACTTGAGAAATGGTTACAACAGGAATCTAACATCCAGCAGCGACTTTTGCGCCACGTTACGTTCTCCAAAGTATTTCCGTGCTGCCCTTAGCACAACATCCACCATTATTGTAGCCAAACCAGCAGCTGTTGGTGAATTCGTTGTGACATCCACAATGTTGTATGTCAACATGGCTAGGATGAACATGTCATATTCCATTCCTTGTAGCAGGACGTGGCCGAATGATGTCTCATCTATCGGGAGGTTGAATGGCGTATGGTCAGATCCTTTTTGACCGTACAGAGCATGAATGTATGCGATGTACCATGAAAGAAGACGCTCCCTAACGACAGATCAGGTGTTGTGTGTATCATCCGTTCTGTGAATGTTCGTGGTCGCACATAGTATGGGAATTCTTTCAGGTTCTATACATGGGAAAAAAAGAGGTATTCTATTTCAACCAATAGTATCGGATAATGCTTTAACAAAGAGGTCGTACCTTATCAAAGAAAGCACACAGAAATCTATTTATCGTCTCGTATGCTTTCACGGTATGTTCACCACCAGCGGCTTTAGGTCTAGCATGTCCAGATCGAACTAGCAAAACGGTTCATAGAGGTTACATGAAATCGACCAACGAATTCGTCGTGTGTTAGCCAAGCACATTGCTTACCGTTCCGATCATTAAACTTCATTTCTGCATCCTAATGACGAAGTAATGAAATGATTGATGACACTGATTTGCGTTTGAAGTTATTGTACACGCGGTTTTTTTACCTTTGCAATTAAAAGCCCATAAACATGATCATACGTCTCTCGCATTCCCTTAGATACAAAAATCTCAAAACTTTGCTCTTCCGTATCGTTCAGTCCACGTCGTGGGACTACGTTGCTCTACACGGAGAAGGCAACCAAAATCAGTTCTAAGCAAAAAAGCAGATGACATTTGCCTAGCATCACCATAAAGTGGTTATCAACATCATACCTCTTCTTTCCGCAACTGATGATACAGCTCAGCCATATCCGTATCAGCATACGAATGCACAGACCGTCCATGAATGTAGTATCCATGTCCAGGCTCATCAAACAAGAGCACAGATACATTTGCCACGGAACATAAATCCACGAATTGGAGCAACGGATGACGATAGAATCGTTCGTATACTCCGAATCGCAAAACGATCTATCCAAAATAGTGAATGACAGCGTTTAGAAAACAAACGGACTGGGAGCTATACAAACACCTACCAACACGAAAGCAACAAACAGCCATATCAAACTGTTGACGCCAAACAGTAGAACAGGATGCACAATTGCAGGTGTCAAATCGTATATGTCGGGTTGAGGTGTAGCAGCATAGCGAACTCCACACCCTTGAAGAATGAAATACACCCAGAAAAGACAGAATTCAATATTGAGGCGTCGATATATCTAGAGGTGAAACAAAAAACCACAGTTTGATCGAATCAACGAATGCAAACGTGGGATACTCAATGACACCTTCATACCTGAAGTGCATTCCACTGATTCGCCACAAAGATAGACCTCCAAACACTAATCGCAGCTGCGCGAGCACGACTCGAATGCACTGGATCGATAGGATCAAACGATTTACCACGAGACTTTTCCCAGTCAATAAAAAAGACATCGATGGTGCATTGTCCGTACACCTCTCTCATCACATAGATCAACTGAATTGTGAATTTTGAAGTTAGTCCGAATGAGCAAATACCACATTTTCGAAATAAATATTATCCTTACTTGGAGAGTAAAAATGCCAGCCAGTGCTGCATTGAACGTAATCATATCACCACTTGAATACGGCAACATGACTGTCAGACCTGATTCTCCTTTAAAAAAACATAGAAAGTAGATCCCAGTTCCAAACAAGAGCCAAAATCCAAAGACGCCCATTCGACCTCCCAAAGTAATCACAGAGCGACCCAAGAACTAAGAGACGTGTATCTACTGGTCAGTTGTCGGTTTTTTTGTCGCTCCAGAGAAACAGTACGCACTCCTAAATCCATGGCATCTTGTGGCCCCAGGTTGCGCTGGCTCCATGTTTGCGCTCGATACAAGCCCAGCAAGCCGGCAAACACCTGAACGATAGCGAATGCGATGGTCATATTTCTCCAGAATCCGTCCATTGGCATCATGTGTGTTACGGTGAATGAGAGCTGAGGAAAAGGTTATAATTCATGGATACAAGACTGATTTTTTGCGTGGTCTTACCGTTGGAACAGACACCGATGATGTATCAGACACAGAAAGTGTCGATACATCACGCTCAATGTACTTGATATCAACCACTGGAATGTACACATTGCCAGAGTATGAAGGATTTAATTGAATCCTAAGCAAGGAAAAAGGACAAATAGTCATTCTGTGCCACTCCTGAATGCTGTGCTGATGCTGTGCTGATGCTTACCAAATCTGGATAGACGAAGCCACTCGTATAACTTGAGGAGTAGCACCAGCCGTGGTCTGTCCACTAGTGACATCAACCATAAAGAATCGACGAACAAAACGATCTCCTGTTATGGCATTAGGACCGCCACTTGGATTAACATATCCATTCGAGTTTCTGAAATCCAGTAATCGAATTGGAACAGGTGCATATGATCCTGTTCCGTCCAGAACGTCTAAAAGTGTTTCGTGAGTGATCAGCGCGAATACAGCAGCACAAAAAACAGCCCTTCGAGAATACTTGAATGAGCTTACAAATCTCATAAAACACGGTACTAACAAATCCAGATAACAACGAAGCTAAATTGAGTTTACAAGAAGACTGGTAGTTACGTCCTACTCCTGTCCATGATTTCCTATTATTCAACGAAGAACCTTCGCAGAACTAGAAAAGGGTGTATGACTTGAAGTTGTGAGCGACGTCCAAACAATTTTACGTTCGCTTTTTTTCACCTGCAACTGAGTCGTAAGAGGCTGCATTCCCAAGAAGGTGCCATTCAAAGTATACATTGCCAAGTAAAAGGGAATCGATGTCGTAGTCTAACGGATAAACCAAAAACTGACGATCAAACAAAGGCATATAATTGAACATGAGCATCCCCAATTTACCGTATCACTATATCTAACACTCAAAGACAGATTCAACCGAGCTGAAAGTGTTGTAGCCGGGTCAACGTGGCTTCCCAATAATCCATAGTATAGCCATGGCATGTATTGAGGACTACGCCAGGCAAAAAACGGTGAGGGAGGCACATCATTATACTGACATGGTTTGCAGACAAGACACTTACACATCAACCGTTGACCCCGTCCCAGGCCTTTGAGCAGCCACCCGTTCATAAGTTGCGCATGGTGCTGTTGACTCGTCGTAGAGGTTTAATATACATAAGTTACCCAGTAGCTCGCAGCTGGCTACATCCCATTCGTACTAGATGATAAGCGCGACTTGAATTGTGGTTTTTTTGGGTCAAAGTGCAAAACGATTTTGAACACTTACTTGACATTTTGAAGCAGCTCTCAAGTACATTGATGTCAACAAGGTATTGGTAATGGTCATGGTGCCAGACGGAATATTCTGAATGAATGAGTTATAAATTTCAATTAGTGGTTCAAGCAACAAAAAACAGGGAACAGACGGTGAAAGCCTACATAATAAGTCACAGTTCCTGCACCAGTAGTTGAAACAGCAGCTGATTCCGCCGTAGTTATGCAAACATTCGAAACCTACAATAGAATCTAGTTAGCTAAAAAACCCTAAGTCTTCTCGCTCCAATGCACTTACTGGTGTAGCCAAATACCCCCCAACATCTTGCCGACAAGTGCAGATGTACGACGACGTAGTCGCGTCAAACGACGCAAGCATATTATAATCCGGACACGATATACACGTCGTCATATCACTCGAAGGATACGATCCAAACGGACATGCCGTACAAACCCCCGTCGCTAGTTGAGTTCCGGCTGCATTTCGTAGAGCCAGGTACTGCAAAGCGGGACAGGTGCATAGCACGCTCCCATCTGCAGCTGTTGTATACGTCGTTGGACACGAAACGCACCATGAGCGATCTGGTGATGATGTCTAAGAAACAAAAACGTGAGCAGTTTTGGACAGTTTGAAACTGATCTACAGCAGATATACACAGTTCTACCTGTCCAGCGCCACAAGCGGTACAAGTAGGAGCAGAATTGCCTATTGTTTTGGTATAGCCCGCCTGGCAGCTGCAAACGCCTGTTTGGAATTTATGATTTTGACTTAATGTTTGATGCCAATTGGGAAAGAAGAGCCGTATATGCTTACCAGTACTACTTGAATTCTGCGATACTGTACATGTATTGCAGGCAGACAATGTAATATCCCAGTACTGAGAGCTTCCGCATGTTGGTTGACTTGTTACAGGATTCAATAAAACTTGTTGTGACAGAGTGCAGGGAAGGAAGAGAGCTATGGAACAGATCCACATAGAAAACTTCCATTGAATTACTGCATTAGGGCTGATCATGTCGTCTAGTCCACCGATCACCTAGTACCTATGTCGTAACTTGACCAGAACATGAAGCATTGCAGAACCAGCCTTAAAACTCGAGTCTTTGTTGCGAAATTGCGTTCCAAACCTGTTTTGAGCAAATGAAGGCTAAGTGGTCAAGTTCTGGTAACCGTGCCAAAAAATCCCATCAAGATCGAACTAATGTTTCTGCTCGAGAACACATTATTTTGAACTGCTATGAGATCCCTGATTTATTATATACATTAAATAGATCCACAATATCATCTTGTTCTTACAGCTCGTCTTCATCATCCTCATCGTCCGAATCCTCTCTAGGCTCAACAGCGAGTGAAGCCTCATACAACTGATCATCATTACTCAATTTACCAACACCAGACACATCTCCTTCGGCACCAACAGCATCCAACCACCGCTGAATACCCAGCACAGGTGCAAACTCGAATGGTGTAACCTGAAACTTTTGAATGTCTTTAATAACTTGGAAGGCTTTACGCCGTTTCTCGAAATTGATGAAGGAGGATTCTGGGAGATAGTCTGGATTACCCAGTTCCACAAAGGTTAGGTCAGTAAGGTAAACACCAAGGAAGGGTATGGCGGGAGGGATTAGGACCGCGAGGACTTTACGGTAGTTAGCGTATTGGCCTTTGGGACTGACTAGATCTGCGACTTCGGTATATGCTTCGAGTATTTTGGGATACTTGTCCTCGAATGACTATAAAAGAAGTATGTCAGACATGGAAGTCGCCAATTTGGTAACGAGGATAGTTTCTCGAATAAAACGTTGGTCTTACCTGCCATGCCTTCTTCAGACGAAGAACAGGTGCCATGGAGAGACCAGCAACGATACCAGTAATTCCGTTAAAGTCGTTTAGCTCTCGACAATGCTATAGTGAGGTTGTTTCGTTCTCAGCTTTTTTTGTTCTTATAAAGCAAAATATGAAAATATGGTGCAAATACTTACCAGAGCCAGCTGACAAAAGTACTTGAGAGCAGATGCTCGAGACTTCATACTGTCACAATTCAACACATGGTGTGCAACCCACATAGAGAGCTAAAAAAAGTGAGGTGAGCAAAAAACGCTGCTCTGCACAACCAATGCTACGATGCGCTTACTCGATTGGTATGCTGAATCAGCTTTCCAATACCACCAACAGTTCCTTGTGGCGTAACAGGAATTACCGTTCCAGGCCTTCTCAACTTATTCAGCTCCTTCCGTCTCTTCTCGCCCCATATCTGATCCAAACACTCAACAGGTCTCACATTCTTAAAATCGGTAAATGTAGTAAGAGCCAATTGTCTGGCTATCTCCAATGGGTCAATGTCAAAGAAGAATTTGCTGTCTGTCAGCAGCGCCAGTCCCAAATCAGTGCCAGGGATGTTTCGAGGCAGTATCGGTTTAGGTCCAGAGTATGATAAATGTCCGGATCCATGTTGTACTGGGCTAGATGGGCCACTTTCTTTTGCATCTCGTGGAGCTGTTAACTTTGTGTTTAAGGCTCGTGATAGGGATAGAGCGAATGAGTCGAAGTCTGTCTTGAGCTTCTTTTCAATCCAGTTTGTGACTCGACGGACTAGCACTTCATTCTCGATAAAGTCTTCTGGATGCTGTTCAATCCATAAGCGTATCACACTTGATACACTATGAGGAAGAAACGGGAGAGTGGTTTGAGCAAGGAAAAAAAACCGACACCCTGGATTCGACTAATGCTTACCGCCATCGAATGGGTACAATCTTTTTGTTGATATAAAACTCAAAGTTCTGCTTGTTGAGACCATATGGAGGTGCAATATCGTAACGTTTGATGAAGGCATCAAACAATTCAATCGACGAGGTGAATGAATGATGGGTCATTAGGAGTGTTGCTGTGATCTCAGGATCTAGTCAGGGAAAGAGATTGAGATTATTAAAAATAAATTTCGTCGTCTTTTTTTGCTTACCATTTTTTCGATGTGCTTGAGTAATTTGCTCAATCAACTTGGGTAATCGTCCACCCTTGACAAGGTTTCCTTCAATGAGCAGACCTTCTGTATTTTCTTCCAAAAGAACGGTTTCTTCCTTTGTCAATTGGTCCGTTTCGCCTTGCGCTCCAGCTTCCTAATAACAGCAGAAAGATTCAGTTCAAACCTCAATGTCAAGATATACGCGAATGCACGGTATCAACGCACCGAGGAATCCAAAATCTTGAACATCTTCTTCGTCCTTTCGTTCTGTTGCCATGTGCGATTCCATTCTTCCTTCTTTCGACGTTCTTCATCCATTTGTTGAATAGATTTACTAATGGCCTCCTTTGTAAGATTAACTAGAGCCTTGACTGCCAAAACACATGGAATGGTTGCTGCCAGCATTTCCTGAGATGCGGTCGGAGTGGGCCAAATACCAGCTGCCAAACTACCACGCATCGTGACAGTTTTAGAGGTGCTCTTGACATCGTTCAGGAGCTGTACAATAAAAGGTCGAATTGGAGTTGGCAGAGCAGTGATTCCCAACAAAGTTGAAATTCCAGTTGCTTGAAGCCTCGGCATATCTTCAGGCTCAATCATAATACTGTCCTTCAAGTCACAAATCATATCAAAGTTACGGATTTCTTCCACAATTGTATCAGCACGAGCATTGATGAGAGATGTGGCAGCCAGGTATTCTTCTTTAAGATGCTGCTCGTGTAACTTCTTGAGCTCACTCAGAGCCGCAACAAACTGCCGTAGCAAGACAAATTCCACATCATGAAGGAACTTTTCACCGGGTCTTTCCGTAACGTTTTCAGCTGGGATTTCTTGGGTAGCCTGGTCGTACTGTTTCGATGTTTCTTCCAATTCACGCAAGTCATTGACTCGCTTGTACTGGTCGTACGTAAGTGGGACACCACTACCCACACTAGCTGCACCTTCCGTGTTGTCTGCTTGAGCTACATGATCTGTCGATATACGTAAGACCAGCTCTTTATCTACGATGGGCCAGTATCCTGTGGCATTGGCTAGATCGACCAATTCTCGACATACTCTAGCAATATTACCAGCGGCCACACTCATGTCCTGATTAGCTTCTGCTGGTGGCCAAACACCACAGGCAATCTTGGTAGCGACCAAAAGAGCGCGGGGCAAATCACCATTCAGTGCACTTGACAATACTCGTAATTTTGCTCTGACAGCTGACGTGGAGAAGGATATTGCGGAAATTTCACCATAAACGGATCGCGTGGTTGTAGTGGGAGATACTGATTTCACTGGTGTTGACATCCTTGGAAGATTTAAAGCTGGACCGACATGATCAAATGAATCTACTTCACGGGCAATCTCGGATGCTAAATGATTCATTTTGGCTGTGATTGTGACGTATTCGGCTTTCTGATTACGACTTGCTGCTACGAGGAGTTCCACAGCACATTGCAAAATTACAAAGCACTGGAAATCCAACTCTGTTCCTCGATCAGGCAGTCGATCCAGTAAATCGGCTAATACTTCTGGATTGTAGGCGATGAATTTCTATTTATGCGTTGAACTTTGTTAGCACGGTCAGAAAACAAACAAGATCCCTGACTTGCCTCAAGCTGCGGATCAGCCTTTGCTCGCTTCCGTTTAATGCTTCCAAACTTTGAAGACGGTATCAGCTTTGCTTGCTGTGAACTTATTGCACGACGTTCTTCAATAAGTTCCGCCACTTTCTTAGCTACATCCGTTTCATCTTGAGTTAAAGCAGGTAGTTTCGGCACACTTTTGAGCCCCCCTTGCGTCGTTGCGAACAATATTCCACGATCCGTCACTCGCTTGAGGACGGCGATACCTCTACTCACCCATTCTTCTGCCTTTGTATCGACGGTTGGGTTTTGTGATAGGAGGTAGGAAACTACATTTACATTCTTCATCCATGCTGCAACCATCAAGGCTGTTTTACCACGGCCTGGCCCGATCCGGGTATCTGTTCTTGCGCCGGCTTCCACTAATCGTCTGACTACGGCCACATTACCGACATAGGCAGCAGCGATGAGTGGTGTTGGTGGTGGACATGGTTTGAATTTTGCTGATTCCAAAAAGGCGTTTACGGGTGCACCCTCTTCTAATAAGATATCTATACAGTCTTCGTCACCGCCGAGACAGGCCCATACGAGTGCTGTACATCCAATGTTATCAAATTCTCGAACACTGGCTCCACGAGTGATGAGGCCCTTGACTAAATCCCTGTGGCCCTTGTAAGCTGCCTTCATTAATGGCGTCCATCCGTTAGCATCTTTATAATTTATTACTTGGAGGGCAGGTGCATCGAATGTAGGTATAGTAGCACCGAGATATGCTGCATTTTCAGCAGTGAAATAATTACGGGGAAAGGATCGTACGAGTGCTCTCACTTCATTATTATACTCGACATCACCCTGCGTTCGGGGCGATGATTGGGCTGGATTTGGATTCGGTTTTGGTTTGATGGGTGTCGAGGAATTGGAAGCTGCACTTGGAGGTCCTGTTCGACCAGCAGATGTTCTTCGTCCAGGTATTCCAGCAGCGTTACCAGTCTTTTGATTCGAGGTTTCGGCTGGTCCAGCAGCTAAAGCAATTACATTCTTGGCTCTGGATTGAGCCATTTTCCGTTCCATGACTGTTGCAACACCACCATGTTTTCGTAGTGTTTTGAGAATTCGTGGTATACCAAGCCGACATGCTAGAGTGGTGGGCGTCACATCTACACGATTTGACACATTTGGATCGGCTCCCTTCAGCAGCAGCAAGCAAACCAGACTGTGGTCTGCCATGGAAACTGCGAGATGCAGTGGTGTGTTTCCTGCCACATCCAGTGGCATCGACAGACTTTCTCGCACAGTTCTTTCATTTGCCTCTACATAATATCTAACGACATTCCAGTCTCCAGCCTACAAATTATTGAGCATTTTGTGGTTTTCCTCAGCCCAATGGATTACCCAGCCACCACTCACATTGCATAAATCTAGCAGCCTTCTCCTTTGATCTCCTCCATCATCACCGCGTAAAAATCCGCCATTAGCTAAGAGTTCGTTCGCGAGAGAATCAATGTTTCCGTTTGACGATTTGTCTGTTGATGGTGAGTCGGGAATGCTGAAATGAAAAGATGGTGATTAGCATGAATACAGATCGGTCCTAATTCAAAGAAAATTCATTCTCATATATGTCTAGAGTCCTCTTCCAGGTCCATTATGGTCTTTTCTTACCCGTCGCTCTTCCTGCGTTTTTTGGAAGCCCATCTCGTCACGATTCGAGAGCTGCTCATTGTTGGCGAATATTAGCGAGCTGCGATTCTCGTATTTGCAGTCTACCGCCTACAATCTTCGATCTCCCAATTCACTAGTTAAATAGTTGCACTTGGTGTCTTGGTTGTCGATTAAGCCGAATCGTGGCCGAAACCGCAGCACGTCTAAAAAGTTACTCTAAAAGCTATTTCGTATCTCTCTATAAATAGATGATTTCTATTCTGCTTAAGACTACTACTACTGTATAATAATAAACGAGAAAAAATGGAAGAAGGGTATAGGTATGGAGCAGATTTTGGTTTTTATCGGCCAGACCGTTTCCATGGAGGCCTCGTGATCCTTTCAAACAAGACCATACCAACAATTGAAACCAGAATGAAGATGGCAAATAAGGCAAGAGCAGCCACATCCTTGGCCACAAATCTTAGAGACCGAGCGTCGAGTAGGATATCTCCTGACGGTATACACCTAATGTCGCTGGGAGTACAGGTGAATTGCAGTCCAGAGAGCTCGTTTTGGGTGCTAAGAGTTGAAGGATGAGTTAGCTTCACACTTCCTTTCAAGGGTTGCATTCGAGACCTAGACAAAACCAGAGATTGGCAGCTGTACTTACCCAGCCACGTAAAAGTAGAACATTGGGTTCAGATACACCATGAATAGAAGAGGTTTGGGTATGATGTCTGGTGTAGCCAAATACCCACAAAAAGCGAGCGCAACTATTAAATGGTGTTGTGAAAGGATCAGATCAAGTGCTTTGATTTTTAAAATAAAAATGCCCACACAAAGGTACGTACTGGCTGTGTACGTGACTGAAGCGTTTAGGATGAATGATGTGCTTTTACTTATGGATCCTAAAGCCATTCCAAACGAATGACCAATCAAATTGAAAAGCAACATCAAGGCTATCGTCACTAGCCCAGTCGTCCCTCTTTGTAGTCCAGTTCTACACGAACAAATGTCGTCGTTAATCAATTGATAAACAGAAAGAGCGCATAGTGTTGCAACAGACTTACAGGTAAAAGACGGCTATTGTCGAAGGAATCCACGTATAACAATAACTGAGCTGTTGGATATACTAGAGAAACGGTTCGGTCAGGTGTTGTTTTGGCCTAGTACTCAGCCAACATCTACAGTATACATACCAGTCCCCAATAACATAACGGACCAGTATACAGTCCGTCAGTACGTTCTCGATAATGCAAATCAAGTCTTGACGGGAGACGAAGCACGACACCAAACAGGGCAATCATGAATCGTTCGACCTCCAAGTAAAAGAAGAGAGACAGACGCATAGTAGCATGAACTTGGTCCAGACCAAGAAATGGGAACAGGAAGCCCATAGTTCTAGTTTCCAATCAACTCTGTTAGGATTTCACAGCAACCATTCTTCAATGACAACACGAAGCAAGCTTACCCGATAAACACTGTATTGGCCATAAGTCCCATACCAATCAGTTCCCAATCTCGAATGTATATCAGGTGCGATCGGTGTATGATGAGACCAAGACGATACCACCATCCAATGAATCCGTAATGGATTGACTCGGCCTCAGAATCGTCTCGTTGGTCATCCAAATCATTCTTTCCACTTACAGATACAACTAAATTGCTCCATCGTGATACAGGTTTGCTATTTGCCACAGGGCTTGCTAGCGACGGACACATGTAAACCTCGAATTCAGTCTTCCAAGCGGTGCTATATGAGTAGCAGCGTTGGTTCATGTCTTTGGAGCAAACGGGTGCCAGTGATTGACTTACGTGATACGTTCGATCCGCGCCTTGGATGAGACAGAGCTCTGCGGAGTCGACGTGTCCACAGTGGAAACATCCTATGGAAAACGACATTAGCATTGAGACTCCTTTGACGTCAACTATGTATGATTTGACGTCAACTATGTATGATGTCACTGACATACCAGGTAGTGATCTACAGGGTTAGTATGTTCAGGGACTGCAAATCCAATATACTCGAAATATGAAACAGCAACTAAAAATGACGAAGATAAGTCAGTCGAGTCCTTTACAAAAGTCAAAAACGGGGTACATACCATCAAAGCTTCCAAAGAACGCAACTCGACCACGAGAGAGTAAGTACAATCGATCAAATATATCACAAATTTCTTTTCGGGGTTGATGCACGGTCATGATAACCGTTAAATTGTTTTGTTTGGCTGTATCTTGGATGGCTTCAATAACGTTGAAGGCGTTGTATGCATCCAGCCCAGACGTTGGCTCATCCAACAGCAGGATGCGAGGGTTGGGTATCAATTTCACGGCGATGTGGAGTCGTTTCTTCTCTCCGCCAGAGATTCCTCGCTTCATTGAGTCGCCGACTCGAGTATCCAAGCAGCCACTTAGCCGCATTTGTGATACAACTTGTGCAACACGGTCTAGCTTTTGAGCTGTAGTTAGGGTATCTGGGAGCATCATCTTCGCCGCAAAGACCTGAGTTGATAGGTTGTGAGTACTGCATAACAACTAGAAGACGTTTGAAACTAGACATACCAATATTTCTCTGCATGTCAGAGTATCAAGAAACAGATCCGTCTGCTGTACATATCCGATTTCCTGACGCCAAAGTGTATCAGATGGATGACCGTTGAATCGTATGTCACCTGTAACTTTTCCGGACTGAGTTCTTCCACTCAGGACGTCCAAAAGACTTGACTCTAAATCAGAAAAGAATGTCAGTAAAAGCTCAGCTACGGCGTCGGATTCTGTGCACGTACTTCCAGCTCCTGATCCTCCCATTACCGCCAGAATCTTGCCAGGTCGGGCTGCACCATTTACACCCTTCATAATGGTCTTATACCGACCTTTCTCCTTTACAGTATATACCAAGTCTCTCCATACGACCTCTACGCCGACCTTGTCTCCTCCCATGTATCTGTTTACAGTTTCCTTTTGTATAGTATCCACAACCTTTTCAAATGCTCTTGCTTTGTAGTCCTCTGTGACCAATAGAGGATGAATGTTACTATCCGGTATTAGAAGAAACAAAGCCAAACGACTCGCGTTCACAAATCTGACTACTCACTACTTAGCGACATCTTCCTTGCCAACCGGCCACGCCGGGAGACAGTCCTCTTTGGACGAGCAACATCCCTGAATGTCTGACTGACTCTGGAATCATCATGACCATCATCATCAGCGTCGTCAGAGTCCAGGTCTTTAGCCTTAAGCGACCGTGACCGCCTTAAGGTTGAGTGCTCGGGCTCTGGCGACGACGCTGTCATGCGTCTTTTAAGCGAGCTGGTACGTGGCATGCGTGGAAGGCTCCTAGTTGGACTTTCCGGTTGAGGTGACTGAGATTGCGATTCTGTATTAGCGTTGGTGTGGTTATTATAGTTGCCAAATCCAGCACCCAGTACAGCTCGCAGCATATCGGTATACACCGCCACGTTGTTTCCTCCATCTATATTGACAACTGCCTGATCTGAAAATGGTAGTTCTATAAACGGCGGGTCGTTGAAACTAGCTTGCGAAGCATCGATGGGCGACGATGTTAGGTCTCGAGTAGATTCTCCAACGGCGGATGAGGGATTGGCTGGCGATGGAGGTTTAGAATCAGTGTTTGCAGGTTTCCTCCTTGAAAAGGCTCGTTGGGACCCAGGAAAGCGAAATTTGCTACTGGCTCTTGGTGGTCGTTCCATGGTATCCAAAGCTGGTTCAATGTTCTAGTTGAGCCCTTTCCAGTAAGCAAAACCTATATACCGTCTGCCTACTACACAATCCAAGATAACAGACGTCTCTTATTGGCCGTATTGGAAAAACCTATGGTGTTGTTGTAAGAGCCAAGTTTTTTTTTTCAGCAAGAATCCACCACAGCTTGCAACATCGGACAAAAATCAAATTTTCGCAAAATACCTTATAGCGGTCGCCCTTTAAAGGAGCTCGAGTACTGAATTACTAGTAAATTGCTACCGCAGACAATCGCAACGTTAGCTCATGGATTGTCTAAAATGAACAATCTCGGCAAGTCAGCCACCACAACGCGTGTTAGAAAAATACCATCTCCCACTGCTTTTACAATAACCAAAATCACGCAAAGCTAACAATAACACTTTATAGAATCGTTGTTATCGAGCCTGGAAAGCGATCGGTCCCTGGCATCATATGGAAGACGCCAAAATTTGAGATTACCGGCACAATCACCAACATCTTCGCACAAGCAGCCAATAAGACGTGCAACACCAAATACAGACCTTTACACATCTCAAACTCAGTCTCCGAAAACCACACACCCCAATGGTCAACCTTGGAGTCAATCGATGCCAAGAGAGCAATCACGATATCGCCAGAACACCGAATACGCAGCACCATTACATCCTTCCACTCCTAGGAGAGAGAATAACTCGTTACAACGACTAAACAACCTTGTCTTTGATCACTATACACCGAGGTCTCGGGTGCCAGGGCCACCCAATAGCAATCAGCAACCACCAGCTCATGAGTCATTGAGGAGTCGCGTTCGACACCGTGAGGGTGCGAGGAACCATCGTAGAACGTCTCTATACTTTGATAGCCACGCGGACATTGGGCCAAGTGCACTGCATTCCTGTGATGCATGTCAACAACCGATTTCTGGACCTACCATAGTAGCGTTAAATCGAAATTGGCATCCTGGTAGGTTGAAAACGCATGCGTCATCATCTTGTTGATTTTTGACCACTTTCAAATAGCACACTTCAACTGTTTCAAATGCAAAAACACTCTGAATTCGGGCAAATTCTTTGAACATGAGCAAAAGCCATTTTGTGAGAGGTGTTTTCATGAGAGCTTTAGTCCAACTTGCAGTTACTGTGGGGAGATTATTACCAAGGTTGGTGCCAGTCTCAAGACTAAAGAAGTATTTGGCCTACGGCCTCCGATTAAACGACGATTGTCTCTGTTTTAGAGAGCTATATCTGCCGTTGGAAGTAACTTCCATCCAAATCACTTCTTTTGTGGTCATTGTGGACAGCTTTTCGGTAGCCACAAAGCTTTTCTTTGTAAAGTTGTTCATCGACGAGACTAACTGACATTTTTATTTTCTCCGAAGCTGAAGGTGCTTCATACCTTGAACACGACGGTACACCTTACTGTGAAACGGACTATTACGACTTGTTTTCAAAGACTTGTTTCGGTTGTCAAAAAACCATCAGAGGGGAGCATATCTCCGCTGTCTCAAAAGAATGGCACCCGTCTTGTTTCGTCTGTCAGGTACATGCTGCATTTCTTACTGACGCAAGTCAAATTTGAGTCGTCGAACTTAACTATGTTCTTAACCAAACCAGGACTGTCACGAACCATTCCCAAATGGATCATATTACGAGCTAAACGGCTCGCCTTACTGCAAATCACACTTTGCATCACTCAGACGAAGGACACAACCATGCTGCAAATGCCATGAGCTAGTCAATGGCAAATCGATACTGGCTGCTGGGAAACGATATCATATCGAGCATTTTGCTTGTGATAATTGCCAAAAGTCGTTGGCTGGTGATGAGATATTAGGAACAGACGTCTTTAGAGCACGGGCAGATGAAGATGGGGGCACGAGAATATACTGTGTTCCATGTGACAGGAAATTACGATTACCGGTGTGACGGTTATGGTCTCGCTTTACGTGAAGTAATACTAGGAGAATACGCACATGGATGTCGTGGAGACAATGCTCTGGTGCTTGTTAAAGATTTCTAAACACCATTCTTGTTTGGAGGAACTCGATTCCTTTCTTTGGTCTCGCTCGCTAAGTAATGAGGTACGCCAACCATAAACCAGCTTATTTGTGCTCATTTAAAATACATGATCTGATAATTTAATTGCGAACAAATAGGCAATATAAATATAACTCTAATAGGTCACACTCGCCTCAGGAGGCGAAACAGGTAAAAAGTTACCGACAATCATCAACCTATTGATATTTGTTTAATAAAGACATCTTTTGGATATATGAAGCAATACAAATAAACTTACGGCAATCCATGTCTATCTCTCCGGATCGTAAAGGAGAAAGAACAGAATATAGGTAGTTTACCATTCGGATTCGACGGATCTTGTAATGTCGATGTAGTCAAGACGGCCTTTTGACTCAAATCAAAGGCTATAGATCCATACTTTTCCCAGTAATTCACTATTGAGAAACCATTTTGGGTAAAGTCGAGGGCAAAAAAACCCCCCATTGTGAGGTTTCAGGAAGGCATGCATACCAGCCGAATGTTCCGTCATGAGCTCATACATGCAAACCTTCCCATCCTTCAATTGAGCCAACTCGATACCGAGAAGGGCAGCGAACTCTCGATTCGCCTTCATTATCTCCCCAGTTCTCCTCCAGAGACATGCTGGCATTCCCATGGCACTAAACGTGCGATCGTACTCAAGCATATGTCGCTCAAATGCTGTTTAAGAAGGAAAGCTTTTAATAAAACCTCAAACAAATTTATGCAATAATCTAACATCTTCAAAAGGGTTGGACGTACCTTCTTCAGCCCAAACCAAATCCATCTCAGTAACAGTCTGTCCGACATTCCGAAATGCAGGCCTTAAAGCATTGATAATGTTCAAAATCCTCAACTTTGAAGGTCCCGACACATGTCCCTCCATCCACCTAGACATGCGTTCATATCCCTGTACATAGTTATACGGTTTGAGCAAACCCGCTTCAAACTTGGTTGCTATATATTGTGTGAGCCGATCATTGTTTTTCGTATCGTCCATACGATCTGCGGCTGTGAGGATGAATTTTTCGGTTTTTGATTTTACAGGGATGCCATTCACGGTCTGCGAGCTCATTTCAGTTGACATGGGTTCTGGAGTATCGACAGTTTCCGCGCTAGGTTGCATCGGTAGTTCTTCTGGATAGTTTAAATTTGATGGCGAGTCAACCAGACTGCTGCTACTCCCATTGCTCATGCCATTGGTCATCTTTGGCGACATGTATTGTTGTTGCGGTTCTAATAAATTACTCGGACCAGCTCTACTAGCTGCTGCCATTCGATGATAGTTCAAGCTACCATCGTCATCAGATCCTGTCGGCGGACTCAGTCCTATATCCGTGATTTCTCCTCCAGCAAGCGACGCTAGAAGATCAAAAGCCACAAATTCACCTCCGACGTGCTCAGAAGCAAAAAGCGGGGGCATATAACCGTACTCGGTATTCGAATTTATCAAAAAGTCAGTTTGACTGCTGTCTTCGTTGAGCTGCGGCGGTAGGTAGAACTGTTGATTTTGCGAGTCAAGTAATGGCGAGTTTGATGATTGTTGCATGGACTATAAAATGAAACGACAGGCGTGAGTCCAGAGCTTCAGAGACTAAACATAAACAGATATCAGTTCATACGCGAGACAAGTCCACTGATGCACCACTTGGGCTTGCATTACCCGGTGGCGGTGGAGAACTCGACGGTTTCGACACTTCGTCATGACACAAATGTGCAATCTTTCTCTTTATGCATCGTTGACATGGCCGCGATTCATCTAAGATCCATGTAATAATGGTTGGTGAAAACCAGACAGCAACAAGGGCAAACAGTATTGGTGCATACCACAAGTCATATGAGACCGCCGGCAGTAGACACACGCATGAGAGACTTTGCGCTTCTTGGAAGCGGATATCGTGAATTGGTTGGGCTTCCTACTGCAAATAAGAGATAAGTTCAACGTGCTCGAGTTATCTGCTCCAAAAAAAGCCAACATAAGGCACCACAAGGGTTGTCACGAAGATTCCGTTGCCGGCTTCGAGTTCTCGGACGATATAAATCGACATCGCGTCTTTAACAAATGAATGGATTCGGTGTCGGTGCTGGGACCGAATGCGCTTGATCTCGAATGTGATGTCGACGTTTTCAAATGTACCACGGCGATGAAACTTACTCTCTGCGTGGACTCTTGCCAGTGTATTCCTGACTGTCTCCATCTTCATAATCCATTCGCCGCAGAAAGAACTACTTCAAACGGTTGAGTGTGTGAGGTATGTTGGAGATGCAAGTATAAAACGACATCCAATACAGCGTGAAGAAGGGCAATATCGGAAAGAAAGCGACGATTACTTTGCGCGGATTGAAGCCCGTTGCAACTTACTCTGCGAGAACGGTTGAGATCTATGTGCTTATGGAGGTTGCACCACAAATCGCAGACACCGACATTTCTTGTACATTTGGTGTACATGAGTGATTTATATATTATGGATTGTTGCTTTACATTATACATTATGCCACAACTGCACACTGCACACAATACAATCTAACAAGCACGCATGCAATCTAACTAGCAGGCTCATCACCCAAAGCAGAAGAGGAATCGTATTGTGCTCCTTCTAGAAACAATATATCATCCCTAAAATCAAATTGAAGTCTGGGTTTCCTCTTGGAGTTGCTGTTGCTGACACTTTGTGTTGTTGTTGGTGGAGTCTGCTTTGTTGTTGCTTCACTCTTGGTCTCAACCCTTTCAGCAAAACAGCTAGTCAATATTTGTTCGATTCTGATAAATACGCTCAAGTAAAACTCACGATTGCTTTCGAGGCGGTGGTTGTTTGGGTGCCATTCCAGGTATAAACTCATCAATAGGTTGTTCTGCGGATACTGATGGCGGTGGTCTTTTCCTTGTATGGGTGATTACTGGGACCTCTACTTGGACATACGCAGGTCGTTGAGTCAACGATGGATTTATAAAGAGTCCAGAGCCCAAAGTTGTGTCTACATTGCCATTTGGTTGCCTTGTCAGGGTCGACTTCTCTACACTAGTAGTCGATACAATGGCTTCAGGTTCCACCGTCAATTCATCGTCAGTTGGTTGCATGACAGTCACTCTCTTATTGACGACATCGATGGTCATAACTCGTCGTCTTGATTTCTCTTCCTCGGCCCGTTTCTGTTGTTGTGCTTTTCGTAGAGCGAGTGCTCGTTGTTCTGGCGTCGACCATTTATCCTGTGCAGCGGCATCCAGATCAAAATCTGATGCACTATCTAAAGACCGGGCGGGTGTCATTTAGATAAACAAAGATTGAAAAGCAGCACCGACATACCATGAACTTTGGTTCTTTGAGTCGAGTTGCGATCATATTCAAGTAATCGTTCCTTGGTCCTTTCAGCTCTATCGAAAGCTTCTCGCTGACCCTGTTCTTGAGATATTTCGTATACAGCATCTACTGAGTCTCTTCTTTGTATGACTCGGGCAGCTAGCTGCTGCCTTTGTTGGTCTTTTGAGACTACCAATGATTTGCATGTAAAGCATTCTCCAGGTCCTTCTAGATTACATATCACTCGACCACAATTCAAGCAATTGGTCAATAATCCGTGCTTGGAAGCTAAATTGACGGTGAGCGAAGAATCAGCACATACAGTCTCCTTAGGCAGTTGCAAAAATAGGCTCTAAAGTCATGCTTTGTAACATACCCAAACAATCACATTGCACTCGTTTTGAGCCAGCAAAGGCACCACTAGCAGTAGTAAGTTTATCAAACTCTGTCAGTGACATTCCGGATGCTTTAGCTTGTCCCTTTCTGGCCTTTTTATTGTTTGGTGATGTTGTTGATGCGGCAGTCTCTCGTGTTGCAACTGGTATCGTGTCTCGTGACAGAGGTGTACTCTGTTGTGATGAAGCTACAGGTTCTGGTTTCTGTTCTTCCTTGGGAATGGGCTTCTTCCTGGAAGGGCGAGTCGGAGAGCGTGAGCAACTAGCTTGTTCTCCACACTCACACCCAACGTCAAAGGCCAAAATGAGATCTACAAGCGGAAAAGAGCAATAAAGCTTACTTGGCACCAGCAAAGTAAACCAGGTCATTGTCACTCTTTCGATAGACGTTCTCCTGATTCTTGAACTGTTGTTGTAACGGAGGCTGCTGCTCTTTTTGGACTGATTTAGAGTAGGATTGCGGAGATGAAGCTATCCGAGAGTTTGAATCATCGTGCTGCTTGATGACACTTTGCAGAGTAGGGTTGAAGCTACGATGACAAAACTCTTCAACGAATTCTGTCACGTCCTTGCTATTGCCAAGCATTCCCTAGAGTAGAGATGCGCCAGGAATTGATTAATTTACAGAAATGCAGAATCCTCAATGCCTTATTACAAATAGTTGGTCTTCAACTTGATTCTTAGTTTTTGCTTGAATGAGTGACGGAAGCATGTCTCCCAGCTCCTCAACTGGAAGGCCAAGCAAAGCAGAGAGCCTGTCAAGTGTCCAGTCCTGTAACTCCTTGCTCATTTTGCGACGACTTGTAAGTTGCTCAATCGCTGATCGTTTTGCAAAATCGATTTGATCTTCTCTTCGATTTTTGTCTGACTCGATATCTTCTCCGTAGAATGGACAAGAGGCTCTTACGCAGCTGTAGTGTAGACTGTAGACCTTTATTGTGATAAGTTGCCAAACTACATATTGTTTGAAAGAAGGGAAGCAGTGTCAAGATTGTTCTGCGTGCAATGGCAATTGGGCTTTTTAGCTTTCAGGTAACTTTTTGCAGAATCATATTGGCGACTATCGCCTCTCATGAGCTATGATGCGGACCGTGCAGTATGCTGTGCAAAACCTGTAACTGTTTCCACATATGTTTCGCGTGGTCTTGTAGGAAGGATCTCAGACGTGGTGAGAGTCTATTCAACAGTTCCATCCTCCAAAATAAGAAGAACTACGCGATTTATGCTTAACGACGTTTCCAAACGTTTCCAAACACCGTCACAACAGGGCGGTCACGTTCCCTGAAACCCACACAAAACACACTTATCGCATAGAGGTCTTAGAGAGCGGGGGGAAGCATTTAGTTAGCATTTTGAATAATTTAACGTCTATATTAGGAAAGAATGGTGGCCAATACCAGTCACAATCATCATATAACGAGTCGACCCACGCGGTCATCACCACGACGAAGAATCCCATCAAACCCAATAGTATCAGGATCAGCAGGAGGCTCTAGTCCTCCGACTCTGCACTCCCATGCTGCCCTACCATATGCTAGGAGACATAGTAGTGCCAGTAGAGCTGGATCGCCGCCACTGCCATCATCAACATTTGCCTTCGGATCTACATCAGCATCAAACCAAGATCTCACAGCACGATCACCATCTTCAGCACAAGATATAGTTTTAGATATTAGTGATCGGGTTAATGATGAGGATATTGAGGATGTTGGTACTGTCTATCCATATCGTCGAGGATCTGCTGCTGCTCTTGTATCAGGGCTCTTGAACAAGCTCCCATCCTTGTTGCAATCGGCTACAGCATCAAGGAACGCGATGTGGGATTATGATGGTGAAAATCCTGCTGCTCCAAAGCCTGGTCCGTCTCAACCAGTGCATGAAGGACCTCTAAGTCTCTACTTGCGGTCAAGAGAAACTCAATCACAAACAATAAATAGACCAACAGCTTCATCCGCCAAGATCAGCTGGCGTGAACCACCATCTGGACTAATAGATCAAGTAGACGCATATACAGCTCGTAGAGTGCCACATCTCCTTTTAGAACGGGAATTCGATGTCTCTGGATTGGATAAAGTCTTTGCTGCTGCATGGCTATCCGACTCTGAAGTTGTCATGGGCACTAAGTGTGATAGAATGTTTGTACTGGATACAGACCTCATGAAGAAGATCGAAATCCCGACTGTTCATCATACTGGTATGATGAATAATGTCAAAGTCTTGTCGCCTTCATCATCGATATCATCGGTATCAGGGTCGATGAGCATGATCCAACAACAGCTATCGAATAGTAATGATGAGAACAATAACATACTCAATGGTCAACCGGTAGCAACACCAGCGATCAACTGCTGCGGAATTCACGCCATCGCCATCAATCCATCAAAAACGCTATTAGCTGTAGGATCTGGCAATCCAACTGCCGCTATAGATGTCTATCAACTTCCATCATTTACACCACTGGTTACTCTCCTGGGTCATTCCGACATGGTCTTCTCTGTAGCATGGGTATCCGATAATGTACTTATTAGCGGTTCTAGAGACATGAGTGTAAAGAGCTGGACGATACCTCTAGAATCTATTTATGGACCACCACCAACAATAACATTTGCTCCCAATGGCCAAACCATCCTTCCCTTCTTCCCAGTAATCCATCCAACTCTATCACGCAAGGAACACCGTGGCAAAGTCCGAGATCTAAAACATAATCCTCAACAGAATCAAGCTGCTACATTGTCTACAGATGGCTTCGTCAAGATTTGGGACGCTAGTGTCTTGACTCCCATATCGTCAGTACCCTTATATCATACTCAGGAAACAGTATGTTTAGCAGCAGATACGAAACGAAACTTGTATGCAGTAGGATCTCAATCTCATATATCATTGATTGATCCACGAGTAGGATCTTTAGTACACGTGCTGGACTCGTGTGATGAGACCTGGGGTGTCCGATCCATCTCGATGGAACGTGATATGGTGACTGTGGGAGGAGGTCTTGGCCGTATCTCCTTTTATGATCTACGAGCTCAACGATATATGGATATAGGTCCTTCTCCATCTACTAGATCAATCATAATGAGACCGCCACGAAGCAGTTTGAGACAACCGTCGTCACTTGCATCTGCTGGAGGCATGCCCCAGTCACTCGAAGATTATAGTCAGACCGGCATTTATCTGAGCAGGTTAGTATCTCAAGATGTACCACGTCATGTCAGTTTCTTGCAGACTGGAACTGGATACTTGTCTCGTGATTTGACCTGGCAGAGCCACTTCCAAGGAGTAGAAGTTAGGAATGCAGTTTATGCCTTGTGTTATGATCCATCAGGAGCGAGATTGTTTGCATCTGGAGGTCCATTGCAAGTAAGTTTTGGATGAAATGGCTAGACGCTTGATCGTTAACTGACATACGTTTTCGTAGCTCAACCTCGCTGGCTGTTACGCCGCCATTTGGTAGATCCGATATTTAATTAAGATTAGGAATTGTTTTTGTATTCAATAGTGTAGTTTTACAGATTAGACTTGTATATTTTGAAGCAGAAACGTTCAATTGTCTATTGTTGAAAACCGCCACATCATCCGTCAACTTGTCTGCTAACAACATTTCGCAAGAAGAAAGGCTGCGGTGTATCATTACCGGATATAAGGTCAGTTATGATTGATTACATTCTTCTTCCGAGCTTTGGTTGAATTGATGAAGCCTCCTAAAAGCTGACAACCAAAACATGCCAAATCTTGTTGACGAAAGCATTTGCAAACGGTGTGTGAAAGTTCGTACTGACATCGCTTCTATAAGTAGTATTCATCAAGCTTTGTGCCCTTGCCGTTGGACGGTTGCTTCTGAAACTGAGCTGTAATCTGGATCATCAGATCCCGAACATTCAGAACTTGGACTTTCAACCAAATCACAGGCCTGCCATCTCAATTCAGATCTTCAGGACTATCATCATAATCAGTTTCGGCCATTGGACCAAGTCATAACTCTCTCTTACTGGTCGAATCAGCTAGCGATGCTGAGCGTACAGACGACAGATTTACCGAGGCTTCCTCAAGCAGCTTACAGCCCAATAGGCTCTGAAAACAACAAGGAACTCTTCCCTGCACCGCCAACGCTACCCCAACTCGATATCTCTCACCACATCCCCGAAGATGACCTCCTCCGAAAGAAACGACCATTATCTCTCCCAACACCATCTCCGAGGCTGCATTTCACTCCCATCAATCCAGCCGATGAAGAAGGAATCATGAAGGTTCGCATTGTGTGGAAGGGTGATGTTGGGACTGGTGCAAGGTATGTAGATGGCGTTGTCATGTTATTGCCTTGCATACTCTGACACAATACGAAACAACAGGATTGTGGTGGATACAAAAGACGATTCTATACCACAACGGAAGGGCTCAACCATTCAAGCTTACCACTGTACCTATATACCGAAACAGGCAACGTCATGGGCTATGGAGATGCATTTCGCTGAAGAGAATGGAGTCGTTAGTACACTTATAACGAGGGTAAGCTTTCTGCTCACGTTTCCACAAATGCCATATGCTCTAATGCTCGTTCTAGAATGTCGGACCACCCGCTCTATACTCGATCTCATCACCAGTCAATGTCGCCATAAACGCTGCAATGACAAGCCATCCTGCTTTGCTGAATGTCGGAAAGACATTCGTACTAAACTATGTCGGCAAGCAGTTTATATGGAAGCCATACTTTAAACCATCTAGTACTGCATCGGTCAAGGAAATGGCTTCAAAGACAGTGGATTTTGTGAATGGGAGGACGAAGACTTTGGGGTTGCAGGAAGCAATAGGAAAGGCGCTGACTAGTAAATGGTATGCTTTGTATCCTGCTACGGAATTCATTCGCATTGGTGGTAGTGATATGGTGAGTACATGTGTCATTCACTTGATTCCCATATGATATTCAGGCTTTTTTTCAGTCGATGGGCATTTCCAAAGTTGATTCGCTGACAACCTCTTCTGATCGTAACAACAGCATCGAGAACGTCAACCATTGGCGTTATTACGCGTCAGCCATCCAGAGAGTCAGCTCGACCTCACTCAGCCCTTAGCAGGACTCTTGGATATCATAATAGCTTCAGCATTAGCCATTGACCAAACTGAACGTGAAGAACGTAAGCTGTCGGAACAGACCTCTTCACATCATTGAACAACATGAATCCTTGTGATGGAATGGTCTCATATTTTAGATGTTACGAGGTGTACAAAAGCCTCATCATTAAAAGCATTATTTAAATTTTAAACGTAATATGGCCATATACTCAGGCTTAATATGTAAACCATCAAGAAAACGCAAAAATATATATTGTTGTGTGCAAACAACACTTGCTTGCATGCGACGAGACTGTATTTACTATTCGTATTTCTTTTTACAAGTTTTGGACTCTTTGCACAAGCCTACTACCATGGCGAGGGCGATGGCTGTTGATACGTGCGTTTACCCTTGAAAGGCCGACCACCATTCCTTCGATCATCCTCATTTTCACCATCCCCGTCATCTCCACCACGAACATCGTCATCATCTGAATCAGTATCGTCATGTATACTCATTATCTCAGAAGCATAGCTATAGGCAAATGATTCTGGTCGTGATGCAGACAAGGATGATGGTCCTGGTCCAGGTATTCGTCTGGTAGAAGCAGCGGCTGCAGTTGAAGATGGCACTGCTAAATAGTAAGAAGAAGAGGAAGGGTCATGTGGAGGAGCGGGAGCACTATGATATGAGGTTGAGGAGTTGGAATCGTCTGTTCGAGATTCGTGGTTCATTCGAGGTTTATAATGATTTGTTGATGAAGCAGTGACAGTTGGTGTTTTGACATATGTAGTAAGTGAGGGTATCGATGGTATAAGTTGCGAATCCTAAACGAATTGCAGCAATGGAGTTGAGCAAAAGAGCAGTATGAAAACAATTGCAATACTGAATCTTACAGAGAGATAGACTAGAGCATCACGAGTCTTGACAAAGAAGCGTGATGGTCCAATCAAGTCGTATATTCCAGATCGTACAAAGTTTGATTTGCACCTGAAAACGGATTGGCGTAATCATTTGTGAGTGGATTTTTTTATAGTGACGACCAAATAACTTACGCATCACGTAATTTGACAAAGCATATCACTATATCTCGTTGCTGATAGTTATGAACAAGTTCCAGCAAGACTTGAGTGGCACTATTTCGAGTTGAGAGTAGATGATGGATGAGCAAAAAAGCGAAACTTAGTCCAAAATGCTCATGATCGTCTGACCACTCAAACAGAACAGCATGATGGACGTATACACACCTTGCATCAATAAACGTCATGCTTTCCACATCCAAAACCAATGATGTAACTTCAGCAAGTTCACCACTAGCAGGCACTACAATTTCATCCCTGATAGGTAATGCAGGGCTAGAATCAGGAGAAGCAAACGTTCCATCTTGAGGGTCTAGTTGTACTCTAAGGCTTCTCGACCATGCAGTCTTTCCAATCCTTGGTTTCGGTGCTTCACCCGGATGGACGCCAAGTTCTCCATGTGCTTCAACACGTCGGAGCAATTGCGGAAGCGATCCAGAGTTTCCAAAGAAGAGACCTTCTTCAACTCGAATTACAAGACATCCCTGAATCCGCTCTGCATGATGATGTTCTTGGATGGACCTGAATTTGGGTTTTACTATGCCAGTGTCTGGGTCTACGACATGTGTCATGCCTAGTATTGATATCCGTGTCTTGGTGCTCTATGAATTGGGGGTAGAGGAATCAGGACCTAATGAAAGTGCGTATGTTCTCACTCGTCACGAACCTGCTTGACGACCAGCAAAAGTGATACTCCAACGGATATGAGAGTTCCAGCTTCAATTGATCTGTGATGGAAAACGACTGTCAGTAGGCAACGTTGCGTCTTTCAAATTCAGATTTTGAAGAAGGACATCCAAACGAGGCACCTACACAAAAACAGTCGTGGCGACTGAAATATGAAAGGTGAGTTCAGCGATCTCATTCAAGCGAATGATGAATAAATTTTTCTTACATGTAAGAAGCAACAGTCCTAAATCACTCCACGCTTGCAACCTCAGAATGAAACGAACATCATCCCATTCAACTAGTCTGCCAACAGCGACTATGATGATTGCAGAGCAGACAGCTCTTGGCAAAAAGTAAAAGTATGGCAAAAGCCATATTGAAGTTGTGAATGTGAATAATCTTGATCAAGAGTGGTAGACGTGTTAGTTACGGAGCAACAAAACAAGACACACCATAATGGAATGCTCACCCGGTGATGAGACCCGACATTTGTGTTTTAGCACCGGCAGCGTCATTAACGACAGTTCTACCCAGACTTCCAAAGCAAGGCCATGATCCAAATGAGCAACCAATGAGATTTGCCATTCCCAGTGCAACAAGTTCTCGATTGGGTGACACTGGATAGTGATGCTTTGCAGCATATGACTTTGCTCCCACAATGCTCTCTACAAATCCAATTACTACGAGAGAAAAGGATTCAACATTATGCTGAGTGCAGGTAGCCCAAAAATGTAAGAGCTGTTATGTCAATACCTGCAATCAGAATGGAGGGCAACAATAGAGACTTGATCTTTGTAAGCGATATCACAGGCAATGCAGGTGCGACGACACCACCTTGCACATCCTTCAATACCACAACACCAGCCAAATCCCATCTGAACACAGCACTCAAGATAGTCGAAACGGCGACAAGTACCAGTATCTCTGGAAACAGATGCAACCATCGTCTAGTCTTTGCATACCAGGCCTTGATGACTTTCAATAGCAATAAGAATACGATCGATGACACTGAGATTATGATTGTTGGAACATGGGAACTGGGCAGGTGCGTCAATACAGTCCATAACTTGTCCATTGTTGATGGTGGCGGACCCACAGTAGCGGATTCATGACGTGGCAGACCAAGTAGGGTGGCCAACATTTCAATGCCGACTACTACTGCTATAGCTGTTATGAAGCCACGTAAGAGTGGCCGAGATATGACAGAGTCGAGAAACCCAAGTCTGAATACACCCAGTGCAAATGTCCATAGGCTAAATGTTCATGTCATGAAAGAAATAAGCAAAAAACAAACCGGAAGAAATCCAATAGGAACACTTACCCAACCATGAAACACAACAAGGATGCAGTTGCGACGTTCTCAGCAGATGCCATGCTACCAGGATTGAGACTTGCATGGTGACCATGGACTCCTGCATTGTATTCTGCTATAGCTGCACCGACTAGAGTTGAAACCAGAGCCTCGGGACCGAGAGAAAGTTGCCTCGAGTTGCCAAGTAATGAGTAGACGACCAAAGGTACAAATCCAGTCAAGAGCCCATAGACCTGCGACGAAGGAACATGAAGATCAGCTTCGTGCTATGGATATAGAGCGTGGAAGCTTGAATACCGGAGGAACTTGGACGAGAGCACTGTAAGCGAGTCCTCCAGGTATGAGCAGAAAAGCTACAGTCAGTCCAGCCATGAAATCAACTAGCAAGTTACGTTTCACATCGTAATTTGGGAACCTGGATATATGAGTGAGGTCAGCACCCAAATCTCCGTGATCTGAGATGGTTTCTTACCATCCAAGAACTGGCACATAATACTTGAGCCTAGATCGAAGATATAAAGAGCGATTAGATTTTAGATAAAATCACACAATCTGATCGAGATTACCGAGCTTGAATCCTTTGAGGAGTCCATTTGGTGTTATGTCTGGATGTACTCAAAGATGGAAGAAGTGGAGCTAAAGTACCGGATGGGATATAAGGATCAAACTGATTGTAAAATGCAAGCTTGAATTCAAATTTCTATAAGCTTGCTTGCAGAACTTGAGCGATTCCAATCGTCATTTGATGTTTGGTCAGCGAGGAGAGGTTCTCGTTCTGTCCCATCTGGAGCCCTTTTCGGAGCAGATCTGCCTGTAATAGATCTAAACATGTTGTCGATTATGCTCCTTCTGCCTTGTTCCTATGTCCCATCTGCTAAAGCTTCAAGCGAAATGGACTAAATCTCGAAATTTTGGGGCTTTTGAGCAGACAGCCAACCACCCGTCCAGAGTCACGCAAATCTTTTAATTGGAATTTCATGGTACTTGACGCGTTATTTCACCATCTTCCACGAACTAGGACGTGATTTGCAGGTCAAACATTGAAAGGATTGAAAAAAAAGACCTCTGTGGTTGGTTCTTAACCAGGACACTGAGGAGTCAGCTTTGCAAATACCATTTTGATGCCTCAAATGCCCAAACGATGACTTACACCACTCGTGGTAACATTTACTGATTTATTCAAAGAATATGTATTTTGGTGATTGTCACCGCTTGATCATCAAACTCCCCGGCAATTATTTTGAGAGATCTTATGGCAAATCTAAGAAGAAGACACCGAGTCAGACGACGAATGGGAGAGAAGCTTTGGTTAAGCAACCCACTTACCACAACAACAGTTTAGCACCTCCACGAGCCAAACGAGCTAGTTTGATGGAGCCGTAAAAATACTATTTGATTGCTGCTGTTGGATCACGCTCATCGACTCTGATACCGATGATATCGATGATCAAGGCGACAAGACTTTGAAATTGTTCATCATACCAGTATGATGAACAGTCGGGATTTCGATCTTCTTCATGATTACTGATCCAGTGCAGACATTCTATCACCTTCTTTGTCCATAAGCATCTCAAGAGTCTGATAACCATCGAGCAAAGACTTCGTCCAATCCAGACCCATGGGATTCCCGGGTTGGTCTGTAATATGGGATATTGCTCGATTCTCGCAGAGTCCTTGTATCTACTACATACCTCAGTTTCCTACATTTTACGGCTAAGGCCCACCTATCCATAGTTTCTCGCATGGCCCTCCACTCAATACCTCCGGACTCATATATGGGTATGTTCCACAGTAGGAAGGCAATGCAGTCGTTTCTAAAGCGTCAACTCTTGAGATTCAAAAGTCTACAATCTTGATATGGCCAGTACTGGTGATCATTACGTTTTCAGGTCTCAAGTGCCTAAATGAAAGGATTGGTGTGTCAGCAGGTGGTGGACGAGAGCGCCAAAGAACACTTAACATACCTGTGACATATCCGCTTCTGGTGTATGTGATCAACAGCCGACACTAATTGCATCGCCACATGTCAGTCCAAAGACTCTTCCACCTTTCCACCGGACCGTTTCAGCCATTCAAGTAGAGTTACTCCCTCGACAGCTTCTATTACGATATAGATGTAGTTGCTGTCTTGGAATACAGCTTCCAACGATACGAAGGCGGGATGGCCCTTTACTTGTTTCATGCATTCGATTTCAGTCTTCAAGCTATACAATGTTGACAGTTAGCTACAAAGTGGGAAAACAAGAAAGAAATGGTAAACAGGACTTACAAATGGATTGCGTCAACTCCTTTCTAGTCCTTTTACGGCAAACTTTTTACTGGAGTCTGTAGTCGAGAACAAATACACGGCTCCCTGAGCGCCACGTCCAAGCTTGCATACCGTTTTGAAGTCCGATAGTGGCTTTGGTTGTAGTTGCAGTGGCGAGTTTGATAATGTTGGTGTTGGTGGTGGTGGTGAAGATGTTGGTGGAGGTGAAGTCGAGTGGTTGGTATCAGCCCTTATCTTGACTTCTTTTTCAGATAATGGATTCTTGCGAGATTCTATATTCAAGATTTAGCAACAGTTAGGCTTCACATGTTTTGCACCTGAACAAAAAATGTTGCGAATGTTGACCTTCAAGATGGTCTCATTGACTAACTATAAAGCAAGTAAATGATTCTATACCATGTAAAGATGAATATTTACCGTTTTTGATTCCATCTCGTGTTGGTTTGATACCACTAAATCTGTCTGATGTCTTAGAATTGCAGGCCTCTAACCAGATGATGAAAGGTGATGTAGACCAGGGAATAGAGGAGAGAGAAGACTTCGAGAAACCTATCGTATTATTTCCTATCTATACCATACACTCTCGTCAAAGCAACACTTTTGCGGCAGTGCAGCAAACATTCAAAACGCCTGAATTTGCTGAAATTAAACCATTTAGAAGTCATCTTTGACATTCTATGAAGCTACTGTCGAGTGCCTTTACAACTCGCACACACTGTCAAAAGGTTCGCAGCATAAAGTTCAGACTGCCATGAGTTTACAGTGCGAAACAAGTATATGTCTTTACACGTTAGGACGCTAAATAACTTAGATAACATCCTTTTTACAGTTTGAGTCTCCACCGTCTCTGAAACGCAAAGACTGAAGAATCACAAACAAACATTACATATCCAACAATGACCATAATGGCAACCCGAGGCGATGCATTTATGGTATCCATAGATAAGTTGATGAGCCCCATAACGACATTTGCCTAAGTGTCCAAGAAGAGACTGTATTACAACACTTGAAGCATCGTTCTTTTTTTAACCACAGACACTTATACATACCAGCATGAAAGTCGCCAGCTGGTTATAATTAACAGCCTCCAGCAGTACAGGAGCACAAGACTCCATCTCAATCGAATCCAACTTGTTTTTATCAATCCTACGAGGCCGACAAGTCCATGCAACAGTTAAATCACTAGCCAGAAACAATCCCACAAGCCAACATCCACATTCAACAACCCATATCACGTATGGGGCATTTGCTATCCGTCTAGAGACTTGAATGTTTTGGTATGATGCTAGGTATGTCCATGAATGATGTAGTAGGATGGATGCAAACATCAGGTAGATGCAATGGCGTCTCCATTTGGAGAAATCTCGAACGTCTGTTGAAGGGACTAGAAGTACTGATCCGATGTATGAAGCGATTAGGAAGATGGTCGAGTACCCTGAGTGATATATATCGTATTGAGACCATTTGAGTTTTTTGTTCTAAACCATCAAACAACGCAAGGTCTTGTGAAGACCCAGCTTACCAAACAGACTACAAAGCCCTTCACGATTGGCACTAACGAAGTTGGTACGAGCTGCATATAGAATGTAACGTTCAATCCCGAGCCCCAGTGCATACTGATACCCTAAAGATGCGGAGAATCGTTGGCCAACAAAACTCGCTGAACAGAAGGAACAACGTTTCAACGTTCCACCTGCAAGCATTCCAACTGCCACAACAGGTATCGCATTCAATGGAAATATAGCAAACACAGCGCCAATGATCACTGGCAGTATACCCAAAGTATAGAAAAAGTTCCAGTGTACTCCATACTCTGATACATGCTCCTAATATTATAAAAATAAATGAGTTGATCTACAAATGCCCAAAAAAAAGGCAAACTGAGAAACGACTAATGTTCTCATGAACTCACATTGTAGTTAAAGCTTTTGGTAGCAACAGTACGAACCCCCGCAATAATCAATACTGGTATCGAAGTCATGACCGCAGACTGCATTCTCGATGCAAATAACGTGGATGTAGATTTGAGTCTAGGTCCAGCAGCGATTCCCATTGAGAAAACGAACAAGCCTACTCCTAAATCCATCTAACGGGTTGAATTCGTTAGTTTGTCGTATCTGCAATTATTGGATGAAGACTCGTCTTGATTTTTTTGCACAATGCGAACAAAACCGTCTTCCCAACCCAAATTTAACACAACACTTACCAAAGACGTCCCGTACGTTTCAGCCTTCGCAAACCGTCTCGGAAACACCTTGAAATCCACAGCCAGTATACACACGATCGTGACAATCTGCAACGAGGCTCTAAAAGCAGCCAAGAATCCAAATCTCGGGCCGTCAAATGACGGAGGCAGAGAATATCGTGGCGTGCGTACCAACACAATCAGAGTCACGATCAACGCCAGTAGCATCACCAGCAGAGTGTTGTTATATTCTGCCAATGTCACGGATGCAATGACGGGGAGTACCAGCATAGCGTATTCGAGTACTAGTCGTGTCCATGGCTTAATCTTATGCCAAAATTTGACTGCTGTTAATTGTTGGAGTGTGTATGATGCCTATTGAAAAGATGATGTTTTGAAGTCAGATGTAAAGCTTCATTAAAACGATGAAAGCGACAGGTTCATACCACTACAATCCATAAAATCACATAGATCTCGGTTATATCAGACCCTGAGAGACCAGTCACGAAGGCTTCCTTGTCTCTTCTCCTTGCGTCATCCATTATTCGTGAGTTTAAGGAAAGTTCGTGTCTTTCAGCAGGTCGTTCGCCCTGCAATAATAGAAGTGATGGATCAAATCGAATTTTATACAAGATTTACACTCAATATACACGTGTTCTTTGATGATATAAATGATAATTACAAGATCGACGACAAAAAAAACATGAAACTGTTTACTGATGAGCAAGTTCCACTCTCTTATTCCTTAGATCTGGATGCAGCCTCTCCCATTCTCGTCTTAGATAAGCAAAAGCAGAGTCCGTCACGAGAATTACTTGAGCTAGACCCCAATTCAGTGTGATTGCGTAAAAGAAATTGGCATTTCCTGCTCCAGAGTATGTCCACAGACCATAAAAGACTGGTCCTAGAAGTACAGAGTAGGCCATAGCTGATAGACTCAAGAAGGCCTGTTTCATGTCTACGCGAAAGGGAGAGTTAGCAAAAAAAGAGACAAGAAAAGCGAGAAGCGAGGACCTTTACATTTAAAGAGCTCCTGATGCATAGCTAGCAGTGTCAGGTAAAGCGCCGTATCGCATACACTTGGATACGATTTGAATATGGACATGACTGCACAAAGCAGATACATGACGAGAAATGGGTTCTCTCTAATAGTTGCGAGATCGTGTTAATAAGTCTATCTGCTAATCCCAACATCACAACATACCGAAACTTGATTGCGAGAGGCACAGCGTATAGAAAGGCATGGATTTGAAATACGCCGAGGAAGAAGTTCCGGAATTGATCAAACATTTCCATGAAAAAGTACCACCATATGCCAATGTTCGGTGTTAGATCCACGACGAGTAGACTAAAATTGGAAAGAATGAGCAGAAAAACATCAACGGAAGCTGTAGTATTGTAAACCTTACATGACACCATACGAGTTTGGTATGAAGTCCCACGATTCAGTCAAGAGATAGCATAATCCAAACAGGGATGCCAAGTATGCACTGAAATAAAGTCCACAATATGATAGGGTTGTCCAAAGCTGAACGAATGGTGAGAAGACGTGAGTTTTTAATCTCGTTCGATTGAGGCTGCATTGCGTCTTTTACCTTAGTTTTCGTGACTTGAGCTATCAGCATAGCACACGGCACTATCAACATGACGGGATACAGCGTCAAATGTGTTGACACGGCAATCGCCAACATGGAGAGCTTGCAGTTTCCTACAAAAGCCAAAAAATTGAATACTTCATATTCGAACGTTCCACTCCAAAACATCACCCACCTTTGCAAGCATACAGTATCCCAGACCAAATAGCCACCGAATTGAAAACACTCGTAGATTGGGCCAGACAAGTCATAATCGCCAATGGATTGAACATGTACGAGTACCCAACGAGTATCGGATTTATCGGCGAGTCCTTCGGCTGCAAATCTGGGACTTGCTTGACTGCCATTGGTTTTGGCCATATTTCAGCAGCCTGTAGTGATTGTTTGAATGATGCGACGTGTATAACTAGAGATGTGATGATGCAGTCCAGTATGATAAACACTAGCGGAGTGACGTGCTGTGGTATGTATAGAAACAGAGGTATCAAGAGTGGAGTCTGCAAGATTTTGAACAGTGTTTAGTACTTGTTGAATAGGTAGCTCCAATGTGATCACATATTCATACCTGATGATACATTTCGCCCTCGTATGGTGACAAACCATGCTCGAATAGGAAGATGCCTTCACGTACTAGATTGAAAGTTAGATTAAACAGATGAATATGTATAATTCACTTGCGTATAGTTGACTTGCGTCGCTTGAAGCTTGAAACCGGAGTGACAACTTCAATCCGTGAAGAAATGAGCTCTGAAGCACGAGTAAAGTAAAGAAGTATGATGCGTAATGTGGCTCCTGCTACTAGCAGCCATATCAGTGACGAGCTGCTAATGTGGCTAGCTGTTTTATTATGAGGTTTGGTCATGATTGTTGTGACATTTGTGATTATGAGAGAAGACGAGGCAACCGATTTGAACTTGTACTGATTGTTTACGTTCAATATGTTCATTTAAGGTGATTTTATGGATTGCTTTACGTCTTACATAGACCACGTTAGGCAGACTTGACAACATCAACATCATCGTCAGCTACATTAGCATCCGACATTGAAAGCAATGCTCCCGTCTGTGGGAGTCTTGGATCTTTCTCAACATTGTTGCGCTCACTGGCTAACGTTTGAGGGCATCTCAAGATTCGAAAATGCATGGATTCAGCTGAACACCATCATAATTATGATTCGGTGATGGACCTCTTGCTTTGCTGGAAGTAAAACGAGAACCTGAGAACGCGTCACGACTGTTGTGGGTGGGTACGCTCGGGTCTAGTCTGGCAAGATCTTCGATTTAGACCTTCATTGGCTTGTCTTTGAAGATACTCTTGGTTGACAGGGAACATGGTGTCTGTGAAAGAGGTGAGTGAGACGTCCAGAAGTGTGACAGTTTCGTTTCGAAGCATTGTTTGATGACGCATGTAAATCAATACGAAAATTCGTGTTGTGCATTTGTAAGCACGTGTAACTTTAAGAAACGCTAAGGCATAAGGATTTAGGACCGTAGTAGGCGTTACGCGTTACAAGGTCATGGTCATCAAAGCGTCCTTCTCTCATCTCTCAGTATCTAGAACCTGTTTTGCAGGTTTTGAATCCCGCAGATGGGTTGACGTGGCGTTGAATCCAGATCTGACAGTAAGGCCAACCGAACCTGAAAGTGTAATGCTATTTTAGCCTTGTAAGAGAAGTGACAACCTTTGTCAAAGCTCAAAATCAAGGAAGAAATGACCAAAAAGAATCGGCCTCAGATGTGGTAAATTTGCCTTCGTTGCCTCTTCGCTTCAGACTAGCAAGCTTCAGGCTATTCTCCTACGCTACACCTCTCCGATACCCATGTGATATTTTAGATGCAGAGCTACAGGAAGTCAAGACCTGGTGTTCCGCTGCTCTCTGGTTAGATCTCACGCGTCGTACGTCGGCCACCAAATACCAACTCGATTTCGCAGACGCATACTACGCCCAGGAACTCCAACCTTTATTATACGACAAGTCTCTCAGTTTCCGTGAGCAGCTGTTTATTGAAGCCCAACAAGCGCTGCATTAAACCGACTTCCTCCTCACCCCGCCTCTTGCTGGATATGATCACTGCATGGTTACTCCCTCTTATAGAGCGGCTCTTCGCTACCGTCTGATGCTGCCTCTCTATAGTGGAAAAGATTCTCGGTGCCCGTGAGCTGTGCTAGTAAGCCCTCTCTTGGTAAACGTAACTAAATGGTCCGTGATACTCTTGTCTCTCTTGCTCAGGCTCCTGGTATTCGTGCTACTGCGGAGCATAATGTCGGTTGTTTAGGCATCACCACACGTTATGGAAAGCATATCGCTCGCCTTCCCCGCGCCCATGTATTGTTACCAAGTTGGTCTGGCGGGCGATCTGTCTGTGTCGATGTTGCTGGGGTGTCTGCCTTAGCCCATACGGACCTTCGTGGCTTGGGTGAAGCTGCTCGTGCAGCCGCTCACGATAAAAAGGAGAAATATGTGTTACCTGTAGTCTTGCTGGATTTGGTTTCCTTCCATTTGCTTTTGACACCATGGGTTACCTTGCGCCCGACGCTGAAGAACTTTTACGTCGCATTCAAGCCGCGTTGGCTCACTCGCAATCTGCTCATGGTATCGTTGCTCAGAATTTTGTCTTCCGCCGTGTTGATTCTGTATCATGAAGGGTATTGCGTGACAACATGTCGGTAGCGTCGTTGAGGTAGTATTTGGGGTCTATGAATGTAGAGGTGCTGCTTTTCGTGTAAATCATTGCTATATATCGCTTTAATATACATTCTTTGCATCACGTGAGAAAAAGGACTATTGAGAGGGACGGGACTCGAACCCGCGCTCATTTCTGAATCACGGCCTTAACGTGACGCCTTAACCACTTGGCTACCCTCCCTACTTTTTCAACGAATGGAATTCAGAGTGAGTTTTATTTATTCACGTTTCATGGAACATCCCTCCGAAAAAAAAAAACAAGACAAAACAACGACCTGCCTTCTCAGGCCACACAGGGCCCTTCCACTGATTCCCTATGGAAATGGTTTAAGAAGAATCTAGGAGCGCGAATTGTGGATGAGTGGCAAACCGCAGTTGGGGAGACCAAACG